CTTTCCCCTTGCAAGCGCACTTTGCCAACGACGCCGTCTTGGTGCCCATGTTATTTCTTTCGTTCTCTGTGAGCTGTCGAAGATATCCCAAGCAGTTGCTGGGGTGTTTACATGGCTCTGTACTTCCATTGTAACTATTTACTAATAAATCTTCTTTACGTTGTTGAAAAGCGCTCTCGTGTTTCTTTCCCTGGTTCGACTGGTGCTCAAACGTGTTCAATGCTGAACCCTTGACTTGACATCTGTTCGTATTTGCTACTACCAAGTCTTGTACAAATGGTTGCAACACCTGGAGCATTAATCAACAACCAAAGAATTCCGTTGGGGTTATAAAAACAATCAATTTTTCCCTTTTGCGCTTTCATGCCACATGTATATTTCATACAAAAACAGACCCATGGGACTGCTGCCCCGCAAACATTTCACAATGTAGACATTAACACTGAATTTCTAAAAACAACAAACAGAGGAAAAGGTTCGGATATAAGCGTAGATTTAGGGCTTTTGATGGGGTTAAGGCTTCTGCTTTGAGTTTACCTGAAGACTCTAATACTTTCTCAAACATGTAAAAAGTACTAAAATTGTACAAAAGTCATTACTCAAAGAATCTTGAGATTATAGTAATTGGTCGTCCCATTCATAAGTAAAAGATTTCTTATTGGTATTAGCGTTATCAAATATCATTCTACGATGTAATTAAGCATTGGAATTATGACTTAGACATTTAGATTACTCTCAAATTTTCCGACAAATTCAAAGATTTGAGGATGTGACAACCAGGCACGTAAATACTGGGGGTGTGAGCCCCCCCCCCCCCCCAAGCTCTCATCCAGTCGGAAAATTTGAGGACAGTCGGAAAATTTAAAGCTGTTGGTAGAAAGCAAGGTTAATCTGAGAAAATTTGAATCATTTGTGAAAATTGAAGTTTTAACTCAAATGACTTTGTGAACTGTGACTCAAAGGTAAATAAGTTCAAAAGAAAATAGTTGTTTGGTAAAAGGCAGTCCTAAACAGAATGAGAGGCGACGCAATACAGAAAAAACGAAGTTTTGTATGAAAATGCAAGTATTTTCAACTACATTCGTCATACTGGGGATAATGTGATAATCATTCCATCAAATTGCTTCTAAAAACGGGATACGAAATGGAATTTTTTAAATAATATTTATCAGTAATGCTTAAAAAAGCGCAGTACATTTCCCATGACTTGTCAAGAAATTTATCCGTTCGAGATCGACCGATGAAACATAGGCGGCACCAGGTGGAGAGCTGGGGGCTTCAGCCCCTCCCCCCCCCCCCGCTATTTTTTAGCAAAAATGTATTTTTAAGCAAATAAAAAGAGTAAAGGAAAGGTATAAAGAAAAGGATAATCCGACAAATCCTTTAGTTGCCTAATTTCTAAGGAATACGACAAAGTCTATGGGGCCTCAGAAAGTAATGAATTCAATTTTAAATCTGGGGTTAATCAAACGTTATAAGAGCATGCCTTAAAAATAGCAAAATGTTTCAAACGTTTGCAAGAAAATACCTGCAAGAAATATTATGAAATGTATTTTAAGCTAATCTAAAAAGCATGGTCGTGAAAATTTTCTGCTCGTTTCGCTCGCAGGAAGACCACTTCTTTGGGACATCTCCATGGCCTCCGCCAACCTCCCGCCGGCCCCTTCAAACGTACCGCTAGCATAATAAGTGCCACGTAAAATGATAGGCATAAAATATCGTGAAGCGTTTTAGTGCGTTTTTCAAAAGATGGTTCTTAGTCTAATAATTCTATCAACTCGAGCCCCCTTCCCCACTTTGAATTTCTTGGCACCGCCCCTGTGAAAGACTAAACGACCTCATGATTCGTACTTGCGAGAAAAACATTTTGGACAACGTAAATTTAGATAAGAAAAATTGTACTTTATCTCGCTTGGAACTGAGTCCCATATTTGGCTACATCTGTATGATACGGTATTAAATCCATTTATCTTGTAATGTGGCTCCACTGTTTTGAATTGGGAGTTTTTTTAACTGATATGGGCATCAATTTATGGAAGATATTTCATCCATAAAAGGTAGATTCAAACCGTTAAATGTTTTGTAAATTTCTATCGTAAGATATTGTAGATTTTTCTTATGAGAAGTTACTGTTATAAAAACGTCTTTATAAAAAGTTGTTCAAAAGTTGATTCATTATCATCATGAGCTATTCTCATTGTTCTTTCATGTATCCAGTTTATTTGGCTATTACTTTTCCTACTGCAAAACGTCCAAATAAGAAGACAATTATTAAAATATGATAAAATGAACGTTTTCATTAAAAGAATTCGCTTAGATTCGTCCATATACGAAGCAATCCTGGCTAGAGCGTTTACCTTTTTCCCAGCTTCTTTACAAAAAACTTTGATATGTTCTTCTAATCTAAGTTGATGGTTTAGTGTTACTCCCAAAAGTTTGAAATTCTTACTTTCTATTATATCAGAACCATTTATTTGAATTCTAGATTCCTCTAATTTGATTGTAAATTGTAATATTTGAAGCTGCGGAGAGCATACTAATTGGTCTATAATTCTCTTTACTAGTTGAATCTCCTTTTTTGAAAATAGAGCACACATTCACCATTTTCATAAGAAAGGGAAATGTTTTATCAGGAAGAGGTCAGCTAGTGGTGCAGAGACAACGTCTATTGCCATTTTAAGAACTTTTTGGGGAATGTTATCGGCTCCTGTTAATTTGTCTTTCTCTAGGTTGTAAATTTGTCTTACATCTTCGGAAGTTACATTTTAAAAGTTAAACTTAAGAAATCATAAGGGTACGCTAGTTTTTTTCCTCCTGCTTCATCAGTTATATTGCGACTACCTTTGAGAACCAACCAATCAACAAGAAGCCGATACAGTTACTTGAGGGCTAGAAACAATATCCTATCGATCCAATGTAAAGTTTAGACCGGTACCCCAGTCTAAAAATAGCTTTTGGGGGTGTCTTTGAAGTGAGGTTTGCATCTCATCTTATTCAACATGTCAAATTACGCCAGAAAACAAATCTTTCGGTTTATGACATGAATAGCTTAAAAGATATTGAGGAAGACCCAAAAGGGGACTAGGTACAGGTACCCCAGTCTGAAAATAGCGTTTGGGGGCATTTTTGAAACAGGGTATGCATCTCATCTTATTTAGCATGTCAAACTGTGTACTTGTATCAACTTTTATGCTTGTATCATATAATGCACAATTCAACTGCTAACCGACTGTACTATAAGCAAGCCAATCTTACTTGCTTGTGTAGACTATGCACAACTTGCAAGGATCACATTTATCACGAGTAATTTGTTATTGCTATAAGTTGGTTTTAATTAGCTGTTTAGTAGTCATCATTGTGTAAACCAATGTTAAATAAAGTGAGAAAAAGGGGGAAAAGAGAGATAAAAGTCTAGTTTTATGAATGACTAGGTTAGGGAGGGAGGGGAGGAGTTAGAGAGTAATGAAAAAAATATTTGGCCGACATAGATGAAAGATGATAGGCTTACATGTATGAAAGAAAATTTGATTGCTATTTTACCTACAGTCAGGCGATTAAACCAACCAACTAACGATTTTGTTGATCAACTGAAATTTGCCGACCAAATCATTAAATATTTGGGGGTTTGCTAGCCCCCTAAGCCCCTGCTAGCCACAAATTTGATTTCCCCATAAGGAATATGCTTGCAGTGTTGCTTTTTTATTGTAAAAGTCAGATCTCTGCAATGTCATGCAAAAAATCCTAAAGTAGACTCTTCAATCGAGCACAATATGAGACAGACTTTCAAGCAGTACACCTTTCTGTCGAGCACTAAAAGAGTTATACAATACTATATATCGTACCATACAGAGTTATATCGTACCAATGGTATTTTATTTGTATTTTTTCACCGTACCAACATAAAAATTTTTGAAGGAACTTCGTTATCAGCAATGTACACTGCATCGAGTATCTACTTGCCTACAAGAAGTCATGTAGATTTTTTTATATAAGGGTAAATTTTTAAATGTCTTGAAAGAGTAACGGAGACTGGCCCTGAGGACCCTTTTTGTGTAGTGTAATTTGAGGTTAAAGCTGAATTGAACTAAAAGACATATTCACTAAAAAGATATTTCACTAAAAGGTCTTTATGCAATTTATCTATTTACGTTATAACAAAGGTATGAAATTTGTAAGTTCCCCTATCACAGAACTCCCTGTTCTTTCAATTTTCATCCAACAAAATAATCTGAACCCGATAATTGCATGATGCCCAGTGCCATCGGGATGAAATCTCTCAGAATAGCTGACTTTTCATACAGTGTCCCAATTTTTCAACTTTTAAAACTCTTGAACTTTGACAAACTTTACAAGCTTGAACAAACAAAATTTATGTTTCAAATAAATACAGAAACGAATTAAACTACTCTAGGACAAGAACTTCTAAACCTTCATGAACCTTCAATAATATAATACTAGATAGTCTTCTTGCCTTGGTTTTTCTCCGCAAACGACATTTACAAACTTTAAAAGAGATATTTTCTTGCAATTGATGGTAGCAAACTTAAATGATGAAAAACAGCAAAAAGCCAACAACAAAGTATCTTTCAAAAGTAGAATAGCTTCCCATTTTTAGAGTCCCTACCTAATATAACTTGATGCAAACAATCGTACGTACTTTTAACCCTTTTTTCATTTCGTTTTACTTAATCTCATTTTATATTGTTAAAAAGTTACTTTAAACACTTAAAAACCAGTTTTTACTTTCTGCTAATTCTTGCTGTTTTAAATCTTTAAGTTTATTCCATGTGCCAATCGGCTAATCTATTTAAAATTCATGTTACTTAACGAATTTTTTTGTATGATTCTATCACACAATTTTTATTAATGATTTTGATTAAACAACTTTACAGTGAAGTAACTTGTAATTAGCTCATATGCTGAAAATTTACGCTATTTCCCGTCCCGTCAAAAATTTGATGGGCGTTTTTCTAAAACGAGGTTGCCTCTCTTACATTTCGGTAGAATCATTAAAAGAAGACAATCTAAATGTGTCATGGCTGGCACCCAGTCAAAGTTTGTTGACGAACTTGAAGAAGTTGTAACTTGACGCTGTTTGGTTTCATCTATCTGCCTTTGGACAAATATTCTATATTGATGATTCAAAATGTCGTCAAGGTGTGTGAGTTTCTCCATGTATAACCTTTATGAGGAAAACGTGTAGTGTAGCGGATGCCTTGCGCCTCCCGAGAGTAACTCATTCGGGATTTCATTTTATTTCCTGTGTCTAAAGAGAATTTGGCAGTGTGTGTTGATTTTAGTTTGTTAGAAAGGTTTTCTTTCAAATTTTTCTTGAAATTATTTCTCGTATTAAAGGTCTTCGAGATAAGGAATCTGTTTGTTTTCATCTTCTAGAAACCACATTCCAATTCTTATTCTTTCTTTTGAGATTTCGAGGTTCCCGTCTTTGAAGATCGCTCAACCATGATTAAGGCAGTTAGTTTAGCTCAAAATGCTATGTCGCATTTATTTAATACATATTCATGGATATAATCTTGTTTCTTGTATTATTATTTTAAGAATGAGAATTCTTTGTAGCTTAGAAATCCTTTAGCAGGTGATGTGAATAATTTCGTATGCTGGACTAATATTCATAATGGCTGAATATAGACACCCTTTTGAGCAAATAAAAGTCAATTTCAGTGTTTGTTTTAATTTGAATGATAAAAACTGATGAAAATGCATGATTTTCAAATGAGTCTAATGTAATTTAGCCCAGTTAACCTGTTAAAAAGTTTCTCTGACCATATGATAAACACTTTAACATTAGTTCAGTATTTGAACATTATTGGTCCTAAAAAAGGTGCTAGAAAGAAAAAAACCATTATAAGTTAAGTTAAGCGATCATTTTAACAGAACCTTACATGGCACTAGGCAGAACCCAGCCTGCAAAATATAGCAGCTGCACATCAGAGGCTGATATTGCATTGAACACAAAAATTTGATATTGCACATCAAATTTACAATTGCATTGTTATGAAATACTTCCATTTGCATGCCCTATTATCAGTGAAAAGAAGCTTTGGTGCAAAACAAAGTCAAAGTTTGTGCTGAGGCAAACCTGGCACCAGAGTAATAGGAAGGGATCTGAGGCAAGGGAGGCAAACCTTTTAGATGGCAAAGAACCAACCACACCTGTGCACTCCTGTGCTCTTTTATCCCTAGTGAGACCTTGATTTTGCCAAATTGCAACTAGTTTGAAATATTTGTCATTTAACCAAACCAATGTACTTAGTGCACTGAGGTACGATTCTCCCTTTCTCTGCTTCCCCTGTCGGCCATTTCATGAGTCTTCCATTGCAGCAAAACCATTTACATTATTTATGAACCTGAAAAATTGTATTCCACTTTTATAACACAGTTGAGCACTCTCCAGTTTCACAGTTGGTCAAATTGCTCTTTTATCTATTTTGTTAAATCTTGACACATAGTACGTCCTGACATCAGCTAAGGCTCATTCAAAGTATACAGGCTTAGAAGATTTCATTAAATTGTGGAAAATCTAAAGGCATAAGGAGAGTAAAAAATGTTTCTTAGGTTGGGACCCCAGCACCTTCCTCTGCTACCCCTACTTTGAACTGCCAATATTTGCAAGATACCAGATAATGGACTTTTTGACACTTATCATTGTGGTGAACTTGTTATGTATATTAACTATGACTTAAGTTGAGTGACCTTTAGTAACAAATTATTTTATATATATTAAGTATGCAGTTAAGAGAAATAGTGTGATGTTGTGTGGTTTCCCAAATTTTCATTTTTCTCTTTCAAAGGAGCTTGAAGAAACTCAGCGAGGAAAGCTTGACTAGACCACCAGAGGAAGTTTTTGATCTATTAGAAAAGCTGGGTGAAGGGTATGTTAATTTCAATCACATTTGTAAAAAATTTATTCAGACACTCTTCAGAGTATAAAATATCAGAACATAGATGGAAAACTCTACAATTGGAAATATACGTATTTTTTTTCAAAGCAATTTTTAAGTTTTGTACCACCAAAAGATTGTTTAAAATTTATTTCTATTTTGCCTGCTAAGTTTTTTAGAAATATGGCAAAGGTAAGTGAATTGGCTATTTCATATTGCTCAGATGATGATTAAATGCATTTAACAATATTTTGACAGTTGTGGTGTACTGAGAGATATAATGCATAGTTGACAGGATTGGACAAATCTAGTAAAAGAGTGATCCCCTGTTGGGAGCAGGGGCGGACACTTGGTCAAATATTGGGGGGCAAGTCTATTGTTTTAATAAGATAATGTCACATTTCCCATTGTTTTAGAACAAACGAGCATTGTCCTCTAAAGTATTGGGGGGGGGCGGTCGCCCTCCCTCACCCCCCTCAAGTGTCCGCCACTGGTTGGGAGACTAGAAGCTCTTTCAGTGGTGTCGAGCATATGGCCTGTGGTCTCCCAAAACGGCTCTGGTGATAGGGATGGACATTTCAAGTAAAAGATTGGTCATCTGGCAGTTACTCTGTGTAACAATAAGTGTTCTTCTGCAGATAAAAACCCCATTGTCTGAGGGGTGCGGGAGGGGTGCTGCCCAATTGTAAAATTACTGCACCTAGTTGGAACTCCGGTTTTCTGCATATTACTTTTTTAAAATAGAATTTTACTTGAAGACATTCATGACTATTAGCAAAATGATTACTGATCATACGAAATGGATAGACAGATCAAGATATTTGTCTGACAATTGTCTGTAAATTAGAGGCCTAGTTTAATGTTGAATTGAATTGAGGCAGAAGACTAATTGTTTTTATATCAATCTAGACACATTACCTACAAAATGATGCCAAAAGCAAAAATGTTTGATTTTTAAATGAACCATTTTCTTATTTTATTTTCAAGGTCATATGGCTCTGTATTTAAAGCAGTCCACAAGGAGTCTGGGGAGGTCCTAGCAATTAAACAAGTTCCAGTTGATACAGACTTACAAGAAATTATTAAAGAAATAAGTATCATGCAACAATGTGACAGGTTTGATTCAAGAGATCAAATATTATCTTGTTTTTTTCTTAACTAGCATTTATAATTTTAGATATGATTCAGTCACTTTGATATTTATTCATTTAGGTTCAATTTCACAGCTTAAAAAGTTTTTCTTTTTAGAGTTGAATTTAAAATTCAAGTGTTTGTAGTTTATATATGAAGTTATCAATCTGCTCTCATCTATTTTGTTATTCCTTATCAACTGACAATGTGCATCAACACCTTTGGGCTCTTTTAAACAAATTTTTAGACTCCTTATTTCATTCAAGACCTGGATACAGAAACACAGAGCCTTTTCATTTTTAGAATTGATAGAGAAAATGTCTAACAAAAAAGTCTATTAGAACTCTCCTTTGTTTATTTCAGTCCATTTGTTGTCAAATATTATGGAAGCTACTTTAAAAATACAGATTTATGGGTATGTCCTGTATTATCTTGATATGACTTTAATGACATTACCTCTTATCAGTAAATGTTTGTCATGACTTTCAAAATATTTGCAATTAAAAGTTTGTCAGTATGTGTACTGTTACAATAAATGTATGCAAATACAATTTTGTTAAGCAAACTTCTACATTTAGCATGTTATGTGGTTTTTTAAGAACACATTGTTAGTGATCAATTATTGTACACAGTTATCTGTAAATATTGCCATTGAAAATTAACAAACCAAATAATTTGGAAACAAAGCCCAAAGCAGCGACTTGCTGCCTAGTTACCTATTTTTTCTATTCATATTTAAACATCACAACTCTGATTTTTAATCTTTCTAAAAGCTTAACACATGCCCCTATTTGGAAGCTTTGAAAAAAAACCTGTTTTACAGTTATCAATATGTTGTAATTGGTTAATGAAGTAACACGGCAAAAACTGGTTCATATTTGCTTGTTTTCATCTTGAATGAATGCAAATGTGTTGAAATCATTTCACATGTGTATAAAATGATTTTGTGTTTTGCAGATTGTAATGGAGTACTGCGGTGCTGGGTCTGTGTCTGATATCATGAGGCTAAGAAACAAAACAGTATGTGTCCAGTGCTATATTTAAACTAGTTGGAATTAATGCTACAATTTACCATTTCTGGCCTATATGCTATCACAATTTTCATGTTGAAAAACATAGTGAAAATCTAAAGACCTAGATTTAGGAATGTAGGAAGATATGACACCTCATATTTTTTAAGAGTTGGTCAGTTGGTCCACTAAATTGTAAGTTGTGTGGTAAAATTGCCTGATGGTAAGTTCAATAATTGCTATTTTCTGTTCTTGTCTTCATTTATATATGTTTCTCTGTTGACACCCCACAATCTGAAGGTCAAGCAATCATCTGTTATTAAGCAAGTAGGACTGCCAAGATAAGATAGCATATCTCACACAGCTAGTTACTGTTCATGAAATTTGAAAGGAACAGGATTGGTGCTGTGGGATAAATATCAGGCCATTGTTTTGCCCTTTTTTGTCTGGCAAATACAACAGTTAAAAGAAGTCAACATATTAATCATATGTTTATTGATCAGCTAAAAGTTAATTGCCAGATGTTTTTAGCCAGTTGAGTCTTTGTGAATTGCCTGTGATGTTCTTGTTCTAAGTTCCACCAAGAAAAGTCATTATGTGTGACAAGCATGTCTATGCCCATATGATTTGAATTTCAACAATTTTCTGGGGAAACAGAAAAGAAAATGTCAGCTAATGGGTTTAAGTGGGTGTAAAGTCCTTTTTACTGTCTTCATGTAAAGGATGATATCATAAAATGAGGTTTTATAATCAATTGCAGTTGAAAGAAGACGAAATGGCCTGCATAGTGAAGGATACATTGAAGGGATTAGAATATTTACATTTTAGACGAAAAATTCACAGGTAAGCTAAAGTTATGTTAAGTCTAGTAATTAATTAGTAAAGATGGGCATTCCAATTGATTTACTGTTGGCAGCAAACAATATTTGCTAAAATAAATTTCCTTGCATTTGGCTTTGAAAAAAGCAAATATTTTATAATGTATTGGCTAAATGCTATTTCGTCTGACACTCCTCAAAGCATAAAATGTCAGAGTAAGGGTTGGAAAGAACACGATGGAAAATATATACCCAGTTACACAAGACCGGTATAGCTGTCCAATCAGTGTCGCGTGCCTAAAGAAAATTTACCACTGGAGTCCAGGAGAGAAAAAGAAATCCTGTCTACAAAATAGCGGCTTTCTCGTTCGTATGTAGATCGATTCAAAAACTGCTAGATGGAAAGACGACTGGGCTCTGCCAATTATATGAAACATGTCGTCATTAAAGAGTTTTGCACAACCTGGGTTGTCTAAAAGATGTTGACAGGTAGTAGAATCACTTGTTTTAACGGTGTTTCTATGCCTACAAGATCGAGGAGGCTGTTCTCCTTGAAGGGGGGGGGGGGGGTTTCTTATGCTCTGATGTTTTTTTTCATCACTTTTGCTCTGATGAAGCCCCGTAGGCCGGGGCGAAATATTAGCCTTCACTGATTTACGTGTATTTATTGTTGTTCATTCTCGTCGCATTGCGGTGTTTCTTATTTGCTAAATTTTCATCGATTTCTTGCCGCAAGAACTTCTTGGAGTCCGTCGAGCAGGCTGCTATCGTGACCTTTTCTTTATTTACACATTTGTTTCTTATGTTGGAAGGAACATGTTGTTTTATCCTATCCCCCAATTCTTGTTTAATGCATCATACGTATCGACCACTCTAATTTTCATTTGCATAGAGAACATTTCCTAGCATTAAAATCTCTAGGACTAACGATGAAATCTTTGAAAATTGCTTTTAAAAAAGCTTTTTCGCCTGACACTCCTCAGAGCATATAGGCTAGCACTCCAAAAACGTTTGTTGGAACTGGTCAACTGAAAAGTGTTGGCTACAGGCTCTCAACGACCACAAATATATGGCCTCCCTAAAATACACAAGCCGGACGTCCTACTTAGACCTATCTTGTCTATGATTGGTTCAGCATAGCACGAACTGGCTAAGTGGCTTTCTGAAGTTTTGGACCCCTGTTCTTCAAAAATATTCAAAACATTACATCAAGGATTCGTTTACGTTCGCTGAGTTCATGCAAAACTTGAACATCGAAAACGAAACATCTTTCATGTGTTCTTTTGACATTAGTAGTCTTTTCACAAATGTCCCTTTGAGTGAGACCATCAAAATATGTGCCGACGCTTTGTACCGGAGCGAACTTAATAGCCCAGCATTCCCAGAGGAAGTATTCATTGAACTGATGGAAACTGCAACACGTTCAGTTGAATTTAGTTCTAACAATGAAATGTACCGACAAAGGACCGCGGACAGGATTTAAAGGCCCGGGGTCAAAACGAAAGATAGAAAGCAAGTGGTCCGAGGAAAATTTTTGAGACGATGGTTGCTAAAATTGCGTCTATTTTGGTTGCTGAAATTGCAATTGTGGCTATTACTTCTTTTGTAATTTAAAGGGGGCCGATTACAGGGGGGGCAAAAGCCGCAAAACCGTGCAAAAATCAACCAAATGCCGCAGTCCGCAATGAAATTAAGAGCGCCTGTATGGGAAAATTGAAATATGAAATAATTAAAGTTTTCGGGGAGAAAATATAACTATTTAAATTTTTTGGTTTTGAAATATGAAATAACTATGGTTCCCAGTATGAAATAACAAATAACTGAATACATCTTTTATTGTTGTGTTAGAATTATCTATTTGATAACAGCATTGACTCGAGGGATGCTCTTTTATAATTTTTAAACTTTTTTGAGGCATTTTCTCAAAGGAGGCGCTTAAAAGAAGAGGCGGCCTTTCATACTTCGCGATTAGTAAAAATGCTAGCCTGCGTGCAGACTTTACTATGTCTATAGCATAGAATCTACCGCAAATAGTTTTGGCTTATATTATCTCAACAAAATAGACGAGAACATCAAATGGCATAATAAAAATGTTTTTATCTACATTAATTGTTCCACATCTTTATACTATGAATTCTTTCTAAGACCACTAAACAATAGTTTTGTAAACCATTTAAGTTGCAGGATTAATTTGCTGATAAATTATTTCCTCTAAATCTTCAAATCTCTAAACAGATATTGTTTATTTTTCAATTTTTTTATCTGAGGCTAGACATGTTTCCCGCGAAGTTATTCCCATTTTAAACAAATTAGACGAAGCACGCAATACACCAATTCAACTTACAGCCTCATTTCTTCGTTAAATCTACAATACAAACACAAACAATATGAAAAGATTGTATGCAGCCTAAAAAGATGATGATAAAGCCAAATCTGAGCATAAAAAGGTCGTACCTAATGAAGTTTGGAGAAATTTCCTAAACGTGGCCGTAAGTCGAATTGGTGTATACTTGAGAAAAGCAAGTAACCGATCTCTCATAATGTCAAAAAAAAATTGTTTCTGACCATACTTTTTAATTCAATATGGCGCCAATAAACAATGCTAAAAATTGATAGATATTATGTTTTTGATGCCAGACGAAGTATATTAGATCAAACTATAAGGAAAAGTTATGAAAAGCCACGTGAAGGCAACCGTAAAGAGAATTTGGCCCACTACAGCTCCTGTTTTTCACACTCGATGAGTACCCCTTGAAAAGACACCTAAAATATCTACTCTTTAGAAACATGTAGTAAATCTCTAGTATTTATAACGATTTCTTCTTGAGAACACGGAAAGTGTGGATTTTGCTTAGTTTTAGCTTTGCATGAACTTTATTTTAGCATTTTTTCTTGCTATCTTATGTATCCAAGACTGCAAGTGACTAGAAATAATAGTATGACTGTAGTATAAAAAATTGATTAAACAACTGAATTTTTTTGGTTATTAGGGCTCTTGGCGGTTAGTAGGGCCAAAGAAGATGTCCTAAAATTCAAAGTTCAAAAATCCTTCAGGCACATTGTCTCTCCCAGGCATGTCTATAACTGGCCCCTTCAGGTTGTATCCTCCACGCAAAGGACTCCAGACTATCAGTTCAGTTTTATCTGTGAACAAGCTTAAACATTTGAATTTGCAACGCTTATTTCCCAATATTTTTATTGCATTAAGTTTGATTCTGACTTTGCCTTCTAGTGTTGCATCAGACGAAATATCTTCCAGTAAGCTCAGATTCATAAAGTATTATCTTCGCTTTACCATTGACCAAAACAGGCTTAGCTCACTGGTTTCAATGTCCATGGAAACTGAAATTGCGGGAAAACTTGACTATAGCTCCATAATTAACCTTTTTACAGATGCAAAGTCTTGAAAATTGTTTTGTTAACTATCTAGAAAATTACCGAAAGCTACTAGCTCTGTTAGTGTTACATAAATGGGGTTAATACTATTACTGCTTCTACCTTATTTTATTTTAAAGGCTTTTGCGATTATTGTTTCTATTATTGAAAGGTTTTGATAATGCAGAAGCTGAATTGCTACTTATCAACTTTTGACTAAGTTATTATCTGTGGGCCTATAAAGTCATGGGCCCCCGTGTCAGTGATCCCCCTGACCCCCCCTCTCCTCAGCACTGGCTATGGGTAGCCCTCTGGGACCTGCCTTGGCCAATATCTTTGTTGGCTTTCATAAAGAGCGTTTGTTCGACTACGACCAAAAGCCAGGTGTCTATTTTCGGTATGTGGATGACACATATACCATTTTCAAAACAGAGGCTGAGTGTGATATTTTTCTAAAACACCTTAATAGCCTACACCCAGCCCTCCTGTTTACATTTGAAAAGGGAGAAAATGATTCCTTGCCATTTTTAGATGTTTTGGTCGAAAAGTCTAGCACTGGATTTCTTACCAGTGTATATAGCAAGCCTTCTTTTACCGGTCAGTACATACGCTGGAATTTTTTCATTCAACTTCAGCATTTGCATTTTGCCTAAAACAACGCAAAGTCAACCTTGTCAAAACTTTATTACATAGGGCACTTATGATCTGCTCAAAATCTAAACTGCACGCTGAAATGGAAAAACTTAAAACGATCTTTCTGGACAACGGCTATCCAGAAGACGTCATTTTATCTTATACTAAGGAGAAGATCGCAAGTTTTTCGGCTGTTCAAAAGTTTGGTCCGTCATTTATGAATTTATGTGCCAGTGTGATTCTGGCTACGTAGGACGCACAACCCAAAGATTGGGGGATAGGATAAAACAGCATGTTCCTTCCAACATAAGAAAAAAACTGCCCCTCAAAGAGAACAGCCTCCTCGATCCTGTAGGTCTAGAAACACTGTTAAAACAAGTGATTCTGCCATCGGTCAACATCTTTTAGATAACCCATATTTTGTTAAACTCTATAATGACGACATGTTTCAGATAATTGGCAGAGCCCGGTCGTCTTTCCATCTAGCAGTTTTTGAATCGATCTACATGCGGACGAAATAGCCGCTATTGTGTAGACAGAAGGAGTTCGTTTTCTCTCCTGGACTCCAGCGGTAATTTCTTTTTAGGCTCGCGGCACTGATTGGACTGTGCTTGCGTTTTTCTGATTGGCCTCTTTCGATCCACAACTGGGTATATATTTTCCATCGTTTTCTTTCGGGGCCTTATTCTGACATTCTATGCCAAAATGTTATAGAATGTTTGCTTTTTTCAAAGTCATTTTCATGTTTTGTACAGCAAAAAAAACTTTCATCGTATACTTATGAGTCTATGCCCATTGCCTCTATTGCCTATTGCATACACTTTTTGGTGTTTAGAACAGGATGGTTCTAGGTTGCTGTCCTGTTCTATTAACACTTAATTACAGTCCGGTAGTAATTTTCATTAAGTCTAAACAAGTTGGATCAAGACTATCTCAGATTTCCAGAAGTATTATTGGTTACTAATGTATTTAAATAATTCCCAAAAACAAGAATACTTCTAGCCTATTATTTTTTAATACCTTATTACCATTTGTTATTTTATCTCAGGGATGTCAAGGCAGGGAACATTCTCCTAAACACAGAAGGATATGCAAAATTAGGTAAAAGATTGATTCATCTATGAAATATATACAAATCCAATAGCAGCAGTTGAGCTTTTGTGTTCAAAAGAAAGTTGCTCGTGAGCATTCCGGTATAAGCATGCAGTTTAGTTGCTAGATACACAGTCACAAAGACGCATCTCCACATGTTTACTTGCCAACATGTCCACATGTTTGTTTTTTCCACCTTTGCTTAAAAGTAAACATAATAAAACTTTTTATGGTATCATTGTTGCGTATATATGATTCCATAAGGGCGGCAACATTTCATTATGGCGGATTTCGCAATAAACGAAGTCCCTGCGTCTATTTTCTCTGGGTGCCCTGTGGTTACTTTGCGCATGGCAAGTACATTTTTCCTATCTGTTACTTGCCAGACAGAGTTTCTATTGTCTAGAATTCAGAACAGCTTTGTATGTATTATCGGGAAAAGGCATATCGATCTGTCACTTGTTTTAATGATAAGTCTTTATTATCCTTCAAATAATAAAATAATATTTTTTTGTTAAAAATTCTCAAAATTTATGTCCGGGAATAAGAAAGTTTTCTTTATTTTCTAGCGGATTTTGGTGTTGCTGGGCAACTAACGGTATGTCACTTGACTTTTTAGAAGCAAAAGATTGATTTTTCCGTTATTCATATAAGATCAAATTAAATTGTAAATTTTTTTAGCTACCTTTCCCTGTATGCATAAGAATTTTAATGTAAGAAGTTTTCCCCTGTTTATACTTTGTATCTTGAATCATCTTGCTTATATTATATTTGAATTATAGTTAAGTTGTATCTGAATGTAGCAATCATTTAGAATATAGCAAGAATAGGTGACCAAATGAAACGTAGATGAAAAAAATTTGATGCAGGATACTTTATTAATGCGTATTCTGAGCTTTTACTCTTTTATTGATTTGTGTTGTTAATTTGCCTGTCTCGGAACAGGTTAATGCGATAAAGGTTGCCGATAACCTAAAATTTATTTTTTGCTCCATTGAACGGATGACAATTAACAATTGATAGGATTTATTTGAAGAAGAGTAAGACAAAATTTCAGCGCGATTGTTTGAGAGAAAGAACATTCCAACGGAAGACAAGAGTACGTCTGTATACTTGATTGTGTTGGCTGTCCGGTGTGATGTTGTTTCTGTTAAAATCTAATTTAAGTTAACGGAAATAGTAATCTTAACATTGTGAAAATTTGTAATTAGCAAATAAAGAAAGTATAAGGTTTAACATAAAGTTTAGCCATTGTAATATTTAATCGTCCAATTCTTTTATGAATGGTTTTAATTGATGTGAAATCATTGTGGTTCTGGAGCGCAATGCCGAGAAATGTCAAGATCCCTGCGCACAATCTTTGCCAACTTCCCCCTTTATTCAACGATTGTTTGACGCGTTATTGTTGTAGCCATACCAGTGAATGTCGAAAGAAGCAATTCTGCTTCCTTATTCCCAAAAAACTGTATTAACTCAGCACTATTGCAAATTCGTTCATTTTAGGACACAATGGCAAAACGAAATACTGTTATTGGAACACCGTTTTGGATGGCACCTGAAGTAATTCAGGTATCTTGTCACCCAGTTTGCTTTTCTATTGCTTATTCCATTTTTTGCCCTTTTCATTTCATGTTTTTATGAATCGTTTTAAGTTTAAACTGACTGCAGTTGTCAATAACTGGCTAGGCACAAGATCAGGAAGAACTGAATAGCAATATGAGCTTCGATAATGATAAGTTTGAAGACGAGGATAAATTTTGAACTATTTTATCTAAGCTGCTGTATAAAAATTTTTGTTTCTCTATTTCTGATTATGAGAGAGTATCAGAGTAACATGATTTCAGTCTTGAAAGGAATATGGGATCTTAGTTTCCCGGATATTTGGTTAGCTTTGAAACTTATTCGTTTTTTTTGGAATTTATGACGGGTTTTTGGAGACTTCTTTTTGTTATGATGTCTGTATTAAGGATTCATTCATGATTTTTTTAATTAGGAAATAGGATACGATTGCAAAGCTGATATTTGGTCACTAGGAATAACTGCATTGGAAATGGCTGAAGGCAAGCCTCCACATGCCGACATCCATCCAATGAGGGTAGGTGCAGCTTAAATGCGATTTTATTTGTCTCGTTCTCTCTGTTAATTTCTCTGTGTTGTTCAAGACAGGGACAATTTTTACGGTCAAAATTTCATCTTCAATAAAGTACTTTTGATGCACCCAAGGTTTTATTTATTTATAGATTCCATGTGACCGTAAAGGTTCGAAGAAAAGTTCTTGTGATAGAGCTGTTTGGAACATTAAAATTCCCCATGTATGCAAAGAAAGTTGTGTTGTTAAGACAAAAAAAAGATATATAAATACAAAAAAGAATTTAAGATGTATTGAGAAATGTTTTGCTGGCGCATTCTTCGTAAAAGTCAATGCAAAAATTTCTTGTGAGAATGAAATAGTCTCGTGGTCCCGGGGAGAATAACAGTTGATTGGTTCCTTGTTTATAATCAATCAGCGGTCACTAACCTTTCTCATAGTTGGGAGAGTCCAGAAGGGTCAATTCCCATTTTCCCTGTAAACGTTTCACGCTTTGCCAAGCTATCTTAAAATATTCTAGTGCGTCAGCATTGTTTTGAGGTCACAATGCGAGATAATGGTTAGACTAGAAAGATGAAAACCCAAGAAAATGCAAGGCCTTGAGAAGATTTCTTGAAATTACTCTTTTTGCACAACTTGTACAAATGCTTTAATCAAATTCAAAAGATGAAAAATACTTTGTTGAAAGTCAAGAAAAATGGTGGCCAACGAAGGTCGCTGATAAAAACCGATTTCAGTTATCATCCTTGGCCTAGACAATCCCCTGATTCTAACGTTGATTAAAAACGCATGTGTGAATTTTAATTCACTTCATTTTCGGTTTTGGTCATTATTTCTCGATGAAAAACTATTTAACGATGTTTTTCTTTCAAACAGGCGATTTTCATGATTCCCACAAAGCCACCACCCACTTTCAAAAAGCCTGAAAAATGGAGTGATGACTTCATCGATTTTGTGACAAAATGTCTCGTTAAAATACCGGATGACAGGGCGTCAGCAACACAGCTTCTGCAGGTAAGAACTGCTGTACATTGCTGGATAAATCATGGGATTTATATGATATAATAACGTTTTTTCTGTAAGCCAATGGATTTTAGTGTGGGTATCAAGTTTCATAGTATATTAGCATTACTTTGATTTCGTGTATGTCACTAGGGGCTAGATCTTATGTTTACTTTTTGCCTAAAGATATGCTTCCTATTAATGGCGGACCCCTCCTAGTTCTTGACAGGCTCGATGTAATGTTTTTTTCGAAGCTCGATAAGTAAATGTTAGGGAACGTGTGTTATTGCAAGTATTGTTTGTGATGTAATGTAGTTCTTAGATTTCGAAGCTGCCTTTATGGAGAAACAGTCAGTCACGGGTTTTCTCTTTTGGTAAATTTGGTGTTTTAATTGGTACACGTGCGCGGCCTAAAATGTTATTTGGTTGCCAAGCACTTGCTCGACAGCGTAAATGTTAAGCCCAGGAAATACCTCCTTCCCAATCCAGAGTTGAAACATAGGTGCTTTTAGGTGCTTTTAGCAGAAATGTCAACATTGGACTATAGGGAGGGGGGAAGCAAAGGGTTTCAAATCCCAAAACTGTCTGTCCTAGATTGTAGATGTGCCAGTTTATAATCATTTCATATCCAGCAAATTTTATAGCGTTTCAACCTCAGAATTCTGCTTTGTCATCGACTAGTCTTTCAATTTCAGCATCCGTTTATTAAGTCTGCAAAACCGGTTAGCATTTTATCTACGATGTTAGCAGACGCAGTAAGGATACGCGAAGAGTTAAACGACGAAAGTGAAGAGGACTCTATCGATGGACTGGAAAATGATACGGTACGCTGTTCAGTTATTTATTTATCCAAGCCATTTCCTTGCTTTACCCCTCTATGCGATTCAACAACTCACCAACGTGATAATCAATTATGCCTAGTCTGCACTGTCAGTTACTTGATCGGAAGTTGAATTGAATCGCTATTTTCTAGCAACCATGACGAGAGCAAAAGGGAGAATGAAGAAACCGACGAAACATCTAATTAACCACCGTTTGAATAAGATCTAATTAACGGGTTTTGGGGGCAGTGACCCCCAAGACAAAGAGACAAATCTAAAGGAATAAGTCATTTAATATTTTATTGAAACTGTTGCATAGTTGCCAAGTTTCGGCGAATAAAATACTGGAGATTTGACTGCTGCGCAGCAGCACTGTGTAGCTATGGAGGAGCTTAAGATATACATCTGTCAAGTTCGAATGTTCGAAACTCGAAGTTCATTGGATTTGTCAAGACTGGATTCATGGAATATTAACTCAGCTTTACTGCATTTCTTGAGACCAGTAGTCGGCTGGGATTGTCTGGTCAACTCAGACTGGGAGAAAGCTTGTCAATTGAACCACAATAATAATTGAACCTTCACCGCCTATTAAATTTAGAAAGAATTTGTTTAGCTTTCTACCATATTTTGAAACGCTCACATGTTTCTTATATCTCTTCAGTCATCATAACGGAGACTTCTTAAGTAGACGTCGTTCATAATTTCAATGTTTTAATGTTTTCAAATTCTAAATTGTTTGAACTCGTCTTTGATGTGCCAGTTGAAGCGGAATGAGTTTGAGTAGAGCAGTTCTGACATGAGCCCAATTTTAATCGCGTACGATCTACATTAGGTACCATTGGATTCTCATTTCAAAATATAATATTCTTCACAGGGTGAAGATTTGAGTGGGGAAGTAGGAGAGGCTGGTACCATGGTGTGTCAAGACGAGTTTTACACCGCACAGGAAAGTCTAGGAACTATGATCGTTAATAACAGTGGTAAAATGGATAGCAGTGATGGTACTATGATGATTGCAAGTGATTCAGGGACGATGATTGAAAACACAGGGACAATGATTGAAAACACTGGTACTATGATTGAAAACACTGGTACTATGATCGAAAATGATTTAGGGACAATGGTGATTAATGATTACACTGATGGGAGTGATTCAACTATGATAAGTAAGTTACTCGTTGGAGAAACTGGTTTGTTGATCAAGTATTTTCTACATAGCAGAAAGTTTTGTAGTAATTATGACTTGATATTGAATTTCAGTTGCATAGTATCCTTGTGTTAGATGACTTGATTAACTTAATGATCATCTCTTGATAGCTTATTTAGATTTCTTGACGATATTAGTAGGCACATGTCAAAATGTTTGAAAGTCTAGGCCATAATTTTGTGTAAGTTTTTTCCCCAGCTATTATGGAGTCTATCTTCAAGGTTCGTTTCGAATTTCTGTGACCATAGCTAATTATCCATCAATGTAAACACCACCAAACAGCGAACAAAAACTCTTGGTCCCGAATTGCTTCTCTGCGGTATAAATAGTTTATGAGTAACCTCCGACAACAGCAATATCTCGGCAACAGACAGTAACTCTGGTCGTTTAGAAGTGACCGAGTGGTTCTATTGAAAGCCAGAGCAGGCTAGAGCTAGTAGCCTATCAGTACCTGTAGATTGTATGAAAATACTTTCAATGGATACTCGATGAAAGAAATTCCCGTTCTCGCCAGCTTTAGGCTTCCTGGTCATTGCTTCTCAGAACTCATTAGTTGGTTGGGCATCTTTTGATTGATTGCTCTTTTATGCCAATAAGATTATATACTGGATTTTCTGCTGAAGTCATGTGCCAATATACAAGATCGCGCAAGTTGTTCCTACAGACCGTGATTTTTTAATTTCATGTTTGTTGATGGGATACAAAGTATTGACGTCATTATAGCTAATTTAAGCTTATTCATGTGTCGAAATTCAGAATTTTCAGCTAAATAGAAAATCGTTTGCTTTGTAGGTGTAAACACGGCCGTCCAAGAAGTGAAACCTCAGGAGTATAGACCGGCCTTTTTAGATCATTTTGAAAAGCTTGAAGAAAATCAAAGGAATTTGGACGGCAAAAAGAGAAATAAAGGCAATGGAATTCGACCAGATGCAAACTCGCAGTTTCCAAAGAATTTCTTAGGCCCTGTAGATTTTGATTTTGTAAGTATTTCTGCTTGTCATCCATGCGATCGCATCTTGTTGTAGTAGAAAGCCTGTTTTCGCTTTGGGTTACATTTTATCGCATAACGTGGCATGTTTCCCCCCTACATTACATTGTATTTCAGTAGACCTCTTTAAAACTTATTTCGCGGGATTAAACTTTCGCTGTAGGATATCTTGCGATATGTCAGACGGAAAGATTATGGAGCTAACTCTAACAAATGAACTAGAAAATTTGTTTTGAGCAGAACCTATGTTCTAAGGAATAAGATAATTTGCGTTCAAGGTTTAGCTTTTTAGGTTTTTGGCGATATTTTGATAGGTCTTTGCGTCTTTCGCGACTCTTCCAAATCTCCGATATCAGATTCAAACCGAGATCAAAAGGGCTTTTTATAACAAGAGTATCAACATTATAATATCATAGGTAATAATTTTTGGTTTTCAGTTGTTGTGTACGCTTTGCTTAAACCAAGGGCTATTGTTGTTGGCGTAAAATTGAACTCTTGGTTATATTCTGACGAGACGCCGTGAAAATGCCACATGACTGTGCTTTTTTTGGTACCGGGAAACGATTTTTTCATGAAATTCAGATAAACTAAATATTTCTGCAGCTTTTACCATTCATTTTGTAAGGGATGTAAAGTTTGAAATTGTTAGAGTGTGAACAAGGAACCTAATGCTGATATATTTTGTATGTTGCAGCTTAAATCACTAACATACGAAGAACTTAATCATCGTATGGGCTCACTGGATCGAGACATGGAACGCGAAATCGAGGATCTTAGGAAGCGATACCAAGACAAAAGACAGCCGATTCTTGATGCAATGGAAATGAAGAAGAGACGTCAGATGAATTTTTGAGTGAGATTTTTGTAATATTAAAGTTTACTGTAAAATGTTTAAATAATATATCTCTCGTTGGAATTAAGGCTCTCATAGATCAAATTTATCATAGAGTCGGATTAGTAGAATTTTCACGTTTTATAGAAAATTTTTATGTCTTGTGTGTTGTTTATTTTCACATTTGCTTTTAGGTGTTCAATATTGTGTATCGCTGTCATAATGCGTTGTATGGTAGGGGCGATTAATTTGCTTTGTTAATGGACGTAAAACGTATTATGACCCCTCAATTTTCATAGCTCTTTTGTGAAATAATAGCATTTGCAGAAGCTATTACCCTGCATTCGCTATTCTTAGAAATTCACTGAGTATGCTGAGATATACTAGAAAAAATTTGAAATTATTTGCCGTCCTAAGCTTTACTGTTAGTTTATTCGTTGCATCGCTGACGTCAAAATCAGAACACCTTATTAACATGACAATTTGAACAGATAGCTACATAATCTCAGAATTCCGTGTTTCCAAATACCGTTATTTGATTATATGAATGGGAGAAATCCAGTGGCGTCGCCACAGGGTATACTTTCCTAGAAGTCGATGTTCTACTTTCCTAGAAGTCAATGTTCTACTTTCAGGAAATCCGTTGAGAAACCTTTTGGGGGGAGGGGGGTTGTTAGGTGGGCTAATCAGATCGGTTTTGATTTTTGCACTTGCAAAAAAGCCACCATAACGAAAAAAGCTGCTTGAGAAAGTTGCTTGCCCTAAAGTAGAAAAAAGATTACTGTACTAAATTACGAAATAGATAAAAAATACCAAAAAGACCTTTCCAAGAGTTAGAAGGGCGTGGCCGAGAAAATTTGTTTTGTCCACCCCAGTTTTTTTTTAGCTGGCGACGTCACTGGAGAAATCTTTTCTTGTAGTCTAAATATGGGAACATCTGCAAGTAATCAAGGACCACGCCACAAGTTTGAAATTGACAGGGGGGGGCAAGTCTAGCAAAAGTAGGGGACCAATGCTTTTTTCTCTTTTACTGCAGCTTTAAAACTACATGCTTCGCAAAAAGTGTGGGACCATGGCCCCTCCGGCACGTGCCCTGAGTAATGTGAAATGTTTGTTTTGTGACTGCCCTGTGGTATTTATGAGTTTAAAAGCAAATTAATGTGTGTACTATAGACTGTTTTGTTTAAATAAATGTTTTGTTGGTTCATATTTGTTTGTCATTTTGCGTGGATTTGGTTAATACGTTAATTATAAACATTCATGGTTCGACTGAGACTCGTATAAACTTCGGAAGACTGAACCTTGAAATCTCCCACTTTTATTGAGATAAGCAATTTTACTAATTAAGTTGTAAGAAAGATCTCGGAGAATCAAAGTTTTGCCTGACATGGCATCCCCCTACAAATGAAATTAAAGTATTCATCTATATTCGAAGAAGGCACGGAAGAACGTAAATTCAGCATAATAAAGCACATTTCATCTGATATTGCACGGATTGGTCAAAAACAGGGACCTTATCAATGTTACTTTCACGTTTCTGGATATACGTTTTTCTTATGTTTATTTATTATCAGATGTTAATTCTTTAAGGAATATCGAATGAAAGTACTTTAGTATGCTAAGTTTCATGTTTTCCGTGCTATCTTCAAGTTTTGCGATACCAGAGGCCATTCCATTGTAGCGAACATTACAATATTCAGTTTTGATAACTAGATTTTAAGGGGGTGTGCATTTTTCAGTTTGCTTTGGTTTTGCTTTAACCTCTTAAAAAGTCTGCATTGCTCGTTCGAAGTTTTTAGACTGTTAATTTTTTTTAATTTTGTGAGAAATACGATCATTGACAAAAATCATATATAGGCATGAAAGCAATTATTTTCATGCCAAAAATATATTCGATCATCAAACATTTTGCGAAGATTTTAGGAAAGCTTTTCAGAATCGTTCATGTGCACTTACCTGAATTGAAGTAAATTGCTAGATATTTTTAAAATAGCTTTTATCATAAGCAATCTGTAGCACAAAGCGTTCATTTTAAAAGCGGTAGGGATTTTCAACATTCAGCAGGTTGCGTTGCATGCTTAAAGACTTAATACTGACCTTAAACAATGCTTTTTCAATATTTGTATTTGTAAATATTTTTCATTGAAATATATTCGTTTCACCTGCATCATTTTTGCTATAACTTTCCCTATCTATGCAAAATTCTCAGCATTGGGGCACCTTCCTCGTTTAACTTTTGTCATTATTTCACTGTTTCGCGAGCTGCAAGCAACGTTGTGTTTCAAATTTCCGAAAAATAATGACGAACACCTTTCAGTTTCCCCAATGCCACGGTTCTTGTTGTCGTCGTAACTTAAAATGATAATGGCTTAATCTAAATTGAGTATAATTTATCCTGGCGACTGTTTTTGGACTCAACATACTGTAGGTTCAGGAGGGGTGTGGATGTTCCTTTCCGCTTTGCCACCCCTGCAAAATTGCGTCTACGGAGGAGCTATATGGGAGGTACAACTGGAGCCATCGCCCCTCGCACATTGTTCTTGCAAAATGGCGGCTGAAAGTGGACATTCACAGCGTACGCGGACTTATTCGTCCTGTTCGTGCCCTAGTTCAGATGAACATGAAAATCTCGATGAGCAAAAAGTTGAAGATGTGACAATCGGGTTTTTGTACAAACCGAGATCAATCACTATGATGTTAGCATTGACAATTGGTTTGCTCTACCGAGCATTTGCAAGGTTAGTTAGGCTCAAACACGGTGGCCGATGTCCATCTTAGGAGGTTTTTCAGTTATTACTCATCTAATGTAAAGTATTGTTAGTGTTGCTTGAAATAATTTGCAATTTGTCATCGATGTTTAGAATTGCTCACTTGCCATGTTATTTTTTTAAGAGATCAGATTGTCGAAGTTTCATATCACACCCTTCTGTGACATGTGTTTGATTGGGGGTGTGTCAAATTTGATAATGAACAGCTGAAATGTATAATAAACTAGAAGGGGCCTTGATATATTCAAATCTACGCTTTATATAAGCAAAATTTTCAATATGGCAATAATTTAATTACTTTTTCAGCTCTTCTTTTTACCTGAGGACCAGATTGGAATCTTTGAAATATGCGCGGGGGATCTGTTTCATGTCCATGAAAATTGCGCATTGTAAATAGCACAGATTAAAATTTTGTGAGGCTGAGACTAATAATGATAAAAACACAGTATGTAACTTTTGGATATACATTTCAGAGAAAAACATTAGTAACATCATTAGTGGTGATAAAAACAATCTAGCAAAGATATTATTCCTAAAAATAAGAACGAGAGAGACCCAACCAGATGAGAATAGATTCTGTAAACCAAAATAGCTCAAACTTTAAAAACTTTGTACATGGCTATAAATCAGATCATCCTGTCCCAATGTGTATTTTACCCCCAGGAATGATAAAAATTTCCTTCACATGTTTGCTGTTATTTGTCTTGTATGTACAGAAGCAAAAAGTACGAGTTTTCAAGTTTCAATTTTCATATAATTATCAATCCATCCTACATACAATTCTACACAACTACAATATAATTAAAAAGAAATACGGTGCTAAAATTAATTACAACAATGCTTACAAAATTACAAACTAAATAAAGAAACAGATATTACCTGATTGTATGTAAGATAGATTGATTAAGGAGGAGCTCTCTATATAGATAAACTAATTGAGAGAGAGAGAGCCCCCTCCCCCCATAAAAGCAAAGAAACTAAAAACTTTATGAATAAAAAAACATAAACCAGATTCACCAAAACCCAATTACAACACGTAAGATTCAATGAAATAGAGTTTTAATTTAAAGCGAAACATTGAAACAGAACCAGCAACGCAAGTAAAAAGTGGAAGAGTGTTCCATAATGAAGAACCAAAATATTGAAGTGTTTTTTGTCTATTGCCACTACTTGATGTGCACAAGGGATTTATCCTCTGCGTAAGACAAAAATTCCAATCTTGCCTGAGGAGTTTGAATTCATCAAATTTGTATCAAATGTTATTCAATTGTCTTTCTTTTAGCCTGGAATACATGTTAATTTTTATCAGCTCTTTGACTGATAGTTTTCAGTTCTAATCTCCTTGATACAAGACCAGTTTTATTGAGTTTTTGAATGGCAGATGACTCTGTTTTGATATGTTTTTTTTTTCAAAATTGAGCTCGCATTCAAAACAACTATTAATAGCTATGATTTTTGACAAAATGCCAGATATACAGAAAAATGAAAAACAATGACGTTTTGCAAGCTATTTACTATCCTTAATCAATTTTTAACTCCAAAGTTTCATTCCATAGTGGTTTTTATTTCTTCCACACATCTGGGTTGATAAATTTTTTTCCCCAATTCAAATTCCTTTGCTCTGAAGAAATTTGCTGTTTGTGCAGTTACAGGGTTTTAATGGTGTAGGCTTCAAGCAACAATCAGTCTGCAAATATAAATACAAATCACCTCAGTCAAAACTTGACAAAGTTTGATGTCTCCAACTTTTTCTGTCAAAAATTGATGGCCAATAATGAGTCATTTTTTCAGTTTTTGTAAATTTTTTCACTTGTTGTTGACTTATAACTGTCAGTTAGAAACTTATAAAAACTGGCTGTGTGTTCAACCTAATTGATTGTTGATAGTAAACTTACAGATCTTACTATTTACTTCCAACTTCACCTGAAAGGTTAATTTACATGATAATTGTCCATAGATTTTCCACATTTTTGTCATGTACTTGTTGCTATGATAATGTAAAAGTTATAAAAGAAGTGTTTTGTAGCTTCTTAATCTGGATATTGAAAGCAATTTACTCCTTTGCATAATTTAAAATTGCTGATTATTTGCCTTGTATGCAAAATAGTATATGTTTAAAATTTGAGTCTGCCAATATTTGGGTATGAACCTGATTAATGTCTTTCCTATTGCAGAGATTACGATGCCAACCAACATGATAACTTCCTGCAGGGAATCATTGCTGCTGTTGTTGTATTTGCATTTCTCAGCCTGTTGATCTGCCCTAACGGTATTCCTATTCTATAACATTTTGAGTTTTCATTCCTTGATGTAAATTATCCAAGTGTTGAAACTGTTATTGCTACATTTAATTTTGTTTCGTACTTTTAAATACACCAATTCAACTTACAGCCTCATTTTGAAAATTTTGTAAACACTTTTTTTGTACACAATTTTTAACACCAAATTCGGATTGAGAGCAAGACCCCATTTTAGTGTACTTGGAAACTTTCTTTATGTTATTGCTAGTGACAAGATAAAGATTTAACAATTTTATATACTTTAGGGATTTGATTGTGATTGGCGACAAAGGATGTAAAGCTCACCCAGAAGGATTTTTGCGGTCAAATCCTTACAAGTCTTAAAAAATAGTGCAATGAAGTTTGGAGAATTTTCCAAAACCAGGCCACAAGTTGAATTGGTGTTTTATATGTTTAATATTGCTCACCTCAAACGGCCAGGCCTGTTGTATTTTGATAAATCTCCCAATTGCCATAGGGATGTGTGTTATTTGATATAGATGTTACTTTTTGTAAATTACATGTCTAGAATGGGAGCACTGTCAATGAATTATATTGATGTAAATCATTTTTAAACTTACATTTAGTATGTTTTTGCAGGTCCATTTGTCAGGCCACATCCTGCTGTTTGGAGGCTTGTTCTTGGTAAGTTTCATCCTTTCTCGACTAAAACAATTTTTTTCTCAAAAGCTGTCATCGGGATGTATTATTATGAACAAATCACATAAATCTGACCACAGAATGATATGGTTCAGTTGCTTTAATGTAATGAGACTGAAGGAAACTCACTGATGAATGTCCAGTAGGTAGTGTTAGAAGTCACAGACGATTAGGAATAATATTAGCCAAGTGCGAAGAAACACCAATGAATAAACTTATAACACCAATAACTTTGACTGTTTTGAGCTAGAAGTATTATTGATATCATAGGTGTATTTTCTGATCTTGGTTTCTCTTATATTTTCAATTCTAGGTTTTGGTATTCTCTATTTGCTTTTTTTGACATTCGTACTTTTCCAAAGTTACAAAGATGTCAGAGAGATGATGTTCTACATGGATCCAACACTGAAAGGACTAGGTCCAGACACAGAGGTACAACAGTAGCTTGAGGATTGGAAATTAAGATGTTTGATTCAGCACATTATTAGATTTGCTAGATATGTTTATACTAGATTTAGGGCCTTGATTCATTTTGTTGGCTGAGAAGCTAGTTTGCTGTATTTTGTCAGTTCGTAAAAGATTTTCATCGGGAGAATCAAATTATTAAGTTGTAAATGAATTGCCTTTTTGTGAAGAGAAAACTGGAAAAGACCAGTCAGCTTGGTGACATTATGTTGTCAGCACTTGAATGGCCTTAAAGCAACTTCAGAAAATAGCTACACTTCAGGTCTATCAGAGTGTTTTGATTTGATCATTTTTTATTGCATTGTGACCTGCTGATAATAGACCCAATCAGAAGGCCCAAACCAAAGTTCTTAGAAGACTAAAGGCAATCAGTTATAATATAAAGTTATCAAGTAGTAGTGTTTTCTGTTATTTTACTGTCATACACATTGCCTAAGGTATATGCAGCTGATTGTGAATTGAGATGGGATCTCATTTGGCACAGAACTGATACCTTTGTGATTGCACATTTCATTGGATGGGTTGTCAAGGCAATCATGATCAGACATGCTGGCATCCTTTGGCTTCTTAGCATAATGTGGGAAGTAACCGAGGTAAGTTTTAAGTCACATAAAGGCAGTAAACATAATTTTGCAAGAGTGTTTTCCTATTTTAAGCAGTTTTCTTTTATGTGAACACTGGAAATCCTAGAATAACCCCCCTTTGTATGCCTAATCTAGAATTAGCCCTATCCTGGAAGTCAAAATTGTTAATGACCCTAGACTCCTCGAATAAGCCACCACCCTCTTTTTACAATACATGACCTTTGTGCATGACAAAACAGAAAATGAAAAACTGATAAAAACTAAAAAAAGTTGCACTTTATCAACATCAATTTTGAGGACGTTTTGCTTCTTAAAGAGATACTGAGAAAGCATTGGAAACAAGCTTTCTGTATGGCTTGCGTTTAATTTTCACAAGCTCCATCCATTAAGCCCCATCTAAAGCTAGCTCCTTCCAAAAATGTAACTATTCAGCTCTAATGGTGCCATCACGATGATTTACGGCATGTTACAAGTCCCTTACCTGCCTCTTTCATTCTTCTAATCATTTTATAGTCTATTCCAGTCGTTTGATTTTCTGCTGGCACTTGAATTTTTTTCCTTGTGCCATTTTGATACGTTTCTTACCTTTTCAAAGTGCAAATGAAGTTTTTCAATGATACTTCTATTTGACATTAAATAGGCTTTTATGAGAAGATAACCAATTTTACTAAGGCCCAAAGTTTCATATTTTCTAAAACAAGTTCCTTTCATCTAAAATTGCTTTTTTATTTTTTCAACAGATTGCCTTTTCTCATCTACTTGAGAACTTTAAAGAATGCTGGTGGGATTCCATTCTGCTAGACATCTTGATATGCAATGGCCTAGGCATCCACTTTGGCTTGTTTCTGTGCAAGAAGCTGGAGATGCGAAAGTATTATTGGGAAAGCATAAAGTATGCTCCATGTTGCATTTAGTCCCTTTGTCTCTTCTCTTTTAGTTATCTCAAAACTGTTGATTTTAAAAGTTCTTAAAAAACTCAGAACAGAAGCAGGTCATAACAAGGAATTATTTGTAGCCCATCACCTTTGAAACTTTGTGAGAATTTTGAAACTCCTTTTTCATTTAATTTATTGCCCCTTGAAGTTTATACTCATTCATTTGGTTTCCTGTTGAAATCTAACCTTGCACTCCCTCCTACCATTAATAAGTGCCTCGAAGAAAATAGACTTTTGTAGAACATTAACAAAGTTAAATCTAAGTTAAATACAACATACTATGGACGACCACAAATAAATCAGAGCACATAGAACAAGTATATTTGCATTCACCATCAAACGCAACTTCATTCTTCGCTCATTTAGATTTTGTTTGATTAACCTTGCTACTCTGGTCTAAAAGGACCTGACTACTGTTCTACTATAAAAAACAGTTTATCATGCTGCAGTATTTCCATTTTTAACCCAAGCTGAGCAAACCCAAACAGTAACACATCACTAGTGTGTTTATGGCGAAACATGTTTATAAACTGCATACAATCCAAGAAAGAGAAAAATAGGGAACAACTGTGTAGGCTCTCCAATTTTTATAGTCGAAATTCCAAAATTCTCACGATACTAAACTTTCTTCCTAAGGGACATCCGTGGAACATCGAAAAAGCTCAAGAGAGTCATTATGCAGTTCACTCCCGCTAGGTATGAATATTTCCTTCGCGTTATTTTTTATTTTCATTGCAAGCAATCCTCATATCGTCTTCGTTGGATTTTAAATCACTTATGGATGCGTGATAAATATTTTATGGGGGTTGACGCTGTGCTAAGAAACAACTGGATACAGATTATCAGATATAGCATGTAGATGTAATATTCTTACTTCATTACAAGTTGGACAGATATTTGAAAAGAGAAAATCAATTTGAAGAGCAATGCTTCGTTGTATGGCGGGTGAATTCTGATGTCACAATTGCAGTTTTTGAGTTTCAAACTTTTTTTAGTTTTGCTCATTTCTAGACCTAAGTTTTCAGTTATATTTCTTGCTGCTCGGATAGATTGATGTCGGAATATTAACAAGCAGCAAGCAAATACTTTTTTTGGTTATGTTTTCAGTGAATATCCTTATTCATTTTAAAATTATTTAAATTCAGCATACTTTCATCGTGAACTAAAAATGTTATAATAACGATCAATGTAAGTAGATTGTACCAGAAAAACTTTTTAAATAAATAACTGTGCAATTATTTAAAAAATATTTAAAATTTAAAAAAGAGTTATTTATTTCAAAAAAAAATTCCCTGGTACAATTTACTTACATTGATCGTTATTATAGCATTATATTGTACCGCACGCAATCTAGTATATATATTTATGGAACTAAAAATGTTGTTTTTAAACCTTACTTGTTCTTTTGTATAAGAACCAGTATGAAGTTCAAGCGGGCAGTTCTCAATTTTTTCGAGAATCTTAGGCTGGATTGTTCTTAATTTATTCTTAAATTATAAGGGTGAGAGCAGTACAATTTCTAGCTATGCGCTTTAGGGAAGTCTTCAGGGCTCTTTTGCCAGCAAAGTGAGTGAGACAACCCTTATTTGCCGACAAATTCACAGAAAAAGCACTCTTAGATGGCAAACAAACTCCGCGTTTTGAGTTGAAACATTGTTCATAGTTACATTTTACAGTAGTTCAACCTCAGCTTGTTTTTAACTTTTGACCAATTTTGAGGCTTGTGTTCTTATAAGATTGTTTTTATAAAAAAGTTTCTAAGACAGTGTGGTAGCTTCTAAGACATTTGTTAATGATATGTGGCATGTACGGCTAGAGACTCGTCTGGAACCGGCATATGTATCATATACAACCAATAAATGTTCTTCTTTATCTATAGTTTGTCGAAATCTTTTGTCCTAAGGATTATTTTAAGGTTTACAGTCATTCACTGCAGCGGAGACACCTTTACAGTTATTCACTGCAGCCAGGTTCTGTTCTTTAAACACCGAAGTAGATAAAAGTCGGATTATATTAAGCACACAATAAATTGCAATCTTGGTTCGCTTTAAAAACTGCTCTTGTTAATTTCCAGCTGGACACACGTTTCGTGGTTGGACCCAAAGAGTACTTACATGAGGTACTTTGCAATTTGCCAGCTCTGCATCATGTGGCAGGTAAAAAACAACTCTGTTTTGAATCTATTCTAAATCAGAGAGCAAAATTGTTTTGTCAGAGCTTATACCTAACACACTCCGTGGTCGTAGCAAAAATACACTAGGCCTAATGAGTGATCTGAATGAATGAGAACATGCACTGATTTCTTGTTTAGCACTGAGCTAGACAGACCAGCAACATCATTTTCCCGTGTTGTGAGACTTGAATGCAAAGTTATTCTATTAACCAATTTCTGTCTTGAATTTCATGTACAATTTAAGATTGTAATTCAATGGATCTTTTGCGCGATTTGTCTTGCAAAAACATAATAAATAGTCGACAAACCAGACTTCAAGTCAAATGTTTTTAATTTCATTTAGATTTTTGAGCTCTTGATTTTTATTGTTTGGTATTTGCATTTTTATTTATTCATACATACATTAATGTACAGCCCTGGAAATTTGGCAGAAACGCTCATTTTGTTACCGTTTCGTTTCCGCAAACTCCAAACGACGGTTACCTTGGGAAAATTGATAGTAAATATATACATTTTAGGCTTTTTCAATATTGTTTTGCTTTATGCGTATCTTTCTTGGTATTAGATTTAAAAAATCATGAAGAAATTCGAATTTTTCCAAACTTTACGCAATTTAACAAGATAGCATCAAACTTTGTTTCCCTTGCTAAAGCATCGTTATCACAGCTCTAAAACGACTGCAACGAAAAATCGTTATGTCGTTTCAACGACCGTAAGCCGTAACCATAAGCCGTCCCCATAAGCCGTCCCCATAAGCCGTAGCCATAAGAAGCCGTCCCCATAAGCCGTAACCATAAGCCGTCCCCATAAGCCGTAGCCATATGCCGCATCGGTAACCATATGTTGTTTCCCTAAAGGTTGAAAATCACCAGGCCTAACATATAATACCAACACTTTTGTTGTTATTTCATTTTGACTTTCTAACTTTGATATTTTGCTATTTTTTACAGATATCTGAACTAAACACTTTCTTCCTGAAACACATATTTATGGTCCCAACAAAGCACCCGGTCAATTTGTATCGCCTTATCCTCATCTGTTTGATGACTGCTCCAGTTATGAGGTATGTATTGGACTGGCCTTAAATCAAATAAGTTTATATGGCCTAGCTCTGTGAAATATGGTGAAAATTGTCGCGTTTTGGGATTTGAATCAATGATAATGATATGGTGGAAAATGTAGTTATGTTAGTGTGTTGGTGTGATGCTAGGAAAAGAGGCCTAAATCTTAATTTCTCAAATTCTTCATTCCCCACCATAGCAGCAGTAAGCCTCTTGTTCTTGCGATTCTCTGTGTTGAACCTTCCCTAATAAATGCTTGTTTCTATGAAATTCGAAACTTTTGAAAATTTTTGACTAATTTAGAATCAAGAAATGAAAATAGGAAAATGTTAGAGGACGAAGGAAGTCAATCGTATTTTGTAACTGTTAAATATTTTTGCGACCGCTCTAGCAGTCTACAGATTGGCATGCAACCAATATGGCTTCTGTTAAAACAACTTTCTAATTTATTTACTTTTAGACAGTATTACATTTATGTGACAGACACAAGAACGAAACGTCTTGGAACACAGTGCTGGGTTTTCGTGTAAGTGTAAAATTTTACGTTTCTGAGCCATTGTTTTTAAATGACCCCGTTTGTAGTGCCTATACCTGCATGTAAATGCCTTTCACTGACTGATATCTTCAGAGTACAGATTTCTTTTAATGGTAGTTTTTTTCAACTTATCCAAAAACAGTATGCAACTAAATAAGGCTCTCACACGACAAATTTACAATTAAGCTCGAAATAATGAAAAAGTTTTATATTTGAAATAACGAAATAGCATGCACTATATTTCCCTTTGTTTGTGTCATTTCATTTTCTTTTATTTTTCTTTGAGAAATGCTTCATCTAAACTGATGTACGAATTTAATTTGTCCATGTTACCATCAATTTGGCCTAGTTTGGTTCTTAATGATTAAAACCATTTTTATTCAAGCTGAATTCTTCAGCCATGCTATTAGCCAAGTTAACGTTCAACTTCATACACTTAAAAATTAAAAAAAATTGAAGTTGAAAGTAATTATAGTTTAAAGAAAGATTGCTGTTACTTGATATTAATATGAGTTGGTTATATACTATTGAATTTTAACAGTAATGTTTCAAGTTTTGTGTTTGGGACTTCACTGAATATGTTCGTATCCTTCAATGCAAATTCGTCCTTCTTCTTGCTTCTGTTTCTACTCTTGGATGCAATTAAGTGACGTTATATTCACGAGCTGCTTTGCTGTGCTTTTCTTCTAGTAATTTAATGAGAGTAACGTTCATTTATGATTCTTTGGCATTGTGATAAAAATTACTGTTTACCGGTCTGCCATATCGTGCTCACTGCCGTATAGGCAGAGCTGTACACGCTTTAGTGTAAATTTGTACAGTTCTTTTTGTTTCACGCTTAATAAAATTGTCAGGTAACTTTGTATGAATTCTATATAAATCATTGCTTCATTGCTGTTATTCTATGGACGAGGAAATCGATTGAGATTCTTAGACGCTTCCACAATCTCCTTTTTCACAGGTTTGTGACTCTTCTTGAAGCACTTGTTTGTGTTCGTCATGGAAAAGGCTTATTCTCCAATGCAGATATTTTCGCTATAGTTTCATGGATAGTATTTCAGGTAATAAATTTAAATTTTTTTCACTGCAAAAATTTTTGTTGTTGAGTTTTTGTTAAACCCATTAGGTTGAAGGAGATTCGCCATGTTGCAAGGTTATCCCCCCCCCCCCCTCAAAAGCCGCGTCCCCAAATATGTTGTTCGTTGTGATACTGAATCCTTATGTCAAAATTTACAATATCGTCTCAACGGAGTTGTGTGCACGGGGGATTAACGATAAATAATTTAACAAGTTGTTGACCGACTTGTCAGTGTGATCATCGCTCACAAGCTTTCATTCCAACGCGTTTCGCTATTTTAGACCCACTGACTCATGCCGTGTATAAACATAACTTTCTTCAAAATGAAATACTCATGCTTTATTACTTCATTCTCTTTTTTATTTGCTTGAGCTCGTGATTTTGGAAACAGAACGCCCACGAGCACTGTCTCTGGTATAATTTTGGCGTGTTCAATAGACCTTACGCAAATCATGTTAATTTTAAACAAATAAAGTTTCGGATTAAGTGATCTCTCTTGCATCGGATTTCCGATTTCATTTCGTCTGTCCTTGTTCGTGCATTTCGCTTCTTGTCAAATTAGACGTAGGGAGATAAGATAATTCAGGATCCTGCTTGTAATTGGCTACAATGTTTACTTGAATTGAAGTTGAATGGTCAATGCAATGTCTTTAGAGTTTTGTGAGAGACAGCTTTTCCACCGCAATCACGTTCCAGGATGCTGGTCAGGATCACACACCCCCTCCCCCTCCTGCGACTTGTTGTTAATGGTTTCGTGAATTATATTTAATAAATCCAATTAGGAGATAAAAATACTGCTTGATAGAAACACGAGACATTAGACAATATCTGTATATTTTTACATAGAATATCTAGTTAGATATGGAAGAATACGGATGACATTATGGTATCCGCCGAGTTAAAACTGACAAAGAAAATCAAGGGCGTGGCGCAAGCCTCATTACTGGCTCCTACTCCTTCATCCATCATTTTAAGTAAAGCAAAGTTTTATGGCTTTGTGGCCTGACACCAATCCCTTCCTCATCGTCTTGGTTCAGCAAACGATTTTTGTCAGTCAACTTTAATATATATACGATACAATTTTTTTTACCTCTGTTTCTTTTTTGCAGCTGGTGGTGAGCTGTTTCACCGTGTATTTGATGGTGCTATGGAGAAAATGGGTATGCCTCTATTTTCCCTCGATTTTTTACCCCTCGATCGTTTGAATGCAATGTAACGAGAGCAATATTCCCTGACACTGACGTCAGGAGGTTGGAAATGAAACCAAATCATGCCTCGTTCCACCACTGCTACCTTCCTCGGCGAATCTTCGTTTTGCATAGGCCAATGATATTGCAAGTGTAATAGTATGTATGGCAAGCTGTCTTGGTGTTTCTATAGGTTCAAAACTACTTACCTCTTGATGTTAAATTGTCGTAACATTGCCGCCATGACACCAAGCACACGGAAATAGATGGCTATGCATGATTTTGTTTGTGATGTTATATTTTTAGACGATGTTGTACACTGTCTGTTAAGTGGACGGTTCTGATCTGAGGTCTGTGTTTAGAACGTCTTAGAACATTTAGATCGTGCCAATTTAATAATTTAAGAAATACAAATGTATCAAAATTGTGTGGGAGAACCCACCGACATAAGTCGACGGACAGTTTGTGATTCGATGAGGAATATTCTATTTGATAATTCTAATGATGACGACGATGAAATGATTTTATTCAACCAGGCCACGTTGAATAGTTAATAAATTTGCAACTAATAGATAAAATCGAGAAATTCTTTTCAGAAAAACAAAGTCAACAACCATCGGTCTAAAGAGTCTCCCCAAGACCCGGGATCAGCTGTTGGCGAAGAAGAACAAAGTACTGAAAAACTGACATCGATTCTGAAACACGAGAACAGTCCTAAAGTTGGCCTTGCCAAGGGCCTACGGTTCGAAGATAGTAGTGATGACGAAAGTGAAGAAACCTACACGCGCATTACCCGCAGAAAAATCATCAAGACAAGGAGTCGAACGAGGAAGGAGGAAATACAAAGTGAAAATAGTGGATTGTAAATTGAGCTCGTTGGACAATGACTGCATATTGAATGTTTCGATGGATGGAATAATGTAAACGGGGATCTTTTTGGTAAAGCAAAGATTGTTCTTTATTCGCGCAGCTCACCAGCATAAAACAGCCTGTTTGGTCATTCCCTCGTCATGAGAGCCACAAGACTTAGATGGTAAACGAACTGAGGAGTACCCTGTCCCTGTGGAGTACCCTGTCCCTGTGGAGTACCCGCTCGCTCCCCCTTGCCATCCTTTTGGTACCCTGCCAGCATCGTCCAATCAGCTTGTTCAAGAGTTTTTATTTAAATTGTACTGGAACTAGGTTTTTTCTAATTTAAATTCGGTTTGCTTATCCATCAAACGAGTTGATTCCGTTTTTGGCGCGCTCTTGTAAAGGCTCCCTAGAGTAAAGAATCTATGAAGAAGCAACTGGACTTCCCTATGGGAATTCGAAGCTTAAAAGACTATGTAATCTAAAGATTTTATATTTCACTTTATTGAAGACAAGATATTGTAAACAGGCCTGGTACTAAACTGGAGATGGACGCAAGTCGAGTAGATTCAATCTGATCAAAATGTCTTGTTGCAACGGATCTAACTGCAACAAGTCTCTCTCAGTGCCAAGGACAAAAATCCTGGCTAGAGGTTAGTCTAAATCTGCACAATTTCTGGTTTTATCTAAATTAAGTTTCATATATATCTAGACAGTTTTATACTAAACCACAGCTGTGCTACACGTAGCAGGCAATGATAGCGTATAATAAGATTCCTTGAACCCCTCGACCTTGCAGGGTAGTACGAGCTAATACCCCGCTTCTGAACTGCAACAGCTGATATCTGCAACAATTGATATCCTGCTCTTGCCGTAACTGCTTATTCCATTAACTCGTAACTCAATTTTCCTCTCATCCTCAACGTGATAAAAATAACCTGATATCCAGACTTCATTTTAAAGAGAAACCCGTGTTCACAATGTAGTCATTTTCCAAGCATTGCATTTAGTTCTTAACGTTTAGTTTTTAACATTTAGTTATTTATGCATCGCGACGCTTCCGTTCAATCACCACTACCCTCCCCGCTCGCAGACAGTGTCGATTTTTTTTTCTTTTTTTGGTTTCTTTTTTTTCTTTTTCTTTTAAGTTTCTAGTAAAAAGTAGCTGGGTTTATATGAACCTGCAAAACCCTCCTGGGTGTCTCGCCTAGCATTTATTTACCCTCCCTGGGTGTTTCCCCTAGCATCATTTTTGGAACAGACTTTGAGATCATTGTGAATGTCCACAGCGTTGTTATGAAGATTCAAGCCCCCCTGTGATATTGTTATTGTACTGTAGTTTGTAGTAGTGTGTTGAAAATTTCTATGAGCATAAAAATACCATTAAAAGACAAGCCGCATGAAAAAAGCTAGCCATTTCGCACAAACTTATATTTTTGTCAGTAACTATGTTTTTATAATATAATGCTTTTATGTATTTCAGCTTTGGAAATGAAATGTTTTGCATATTCGTGTATCTTCTTAAATCTGCTGAAATCAAATTTTTCAGTAGATTCTGTGCTCATGCTATAACTTTGAGTCATTGATCCTCAAACCATGACCAATGCTTGTACAGCTAGGGGGTCTACAAAAAGCAATGCAAAAATGTGTATAAATCATTCTTTGATGTATTGCGTTCACGATTCCCATGCGCAGCTTCCCACAATTCCATGCGCAGCTTAGCAATTCCCTCATCCCTGGGGTGCTTTGCAGACGCCTTGAACTCATTGCATTCGAGAAAATAATCTTCAGGTATCCAACAAATATTTGTCATTTTTTTGTTCATCATTTTCAACTTTCTGCCAACGCTGCCGGATTGTGAAGCCGTCCTTCCAAATACCCGTGCAACAGTTGGGTGAATGTTGGATAAACCTTAGATCGTGGGAAACTGATGATGCAATTCATCTGTGTTGGTGTTAATTTAAGGCAACTCAAGACATAGAGACAACATAACCTTAAGATATTTTTTTAACTTTCTGGATCAAACTGATTCAAAATTACAGGATATTGTTGTGTCAGTATATGTTTAACTTCCAATATTACATATCGATTATACAACAAACATAATCGGAAAGATGGCGTGCCAAATCAACTTTAATCGCTATCATCTAATAATTTTAATACAAAAGTTGGATAGCGTTCTTATATTTTTAATAAATATTTAGTCTTAGTATATGCCTTAGTTTACATGGATGGCGGGACTGGGATCGCCAAATTTTGGGATGTAGAAAGAGGCGAATTGTTCACAAGAATAGTTATAAGAGACATTTATAAGGGAGAAATAATTGTTCTCAATTAATATCTATGTTGTCAATGTTTCATTTTTCGCAATATAAGATTTCGACTCCTGGCTTGTTGACTACCGACAACTGATATAAATTATTTACATAGGAATTTTTTGCTAAAGTTGAATTTTCAAAGTGTTAATAGCAATGACGGTGATATCCCAAACATTGGAGCTTCAGTTCGGTGGTACTAAAGAGAAGACGGCAGGAGATCAGAGGTCGTGTGTCTTGGGACGTGTTTGGGTGAGAAATAAATAATACATTGGTTTGTTGAGCAGAGATTTCATGGCCGTCGCTGCAGGAGGAAGTGTGACAACCCCTTGGAAAATTATTTCCTTGTAAAAATGAGAAGTTTTTTCACCAGTTATGGGTGCTTTGTCGGCAGATTTTTTAGATTTATCGGCAAAAAAGATGGTTCACCAACCTTGTCTGCAAATAGGATCGGATCACCCCCCCCCCCCCCCCCCCTCCCCCCTGAGCTATATAGCTAGTGACGTCTTTGAGCTGATCGTTGGAACTGCTAAAGCATAGAATGAAATAAAGCCCCTGTCCTAACAGGTTATTTGCCTGTTCTTACAAACATTAAGCGGACTTGCATTTGCGGAATATAGGGAGAATTAAAGATATAAAAGTTTCCCTTCCTTCTTAACTAAAACGACAGACTTTTAGCTGTCCGTTTTTGTCACTTTTTTCACATTTCCCACTCGAGATATTGATATGTGAGATTTTTAGACAGGATCTGCACATCTTTATACTACAAAGGTTTCCTGTCGCATTTCTTTCTTACTGGAATATATCTAAAGCGATATTGTTTCCTTATGCTTTTCCCGCATGCTTATTGACAACCACCGAGTTCGAATGGATAAAAGGCGGCTCCTTGCACATAGACAGGGCGTCGATTTTATGAATTTGAACTTGGTATTTATTTGGATCAGCAGCCGCGCGGGATGCCTGTGTTGGCACCGGCGGGGCATTCTCGTCAACCAACGATGGAAACATAAGCAGTTTTATTTTTTGACCGAAAAGGCCAAACAGCGTTAGAAAACCTATGCAGATCATAATTGCACACAGCAAATGGGCTCTTGTATATTGGTGGTCTTCTTTTGATATGAAATACATCGGCATGAACACAGCCCAACATATGCAAGTGATGTACATTGTGAAGCCAATGAATTTTGATTCATTGTAATTCTTCGGGAAGTTGCGCGTTTTAAACGCATACCAAGTGCAGCAAATCATGAAGATAACGCTGAAAAGCAAATTGAGAATCATTTTTGTGCCTTCATCACCGCAGTGAAACATCACATACTCTCCAGGCTCATACGATGGCTGGGCGTCAGGGCTGTTGCTAACGATCCAGATAACGCCTAGCAGAATCTGGACAGAAATAATAAAGAGCAGCAACAACAACTGTGACTGCGGGCTTATCAATGGTGGCCGCGATATTGATGTTTTCGCGTTGCAGAAGATGCGATAAATCCGATTTGTTTTTAGGAATAAAGGCGAGTAGCACACGCATAATGCAATGCCCGGCAGAACCACTTGCACTGAACACACTGCTGCCGATGGCTTGAAAGCGAAAGTGAACGGGATTGTGAACATAAGACAAATTCCTGCTAACATGAAGTAACAGAGCTCTCGTCCGGACGCTCTTACTATGCGGTTGTTGTTGTTCTTCACAAACATTGCTGCCACAAACAGGGTGCAAATAATCCCGAAGCTTGAAAAGCCCATGTAAACTTTCAAAGCCATGAATTCTGACGCTTCGCTGCCAAAATACTTAATTGGTAGTAGAACGCAACTCCGCTTCTCCGCGTCAGGCTTTTTGTCTTTCCCGCAATCAATGCACAAATTATTCCGGGTGATATCGTTCTTCTTGCATTCTATGCAGCTCCAGCAGCATTTTGCGAGACGATAATCGCGCTTCTGTTCCGCAATCCATCCAACCGGGCAAGGTAAACGGCAGGATGACGTCATCACAGGACTATTATCTTGCCATCGAACTTCAGTCGCTTCCATCATAATGGTTCCATTATAAGATTGTTCTAAGTAAAATTTACCAGTCTTTGCTAGTCCTTCTCGTCGAAATGACCAATTACCAACCTTCTTGTTAATGTAATGTGTATCATTTCTTACAAAGTTTAGAAACTCATACTGAACAATGTTGTGGTCTATCTTGGTGACTGGATCCGTGTATATGAGGGTTCCGTCAGCAAATGAATTATTTTTCAAAACGTCACCAAATTGCTTCGAATAGAGAAATATATACGACGGTTCCCACCTGTCGCAACTTTCTTTTGTTGTGCACCGTTGCTCGATTATCTGCCGAAACACGTGAGCCAATGAAAATACTGCATTTACAACAGTATGGATAGGCGTGTTCGGATAGTAACCAGTCCCCTCTCGCAGATTTTCTTTCTTTGTGCACGCCTTTGTGCTTCCATTTACCGCTCCCGAGATCTTACAGTTAAACGTCCATTCCCAAAATTCCGTAAATTTAGTGTAACTCCTTGAGTCCATTTTAAGAGCCAGAAAATGGTCCCTGAATCCCTGTAGCTCCTTTGTTGCATATTCAATACTGATTGATCCTTCCAGAATGTCTTCATTGCCTTCTGTGATTTCCATGTAATTTGTAAATCCGGAAGCGGCGATGATCTGAAATTTACGTGTTAAATTATGTTTCCGCATAGCGCGTAACAAACCAATGGAATCATCCACAGTCGTGAATAGAATAAGACCTTTACTTTCCTGGAAAGCACTCACCTCCAGCACTGCTTGCTCGAAATCCGCGGCTGCCGCATTTTCCGGCAATGAAACGTAATGTGAATAGCATATTTTCTTGTCTGCCGCCTTATTTAAGAACTTCCGCGCGATGTCATCACCATCACGGTCATTCGAACTAATTACTGCGATGTAGTTCCAACCAATCTTGAGTAATAGGTCAATCATTGCCATTGCTCGAAAAGAATCTTCAGGAACGGTGCGGAAAAAGTACTGGTTGCTCTTGGCATTTATAATGAACGGAGCGCTGTAACTGACAACTGGATAAGACAGTGCATTTGCCACAACTGACACCTCATATGCATCGTAGGGTTTGTATGGAGCGAGGGCTGATTGCTTCATGTTACTGCCTGCAAAGAACTTGTAAATTAAGTTAGATAAGATATCTTTCGCAGGGCGAATAATGCCGTCTTTCTCTATCTCAGTGGAGAATTTAAAACCATACAGGAACGAGCTGTTTTTGTTCACTTGATCAATTGCAAACAAGAATGCTTCGACAATATGAATTCCAATCTGTGGGTTTACTTTGCCCGTCAATTTGTTCTCAAGTTCAAAAAAGCCTCCAATTTTGATGGTCTTGTTCCCTAGAAGCAAGGAAAATACATCAAGGCCTAGTGTAAATTACAATGTCGTCTCCAACGCAAACCACAGACAGAACGAGCATGCTAATTTGGGGGGGGGGGGGGCAACAACTTAATGCTAAACAACTTTTGTTAATCATACACGTTTCACTCGGCATGACATTTTTTTACAGTCAGAAACGTTAACAGGAAATTGACATTAAAGTGCCTGTGACATGATTTTCGTACTTTTGGGTTTATATATCTAATCTTATGTAAAAAGGCCTGGTATTTTCATTTCTGAGGTTAGTTTTCACGTTTCGTGAGAAATGAAGGAGTTATTGGCGATCTTCTACGCCAAAATTCGCCATCTTGGTTTTCAGAATGCGTAGGCAGTGACGTCACGGGAGGGATCCGATCGCCTCCTCCTTCGAGTTTTTGTATCGTAGTCAATGAGGGAAATCTAGCAGGTCCAAGAGGAGCGATATTTCCAGAGAAAGTAGTGGCAGTGAGGATGAGATTTTTGAAGGTACTGCTTGCATTATTACAATAACGAGTTCCTCCCATGACGTCACAAGAGAACGGCGAATGATGATAAAGCGACTTGGCTAGGCAGCACTATTTTGCTTAATTTCAATACCAAAACGCTTTTATTTAAAAAAAAGTTCAGATCTACTATAAGAGCAGTGCAACGCTTCAATTAAGAGAATAAAAAAAATCACGTCACAGGCACTTTAAATTAAAATTGGAGACACCGTTTTTGCCACCACTAGAATCCGATGTCACTGTTTTCCAGGCTGCGTACACACTGAGAGCGAAATGGCGAAGCGAAGCGAATGAGCGAATTAGCGTTCAGATAGTTTGTATACATCAAGACAGAGCGATAGCGACAAGGAGCGACAAGATTACTTCTCATGTATTTGATCGCTGCGAACGGAAAGGAAAAACAGCAATGGACTTTGATTATATCGTTGCCATACAACCGATTAGTTACTGGGAATAGTCTGACGATACTGGTCTTCAACCAGACCAGTATTAAAGTACATGGCCTCATATTTGGGGAAAAGGGTGGCCCCCAATAATTGCCAACTGTACTTTATATGGGAAGCAAAACAATAGACATCCCCCCACCAATATAAATTTATTTCCAACGACACTGAAATAACGAGTCAAACATAGATGAATACATTCTGAATCTGAAATAGCCTTGTCATTCCTCAACTGCGGCACCAAATAAAAATATCCCCCAGATAAGAGCAAATATCTACTTTTAATAAAAATCAGTTCGTTCCGCTTTTTTATTTCGTGAACCCAGAATCGTCTTCGTTTTTAAAAATAAGAGAATATTTAAGAAATCATCTTTCAGATAAAATCATTCTTTTCGTTTCAAATCAGCCACTGCGCCATCAAACTTCACCCTGCAAAACTGTTTGATTCGCGATTTTACGCTCGCAGCATGTTGTTCCGTTAGCTTCTGTTCGCTCCTGTTCGCTTCGCTTCTCTTTTTCGCTGCAGTGTGAACGCAGCCTAAAGAAACAATTATGTGACTTTTTTCTAGGAAGTATTTCCTGTTTCAGCAATCAAATTTGTTAAAGACTCATTGCTAACAATGGGCCTTTGCGAGCGTGGCGACGGTCCAAACAATGGCAGTAATTGATTTTAGACAGTCTAAAAATGCATTATGGGATGCTTACGTAGCGCAATGTCTCATTGTTAGCAATGAGTCTTTAAGCTTGGAATCTTAGGGAGATATTTGCTAGTCTATATAGATGTACCCTGGGTCTTGTACCCACAAAATATCATATCTATTATGATATTTCATATCTTATATTTCATATTAAATTAATTTTACACAAAAATCTCTTCGGCATATCGACACGAGATCTAATTAAAATGACCTAAAGGCAATAAATCTTACAACCTAAAGGCAATGAATCATTAGGGCCTATTTGCTGCTCTTCCAGGAAGTCGTGTTTTTATTTAATTTCAGCTCTTGAAGTATGATTTTGATATTCTTTTGAACTGCAAGAGGGTTGGCAGTTCCTTATTTGAGGTAGCGATGCTGTTCCACGCAATAAGAGCTGAAAAGTAGAAGCCTTTTCCACATATTCAAGGCTACATCTTGGAATTTTGATGTCTTTGCAACAGTTTCTTGTTCTATAGTTTGAGTGCATGAATATCAGGGGAAATTTATCCCAAAGGCTCTCTGGGCACGTCCTGTTCATAATCTTGTAGGTCATGGCTAATTGATCGAATTTAACTAGCTGTTCTACATCAAACCAATTATGTGACCAATTATCCTCAAGTCTAACTTTCTTAATGATAGTTTGGGCTCGGTCCGTAGAATTTGTAGGATCTTTATTTCAGAACTAGGAATACTTCTCCAAATGACACTGGCAGAGCGCAAGTGACTTTCTATAAAGGTCTGATATCTAGTTGTTTTGTGTGAGAAGGTTTTTCAGTCTTTCGAGAGAAGAAAGCCCTCCACGAACCTTCCCTTTAACAACTTTGAAGTGTTGATTCTAGTTCAAACCTTCATCTAGGATGATCTCAAGTGACTTTGTCTGCTTAACGCGTTTATCCATTCTGAAATACTGAGAATCACTTTGAGCATTCTCAAGTAGATTTTCAACATCGTTAGATGTCATTGTCATGTGTGAATCACCTGCGTACATGCTGGCTTTCGATAGCTATAGACATGTTTTGAAATCGTTCAGGTAGATTATGAACAGGAGTGGACCTAGACAGGAGCCTTGAGGAATGCAAAAGGTTACCGTTTCTGCCGATGACTTTTGCCCGTTCACTGTACAAAACTGCTTCCTATTTTGCAAATATGATGTAAACCAAGTCACCAGTTATTCCTCTTACACCATATTACACCATATTTTTTCGAGCGCGTAAATAGAAAATCAAGCGGAAAAGCGGCGTAGTGTCTTCCGCTTTATCACTCCTATCTTCTGTTTCCGCTCTCGAATTTATATGGCTCTGGGGCCCAGGGTAATAGCAAAGCCCTACCAAAGATAAAGGGGCAGAGGCCAAATAAAAGGAGGTTAGGAAATTTTGCTTAAATAGGCAACTAGTCCAATACATAACTAAATATCAAAATGGAAAAGTGGAAATAATTCAATAGTAATAACTAAATGATAATCGGAATAGCTGGCAAAGGAAGGTTTTAGATGAGTTTTAATCTATAGGTGATATTTTATCAAGAAGAAGGAACTACATAAAGTGCTTTAAATGTTCTGATAAAGCGGCTATTTTACAAGCAGCTGGAAACATGCTTGTAGGGGTGGAGGAGAACAAGAGTTTGTCTTGTGATTGTGGGCTGCCCCCTGTACTTGCAGATAGAGAACATTCACAGTATCTTTAAAAAACAAATATAGCAAAATTTCATTATGCGCGGGAAATAGATATTTTGTTAGCAGACTTTCATTTGTACATTTTCGCAACATGTTCTCATTCAGTCTCGTAATTTGGAAAAAATTACATTGAAATATTCAGAGAAACATACCATGGAAGATTTTTCCCTGTGTTTGATGTATAAATCCAAGAATAAGGAGACATGCCAGTGCAGACCTTGAAATTTTTGTCTCCTCTTCTTGACCCATCTATAATGGAAGGAAAATTAGAACTCTCTGAGTTTTCTGCTGTTTTCTAGAAGGAAGTTAGAACTTAAATCAAATAATAACTGTGTGGAATGGCATGTATGATTCTCATGCTTTGTGAAGTTCTAGGCAAGAAACGAAACAGTGATCCATTAGAAAATTCCAAATTTTTCATTGGCCATATCTCGTTAAGTCTCATTTGCCGACAAGGGGGTAAGCCTTTCTGTATTTGACGAAAAGTTTGGAACTTTGCCGACTACCCACCTAGTTTTGAAATGGAATTGTTTTACAAAAGGGGGGTTTCACGCCCCACGCGCCCCCTATAGCGATGGGCCTGACCATGCTCTTTGTTCTTTAGCATGTTTAGCCCCCCCCCCTCAAAAATCATTCTAGCCTCCTCGATCCTTTATATGCTCCACAGTCCTTGGTGCCTAGCCATATCTCAATGTCCCTAGCACTGCCTTTGTCCGCAATCAGAAAGCTTGTATTGGGCTGTTCAATTCACCTCATTGGGCTGTCATAAGTAGTAGATAACTCCAAACACAAGTATGACAGCTTTCTGCTCATGTAAGTTTATTAAAATTATCTTTAACATTATACACTCTTTTTTTCATATGAACAATTTCATAAGAACACGAGCTTCAAAATTTGTCAAAAGTTAAGAAGAATCTGAGGCCGAGCTACTATAAGATGTAATTTTGAACAACGTTTTACCTCAAAAACGATGATTTTAGCAATGCGTGGGTGTTCTTTGGTGAACTTTCAAACTTGTCGGCAAATGAGGGCTTTCTCACGCACTTGGCAGATGAGGCCTGAACACCTCTTTATAGCGAAGAAGCTAGTAATCGCACTGCTTATATCCTATTAATTTAAGAACAAATTTAAAACAATCAAGCCTAAGATTTTCGAAAAAATCAAGAACAGTCATCCTTGTTAATTTCTTTTCTCTCTTCTGACTACAATTTTTGACCCTTGTTCTTTGTTTCCGTTTCTTGTTATTTGTTTTTTGTAAATGTCATCACCACACCTTGTTTTCTAAGCTCTGCTTCTGAAGAAAAAGGGATTCTTAATCTCCCTTTTCAACCATGAATTAGTTTTGCTTATCCACTTTTTTGACATCAATAACTGTATCAAGTTCTTCCGCTGCCCGAAAAGGCAAACCATGGCATCAAAATATCGCGTCTTTCTTTCAATCGGCGAGCTTAACTCATAAAACAATCAATTTTGAAATATCAACCCTTGTTTGATTAAATCATGTATATATTTAGTTCGTTTGATTTAAATTATGCGTCTGCAAAATAATTTGCTTGAAGATTTGTGGCTATGCAATAAAAAAGTGCCCGGGATCAACATAGGCGGAGGAATAAAGACTGCGCTTTCAATGCCTGCCTACCGAATGAAAATCTACAGAAGGTTGGAGAACCGTTTGATGTAGAGAAAATGAACTGATCCAAGACATACAGAAAACAAGATTTTAAGATTTAGACCTTTTAAGGCATTTCTTTTTCCAAGGAATGGACTTTTTTAACATACTAACTAGGGGGCAATCACCCCTGCAGCCCCAGTGACTTTCAATTGTTTTAAAAAATAGGCTATTGTCCTTCTCTTTTTATAAACAAAGGTTTGCCCCCGCAGCTCATTTCCCTTAGAAAAGGCTATGAAGAAATCCTAGGAAAAGTTAAAGAGTTAGTAGGAAATCTGCATCTGTGACATATGCCAGGAACAAGTCTGCAAGTGATGAAATAGATATGAAGATTAGAAAAGAGGTGTTTAAAAATGAGAACATATTCGATTTTTGTTACTTTGTATCAGTCGCGAAAGGCATCATTCAAAAATGGGAAATTGTCCTGAAGCCGAATCTTGATATCAAATAATTCATAAAGTTTACTGGAGTTAATTTGATAACTTCTCAACCTCCTTTTTGCTAAAAGAAGCTCAAATGATATACGGGGGTTTATGTCCAGGAGATTAAGGAGAAAGGTCAGGAGTATATGTCCAGGGGAAGCTCAAAGTACCAGCTTTGAACAGGGTGAACTCAGAGTAGATCAGTAGTACTAAAGTAGAAGCATGTGATTTCAGTAAGAATGTTAGTAAACGAAACTGAATTAGATTTTGCTGCAGCCATACAGCAAATAATTTGAAATCATCAGTAAGACTTATCAAGAACTGTTTGATTAAACAAAAAATCTCAAAATCATAGCGTAGGCCCTGATAGGAGTGGCTTTGCACAGGAGTTCGAGAGAATGGCAAAAACCAAAATAAAAAATAAAAGAAAATGTGATTTATAGTTCAAATATGGCGATTAAAATCACATAGGGAAAAACGATTAAGTTCTCAAATAATGACCTCACAAAAGTCTACTTTTAGAATTATTTAATTTGAATCCTATAACCTGAAAAGGCATCATCATCAAAGGCAAAATCAGTTGAATGTGTTACGCATTGGCAAATATATGACCACACAAGGAAAGGATTTTTTCCCCATCAAACCTCGGTAATCTAGTTTCTGTTCATACTTTTATGAAAAGAGCCTAAATGGAACCCAGGGTTAAATAACAGTGACCCCTTTAGAATATTCCAAATCTTTCATTGGCCATATCGCACTCTTTTTTGACACATTCAAATGATTTTACTTCTATTTAAGTATTTTTAAGTGTCCCTTTAGGTTATGTAGTAAAAATTCTAAAATTTAAAAATAGATTTTTATGACGTCAAACTTAAAAATTATATAGCTTATCGTATTGAAGCCATATTTCTCTATTCAACAGGATGCCTTTCCTGTTGTTTTTGTAGATATGTATCGTTTATGCTCTCCTTTTTCAAAAATATCAGCTTAATACTGGAATAGGGCAGATATGAATGAGTTCTGTTTGGCAGTTGAAATTTTGCATAAAGAATGTTGGTATGCCCTGTATCTATGTTTGCAAAAGTGTGTTTAGTCTTTGAATTTAAGCGATTTTCCCATGATTCCTTTAAAAGTTTCGTTATCCATACAAGAAACTGATCTCTCAAGACCTTAAAAATGATGTGTAAGCAGAGACGTAACACAGTTTAGCGGCCCTTAGCTCGATAACGTAGACAGCGGTGGTTTTAGGGTCTGTGGAGCCCTTGTTCTTTGCTATTTTTTTTAACTTTCTTTTAGATGCAGGACCCCTTCTAGCTACCATAAACGTGTGGCCTGGGTTCATGGCCCCCTGTACAGCAATGGACATACACTCCTCAAGTGTCCTCAATATATTTTAATATTCTTGATCCTAAGACTTGATCATAAGAAATTCACATTGTTTTCAAAAGCTTCTTTAACGAAACATATTACTTTGCTCCCCTTTCCTGCTCCCTTAGACCTTGCAGTCCGCAGATATGGGCCCCGTTTCACCACTGTACGTGAGCATTCAAAAACACCTGATAAAGCCACTTCAGTGCTATCTGTAAAGATTTCCAGCGGAAAACAACGAAGAGCACTCTATCTTTTAGTCTTATGCTTGGAGCATAGCATAAACTTTGGCACAAGCGCAACATAACTTTGATACGAGGTTAATAATGTCACACTGTCTCTATGTAGAAAGAAAGAACCCAGCTTTCGTGTTCAAAATTTCCTTAAGCATCCGTTGCTTAGAAGCTGGTCACCCTGAACTAAAGTTTACGATTTTTTACGAATTCAAGTGAATTCTTGCGCTTGGTTTGTGAGACATAAGTCATTCACGTGGAAAAATATTTTACTCATCGCGGAAATACAGTCATACAGCCCATACAATCTGAATGCCAAAATAAATTTTTGATGACTTAATGAGCGAGATATGAACGAAATGATATGGATTGACACAAGCTAAAAAGCGGTTAGTAGAAAATCATCGGTGAAGAAAATTATCATCTTCTTTTCTCTGCATGTCGAGAAGTACCTTATATGTATGATTAATAGGTTTGTTTTTCAAGCATTCAGAATTTGTGAAGTTACAGCAGAAAGGTCTCAGTATTAAAATTGGCCGATTTCTAAATCTTTCCTTCTTTTGAAATGACTATCTGTTGCAGGGGTATTTCAACGTAATCGCGAAAAGTTGCGCCGTTAATTTGTAATGTAAACTATTGAACAAGCCTTCGCGAACACAATTTCAAAATTGTGCGAAATAGCGGAAATGTTAAACGCAAAACTTTAAGTACTCTTTTGTTAAAGTACTCAATGTATCAAACGTCTGATACTAACTAAAAGCTAAAGAAATTGATATTTTGCTGCGGATCGGTAGTAATATCAAGATAATATAATAAGAATCTTGTATTTGACATACAGAATTAAACTGCAATTCCAAATTATGATTACTTACCTTTTAATATGTCAGCAACTTCGAATGCAGAGTGCTCTAACTTGGATTGCCTCAACCCACTGATGTTCTCTTCGGATCTGTAAGAATACTGAAACTTGATCCCATAAATCAATTCTTCTTTGTATTTCTTCAAATCGTTAACATGTTATTCTAGCAACAAACATAACACCCTGCTCCATACTGGTTTAATCATGCTTATAAACTGACCCTAGCGATGAACTAGCACTGTCCACAAAATTAGTTTCTCTGCCAATATTGACAAAGCAACAGTCATGGCGTTTGCAAACGAATCTTGTGCATTGTCCAATGTCTTGAACTTCTTTGAAAGAAGTCGGTAAATATAGATAATTTCACCGCCATATACCAGCTACATGATGTTTAAAGTATCAACTGGTTAATTGACGGGGGATGCTTAGGGAAATTTCAACGCCTGCGTATGTTCAAATAGAAAACTTAATGAATTCTTATCAAAACAGCACATAATTAATTAACTGCGGCAGTGCTTCATGCATTCCAGAAGAAATTCAAATCAAGAAAAATAAGAAGTAAAGGCTGCAAAACATTTAAGGTAGGGTGATTGTGAACGAACTTTTGGCAGGAGAAAAATTTTGGTTAACTTTTGAACGAAATATTATAAGCATAGTTGATGAAGATATGACAAAGAAAAATATCACACATTAAAGCACCTTATTTTGACAACCATTGCACCTTGAATTCACATATTCTGACGAGTATGCTAATTAGCAAGGGTGCGCTTATTCGAACAAGTGCGCTTATTCGAACGTGTGCGTTTATTCGAACAAGTGCGCTTATTCGAACGTGTGCGTTTTTTCGAACAAGTGCGCTTATTCGAACGTGTGCGTTTATTCGAACAAGTGCGCTTATTCGAACGTGTGCGTTTTTTCGAACAAGTGCGCTTATTCGAACGTGTGCGTTTTTTCGAACAAGTGCGCTTATTCGAACGTGTGCGTTTATTCGAACAAGTGCGCTTATTCGAACGTGTGCGTTTATTCGAACAAGTGCACTTATTCGAACGTGTGCGTTTATTCGAACAAGTGCGCATATTCGAACGTGTGCGTTTATTCGAACAAGTGCGCATATTCGAACATATGTGTTTGTTCAAACGTGTGCGTTTATTCGAACGTATGCGTTTATTCGAGCTATTTCTTTTCGTGGACCTAAGCTTTGGAACCAACTTAAACCTAATGCCAAAGAGGCACCTTCCCTTGCCACCTTTAAGAGAAGAATAAAAAACTAACTATGAACGACCATTCTATTTCGTAGTATTTATCTTCTTACTTATTAATGTTTTTGTCACAGCCCCCTGAAAAGCAGTTCTCGTGGACTGACGGGGCTACCGTGCCTAAATGATTAAAAATGTAATGTAAAAAAATGTAAAATTTAAAATTCAAATGTGTGCGTTTATTCGAACGAGTGCGTTTATTTGAAATAGCGCGCTTATTCGAACGTATGAGTTTATTCGAACAAGTGAGTTTATTCGAACGGGCACGCTTATTCGAACGCGTACGCTTATCAGAATGCATGCGTTTATTCGAATAAGCGCGTTATACTCTTCCGAGAAAGCACCAGCCCTAGCTTTGCCTAATAATTTTACCTTACCACTGTCTCTTCAGCAAAACCGAGCTCACTTTTTTTCTACCGTTAGTGACAAACTCCTAATGATTGTGCATAGGTGCATTGCATTGCAACATCTGCTGTAGGATATTTTCCCAGGGAAATCAAAAGGAAGAACATTTCAAAGAAATCTATATTCAACAAAAAAAGTTCACAGGCAGCGCAATGGTACAGTAGCATTGCAAGACTTCTTCAAAGACTCAACCTCTTTTCTCTTGCGAGAAAATAGAAAATGTCTGAAATAAAAAGGGACACGATATTGGTTTGAAATTTTAGAATTTCTTTAAGGTACGAAATGCTGAAATCATCAGTTAGCTATAAAATGTTGATGAAAAGTAGCTTATTTGCTGCACTTATGAAAGGTCGTATTCTAAATCCTAGTAAAATGCAAAAAAGGCGACTTGAAATGCAACTCAATAAACTATTCGAAAAACACTTACTCATTTACTTATTGCTTGTTTAAAATTAATGAAGATTTCAACAAAGCTTCTTCCAACGTTTTCAGCAAATTTGCAAAAACTTGTTGTGATTGGCGTAATGACAATGGTCCCTTTGTTCTGCAATCATAACAAGTCTTTTTCATACCTCTAAACAAATCTTTTTTGGAAGAAGAAGGAAGTCTAATTAACAGGGCAAGAGACTTCCTCTCAGAAGAAAATATTTAAGATTCACGTACAAATCCACGACAATTATTTTCGGCCTGGGCAGGCCCGTAGACTCTGGGGGGCAGGGGGGAAATGTCCCCCAATAATTTGCGAAAATTGTGTTTGAAGATCTTATAAGCGCAGCTTGATCTGACAGTATTTCATAAGGCAGGTATAGAAAAAGCTATGTTTCTATCCGTGCCCCCCTGCCAATCCAGTTTAGCTGTCTACGGGCCTGGTCATGGGCCAGTAAAAGTTGCACAAAATTTCGGAAAAATTACAGAAAAGTTACGTGAAAGATTAATTTTGGAAAAGGGACATTACCTTTGTGGAACACGAGCTCAGTAACGCTCTCGCCATATCATTAAATATAAAAGTGAACTTAAGACAGTTTTTTAGAATAATAACTCAATTCATAATTTTGCATTTTGTAGAAATTAATGTTAAAAATTTGAATGCTATCTTTGTGGATTATCCAGAGACAACCGGATTGAATTTTTACTGTCCCAACTTTAAGGGATTGAAGCCTAGCTTATAATATAGAATAAACGCGGAAACAATTGGCTTGAGTTTCGACTGGTTGGGATTAACCTTTGATTCAAACCAGAGACGGATTTAAGCGGCAAGAATTAGGAGGGTGTTGGATAATGATTGGACTTTGTGTCAGACCCTTCAGGGGACTGGAAACTGATGGAGACGCCCATTTTCAAAGCTTAGTCTTTACTTTTAAGATACTAAAGATAAGAAGATGAAGAAAGTAACTTTCCTACATCATTTGTTATTACTTACTACCATAAAATGCATTTTTACCGAATCAAAACAGAGTTTGCAAAAGTAAAACTTGCATAGAATGTATTGGGAGTAAAGTAGAAGCTTGTGAATGTTTATATGTTTGTATGTTTGTTTGTATGTCGTGAATCTTGAGATGCTATGTAATATCGATGTCTTAATAAACTAGGCAAGTTAAGAAAGGAAGTAAGGTCTGAAGGAACTTTGCATAAAATATGCAAACAATAAAAATCCGTATTGAAAAGAAAAACCTTTTATTCACATCTCCTTTTCGTCTCCTGGAATACGTTTTAACTTAGACCACGTGGTTCAGAAAAAGATCAACGGTTTTCGATTAAAGGCATTCGACACAGGTAAAAGTGGCTTACAGCCACTCGATCACGAGCGGTGGACCAATCAAATTGCGCACAGAGAAAAACATGTGAACAGTTTCCGCCTTTCTGGAAATCAGCGAAATCCTAGTGCAGCACGCAGAGGTTTCACGTGATTAGTGTCCAGTTCCTTTCCTGTGCCCGTGCTCTGATCAATTTGATATTATAAGTTATTTTTGGATTCACTGTACTTATGCATGTCAAAAGCCTTTAACAATGTGATGATGCAAGCAACTGCATTTATTCCAACCTGATTCCTTTCAATTATGTTTAATGAGAAAATGTTCTTGATTCACTTGATTTGTTTCATTATTATTATGTTCGCACTAAGCAAGCCCATAAAACATTGATAAAATGGCAAACTTTAAAAATTTTAACCAAAACTCTTGTTAAATTATATTAATAGCATTTTGGATATCTTTAATTAGATCGTGTTCTTAAAAATATCAAAAAACGAACAGCTCCTAACATGCATCTTCTTGTGAACGCTCTAGCGATAGGCAGTCTCGTGTAGCAAAGTTGTAAACTCAAGAGTAGAAACGACCCCCCTTTAAACCCCCTTTGGCGCCCTCTCTTTGCACCCAGCAGGAGTGGTCCTGTAGCGCCCCTTCCCTAGACTATTGTATCAAGCTACCAAACTGGAAAATAACTTCCGTTCATCTTGATGGTATTCGCGTCACTGATTTCATATTTGACTACACGTAGGCCCGGACAAACAAAGTGTTACATCGTTAAATGAGGGTCATGATTTTCCCACGACCTACAAAGGCACAGTAAATGACATGTGCCTTCGTTTCCCTACGAGTTGCATCAAAGGTAATTTGAGTTCATATCCCCTTAGACGGCAGTAACAGAATTCTGAGAAACAGTAATCACTAAAATGGTCCATTCATTACGTCGAAGGTAACCTTTCAGCAAGATATGAAGGATGTATTTAGCTTTTCAGAAGATCATGTCTACAAAATAAGGGCAATACGATAAATGCTTCAGTGGTTGTAATTTTTTTGGTTCTTTTTGTCTCAAGCAATTATATGTATTAGTATTGGCTGTTCAAAAGCCATCTCAGGAATTTTAACAGTTAAGGTTGTTGAAACCGAGAACCAAAGCTAATATTAAACATTGGGCGATTTAAGGGGGCAACTAGGGGCAGTTGCCCCTCCCTCAACGAGTTGAAGCAAGTCTGGCGCCACTTTTTTAGAAATTGTGCGCCCCTTTAGAAGAATGAGAATCAGATGAAAAAGGTTCTTTGACCGATAGGTTAATTTGCTTCAAGGATTGCCTCAAAGTTATGTTGTTTATTCTGAAAAGGTATCTGAAATTAATGTATACAGTGTACTCTCGAAACCAATTCTTGAAAATTTTTCAGCGCCCCCACTACAAACTGCCCCTCCTTCAAATTTGCCATGGATCCGCCCCTGATATTAAATCATACCCCCGTATTTATGCTGCATCGATTAATCACGTGCAAATGCTTAAATGCCATTACTTTGTGATACCGAATGTTTATTCATAATTTGAAGTTGATACCTGCTACTCATGGTTGAATTAGCCATAGACGCAAAGAATTTGTCAAGCTAAGAAATTAATCAAGAAAAATTATTGCCTTTCCAAAATGAAAAAATTCAGTCCCAATCAGCTCAGAGACTTAAGAGACTCCAGCGCTTAAAATATCATATAGGTATATGTGAAAATTTTAGGTATCCTTACATGAAGTACCAAAAAAACGAATTCTAGAACTATGCCTGTCACATGTCAAAGTTGCCACTGAAGATGACAGCCAACAAACCATATTGATTTTAACATTTGATAGTGAAGGCAGACTTGGAATCCGAATAAGGAACAAGTTTTGCTGGATGTCATATTGGCAGGAATGCATTCCCTTTCCCTAGAAAAACTATGATTCATTAACTAAGTCAAAATCTCCTTGACGTGTATGGCACGAAGTTAATTTGATTATTCTATTCGGATTCGCTAGTTCGACAAAACGTTTTTGTCTCAAAGATGGTATATTCGAGATGGGGGTCCAACCAGTAACTTCGATGAACTGCCTTGATTTAGAATTGTAGCAACTATGAATAAAAAGTCGAAAAGAACTGTCAAAAAGCTCACCTCTTCTTCTACGAACAAGCATTGAATTAAGTAGTTCTTTTTTTCCCAAATGGTTCTCTACGTCCAATTCAACGTTGTATTTGAGTCTCGTGAGAATACTTCATTTCGGTTGCCATGTCTAGCACTGAGATTGCTTCATTTCGAAAGCTAGAGCTTAGTTACACCATTGTGTCATCAGTTGCAAGGTGCAGAAACGCCAGTCATAGAATCAGTCACACAGCATTGATCAATATCGCTGGTAGTGACAACAGCGTTGCACCGCGCAATCACAATATCGCTGAGATAATCAAAAACACGGGCGGGATTAGCCCCTAATAATAAATTTGGAATAAGTTTGTTTTTCAACTATATCGTTCTTTTTCAGTGACTTCTGTGCTTTAGGAAGAAAATGCAAGTGACACAAGTTCACGCGAGGGCTGGTGAATTTCTACACATGTCAGCAAAATATCAGTTCCTGGAGTCTCAAAACCAGGATGCGCCGTTTTTTGTAGATGCAAAAGCAAAGTGATATGGGGAAGGAGAATGATGTTTACTGCCTGCACAGATTTAAAAAACGGCTAGTCTTTGTACCTGTGTTGATCTCCGCTTTCACTGGATTGGTTTAGTTATTTAACGTAAGTTGCGTTGTTTTCGAGAGGCAATTTACTCTTAAAATAGCGTACAATACTTCCACCAAAACCAAAAGAATTTTTTAGGTTTACGCAGAGAAAACAGGATTTCCACCAAAGATGTACGCGATTCTTATGGAGTTAGTTGCCCCTTGGTTGTTTCCAGCCTTCAATGATAGAACGAGTACATCCATGTGAACCGCCTACAGCAATGTCAGAAAAATATAATGACAAATGTCAGAAAAATATCATTTTATCTTGATTCCAGTGAGTGTTCAATGCAAAGGCCTATAAATGAAAAAAGAGGGACAGGGAAGAATCCTTTTATACCCCACCTCAAAGTAATTGCAAGAGATTGCTTTGTTTTGTAGCCTTTTTGAATGCAAATTTTAAGTTGGTTTACAAATGTTGTTGATTTATAAATTAGACGAACTTTTCAACCGTCTCAAATCTAGTTTAAACTGACTACACCTTGCGATAACCTTCTACCGGCTAATGTTTCAATATCCTGTCAAGCATAAACAAAACCAATGCAATTTTCTGGAAAGTTTTTGGAGCCATTGCCTTAAAAGATTCTGAATTTCTGTCAGCAAAAAATCTGCTTCATTGTTCATATGTATGTAACGGCTTAAAAGGGCTATTTTATTCGGGCGATATAGAGTTCTAAAGTGATGACGTCACAACAATCTTTTTAAAAATTTTGGATTTGGATCCTATAGCCTGAAAGAACATCATAAAATACCTCTTAATGTGCAAAATCAGTCAAATGTGTTACGAATTGACTGAGATATAGTCACATGTGTATTGACCCTTTCTTCATCAAACCTCTAATCTGTATTTTAGTCTCTGTTCATAAAGTTATGAACAGAACCACATTAACAGTGATTCGTTAGCAAACTTCAAATCTTTCATTGACAATATCTCAACCAATTTTTAGACATAATTGAACAATTTTACATATTTGGAAGTATTTCGTGGTGATCTTTTATGCGATGTGGTTAAAATTTAAAAATTCTGAGAATAGATTTCTGGTGACGTCACACTTTAGAACCCTATTCAAGGCGATATCTGAAGATCATTTACTGAGTTGCTAGTAATGCTCAAACCTTTTTGTCACTGAAGACAAGGATTATGTTTGGACAACAGACCAAATTCAAGCAGGAGTATACCAGAAAATGAAACAAGGTGATAAAAACTTGGCTTCAACTCACTAAAAATAATTCAAAAGCACTCCTTTTTATGATGTTTTTGGGGCTGAGGAGAGTGTATTTAGAAAATGAATGGTGCTTTGGTCGAAGTAAAAGGGTACTTGAATGGCTAGCTCATGCATATAGGAAGACATTTTAGGCTTATTTCCTTCTTTCTCATCTAGTAGGCACGTAGGCCGAAAACAGTCACTTTTTCACATGCAGTTGACAGTATTTATCCAGTTGACAATGTATTTCAAGTCATAGACGTTGAAACTGGGGAGCCACGGGGTGCTTTCCCACATTTTGTAGAACCAGAGATAAAGTCCATCTTCGCTGTTCACAGATGTGCCTCTTTCTGCCTTCGCCCCCTCGCCACCATTTACAATGCTTCGTACGTTTATGTAACAAATGCCGTTTCATGGAATAGGGGCAATTCCCTTTGCCTCGTTAGGCGATATCAGTAAGGGTCCCCCTGTTGTTCTGCAACCACCAGCACATCAATACTTTGTGCAATAACCTGTGTCATGCCGGGGAACCAAAGCAACAAATGTTTTTTAAAGCCTTTAGCAATCAGATTAAATGCGTGTATCATCCGAGTTTGATATATTCCAAAGAAACTAAAGCTAAAAGACACAAATTGGCAGGTGAAAAATTAGTGAAGACTTTTGAGATGAAAGGCCGAATAGAGTCTTGCTTAAAATACTATTGATTTGGGTCCAATGACATACAATGCCAACTCGCTGATTACATTTCCATGCTTGATTTGACCAGATGTGAATCAATATTTGTCATACGAAACGCGTAGTGAGTTTTTGCCGAACGTTTCCCAGACTTGCAAAGCACATAAACAATATTTCAGTAGAAGGAGAGATATCATTTTGATAAATAGGACTGAGCTGCCAAATGAAGTCTAAGAGGACCTAAAGGTATCAAATGTTTCTATTTTGAATCAAAATTGAAAGATAACCTTGGGATAGATATATCACGGTTGTAAGCAAGAATCCAAATGCACTCCATGGTTATTATTTTGATAACAATCAGTCGAAATCTAGGGGATTATTATGCCATATTCTGTGTCTAGGTATTTTTAGTTAAAGCGATTTGTGCACTAAGAAATAATAACTTTGCAGCGACAGCCAGCTTTTCCTAGGAGAAAATATTAATGGAGGAATTTATAAATCAAATGACAAGGAAAGACTCTAGGAGACATTCCGACAGTCCGAAGGGCATATTAAGGGAGTTTTATTGGGGGATGGGACGGTGGCAGCTCCTGTAAATTCAATTTTTATAATGCAGTGTTGAGTTTCTTAAACTAAACCTCTCGCTGCTCTATTTATATAACAGCAAAAGTAATAAATAATTTATTTACAGTTGGCAACGAGATCTAGGACTAAGCTATTTAAAGCCAACTAATTGCAATGAATGTTGAAAGTAGTTATTTTTTAAGAAGCTCTAATGTACGCTAACTGTTTTACACAATCTACAGCTGCATTCGAGGTTTCCTAAAGATTTTCTGCTACGTTTAAAAGTATGTAGTGTTTCTTGTTTGGGACTCTTCAATTTCAGTATGTAGCTTTTGTCACAACTTTTGGCCAATAAATCTAATCATCTCTGTGCCATATTTTGTTACTTCTGCACTGGGCCAAAATAATATGACTGTTTGCTCGAAATTCATATTTTAGATTTCTAGTAACAAAAACATCATCTGTTAATGCTGGATCCAAGCTATCGATAATATTGTGTATCTCGATTAAGTGTAGCTGGAAATTTCTCTAGTGAATAAACACAGATTTTGTTAGATAAAAATTGATCAAAATTGGAGCTGCGATCTTTACAAATGCTTCAAAGAGCACTCTCATCAATTTTTTTAAATTTGTTTCTTATTTTTCTATCATTTTTCTATCATGGAACAGCCATAAAAGTGGACAATAGCTTAAATGAGACATTATGACTAAGGTCATTGGTAGAGCTTGTTGAGGTGTATCCATGAGTGTTGATATGCGATTTAAAGCACGACGTTTTTGACTGGTTTTTTTGCAGAGGTTATCAACATGAGATTTAAAAAACTTAATCCTCTTGTCTAAAGCTGTTTCAAGAAGGGTCTTTTCGGTGTTTTCTTTGATGAATAACAGATATTTACAAAGATTTCTTCATATGTCTTCCCTTAAATTAGAAATTGACATTTTCCTTCGTTCATTTTGATGTAGCTGTTCTCAAGCCATTGTGATAACAATTAAGTGTCTCTTTCAAGTGATTCTAAGATCGGATCCACGTGAAAAGATAGAAGTATCATCCATATAATTATATAAATCAGTATCTTTCACCGGATAAATATTGTCGTTAATGTAAATATTGAAGAGCAAAGGGCCTAGTACTGAGCCTTGTGGAGCGTCAAAGAAAGATTTGCAAGTATTGAAAGAGCTATATAACTTGGAATTTGAGTAAAATTATACTAGAAGAAAACAGCAAAATAATTAACCACATAAGAGCTATTTACTTTCACTCTTTGCCGCCTTTTTTGCAAATAGCTATGTGGCCCTATATATTAGATTAAGGGCGTCTTTGCTGAATCCATATGCTGCAGATTTGGAATTAAATTTTCATAATTGAGGCAGTCAAAAGCCTTGGAAAGATCCACTCGAAGAAGAAATCGAACAAAGTGCAAATCTTTCTTGGCCCTGGACAATACAGGATGATGTTTTTCGGTTATGAGTATACCGTCAATATATAAGTTGAAGACTTGGGTGTTCTTATATGTACTATTCTTTTCTCAGTTAATTGAGGCTGCCAGTTTCCCCATTAAATCAAAATTCCTCTCGACCAGATAAAGCACGTTTGGGCTCAATAGACACGAACTTTTTGATTTGAGGTGTCAAGATATAGCTTGCGTGCAAATTCTAAATTTCTTCCTACGTAGAATAGTTGAGCCTGCTCGCAGGCTATCAAGCTACCAAAAGAACGCTTCCATTCTCAGTCATGTGCATTTCTATCATAACAATATAATTATATTGTGCTGTCCTTCAACGGCTTGACATACGAACACCATTTATTTCTTGCAGAGCATTACACATAATTGAAGAAATATCGTCATGGATATTTATCGCATCGGGCAAATCATAAGCGTCACCATGCTTCTGATTCTTGCTAGGTATAGAGCCCACTGCAAAGGTAGGTACATAAATCAAAGGACATTTAACAGTAAGGATAATATTCAACTTATTCTTTTTCACCGATACAAACAACATAATCGAAACCTAGATAAGTGTTGATTTTACTATAAAGCTGACAATATTGGTCTAATGTACACGTTTGTCTTTTTATTGGTAATTTCTAGTTTGTTTGCTTCAAACGATTCATGGAGCCTCTTACATTCATGATTTGCCTGATTAAACCGAGTATTAAAATTTTCCTTATTTGCAAAAATCGTCTGCAAACAGTATTGCAATTGTAAGGTTCACGGTGTCATATCATCTATATAAATAACGAATAGGATTCGTCTTAAGATAGATTCTTGTTTTACAGCATTGTCTACGCGAGGAAAGGATGACCTTTTTCATTGACTACTGGTTACTGGGTCTTTCTGCTAAGATAGCTGGAAAATTAATCACTTATTTTGAATCTAAAATAGTAACTATAAAAGCTTATGAAGGAGCAGAGAATGACTTACCGTACCAAGGATCATGACAATGCGTGATGTATTCTGGTCTTCATATTCTGGTTATTTGAGTGACCTTCATATAAACCGAACTGCAGATTTTACCGGAGCTTCTCCTTTTTCAGAAAAGGGAGGATTCGCTTTTCTTTAAAATACGGTCCATTATCTTTTCGAAACAGGAAAAGAGTGCGGTTCGTCTGTAATTTCTGCCATGGGTTTATCGCCTGTAGGGATTATCTTGAAGTTTTTCAAACTATTTGGCAAGATCCTATTAAGCATATGTTTAAGAAGTTTACAAGCTTTGTTCGGGCAAAAATAAAAACGAATAACGTGATGTTGGTCCAGCCAGCTTGCTTTCAGGCTGTTTATTTCTCGTAAGATTTCATTTTCATTTACTGTCAAAACCCGCCATGCCAAACAGAAACTATGCTTCATTTGTTCCCTGTGCTTTTTAAAGTGGTATAGATGCATTTTGGGATATGGTAGAAGACCATAGATTACGTAATATAAATTTTTTTCAAAAATTTCCCATGGGTGTCAACAGATGATCAAATTTGTGCGTAAATAAATCAAATTTTTGCAATAACTGCAACATTTACTGGAAAACTACCTTCAAAATCAAATTTTGTGGTAATTTTCTTGACCATATCCAAAGAAATAAGAATTTGACCATTTAACATTTGATAACTTTAAGCCTTCTTTGACTTCACTTGGCAGTTCACTCCTAGTTATCATATTGATATCTCTCCTTCTATTGATATACTGTTTATGTGCTTTGCAAGTCTGGGAAACGTTCGGCAAAAACACATACTACGCGTTTCATATGACAAATATTGATCACACCTGGTCAAATGATGATGCAACCTAACTGGATGACCTATTGTATAAGAAATCACAGTTTTACATATATCCCTCACAATCTAGCAGAGGAACACTAGCAGGTCGAATCTAACTACTTCTGCTACGTCAAAACAAAGTCAGGATGCAAATAGAGAAAATGGAAGTTTCGCTGTTCTTCTGTCTTGCTGTCCACTTTTGCCTCATTAACATGACATTGGCAGAACGTCAGCCAGCAGTTCATGTCAAAGCCATACCAAGATCTTGTCTTGATCACCTGAGAGCCGGGACAACAACAAATGGATACTATTCTATTGCGGGACCAAACGGGGAGTCTATCCCTATCTATTGCGACTTCACCTCTGAACCCGGCACAGCATGGACCATGGTTCTGTCATGGGCCCTCAAAAACAACAATTTGGTTGCCTTCCAAAGCACTCCATTTTCAGTGGACGCGCCAGTCAATGAAAGAACGCCAAATTGGGTCGCCTATAGGCTCTCAAAAGCTCAAATGATTTCCATCAAGGCCCATTCAACGCACTGGAGGGCTACATGCAGCTTTAACACGTATGGTATCGACTTCACCGATTACGTCAGGACGAATTTTAAGTCATTGGATGTCATGACGTATCTTGGGGATGGACTTTGCAAGAAAGTTGAGTATATAAACATTCGTGGTCATGCAGCCTATCAGAAAACTGCTAGATTTTGGCAAGTGCTGAATACATATATTCTCGTCATTGACAGTTACTATTCGGACGATATTTGTCAGTTTGGAGCAAAGCAAGGAGCAGCTACCAGTGAAGACAATTTCGGCTATTATGGCACAATAAACAAAAATTTCCGATGCACTGCCGGTCCAGAGTCAACCACCCAGTACTGGTTTGGTGGCTATTTATGAAGCAATGACTTTCATAAACTTATTTTGTTACCTAATCCTATTAATGATTTACCATTTTCATTAAAAATGAAGCAGAAGCGAAATTATGAACTCGTTTCATCAAGGTTGATGCTTGTGCTTTTGAAGCATAATCCCTGCTCAGCCCTTTAGTGTTCAAATAGAAGATGTATGGATTGGTCGTCACCCCGTGATCTATATAATTTTTTCATTTTGCATACAATCACTTACTCATGAAAAAAATGTTCTTCCTTTTGGGAGGCTTGAAGCCATGTCTGTCGTATTGGTCATGTGCCGATTCGATCGAAGATTGATGTCTATCTTATTGCTTGGGATGTCCATACACTTTTCTTACCCCTAACAACCAGGGATAAAGTAACAAAAATTAACCAATGGGTCTCTACAATTCCTAGTCGAAGCAAGTCTGGATAATTTCACTCGTAATCCTACTCTAACAGCACCAGTGTCTAGCAGAGGGTAAGAGCAGTGGTGCAGTAGCATCAAAATAACAAGGGGGCTCTTGCACATAATGTTGCTAAAACAATAACAAAAGTAGAAATTGGTTTTATTTTGGCCCCCTAGCACTACACCTGTGGCCGCCCGGGGGTTTAACTAATATAGCAAATAAGAGACACTGCAATGCAACGAGAATGAACAGCAAAAAATACACCTAAATCAGTGAAGGCTGATATTTCGCCCCGGCATACTTGGCTTCATCAGAGCAAAAGTAAACTGACTTAAAGATTTTCACATTAAAAGAAACGATGATGGTGTCGGATTGGTTGATGTGGAATGGTGTGAACGCAGCGCAGTTTAACTAATACACTGGCTACTCGCACAAGGGATGCGCAAACGGGTCTCATTTTTGGCTGAAAATTTTGGGACAGTATCATACCTTTTGGCTCTTTGGCTCTTTTTTCCGTTACAGTGTGCCCATAAAATATTTTTTCCACAATAGGTCATTTTTGTCATGAAAACGAAAATGTTGTCCAAATCAATATAAAAATGTATTATTCTTTTCCTAACAATTTCCTAAATGTAGTATTTTTACCCCCAACAGCCAGGGATAAAGTAACAATGTTATTCGAAATTGTCCTCAAAACCATACAAAAAATTGCCGTCCTCTTTGTATTAGCATTTTTAGCGCCCCTCCCCCTCAAAAGGCTTTAGCCCCCTCAATCTGTAATGCGTTCTGCTCTCTCAAACTGAGCTTTGGTTGGTGCTGGTCTTTGTCGGATTAAAAATTCCTCAAATACCATTTTACTAAGCCATTTTTTCCTAAGTTCAAGAGCTTGAGATGATCAATTTGTTACTTTTATTGTTATAAGACGCAGTCTAGTTATAAGACGAGCAATTTAAAATAACTAAAATGAAACTACAGCATCGACCAAGAGCTTGTGTGGTTTCAGATATCATATAATTACAACTTGGTTACACAACTTTCGAAAATTCTATAAATTGCAGCATTTTGCAACCTCTCTCGTAGAAGGCCTCTTAATAAGAAATAGTATAGAAGAAAGCATCCGCTAAGACGACAATATAATTAGACATCATACTACTGGTCACCCTTAGCCTTCAGGAACTGCTCCATAATGGTTGAATATAAACAATTTTCACTTCCTGGTTGGGGTCTGATTTGAGGGGCTTATACGAGGCGACCAATTTCAGGATTTATATGATAATCGCTTAATTCTTTGTTTCTGTGCAATTTGAACAGATTATTCAACTGGCCTAGCAACGGCTTTGATTACTCAAAATTTCAAATCATGTTTTTGGTCTTTTTAAAATAATGCGTTTTTCGAACAGTCACATTCACTGATGATATCTAGCAACAGGTTGGTGCAAAAAAAATTTTTAGCGTCGTTGCGAATAAAAATAACATTAATTATCTTCCATATTTATATATTAATACAGTAAATTCACGATAACTTGAATATTCGTTAAGTCGAACTGGTATTGCATTCTGCAATACATTCATGTAAATATACTTTCTTTAACCCGAATCCTCGATGGCTCGAGCATTCGCTTTCTCGAACCATTTTTCGATTCCCATATGGCCTACTTCGATGATCCGAACTTGTTTTTAGTGCGCATGATCAAATAACAACAATATATGAATCACACTATTGTTTTTCACAGAAAAAATTTGTTTAGATTTATAATCAAACAATCTTTTGGTGTTTCAAAAGTTTAAAATGGGTTTGAAAAAGCAACCATCTTGAGTTATGCTTAAGCTTTTCGTCTGGCACTCCCCAATGTATAAAACATCAGAACATAGATTGAAAACTCTACGCTAGGAAATATATACACCCAGTTGTGTAGACAGAAGGATTTTTTTCATCTTAGGACCCCATTGGTAATATTTTCAAATGGCAAGCGGCACTGATTGATCAACCTCGACAGTCATGTGCTAGCGTTTCTGATTGGCCTATTTCGAGCCACAATTGGGTATATATATTTCCTAGCATAGAGTTTTTGGTCTATGTTCGGACGTTTTATACTCTGAAGAGTGTCACACGAAAAGCTTTGATGACTCAAAAGTTTTGCTTTTTTCAAAGCCATTTTTATGCGCTTTCAAACCAAACGATTGTTTAATTAGTTTTATAATCTGCAGAATGAATGGAGAAACCAATCCTTCTCAAACACGAAGATTGCACCTGTTACCAGTTACTTTGGCGATGCATTTCGCTTCAGGATGACTTACCAAATAAACCAATAGTTTTGGCCAAATGTTCAGTATTTCCTTTATTTGAATGAGCAACAATCTATTTACCATTCCATTTATTACACATAACACCTGTTGATCAACAGGGTTTTTTTATTTTCAATCTTGCTTTGGAGTCTGATATCTTTATAAATGTTCTGTTCTTTAGTATAGGATTCAAGATTTATCGAAGCTGTAAAAACGATAGGAACTTTATTTTATAGAACTGTCGCATCTCTTTTCTGACATTCACACCCTAATTCAGTGAAGAAGGTTTTTTGAAATGCTGTTTCAATCTTCTGTTCCATTCTAATGTCAATTGTTGTTGTTGTTGTTGTTGTTGTTGTTGTTTACATGAACAACTTTCGTTAAGTTCGACAACAACAACAATAAGTAATGGCTGCCTTTTTCCTTAACTTCGAGTTATCTAGAGTCTCGATAACTCTAGACTTACTCCATGAGCCTCTGTTTCGCTACTGCCTCACTTGACGGACGCTACAACTACATTCGATAACTCGAAGAATTTAAATATTTTCATGGTTTAATTGTTCCCTTGGTTTCATCTTTCCCGTGGAAGTTTGAGTTATCGGGAAGTTTACTGTAGCTTTCCTCGCATTGAGCAACTATGAATTCTTCTCTGCTTTTAGTAACAACATTAATGTCGTTAATTAGTGATTTCCAAGTTAGTCTTTCTAGCGCTAGCAGGCTTAAACTTTCAAGATCCTTGATTGAATTAAGCTGGATTATTTAATTTTTTTTAATTTTTTGTGATTATTCATCACCATTTTTTCATTGTGTAAAACTGATAGTGTGCAAATTGGCCTTCAAAGAAAATTCTCTGAGTTTGATTTTTAAAAATGATGATTCGTTGCTTTCCACTGGGGGCATCGGGGTGTGGTCGTAAGATATTTCCAGAAAGGTTCCATTTATTTTACATTATTTCTTAAGATAGGACGTCTTCACCTGTTTGCTTTGTGTGTGTAGGGTATTCGACATTGAGCACCCCTCTAAGCTGTTGTCTTGAAATCAATTTTCTCTCTTTGTTGATTGCCAGTTACCAGAGATGTAAAAAAATGGTTTGATTTCAAACTTGACCCTTAAACGTGGTTAAAAGGCCTATATTTTTAAATTTTTATTTCAGATCTTACTGAATTCGGCATCGCTGGTATATTTGATATTTGCTCGGGATCACAATGCGACTCTTGTTCAGTTAATTCTCAAACTGGAATCCATTTGCAAGAGGCGTATCGCTTCGCTATAATGAAAGTAAACGAGAAGAACCTTCTCTACGGATTCAAGTTAAAAGAAAGTACTGTCTATACAAAAGACGAAGACTGGCTATATAAATCGATTCTTATTACTTTTTTCTTAAACTCCTACCCTATTATCAGTGCCTTAGAGCATCATAACCCATTTGTAGTTTCACTTTTCACTGAATCCCTCAAAATTCCTGTTATCAGTCATAGTGAAGACCCTCATGCCAAACACCAAATGGACTCATACCAATTTCAAATCACGCCCAACGAGAAATGCAGACTCTCGGCGGCTGTTGCCATTGTGAAGCAGCTTAAGTGGGATTACGTCATAATCATCAGCTCAAGCGGTAGAATTGGGAATGAAATCACGTCTCTGTTTGTGCAACATCTTCTCAAGTTTGATATATGCGATGCAAAGAGTTATCGTTTGCCTTTAAATCCAAGCGGCACTGACTATATCGAGACGGTTAGGGGTGCCAATGCAACGAAAGCCACAGGCCTTGTTTTATTTACAAATACAAGAGATTCGAAAGGCATCGCATTTGGTCTGAGGGCCTTGTCCTTAAAAAACAGGTTCCAAATCCTTGCGTTGTCTGGCTTTACCAATTATGTTGAGGTAACAAAAGGAAATGAGGAGTTTCTTGAAGGAGCCATTAGCATTGAATTTGCAACAAAAGAGAACCAAGAATTTCGAAACTACTTTCTATCTTTGAAAAGGAACACATACACAGACAAGCCGTTCAGTTCCTTCTGGAGAACCACTTTCAATTGTTCTGTTGGGGTGGATGAATGTGGACAGCTGCATAACTGCTCAGGAGCAGAGAAACTTCGTGTTAATGAAGGTTACTACCCAAATACCCCTGTAAACTACGTTATAAACTCAGTATTTTCTTTCGCTTACGCAATTAGAAAGTATATTGAAAAGAAATGCAACAATAAACCACCATGCAAAATCCCTTCCATAAAAAAATCAAAGGAGAGAAAACAATTCTTTTTATTCCTGAATACCTTTCTAGCAAGTAAAGCTTTTGCGGACAAAACACTGAACATCAGCGACCCAATAACAAATCTCAACCCAGCAGTCGTTAGTTATAACATACTCAACTACATTCGAACTGAATCTGGGTTTCAGAATAAGATACTTGGCAATTGGACATTTGAACGTGAGGGAAAGGCAAACCCAGCTTTTAACGCATCACATTTAGTACCTGGAGACCTGATTCTTAACTCTGAAATTATCTGGACAAGAATAAAGAAGCAAGCAGTTTCTTCTTGTCGACCTCAATGTCGTGGGGGTGAGAAATGGGAGCAGAACATGAAATTGGGACAGTGCTGCAGAAAATGTACGAAATGCAAGGAGAATGACATCGTTGTCAACGACAGTTGCATGGATTGTGGAAACGATGGCAGACCAAATATTTTGAGATTAGGTTGTGTTCCTCTTGAAGTGCAACATTTTGGAAATGACTCGTCGTCAAAACGAGCCATTTTGGCATACATCGGGTTGTCAGCTATTGGAGTCATAGCAACACTGTTCGTTATATTTATTTTCATCAAGTTCAACGACAACAAACTCGTTAGAGCATCAGGTCGTGATTTGTCTTATGTTATTTTGTGTGGCATCTGTGTTCTATTTCTCTCACCAATCGCATTTCTGATAGCCCCTTCAAGAGCCATTTGTGTATCAAGAGATATCATACCAGGTATCGCATTCTGCATGTGCTACTCGCCGCTGTTTCTTAAGACCAACCGAATATACAGAATATTTTGTAACGCCCAGACGTCAGTGGCTAGGCCGAATTTGATCAGTCCACAGTCACAGCTCTTTCTTCTTTTGAACATCATAGGAGTCCAAGTATTGCTAGGAATTGTATGGATGCTAGGGACAGCGAAGAAGATCACTAAAGTTTACGACAAGCAGAACGGTGTCGTTACTCATCATTGCAGCAACAGGGCACTCTCTCTTGTTCTCAACATGTTGCTGAGTGTCTTTTTCATGTGCTGCTGCACGTGGTACGCGTTTAAAACGCGCAATTTCCCGAAGAATTACAACGAGTCAAAATACATTGCATTCACAATGTACCTCACTTTCCTTGCCTGGGCGGTGTTTCTACCGACGTATTTCTCTGCTGATGAGCTTAGCTATGCGCATGACCACTTGATTTGTGCCACTTTGATCGCCGCTGCCTTCGTTACCCTTCTCGGTCTGTTTGGTCAAAAAGTCCAGATACTTGTTATGCCTACGCGGGCTCAAAAAAAGAGGCAAGTTTCCGATGTTTCAAAGCAAGAGGCTGATCCTAACCGATTTCAAATGCAATCTCATAAACTAAACTCAATGTCCTTGCAAAGAGGCACAGAGGCTATGTACGGCCAGAGACGATTCACTTCAGCAAGTCAAGATGTATATTGACATTGCGTTTTTGTGTTTATTATCGTCTTCTGATTGACTTAATCCATTTTATTGCAACAATTTTAAAAACTTACTAGATGCAAGCGAAAGCACAGAAATCGGAGCAAAGAAAATGCTGCAAAAAGTATTAATAATACTGGTGTCTGTTGTGTAAAATGGAAACGACGTCACCATATTGTTCAGATTTTCTTTAGCTTTTTATGCAAAGTACCCAATAGTTGTAGATGTCCTATATTTCCGCACTAGCGCAGTATCAAAAATCTAACAGGAAACTTAATCAGATAACTGCTTCTGTTTGATCCTACCCCTTTCAGCATGATATCTAAATTTTCTTGATTTCTTCACTTCAGGGCTTTGAATTTCCATATGGTGATAAAGTCGATTCCCTTTTATAAAGCCTTCCTTATATTACATTTATATTTGAGCATAAGAACAGACAAAATTGAATGAGAGAATAGTTATATACCGACATTTCATACATTACATGAAAGAAATTTTTGAGAGCAAAATGTTTCTCCAAATAGCAATCCCTATCTCTAAAACAGTTGCAATGCATAGTCAAAAACCATTAGAAAACCTTTATACTCGTTTAGTGCCATTTGATTTTAGTTCAACGAGGCAGGCAGAAGTTAGCCACATTTTTGTAAAGGCCTTCACTCTTATTTCCTCATAACGTAGTTTCCCCGCCTAGACCTTATAACTAAACCATCTTATCATTACTTTGTCTTGCTCTTTAAGTTCGCAACCCTAAAAATTTTTAAATTAGAAACTAGGATGAATCAAATTTTCCAGTGTATATAGATAGCTACTGCGATTCTTGAAAAAATAAGATTAATTTAAGCCAAATATTCCTTTGATGTGAATTTCGTTTTCCCCGTGTTGAAACCCTAGTTTTTGATACTTGATTTCCAGTTCATTATAGCATTAGCCTGATTGTGACGTCATTTTATGATTTGGATTGTGACGTAATCTCAATTTGCTAACTTTTTTGGTATAAAGCTGAGTATGATCAGAGTATTGATGCTTTTCGAAAAAAGCTCGTAAGTGATCGCAATCGCAAAAAGGACTGAGGCTTTTCTTGGTGCTCGATTCGAAATTTTGGTATTTATTGAATTTTCTCTAATAACGATGTCGTGCAGCAGCGAATCTGAAAGCGATACTACCTTCGTGGTTGACTATAATCCTGTCGTAAAGTTTATGGTAAGTTTTGCATTATTTGGTATAAATATATAATTTTTCATTGTAAGCAAAATGACTAAATAGAAGTTTTTTTTCTAAAGCTGAATTTTGTAATTTTGAGTTCCTTAAAAAGGATTTGTTAAAGCGATGGTTTCAGCTTCCTTCGCTTTTACATATCACTTATTACATATTACATTAAGTTTGGGCTTTAAATAAAACTCATTTGTGAAAGATCTTTCTCATTCCCACTTAATGCCTTTTAAGAGTTCCCCTCGTGGATCTTAAGCTCCTCGATATTTCTGATATTTCTACCCCTCGTGGTATACCTCGAAACTCATCAAAGCAGTTTCTTTTTCTTTGTGAACGCAGATAGTTAAAGGTAGAAATAAAGATTGAAAAAATGTCAAAAGAAAAACATAAAATAATAGATTATTAAATGCATATATTAGATGCATATTTTTGAGATTCTCAAAAAACAAAGTCTCCGGATCTGTTAGTTTATATGAATTTGTACATCTACCAAGGCACTTTCTGTGATTGATTACAGTGGCGTAGCGTGAGCGCAGAACTTAGGCATGCGGTAACATAAAATATACGGCTATGTTGAATAAATATAATGGTAATTTCAGTTTCTAAAAATTACAAGCGGTAATTAATGATAATCGTGATAGCAAATTTTGATTTTCAAAGTAAAAAATCATTTGTACTCTAATTCTAATCAATCAAGGTGTCTATTCTTTGCATTAGAGGCTCCGACAGAGGTTGGAAAGTGAAGGGGGGCCAAGGGAAAAATTATCACCCATGCGAAAGTTTTTGAAAAAAGCTCAATTGTTTAGCAAGAATTTTCAGAATAACTTCTAGTGCTAAAACAGCTTCGCAAAAGATTTAATTCTCATTCATATTCCTCAAGAAAAGGCATCACCTAATGCCCACCTAATGTAAGAATTTTTTATGCTATAATGAAGCTGGGGATTCCCGCAAGGAGGAGCTCTCCACATTGCAAAATTGTTAACACGCTGCAGAGCCTAAGCGAACAGGAGCAACAGTTTCTGCTCATTTTTTACTCTCATAGTTAACGAAGATGAAAATAGTGAGCTGTGAGAGTTGTTAGAATTGAAGATGCTTCCATGTGTAAAGTTTCAGAAAGTTAGTCCCGGCAAATCATCATGTATTAGGCAAGGCTTGCGCTCAGGTCTACCGCATGCCCTGGTCCGTAAATTGTGACTATACTGGCAAGCCTTTTGACTTGAATTACGGAATGCGGATCATGACAAATAGACTCTGACCCCACTTTGACGAAACTTTTTCTCTTTTCAACAGTCACAAAGTAAAGAAGGGGAAATAATTGGATTTGAAATGATGTATCACGCAAAGAATATTCGCAAAAAGCAGCTTATAGGTAGAAAAATGTTGTGGATTATCAAATATTTGGGAAGGCTTGCGCTCAGGCCGACCGCAAGCTCCAGTCCGGAAAATTCTCACTTCTCTCAGAAGCTTCTCTCGAGTTGCACTGGAGCTGCACTGGAGCATCACATGTTTCTCTTATTTTGGACAGGCAAAAAGAGTGTTGTGGAGGGGCTTCAGTTTTTCAGATTTTTCGAATTTCATAATTTTTAGCGATCTGTTTACTTAGAAAAATAGCCAATTGGGGCCAATTGGCCTGTTGGCGCTAGAGTTCACCGCATGCTGCTCATGACAAGAAAGAGAAGCCGTTTATTGCGGAAATTGGTATGCATTGAAAGTGTTGCAAGAATTTTAGAATTTGTCTATAAATTTTTACGCTTGCGCCGCAAGCGTAGAATACATAGACGCTACGCCACTGTGACTGAACTGTAGTGTCTTTCTGGGAAAAGTTCTTTTGAAAATACAAATTACTTCATACTTGTTGCCATGAAATGCTGCAGAGTATGTTCATTGTTTGCTTCATTCAACACTCTTCCAATTCATGTTTCTCTTTCACCAACAGAATGCATTTCCTGTTGGTTTCTTCACACCAAACGACGGAACGATGGCCAACTTGTTTGAAGAAATCAAACTTCATATTGGTAAGACAAATATTTTTTGTTGTCGTATAGACCCTGCTGTACCTCCCGTTACGTACATTTCTATCTGTACCTTAGCATCAAAATTACACCTAATCCTTGCCAAAAAAACTGGAACGCCTTCCCATTGCAGCATGCAAATAAAAAAAGCATGTCTAAAGCTACCTTACCAAAATATCGCTGCAGCTTCAAAAACTTCGACCCCCTCCCCCCGTAAATGTTGATTTATTTTCTCAATACTTTCATACAGCTTTCAGTGAGAAATTTTTGCCTTCAGGATCAAAACAGCTCACTTGAGCTACATTGTAATGGGGGGTAGGGGGGATATTTCATAAAAGCTCCAGCCTTGCGCAAGTGTTCCAACAATTTTGGCAAGGATTGTAGAAGCGTATCTGGGGTAGGAGAGTGAAGTGAATTTGCGCTTGTGTCCAAATATACAAAACCAATATCAGACCTCATTCTCTGTCTGTAATGATTTCATAATGATACTCAGAGACGTATCCAAGTGGAATAGGCCTCTGAGTATTACTTCTGCCCAAACATACGACACCAAAATCAGACCTTCCTCCAACTCTAGAGATCTGTATATTGGAACTAGCATAAAAGGAGTCATTTAGGCGGCAATATGGTTGCTGCGGAAGAACGGAAAAGGTTCGAATTTTGTATTCCAGATCGTTGGGAAATATACTCATTTAAGCAATGTTGTCTTGCCAAAGGTTAAAGATTTTATTAGATATGAATTCTTGTGGAGAAGAAAAAAGTTCAATGTATGATGAAAATGAGACTTAGAGACAAATGATAATCCTAACAACCTTCTTTGAATGAAGGATTTTCCAGGTCTTTATATCGAATTGGTACCCTACTTTAATGTAGTGCCAAGGGCGCCCGCCATACCCTAGAGACACCACTAAATGAAACATAGAAACCCCTTTTTCAATTGGAGGCATTCCATGTACTTCTTTTCCTGCGGATAATAGGCCTGAAAGAAAAGATTAACAATTTGCTCTTACTTCTTGCATCATAATAAATAAAGCCCTGGCCAAACGAATAAAACATCGGCATAAAACATAATCCAACATTGTTGCTTAAAACATGTTTGATTCGTTTGGTCACTATGTTTTACGATGTTTTATGATGTTTTACAAAATTTGATTTCCATCAACATTTCGTAAAACATCTCTTTTGTTCTCATGTTTGATCAACAATGTTGCGCTCGTTTGGCCACCCCTTAAACGCACGCAAGCACAATAAATTAAAATTCGGCAAATACAACGCAGTAACTGTACGCCAGCGCTTGACCATCACAGATGCTTAACATTTTTTTTTGATTCGTTTGGCCAGGTCATAAAACATTGTCCAACAACGTTGGTGCGAAAATGTTTGACAATGTTTTACGGATGTTTTATTCGTTTGGCCGAGCCTTAAGCCTTGCGCATACGGGCATTTTTAAAGGGAGACGATAGTGGACAAGAGACAATATTCTTCAATATTTAAAAGTCTTTTTATTACTTTACCTTAATGGAACTAAAATAAGTGTTCAGGGATAACGAGACATAAAATAACTTGCTCTAACTATGCCTAGATTTCCAAGGAGACATAAGATAACTAAAAAGATCTGCTGAATTCTAATAGTGCAGATTCAAGATAAAGTACTGTAGCCTATATTCTTCATGAGAGCAAAAAGCTGAGCAGATCTGACCAAGTAAAGACAATATTTTTGGATAATTCGCAGGCAAACTTTTCGATGTGATCAAGAAGTGCACTGATATCGTCGACTGCCATGTTGTTGAACAATTGAAAAAGAGATGCTATCAAAAGACGGCCTTTAATGAGGTTCGTTCTTGACTGCTTTATTCAAAATCGTTCTTGCACAAGAAACCTTTCTATTCATCTGTGTTTCAATGTTTAGAGCACTATGCTACTATTCACTGTGTACATTGTTTGAATAATTTATAGTTGGTTGATTATTGTTTTCAAACTCAACATCTTTTCAACTTAACATCATTGTTTTCAAAAATAATTTGCAGCCTAATTTCTTCATATTTTTCAATTCAAGTGTGGTTATGATAAAAATTGTAAGCTAATGAAATGAAAGGCCTTGAAAACAATATTGCAATTATGAATCATACATCTTTATAGGAACCAGGCATCTGTTCCCAAAAAGCAAAAGCCTAGAAATGCAAAGTTATTTTCAGATAAAACATCAATTGAAAGGAGAAAGAAGAAAGCAGTTTCCACCTGCAATAAACAAATCTCTAATTTCATAATATTTAATGTTTTTACCTGACTTGTGCCAATTTTTAATAATTTTTTTGGTATTTTTGTAGATTAAAAATGCAGTTCAGTTCATTCTCGATCGATTGGTGCAACTTCATTCCTATGTGAGTGTCTTGCACAATATTTTTCGTGAAGATTTTAAAATAAGCTGAGCTGATTTTTTACCGATACAGCAAAATATAATCATGTTTCTTCATCTTTAACTTCCATAAGCACGGCAAGGTCAAAAAAAATACTGGCTGCGTTTTTATACTTTTTGTGAAGTGAAATTCGAAGAAATAATTCGAAGAATCTCCGGGTCCTTCTTATGCCTAATTGTGTGGAATTAACCATAATTTTAGTATCTGCCTCCTTGAGCTTTACATCTACCAAACGTTTTCAAAAAGACTTTCTAGGCCGTGCTTTACAGGCCTCAGAACATTAGCCGATAAACAGAACTATTTTTAACGTCATTTGATTTTTAATTAGTTTGAATCTATGCAATCTTATGCTAGTTTGACACAAATGGCATGATCTTACACTTTCGAAACAATGTTTTTATTTCACCATCATTTTGCAGGCAGACAACAACGATGTTGCAGATTATGTGGAGTTATGTGGCAACTTCTTGAAACGGCTAGTGGATGCATGGAACAACTTTTTCGCCAGACTTTACCGAATCGTAAGTTTCTGTATTTGTTTTGAATTAGGTGTTGATTTTTCTTTCTGAATTTGGAAGAACTACAGGTTTCTCAGTTTATCAAATTGATTTCGAATTCCAAAAAAGTTACCTCGAAGCATTCATTGCAGAGGTAATAGCAAATCTAGCATGCAAAAAGGCTTCATTTAAAGAGCGAGAAAGTCAGTTTTAGGTTCAGAGATAGAGCTAAGACGTGAAGAGCTGCGAGAGCTCAGGAGACACCGCCAAAAAGTAGTCCTTTTCTACTTAACGCTTGACTAATGAATTCGTGGAAGAATCACAATGCTCAACTTTATATTATTTGCTTTTTGTCGTTTAGAGTTTTACAAAGCACCAAAAGCGAGCCGAACGGTACTTGAAGAGACGACACAGACTGGCTGAATGTCAAACGCAGAGTCTGCAAATCAAATTGCAAAAACTCGTCCTGAAGATGAATGGTGTCTTTCCAACTTGCAAAGTGAAGCCTGCGATCAAGATAAAGGAATGCTTCTTCGATAGCTTGTTGCTGTTCCATCTGGCAAAACTTAAATTCGAAGTGCAGTGCGCAGAAGAAACAGATAGTGAGGAGGAGACACCGAAAGATGAAGACTTGTCAAAAAGAAGGAAACTTCAAGGAAGAAAAAGAAAGAGAGCTTCCACTGAAAATTGTTTTCATAAAAGCAAGGAAAACGCCGAGGACAGGAATACTTTGAACACACGAATGGCGACAGGAATACCCTACGGTGGCATTAGGTTGACGCTGAAAAGAGATGGAAGGAGATGGGTGGCTTGTTTTCAAGAGTGTAATACACGTCAAGTGCAGAGGAATGAAGATGTCACAGACAAAAATTCATTTGCTTCGAAGAAGTCTTCCAAAAGACGTCGTTTAAGCAGTGACATTCAATAGTTGTCTCTCAAAACTGTTTCAAGAAATACTGTTTTTAAAGACATTTAGATGCTTAATTTAGACTTCTGTATTGCTGTTTGAGGTACATAGATGTGGACAAATCTAACCATGATGTTGCTGTTGTCCTCTTTAAAAATTGTTAAGGTTGAAAGGCAGCTTTATGTGTCGCAAACTTCAAGTAGCTGAAATGCGTTCACATTCAGAAGAAAACCGTGCAGATTTTTACACGGAAAGGAATATGTTTTCTTATTCAGCAGAATATAAATTTTCACATTCAACAGATTATTTCCATTCACATTCAGCAAAACAATTGATTGTCATTCATGCTAAAATTATTCATTCGGGCAACTATGAAAAATCCCATTCGGTCTGAGGCAAGAGGCAAGAACGACTGAGGCAAATTATAAGGGAAGAAATTGTCAGAATAACTCATGTTCCTACAAGTTGATATAATGTTTTCGCTAGAACTGATTGGGAACGCTGCCAGGACGACCGCAAACGAGTGTCGCATTAAGGATCTGGCGTAACTAGGCCGAGTTTATTGAGCCCTAGCGTAAGCGCTCCGAAGTGCATCGACATCTGCCTTTATCAACAGATATTTTGGTATCGGGAAGAAGAAAAAGAAGCGAACTGGCCACCTATGGAGCTGTTTACAGAGCCTCCAATATTTTTCGAAATTATGACAAGAGGGGTGAGCCCCATGAACCCCCTCCACTGCATTTCAGGTTCTTATTCAATATCAACATTAATAAAGTTTTGGCACCCACTGTCTACACTGATACACACGGCTCATATGACGCAAAAAATTCATTGGCTGAGATTCGATCTACCGGATTCTCTTTTGCTTTAAATACGTTCTCAAATTTCAAACAGTCTAGAAGAAGTGCGCTAAGGTTTGTTTCGCTAATTGTACAACATCAAAAGAAAGAAAGGATGCAAATTGTCGAAATGAGAGTTTTTCTTTTTATCTTTCTCACTGTCCTCATTTGCCATATTTTTACGGCACCAACAGGGAATGGAAATCAGCCAGCAGTTCATGTCAAAGCCATACCAAGGTCTTGTCTTGATCACCTAAGAGACGGGACAACAAAAAATGGATACTATTCTATTGCAGGACCAGAAGGGGAATCAATCCCTGTCTATTGTGACTTTACTTCGGAACCAGGCACAGCATGGACCATGGTTCTGTCATGGGCCCTCAAAAACAACAATTTGGTTGCCTTCCAAAGCACTCCATTTTCAGTGGACGCGCCAGTCAATGAAAGAACGCCAAATTGGGTCGCCTATAGGCTCTCAAAAGCTCAAATGATTTCCATCAAGGCCCATTCAACGCACTGGAGGGCTACATGCAGCTTTAACACGTATGGTATCGACTTCACCGATTACGTCAGGGCAAATTTTAAGTCATTGGATGTCATGACGTATCTTGGAGTTGGAAAATGCAAGAAAGTTGAGTACATCAACATACGTGGTAATGTAGCCTATCAGAAGACCGCTAGATTTTGGCAAGTTGTGAATCAATATATTCTCGTCATTGACAGTTACTATTCGGACGATATTTGTCAGTTTGGAGCAAAACCAAGGGCAGTTTTTAGTGAAGACAATTTCGGCTATTATGGTACAATAAACAAGAATTTCCGATGCACTGCCGGTCCAGAGTCAACCACCCAGTACTGGTTTGGTGGCTATCTATGAAGCAGTTGTCTTCAATAAACAGTTTTTCAATCTTTTATTAATAGGTTAAATTAGCTTTGATGTTTTAACTTTTTCGTGATAATATAAGCGGCAGAGAAGCTCTGAACCCCTTTTCCATCACGGTTGACCAAGGTGTTGTGCAATGCGACTCCCTGATCGCCCCTTTTGTGCTCAAGTAGAGGATGTATGCAGTGAACTTCACGCCGTGTAGCTATATGTATTTCCATTTTGCATATTATTGTTTATAACGATATTTTTCCTCTCAAGTTCTTATGGATGGCGTGAAGCCATGTCTGTCGTGCATGTCAGTTGTATTGGTCAGGTGTCCATTTGAATCGGGTAAGGCGTAAACAGTAAACGGTACGGAATGTATCTGCCGAAAAATTTCCACCTTTTTGGCGCCTTTCTTGCAAAGAACTGTTTACTAAGAGCAGGGACGCCGGAACGACCAAGGGGCAAGGGGGCGGGCTTGAGTAGAAGGGCATTTGAAAAAATTAATTCTCAGCTTCCAACAATTCTTTCGTAACTGTCATTTTGTTTCGATCTTTTGTCGGTATCTTAAAAATCAGCTAAATTTTGGCATAAGAATTTTCTTCCCAGGTTTCGAGAATTGTCGTCATAAATAAGGCACTACAGTCAGGAATTCATCTCATGGATTTCCTACAAAAGGCCGGCGTCAAGTGCACTTCTATGAAAAGGGCACTTTAGCCCCTTGCCCCTCCTATCAAAAGGCAACAGGGACAGTCGACCCCGTGCCCCCCTCTCTGGCGTCATCAATGTTGCTAATGATAGATACTGATGGAATTCCTTAGGAAATTATGTTGATGCCAATGTGGATAGAGGTCTCTTCAGTTGATTCGATTTCGTTTATGATCGTTTTTCCATGGCTTTTTATCAATTTACTGCTAGTGGCACCACCGATGCCTCCGACAGCTATACTGTTCAGTTTTGTGCTATCAAGACGCTTTATGTGTGAGTCACCAAGCAGGAAAAATTTGTTATTGTTTCTTTTTTTCATTATTCTTAGCATTTGCTTTCGGAGTTACCTTAATGATACCATTATCAGAGTGGTTGGCATTGTTAGAGTTGCAACCCTGTTTCATGATTCTTCAACAGAGCTACAACGTCTCTTATCGCTGTGATTGCATATACGAAGTTACTATATTTAGAGACAAAGTCATACATACCGACGAGTTGAATTTTTTTGTTATTTACTGAATAGTCAGCAAATGACATTTTTACCTTGTTCTGTTAATCATGTTCTGTTTAGCATTCATCCATGCACAAAATTACTGAATTTCAAAACTTGATTTCCTTACAGACTAACATTTACTAGCATTTTCCAAGGAGTTTTCTATTTGCTATTATTGTGGGCCGGTTTGATCAAAATGTACACGGGCCGAAAAAATTAGCCAGTCCGCCCCTGAGAGCGAGTTGAAACGAGTAGACAGACATCTTAAAATCCAGGGTGCATCGGAACAGCCAACAGGACCACAGATGCGTTACCGGCTGCATCCCAACCAATGCTTAACTGTAACTGTTCTGCATTTCTGTAAATGTTTTCAACATAAGCTGATCTAGCTATGTGCAAATGTAGATTGACAACACACGGTGGCATCAAACATAGGTCAAAAACTTTCCCATTAGTTTAAAAAATATTCCAGCAACTCTTTGAGCGGACGACATGACCTTGGTGACAGTTGGAAAACGGTATGGAGTAGAGGCTCCCTGGTACCGAGTTTCTCCGTATAACATCGATTTTCGTAATCAGCGTATCGAAATTAACCAAATAGAATTGGTCTTGCAAATCCCCTAAATGGGTGACGATACCCACCCCCCCCCCCTCCTTTCTCGCTTGGTCTATAAAATCTTTTTGGCTCTCCCATTGTCAATAGTACACATTCGAAAGCTGTAGTTTTTCCACTTCGAAATTCTGAAATATGTTCTAGAAAAAAATATAATTTCCTATCATGTTTAAAGTTTTGGAAGCAAATAATACTTTTCATCAAACTATTTTTCCATCTTTGGGTGGAAGGGCGTTTTGTGTGAAGATAATTGCCATAAAATTAGGTATTCAAACAAGAGACATGGGCTGGAGTTTGGCGAAAGCACTGTAATAATTTACGGTGGCCCACAGGTGCCACGGCAAAACTTTCTTTCTCACGGCAAAACTTACTTTCTCACCAGTGGGCCACCGTAATAATTGGATCCAAGGGTTTGAGCCTTCTTTGCTGCGTCACTGAAAGTACAGGATATAGTAGGGTATGGATGTTGCTTTGAGGTTCATTACTGCCCTGCAGGGGCGAAAATACCGGGAGGGTCCCAATCCAAAAAATAGGCGATTTCGCAGGGCAATCGAAGATTTCGCAGGGCGCCAAGAAGAGCTTTATTGCCACGCAGAAACGCCACCACTGAAGTTCGTAAAGGGCCGTTTAGGAATTTTGAAATGGAAATATCGTATTTTTTATGAAACTCCCTTCCTGACATTGCATTTTAGAGAACTGAACAGGTATGTAAGGAAAGGCTCCGTTATTTGCAAAGCGAAAGCATTTCCTACCGAAAGTTATAGCCAATGGATGCAATGATGGATGCATATGTTTATGAGGGCAAGATTGAGTCCATGCAAATTAATTTAAGTTGTAAATTATTTTCATGACAGGTACGGTGCCACTGGGGGGAATAGAAAGCTGAAAGCCCCCACTTCATTTTATATATTACTTTTCAAGTGCATGAACTAAAAAACATGATAAATCGTTGAGATACCAATTTTGTTTCATCTAATTGCTAACTTTTTTACGTATATTTTTATCATTTTTCTTTTATTTGCATTAATTCAGTAAATCATTTTCTGTATCATTGCAATGTTTCAATTTTGGATGTGTAAACATGGCCTTCTCGATACAAGAAACTGCACATTTCTGTTCAGGAAAAAAAATTCCCCAAATCAAAACAACATCTTCCTCTGTCATTCACAACTATGTGCAATCTGAAATGAAAGGTTACCGTTTCTTTCCTTCCCCAACGTTTAATACTAGAGTTTTAGCATGATATCCCCCCTCCCTATTTTTCCCAATAAGCAATAATATTTTCAATAAACAATCAGTTCTTTTAGCACAATAGTATTTTGCTAAATTTTTTGTCTGAAAGATGCTTTTTAGCCCTTTTACAAGGTATAATTTCAAAAATTTTCTTCACGTCGGACCCAACCATGGTGGGTCCTCCTACCTCACTAAGCTTGATTCTTAGTCCCCCTGGGCTAAATTTTGTTGCGCTGTCTACTTCATGTATCCCCCCCCATTAGCTGTTTATTAGCTAGTATTTTGCAAACCAACATTAAATGAAGTGAATATAAAAAAATTACGCTCACGTAGAGAAATAGATATTTCATAGGCAATGAAGTTTCAAGTTTATTTTTTTTTGCTTAGAAGTTTGTCCTTGGTAAAGACCAGTGTACACTGGTAAAGCTTTCACTAGTAACCTATAGACAAACCGTTGCTACGAGGTCTGCAGGGCACCACTCAGTTTTGCAGGGCAGAATCCCTTTTCACCCCCCCCAAACCTATTGGCCAAGTTACGCCCCTGCTGCCCTGCCCTTATTATTCAGATCTTATATATTTGCAAACAAATTCAGACCATGTATACATCTGAAATTTCCGACGAAATTTTATAATGTCAAGTGGACACGCTTTAAGTTAGAAGAAATAACGTCGATATGAATTGTACAACAAATTTGCATTAAATTCAAACAAAATGTTTACAATCACATCATATATTTTGTATAAATAGACGTTTGTCCCATATGGCGGGGCATAGGTTCCATTTTCCTTCCACAAAGTACCAGGGTCAGAAGTTTCTGCGAAGGAGATGATAGTTTCGAATTTCAAAAGGGCCGAAAATCTTGTGACGATCAAGGAAGAGAGGAAACTGGAAAGATGGCAAGAACTTTTTTCACATTTATTGCCTTTTTCTACGGTATGTAGAAGTTTATTACCTTTCAAGTATATCTTTAAGTCTTTTATTTATCTCTTCTATTGTCTACTCTGTCTAGTACGCGAGTTGTCCTGCGGCTTTCGGGTTTGTTCAAATACATTAGGCCGGGCTCCGTTGCATAACGTAGCCTAGCCTGCCCTGGATCTACATTTTATATATCCATGGTCTTCTATCTTGATAATGAATTTCAAGACGTTAGAGTGCATAGCACAATTTATGTACAAGGTTCAGGCAAACAATGATCCTTTGGGCCTAAAGCTAGTCTGCAGAATGTAGCATTTGTACACAAGGATTTTTCAGAGGCTTGTCTAATAACGTAGGGTTGCACACATTGAAATGACCTATGCTTGCCCTAAAGCCGTTGATGATCAGAATGGATAATCTATAGACTACAATGCTTGCCAAAAGTCTTTTCAGCCATTCCCCTTCCCCCGTTTGAACAATGTTTGTTTACTACAAAACGACGTTGGTGATTAGGAAGAACGCTTTTTCTGCGACTTCTATGACATTTTTGTAAGTTATCAACATTGTTTAGGGGGGAAGGGGTGTGGAAGTAGGAGTATCAAGAATAGAATTGAAAAATATAAAATCATTACCCAAATTGCTGGGTGTTCCAAGTTCTTTTGGCAATGATTGTAGCACATTCCAGTTCTCTTGGAAACTGAAGTCTGAGTTTATTCTGAATGTTCAAGGCCTTGAAGAGGTGTAGCAAAGGGCATAGAAAAGTCTGAATCAAAGAAAATAAAATTTTTAAGCTACAGTATCTGACTTATCCTAAGCATTAGCTGAAATAGTATGGCTCTGCTCTTCCTGTTGTGGTTTGTAAAAAGCTGGAGTTTCATTCATGAGAGGCCAACAAAAAGATTTGAAAATATGTGCTTGAATTTTTAAACACATGCAAGAAACTATGAGTATACTGCAAGTTTTCTAACCTTAAATTTCGAAATGTATTTCTTGTGCGATCCTGCTTTACAAAATGCTTTGTAGTTAACAAGAATCTGTGAATATAAGGTCATAAATTTCCAATCAAGGGGTGCAATGGGGTGCTAATTCTATTTTAGCATAAAATATTTATAAACATTTATTGAAAATACAAAATTGGGAGCCCCTGAAAGAAAGTAAGTAAGTAAGTAACTGTTCTTTGGTGGATGGGTGGACCCTTTGGCTGCAGCTGAACGACACATTTTTTGGTTCTGATACTGGGTATTATGCTTTTGCAGTTTCATAATGCCAAGCGAGGAATTGCCATTTTCCTTTAATTGATGTTCCGCTTGCAGCTACGAAATGGTGTTGACTCTATTGGTTTTTCTGACCCTATTGTGATATTAGGTGACTTCAATGTGAATGGGAAAGAAGAATAATATGAGTGAAATTGACTTATATCATATATGCTAGACTCCGAGTGTTATACACAGTTAATAAGTGAAATTTACAACTGACTATGATACACTTATGGAAAATATCTATTGATCACATCTATACAAACATGCCCCATTTTGTATCATCATTTGGTGTCTTAGAATCTTACTATAGTGATCACAAGCCACTTTTTCAAACTATGAAACTTTGAATGAGACAAAAAACTCTTCAACTTATGAATGGATGCAGATGGCTGTGAATTAGATTTAATCACCATGAAGCAATGTTGATAATCATGTATCAGTGTGAGTGATCAACAATCATCACAAATCATATATCTGTGAAAGTCTTCTTAAATCAGCTCAAATGATCCTGAATCTCTGTAATTCTTTGTCAATCTGCATAAATAAAAACAAATCAGCCCTAGAAATCCTAATTCAATGTCAGTGACTTTGTAAACAAGAATAAATTCATCCAATAGGCAATAACCAATAAATCAGAATTATTGTATCCAGCCTATTGCAAGTAAGAGCATGAATCATTAATCATGACAAAATTTACTAAATGAACTGAATGCTACACATTGTATAGTTACATTCATGTTTCCCTCACGATTAATCGTGAAGGGTACTGTGCGACATAGAGAAGTTTCAGTGACTTTAGAAACGTAAGGAAGTTTCAATTCTGTTCAGCAAAGTTACAGGAAAAAACAGACAAAAATAGCTTTAGCAAATAAAACAAAAAGAAGGCCATGTAACCAACAAATGGCAAAGTTCCTATTACTCTGCTTTCGTAGGAAAATGAACTAAATGAATCGTTTTTGTTTTCGGGTTCCCATCGATACGTTCAAAAACGGAGACGTTTGATGATGATGTTCAAAGTTATCAACCAAAAACAGAGCTGTTTGAAAATGAATCATTTTAATGCGAACAGCGAAAGCGAAGTCATTGGAGAACGGAGTCATTAAAAAACGAATCTTTTGAATGAGAGAATCGAAAATGGAGTCAATTAAAAACGAATTTGTTTATCTTCAGTTTCAAGATGAGCTCAAACAAGAATATGAAAAAGGACAAAATAGAGTGATGGGAAAGCCTTCGTTTTTATTTTGGCCAAAACTGTGTGGGCCTAGCAATTATTTATTATGTTTATTATTATTATTAACTCTTTATTTACAATGTTGGCATAAAAAAGGTATAAAATAGCCAAGCATAGCTAACAAAAATTAACTATTTATAACGAGAAATTAACAAGAATAACGGAAACTGAATGATCGGAAAATGGAGACATACGAAAACAGAGTAGTGGAAACAAGGATTCAATGTCAAACTTCCTTTTATAAGAAGAGTTTCTAGAGTGGATTGACCTATCAGCATCTGGTAATTGCGCTCTTCAAGAGAAATATGATAACCTTGGGCACGTGCCTGCATGCTCGTGGGCTGCCGGGCCCCCCACCGAAAGCCCTAATATTACAGATTGAGAGGGCTAAAACGTTTTGGGAAGGCTAAACATGCTTAAAACCAAGATTTCATAAAAGCTGTTTTCTATCATATTTCCTTAAAAAGTTTGGTTTTGGCGCTTATACTTGGCTTTGACACTTCTGAGGGCCCATATCCTGATATTTCTCTTTATAAACATCTTAACAAAGGATGCCCAATCCTTGTTGCTGCTGTCTTCTTACTGAGCTGATATTATGTACCAGACATCTTTTTCGTACATAGTCATTGGGCCCCTATGTTTTGAAAACACATTTGTTCAATGTGTATGCACAAACAGAGGTGTTTGAAAACTCTCCAAAACATTTACAAAAATGGAAGCAGCATGAACAGTAAAAACCACAGAAAGTTACATTTGTTACTCCTTTTCTGTGACTTCGGTATACACTGGTATGATATGTGCCATTTTTGTGGTACCTTTTCAAGATAAAATAAATTGTTGGGTATCCATTTTTGTAAAATCAGTCAAGGTCATAAATTTTGGATTGATTCTTAGCATGACCTTAAATTTTAGAGTATCAATTTTAGAAGGTGATGAATGGCTCATTTACTTGATTGAGTTGTGGGATTTTTTCTCAATTATGAGCCAGCATTAAATATTAATCTCAAATTTGAATTAAATTTAAGAGAATGAATTATATCTAAATTCTGATGTAGAGTGTTTGGGAAATTTATAAATTTTAGGGTATGCCTGTCGTATGTTCAAAATGGCACACCCTTGTCTGCCTATTGAAGTAACCACCACCCCCACCCTGCAAAATATTACTAAGTTAGAGAGACAATAAATGATTGTCCATTCTTTATTTTTTAGCACTCTTGAGTGTTCATGTGGATGCATACTCCAAGAGATGGATTTGGTCAACTGACTGGAATGACCCAAATAACTGGGACAAACAGAGATTGCCATGCAGCCAGGATACAATTCAGCTTACTGAAGTTGGTCCTTGTAACATTTTACTATGTACCTTTTAAAAATTGGGGTGGCTGGCAACAGAAGTAAACCTCTATAAGGCCCGCCAATCAATGGCAGAATTATGGGGGCATATAGTTTCCGTTCCATTTGGAGAACGGGTGCCGTGCTGTTTGATCAGGCCACTTTTCATGATAATCGTGGAAAGTTTTCCTTTTGCATGTGCCATTTTTCACACATCTCAGACAATTTAGGCGTGTGTGGAGGTATGCACATGCAATCACACACCTCATATTACAAAGACTGGTCTTTCTAATAACAGGGCCATTGAAGAACCATAGAAAGAGCCAACCTTCCTAAAGGACAATTAAAATAGGGCTTTGAACAGTCCTTTTAAAACTATCTTGATAATCTTACCCTCTGAAAATCTCCCATCATGAAACACAACAAAAATAAGCATTCTTACTTCATCACCCAAAATACATGAGAATGTCTTGTACACAGACTCGCTGAAGCAATCTCTAAGGCCTGGTTCAAATGTCGCACTTTCTCATGTGCCGAACCTAACTCTGTTTGGAGCGTGACTCCCGTTTTAAACGTCGAACTTAATTATGTCGCGCCAAATGGGTTTTAGGATTGCTACTTGAAGTATATTGGTTAAGGGGGGCAATCCCAAATATTTTGAAACGCATGCGCCCTCCAAGAAAGCAATCAATTCTGGCAAGGAAAATAAATTAAATATAATTATGCATTGAGTTCAGTACATGACAAGCTCGACGCTTGAAAGCGTGCCGTGCTGGAGTCGTGCAGCTCGGCAAGCTCTGCCGATCCAAACTATTGATTCAAACGTCGCACCCCTCATGTACTTAATTCTAGAGTTAGGTTCGGCACATGTGAAGCGCGACATTTAAACCAGGCCTAAGAGAAATTCTTTAACCACAGCCTTCCATCATTTGTTAATGTAAAAAATTGTTTCACGAAGTAAACATAAGCAACTGATGTCACTGAATTTAATCCCTGTTTTTATGAGGAATGCTTCAAATTCACAAAACGTTATAAAACATTGTTAGAAACACCGTCGTAATTAAAGTTATGTTTGCAAGGGTCATTGTTGACATTTTTGAAAGGATATTGAAGCTGACAGATTTTTGGTAAAAGGCAATTGACATGCAAGGATGCAAATCCGAATTATAGGCAGTGAAAACAAACACTGAGGGCAACTATGATAATTGCTTTGGAAAAATACTGTAGTTAGACTAGTAACCTGTCCCCGATTAAAAGTAAAAAACATAGATGGTATTTTGGGCATGTTACCCCCTTACCAAGGAGAGTAGATTTGTCCTAAATTCCTATTGAAAATCCCAACAAACTTGGAATTTAACCCCAGGCATCATTATATTACAGTGTAAAGCAATTACCGCCATTAACAAAATAGACTAACACGTTGTTGTTTAATTAGAAGTTAAGTATGAGAAATTTAGCTTAAATCAATTCAATGACTTGCCAATATTCTTCTACAGGGAGTGATAATTGTCCGCAGGAATACCTCTACAGGAAATATGGTATGTTCAATGAAATATGTGTTTATATATACATCTTTTTGGTTTCAAGAAATAATTTTGCTAATCTTAAGTAGCTAAGAGTAGCAAATTTGTATTCAAGTATTATGACATAGGGTTTTTGTAGAATGTTGATATTCATTGCTAGGTTGTAAAGCAGTCAATTTTCCTTTGCCTGATGATTTGTGACTTACTGTTATTCAAAGTGGCTTTGAAACATTTTTTGTTTATTCGAAAGTAAACTATAAGAATGGGATCTTAGAAAGAAAACTAACAAAACTGATCATGACAACTTTCCCTTCAAAACAAGTCAAGGAATTTGTGATGATTTGCACATCTGATATCATTCAAGGTGTTTGTCAGATTGTCCATGATATTCATAATGGCTCATTTTTTCATTCTTCTCTTCGGTTTTTAATTTTGAGTAAAAAGTATAGGAAATGAAAGTTTCCTCCTTGAGAAAACTTTTATACACAAAAATTAAACAGATGGATCCCAATAAGTCGTACCCTGGGTAAACTCTGACATTTATTAAATAAACCTGATTTTCAGTTCCCATTGGACTTTCCTGACCTATTTAAAGTCAAAAGTCATACTCCAGGAAAGTAGATTAATAAAAAGATAAAAGGATATATGAATATTTGTCTCAAAATGATGGTATGCCCCATTTTGTATTTTAGGAATTATCAAAGAATGGAGAGTTGGTGCTTGGGGAAAACACTGAATTGTCTGTTGGAGGCTCGGTGAGCTCCTCTGGTGTAGACAAAAATTGTCCAAGTAAGGGTAATCTGTACTACCGTACTTTGAAAATCATTTTTTGTCATTTCAAAAATGCGAAAAGCTTGTTTAGTGTAGTGCCAGGATACTTGGGTTTAAAGAGAACTAACTGATATGATAGGGATATTGTAAGCAAAGCTCAACATTTTTAATGTGAATCAGGATGCCTAATTCAGTTAATTTTGTTAAGTATTAGCATGGCTTGGCACTAAAATACAATTGCTTTTTGGGGCTTTGCCTAGACCATACTGTTGGCTCAGAACATCTCCCAGGACCCAAAGCTGTCACAGGGCATCAAAGGTGTTGAAATTTTTCGAACTTTTTCCTGCAGCAATTTTTTAACTTTGAAGAAGATCCTAGGCCATCAAACTCCCTTATTTCGACCCCTGATTTGTTGAAGGTACTCAAATTACAATCACTGCCCCTTTATTTCCTGTCTGGATTGGCAGAGCACGTTTTAACAAGGGCAGTCAGTGGAAATTTAAAGTTTTGTTAGGCTGTAATGGTTGTTGCATCACTATAAATTGATCTAAATAAGACTAGTTTGTAAGAAAATTACTGTTTACCGGTCTGTCATAAAGTGAGCGATGCTGTATTGGCAGAGCTGTACATGCTATTTGGTGTATAGAACAGGACACTTCTATCCTGCTACTTCGAATTCATGCTTAGTGCACAGGCCTTGTAAGGAGCAAAGAAGCAGGCATATGACAATCTAAGCACCTTAAATTCCTAGACTTGAAATTTCTAGACCTAGGAAAATATGGCTTAATTACACCCAGGAAAAATATATCTTAATTGGATAGCTTTCTTGTTTAATAAGTTGTCAGGAATGTTTGAGAGTAGAGGTTTGTTTGCTCAAAATGCATAGAGTTAATTCTGTTAAAACATTGTTATTAATTTATTTGTTATGATTATGATATGATGAAATAAACTCAAATAAATTACTTCCAAGATGAAAACGTTGCTGTGAACAGGATGAAAGGTCCTCACACAAACAGCCTATGTATATTTGCCTATTCGAAACTTTTCATTCAAATGTTTGCGACTCAGAAGAATGTCAAAACAAAAATATTACCAAACATTGTCAAATATCATTAATAGCAAAATTTGGTTTTTCACATTAAGTTATAGACAGCAAAAACACGAGCGCCTCTCCTTATAAGGTATTTAATGCAATAACAAGACAACTGTTCTGTTGAATTGTCTCTATCATAGAATTATTATCTTTTCTAGAAGGAGAATCTCTTCAATTTATTGGAAACAGAGCAAGAAATTGGTTTAACCCACTTAACTGGAAATTCACAGAAAATGGAAAGATAGCTTCTTGGTCTAATGGTACTTTGTATATGGACAGAGTTCCTTGCATCAATGATCAAGTTTATTTTCCAGAGGTGTGAAATTTAGACACATATTTTTCCTACCTGACATTTCTGTCTCTTGGTTGATCATAAATGGATAATTATTTATCTAACTGACATTTTAATGTCACATAGGAAAATTTCTCTCATGTTTACCTAGAAACCTGGTGTTTAAATAACTTCAAATAATTGCCAAAAAATTGGGAGATTAGGGCTATGCTGTGGCCAAAAAAACATGAAATTGTCTGCTTCACTATTTTCTAAAAGTACAAAAAATTGCTTTTAGTACTTTACTTAAAAAATTGCTTAGATGCTCCTTTCTTCATAGAATTTTGTTTAGGAATGAGCATATCTCGGCTGCAAACAGGGTAACTTCAAACAATCTATGAAGAATGCAATACTTTCATTAATCTCAAGGTCTTACATTTATTTTGCCACAGAGAGACATAAAATGATGCTATCTAATTTGGTCTAAGTTCCCCCTTATTGGGTACATTATAACAACTGTCTCAGTTTGGTAAATTTTCCGACCTTTTGGGAGCTTCCCGTATCCCCTCTGTTAATACATATGCTCTGTTTATGTATTACTTCTTGTTCTGTTTTGTATGTAATACAGAAGCCACAAGTGAATGTTAATGTTATTTTCTTTTAATTCTTAACCAGAAACAGATCTGCTAAACTTATTTTTTGTATGAAACTTTTGTACCATCTATGACATAACTTTTTTCGAACCTACCCTCGCCTTGTTTAGTTTGAGTCCCTTTGTTTATTAGTTTTTGACGATATTTCCTACCCCACCTCCCATTATTTACAAGCCCTTGTTTGCTATGAATATAATAGTCCAATTTATCTGTTTTATATTTCTTTAAAGTATTTTGTAATTACTGTTTACTGTAATATTACTGTAAAACAGCATTTCCTTTCGAAATTTGAGAAGCACTGTAGCATGTTTTTTGTGAAAGTGTTCGATATAGAAGCTCTCAACATCTGTATGCATATAAAGTATTTCGAATAAGTCCAAAAATCACTTGTGTTTTCTTTTGTACGCAGGGAGATGCCTTCAAAGTTTCGTTGTCAAACAAGGCAGAGGTTGCAGAAATTTTTCTTAGCAAAAAGGTCTGGGGTTAGAAATTGTGTCATTTAATACTTAGCATTTTTGTGTTCTTATGTTTCGATATTTTTTTATAAATATCAAACTAAGGTTATTGTTTATTTGTGTGAATGAAATTTGAAAGCTAAATCTTTTTGTTAAGATTTTACAATATGCCCACATTTATTGCTTTTGCAAATGCAAAAGTTTTCAAAAGATAGCCACTGGACCCAGAATGCAGCTAACTAAATGTTTGACCATATGAAATTTAGAAAGCACATGTTGAATTCTGGTAATTTGCTTTTCTTGTAGTCTGTTGGAGACATGTCATCGTATTTGTCCTCAAATGAAGGCCGTCTAAGGTTTACATTATCATCTGGTGGCAGTTTGACAGTAAGCAAGAACGTTTGCACACAGAAATTTGGCTGTCCTTGCGGCTATGCGAATGTATGTTCTTTTCTCATTTTTTCATATTTGTGTACTGTGTAAGGTGCAGATTTAAATTCTAAAAAGGAGCTTCCTTGTCAAACTATGTTTAATACAATCTTAAAGAACTTTAACTAATTTCACTTGTGTTTCTCTTGTTAAGAAAGCTTTTACAGAGATGTAGCAAAAGTTTAATGTAGGGCCTTAATGGTGGTTTCAGAAGTCTAAAATTCACTAAAAGTTGGTGGATTATCTTTCTATTATAACTGACCTACTTATCTAAACTTTTGAAAGTGTAAGATGAAAGGTTTCGTTTAACAAAAGCAGTAATTTCTATATTGTAACTTGCTCCCTCATTATTTTGTTATATCAATTAAGTAAAATACTTTATGGCAAATATCTTGCTTTAATTTTCGATGTAGTTCATCCAGAAATAGAGAGACTATTTATGATTTTATCACAAATTTTCTACAGTGTTTCCAAAGTTTTGGCAGCATCCCCAAAAATCCCCAACAAATCTTATTAGCGTATGTGGTGGATTTTACCGTGAATGTGCTAAAACTTTTGACAGGGATTATGTGTAGCAATTTGTTTTTATCCAAGTCGCTGTTGTATGGATACTTTTCTGCTAAAATGTAAATGGGTCCTCTGAATCCTGAAATGGTAACAATAAACAGTATTTAGGGCAACATAAAAAAACGAGAAACGATACGATTCATAAATAGAAAATGGTTTCCAACATGAACATGTCGAAATGCGTTTGCTGCAGCATACTTTTCTCCATCAGAGCATAGTTGATAAAGGGATCCATCATTCTTTATTGTGCCAGTTACCTTATACCGGATTGCTATCGGAGCGGATTAATTTTCATATCGGATAGGGGTTTGAGTTACACTACGCCACATCAATCCGGTACACAACGCTCTGATTAGCGGAGTGAAAATCACTCCGCTCTGGAGGTGATACGAAAATCACTCCGGAGTCACTCCGTAGCTGAGCGTTGTAGTGAAATCGCACGAATCCGATATGCTCCACTTCGAAACAAAGGATTTCTTATTGTTTTCTGCTTAAAGCAATTTGATCGTTGGTGAACAATGGCGATTTCTGAGATTTTTTTGCTGGTGGATAATACCAAACCGAAATCATTCCAACAATTTCGTATTTGGATTTCATCTCTTCCCAAATTTTATTGAAGTGGCCCTTGGACGAAAAATACACTTTAACACATCAGATAGCAACACAATCTCGCTATCCGTCCTAAGAACCCCATCATTTATCTCTCAGTTTCATGGTTGGTTTCTTCATTTTATGCATAGCTATTGAAAACGAATTCGCAACAGCACATAGATTCGAAAATATCATCAAAAAATTTAATCTGGTGGATTTTGTGTACCAGAAATACAAAGGAATGCAAGCTTATGAGCGAGCGGAGTGTCGTAGTGTAACTGCTAAACTTAATATCACTCCGGAGTAAAAGTTACTCCGCTCTGCTCCGCTTCGATAGCAATACGGTATAGTGTAACTCTAGCCTTAATCACGGTCTGCAGTTCATTATCTTTCTCTGAAAATTTCCAATTTTTCAAAAGTAGAATTTGTCTGTGATTTTTTGTCGCATGTATAAATGACTCATAACTTTAGTGACATACAACCGCTTATTTACATCATGGGTTATTGTATTTCGTTTGTTTGCTTGAATGTGTCTCTTTGACAATTTAGACTCAATAGAAGACTTTTTTCTCTAGATGAAAAAAATGATTTGCTCTTCATTTGAATGCCCTCCTACGTGCAATAATAAAGTCAAGCCAGAAGGAGATTGCTGTGAAAGATGTGGTAATTTCCTTTTTATGGTCATCTTCATGATACAATATTTTAATGTTTCTTTTATTTGATAGAAAACGGGAGCATCTGACAAAAGGGTGTTTGTGGATTGCCGTGGCTTTGTTGAAAACGAACATCGCACAGCCGTCACATCCAATTTTTTTTGGTACTTGTGGGGTTTCAGTGAAATGTGGCCTGCTGGCTGCATCTAATTGTCCTATTTTGTCCAAAGGCACAAAGCGATTTAAGTCTCAGGCATATGGGAATTTTTCAAACCCTTTAAAATTCTCAGACCATATTCAGTGCATTATAAAATGAAATTTTAGAAGGATTGTTTATACATAAAATTATTCTCTTAAAGTGGAACTGACATGAAAAATGAAAAAACTTCATAAAATCCATTTATTTTATTTTAGTATAGAGCCGGCAGTGCTGAATCGAATGGTGTAACTTTTTCCTGCATATCTTTTCGTTAACATAATTTTTTCAAGCTCCAAAGTACTGGTTTTCGTCAGATTTTGTTCGAATAAAAACACGCGGCCAAAGAGGAATTTCAGGAATTTGTGACGTATTCTGGTGTGTTCGTGCACCGGCAAGGTCAGTTTATTGCGCACTTTTGAAGGATGGCAGACATCGGGCATAGCAAAAAACAACCTAAATACGGCAAATATTGTTGTGCTGGTGCACTAACATATACTGGCTGTTTAGGTAACAGTCACATTCCCGAAAATCAGTCGCAGAAGTTTCCGAAAGCTGAAAAAAATAGCGTCGATATTGGGTAAAATTCATGAGAAGACACAGGACCGGTTTCAATCCATTGTCTTCGTCCGACCTATGACCTAAAACACACGTTACGTACAAGAATTATAACAATCCTTTGAACAATCCTACCAAGTTTCGGAAAAAGCCAGCAAGACCCAAAATTCATTTTTAGTACATTAGTTCTAGCTACTCTACGAAGTTTCGATCGATTTTGAATCGTTTTACGGAAGTAAATATGGGGAAACAAAACAGACATACGAGATAGCTGTTATAAGGCTTAAGTATGGAGCTCGAACGGGGGGCGTTTCAGATATTCTCATCAAACCAGAAAAAACAAGGGGGGACTAAATGTATTTTATGCACATTAATTTTAGTAACTCTCAAAGTTTCAATCGGTTCGGAACAGTGTACTTAGGGGTTTTCTATGTGCTGGTGTCTTCAGCCAGGGGTTTTCCTGGAGCTTGTTGTTGTACAGGGAATTCGATTATTGGAGTTTTACGATTTGAATTAGTATACACTCGAAAGAAGGTTGCTCTTTATGTTGTTTTGAGTCGATTTAGTTGTCTTGCTTTGGCTCTAGTGTTGAAGATCAGTTCACATCAGGTTGTGATGTTTCATATCGAATGTCAATTTAGGGGAACACTTAGGCCGCGTCAAAAAATGTCTGCTTACCTTGGGATGTAAAGTGCGTCTTGTTAAGAAAAGGATAAATAAATCAACAGAAATCGATCCAGTTTTCTCCCTTGAAAAAACTTTTTATTATCTTTATCCGAATTGAAACTTGAATAATTAGCCAAGTGTTGGCTTCGCCACCACATGTTCACCCATCTTCAGAGGAAGGTGGTAATGGATCTTTCTCATCGGGTTGCAACATCATTTCAACGTTCCCGTCTTCAAAATTTGTTCTCTCACTTCCGATACAACGTACTCATCGTTAGATGAAACGTTTGAATCTGGAAATTCCTTTCCCACCTTAGGTTGCTGAACATTTTATAGGCTCCGTTGGGGTTTCCTGACCGTAAACTATATAATAACACACCAGAATGCGTCACTCTCCCCAGACTCTTTTCGAAAAACCTCCTACGACTCAAGCCCCCCAAAAACAAACTTATGGCCCTTGTTTTGAAAAAATATTTGCAGATAAAGAATCAGTGATGTTTAATGCCTAAGAGAAAACCTTTAGCAAAATTTTGATTTTTCATGTCAGTAGCACTTTAAGAATTATATTTCAGTCTTGATTTATTTTTATTCCTGCCACTTTTGCAAACTTTTAATTTGAAGAAATCGAAGTCCTTGTTTAAAAAAGTTTAATTTTGAAGTTGACAACATGTCAAACAAAGAAGATTGGCATAGAAATTTCATGTTTTGGTGTTGTTGTTAGAAATAAATTTGGAAGCCTTTTCTCCTTTAATATCATTTATATTCTTATTGCTAATATTTATTATATTCATTTCAGGTTCACTGCTAAAGATAAAACTTAACCAAAACTTTAATTTAGGAGTTTGTCAAAGATCCCTGCAAAACAATTTAGTGAAAGGGGTATGTGTATTGATTATGTCTTAATATAGTCAGCAAAGGGTGATGCTTAAATCGTATTACATTTCATTTATTTTTTTTAGTTTATTAAGTACATAGTGCTCTTTGCGTGTTTAGTCTTGGTGGTGCAAGGTTTTCAAAGGGAAGTGCCCTTAAAATATACAATGATTTTTTATTTCATTCCACCAAAGAAAGTTACGTTGTTTCGAGATGGAGATGTTATGACGAAGTGGTCTTGTTTTTGGAAATTTTAGGGCAATGCAAGAAGGACGATATGCTTGATGAGGCCGCCCACCGGATTCTGTGAATCTTGCGATGCAAATTTTATAATAAATGATTTGTGCAACACGAAGAAGAGCAATTCAATATCAATCAAACCAATTTTAATAAAAACTTTAAAATAAAGTAAATATTTATTTTCATTAACTTCTAAAATATTTGCACCAAGTGCTCATAAGCAGAATATCAAATTTCAGTTTCTTGAAAAGTTTTTCTGACTACATGCGTGTAATTTTATAGATATCAAGATTTTTTCGTCTGGTATTATGTATTTTAAATTTTTTGAATTTTGAAATGATTTGCTTCCTAACTCTGTCATTGCATCTCAAGGTCTATGGATATCAGTAACTAGCATGACACGGTTCATCAAAGTATTGTGTTGCTTAAAGGAATTCCCGTCAGTCAACAGTTGAGTGTTAACAATTAGCCTTGCAGCGTGTTTATGATAGAGGAAGCATTGCGAATTATCCTTACGTTGCCGATTTAATACGTAACAATAGGTTTTTTGTGTAGTCCAACCAATGGGAAATTCAAATGGCCAATGAAATGCGCTGGGACATGGTGCCTCTATGTAGCTTGTAACCTTCTGGGAAGTAAGTTATCGAATGGGTATCTTTCTAGGGTTTCAATGGAGCCACACTTGTGATTTCACCAATAGCGGAAAACAATGCTGTAGAAAGAGCACAGATTCTTATTACAGATAATGCCAATGGTATGTGACCATCTTGTGTTAAAAAACGTATTTCCAAAGCAGAAATTTCACCGATTTTTTATTTTCTGTGATGAAAACCGTTTACAGGCTCAGTGGTTTTGAAAACCAGAAATGAAAACCATCAATGCTTTTGTTGAATTTAATGTTTGATTGTTTGGAGGCAATAAAAAATTAGAGTAATTTCTTAAAAGTTTATCTAAGGACATTTTTTTAGAAAAGTGACGAAACATGTTCTCTTGCATTCTGGTACCTTTCAGAAATCCATTGAACGACGAAACAATTTAGAAATACTTTTTTCCCTTTGTAAATTTGTCCGCTCATAGAACTCTTTTTCAAAGCCATAATTTTGTAGAGGACCTCGAATAAACATCCGTTGCTTCAATTTGATGTATTTGTTCATATATATAATTATTTGTATAGTACAGTACAGGTTTGAGTTGTTTGTTTGTGAAACATATTGAGGCAAATTGAAACATAGAGCAGCACTATTACAACATCGAAAGAGATTTGGGGGTAAAAGCGGATCCGAAATCGCCAGAATCAAAATGCTATGCACGCAGTTGTCTTTTGAACTTTGAAAATGCGACAGCCAGTTCCAATTTTTTCATAAACCGCTTATTGATTTTGTGTTTTCTTCATTACTACTTAAAAATGTTACGTTTCTCAAACCTGGATTGTAGGAAGGGATGTTGGAAGAGCAGCCGATATTACAGTCTCATATTTGCAAGCTGGGAAAGGTATTTGAGATTTGTCTTAGCTGTAATTATAACCTTGATTGTGCGTTATTTCACTTTCAATTTATATATATTGCCATAAAAAGGATGTTCAGTTCTTTTGGTTTGAAAATTTCACGAATAGTTTATGTATATCCTGTCGCATCAGCTGTTAAAGATCGCCTATTTGTAACAATATAGAGCCAAGAAAATTGAGCATTCTTCCTCTCTCTCAATTCGCACCATCTATTAATATTTGGAGGGATAGATACGGTGAGGTTGTGTTTTAACCTATCAGTTGAAGAAGGTTTTCAACCTATCAAGACCTCATGTTCTCAAGACAGAATAACTTCATTTTTCATTCGAAGTCGTTACTTATTTCAAGATGATAGGGCACAAGGAGGTCAAAGATAAGGCAAGCAGGCGTTACGTAGTCTAGAAATTAAAGAGTTAAAATTCGTTTTGATTGTTGGATAAATTGCTGATTTTTGCAGACAACGATTGCAGTGTTTTGGAAGTGAAGAAGGACACAGATTCTACTAGTGGTAATACTGGAAAAAGCACAGGTACACAAAAGCCATTGTTTTGATTCCAGCTTGTGCATTTTGAGCTCGAATCACATTGATTCTGTAAAGTCTTTTGCAAACTACAGAGCAAAAGACCCCAAAGTTATGTTTTTAATTTTGTTTGTTAACAAAATTAATAACCTTGGACTAAAATTAATTTTTTTGTTAAATGCAGGATGGTGTTTTCTCTCTGATTTTTCACTTAAAACAGTATGTAATGGTTTAGCTCAATGTTTTATACCTTATATTTCTCTAGTACAATGAGTATCTGACATTTGAATCTTCAATTCTTTTACTTTGTTGTCTTTATTTACAATCAACTCTATTATTTCGAAACATCCCTGCATGTTATTCTCTTATGTTATTCACAGCTTTTTTAATTTACAGGCTCGACACAATCCTCCTCGACTGTTGCCTTGGCCGTCACGCTTACACTTGTTCTGGTCCTCATTTTCCTGGCCGCTGGCTATTTGTACTATCGTAGGAAGAATGGGTATAGATATGTTTTTGTTGCTTCTGCTATCATTAAAAGCTCTTGCGCAACCGGCATGCTTAGCGGAAGTTGTCTTGAGAAATTGACTGTGTTTTTTATTTTCGTGCAGTACGATGTTAGGCCGGTTCTTTGAATAATTTTCGCAAAGCATGACGGTTGCGCAAGAGTCTTTACGTCTAGATTAAATAGTAATAGAGTTATTAAATGTGACGTCATAAGAATCCATTGTAAGAATTGTTGACTTTTTGACTACATAACAAAAAAGAAAACCATGAATTACCTTTCTCTTTAGAAAATGAGTTGAATATGTTAATAATTGGGTGACATGTGGGCAGTGATAGATATGTAATTTGTTAGCGGAGTGCTGTGTTATTTTGGCTCTGTTCCTGAAGTTATGACCAAATCACAGAGGTTTGATGGGGAAAGAGCCTGCGCTTTCGGCGCCATGTTTAGTCAATTTTCAACGCATTCAACTGATTTGCACTCTTAGAGGCGTTACATGATGCTTTTTCAGGTTATGTGATCCAAATTCAGAAATTCTAAAAGTAGATTTTTGTGATGTCATCAGCTTGGGACTCAATTTTTCAGATATCATCCATAATGCCCTCGCCATTGTTGATTGCATGTGACACTCGACTCGAACTTGATTGCATGCGATCGAGTACATCGCTGGCTTGCTTGTATTGCAATTTTCAGAAATCTTTCCCCATGAGAACTTTTTTCCTCTTTGCTAACTGAAATTCATTGTGGTGCAAACAAAAAATACACCTTTGTGTTATGACATGCTTCATTTTAGTTTCTTTAAGACCTAAAACTGTATGATTCAAGAAACTGTGTCCATAATCCCTGCTAAACCGTACAGAAAACGTAAGGTATTGCGATGGGTGCAACTCTAGTATGAAAAAGTAGCCAACATGTATTTGAGTAGCTAAAAGAATCAAGAAAGAAGCCATTCTCCGGTAATGCCGAGGGGAAAAGATATCCAAAACACCTTCTGGAGGAAATATATTAAATACCTTTCTAACCACGTGTCTTAGCTCTTGTCCCTGTTTAACATAAGTAATTGCGTAAATGCATTTGATTTGAGGCGAGAAAGCTAAGAACATCCTAAGTGTCCATTCATTTTGCATTTCAGATCACTGATCTTCAGGAAGCAGGTATTGCATAATGAAATGGATATCACTGGCACAGAGCTTACCGATACGCAGTTTTCTGGCACAGTTTTGGATTATGATGACAATGTTATAGAAGTTCCAGGAAAAAGTGGTGCATCGTTTGCAAACCCAATGTATGACGAGGCGGTATGTGTGTGTGTATGGTTTGTTAAGGAAATAGAAATAACTGTTTACGGGTTTGTCATACAGTGCTCGATGCCATATAAGTTGCTACTCCAGGTTTCAAGCTTATTGCGATCGCCAAGAAACTGTTCTGAATGATATAAACTTTATTCATACTATCGTCCAAAAATAAAGCTGCTATTAAAATAAAATTTGTTAGAAGGTCAAGAAGTATAAAAAGTAAAAGTTTGAAAAAGAATCGTGTACTTGCTCATTCGTTCACGCACTAATAGTGCAACCAAAAATTCATAAAGATGCCCATGCTTGCCGTATAGCCACTCATGAAGCCCTTAAAGGGTCGTCCAGCTAAAAATAGTTTTTCACATTTGCATTTAGCTGCATTTAGCATCATGAAATTGTTTTCGTTAAAAATCTATTAAACGGACAATTATTAACATGAATACTAAAATTTGATTCATGCAGTTCAATTTGTCATTTTAGGAAAACATTGACCTGTTGAGCCGAACGCTGTGAATTTACATTGGCCTAAGCCTTGCGATTTTTTCCTGAAGATTTTTTTGTTTGAACTGATTGGAAGTTTTTTTCGCCGCTGCTCGCTTCTTTCTTCTAGCTTCAAATACGAAGGCGAGCCAGGTCATCCAAAATAAACCATGACGTAAAATTTACGTAAGCAGTGTCAGTAGACACTATTTTTCTAAAGAAGCAACAAATTCGCGGTCAGCAGATTGCATAAGACCCCGTTTACACTGTCCCGTGCAAGTTTGGAACCGTGACAAAACTGTCGCGGTTCGCCCTTGCGTTTACACTAGCACTGTGGAACCGTGACGATTTTGCTCTGCTATCCGGAACAGTTTTGACCCTGCTTTGAAAGCGAACGAATTTTGTACCGTCACGGTTCCGTTTTTGAACGGGACAGTGTAAACACCTATCCGAGACGATTTTGTCACGGATTCACAAAGAGGTCTTTTGTATGGCTGTTTCAGGTAATCGAGGCTTTGATTGTGGCGTAACTACGTTCTCAAATTCTGAAGAAAAGGAAATTCTGAAGAAAAGACGACCACAGAAAAGGCTTGTAGTGTTTTCCAGTCCAAGCCTTGATTGGACTTGGCAGTTTTGTAGTCTAAAATAACATTGAAAATTAAAGCCACCTTGTCTTTCGTCCAAGTAAAGTTTTAATCGGCCTTCCGCTCCATTTTAACTCACAATAAAAATTCGATTGTTGACTTCAGCGGCAGAATAAAAGCCTTGGTTGACTAAATACAGCTTCTTCTAAACAATGTTCTACCATTAAATTAAGGTCGTACCGGTACAGTGTAAACGGAACGGCTAAACGGAACAATTTGGAACCGCGACAGTGTAAACACTTGCGAACCGTAACGGTACAAAATTGTCCCGGGACAGTGTAAACGGGGTCTAAGACTAGCTCAAAAAACGGGATAGCAAATTTTGGCTGGAGGGCACTTCAGAGTTATAACAAAGTAATACTTCTTACAATTTGCAAAATGAATTCCTTTTTGCTATTCCCTTCCTTTATAGATACATCCGGGACCTGCAGTAATTGAGGCAAATTCAGATTCTCCTCACCTTGAGCCAGTCAAAGCCAAGCCATTGCGTGTATGTAATCTCCGTTACATCGACCGTTCTTTTCACTCGATCTATATAACCATGAAGCAAATATCGCGTTTGTCGTACCATACATAGAATAGTTTTATTTAGATACTAAGGTTATTATAAAGCTTTTAAGAATAATCTTTCCTATAATTTACCTGTTGGAACCTCATTCGCAACCATAGCTCCATAGCACAACGTTCTCTTCAAAATGAGCGAGCTTCGTTGGCTTTTAGCGTCATTGTCTCTGTCTCTGGTCTCAAGCTAGTTTACAAAATCAGCTTGTTTCCTTTTTGACCTTTTTATTCTATTTCATTTCCTTACCAAATTAAAAGCCTTTCTCTATTCATAGAAACAGAAAAAAGAAAAATCAAGCAAGTTGTTTCCAAAGGGAAAATCTAAACAAGGGAAGAAGGAAGATGAAAATGCCTTCGAAAACCCTGCCTATTCCGTATGTTTGCATTTTCTTCTCTTCAGTGTATTTGTTTCATTATATAAATACTTTGATATACACGACCCAAGAAAAGTATGAACTTATCTAGCTTTCCGGGCCTTTAATAAAGGTATAATTAAAAACAAAACAGTAGTTACAATAACAGAAACAAGGTTGGTTTTATACTATATAAACTGTGAACCGCTTGATTAGAAAGAACGCCGTAAAATACCTCCTTGTGCGTAACATACCTCATCAATTAAATCTGCTACAGACGTACTGAGATATAGTTGGTGAAAGATCCGAGTTTTAATGGTGGATTACTGACGTTATGACCTAGTTCATAAGTGGCAATGGCAAATTACAGTGGTTTGTTTGTGAAATTGCTTGTTCTAATTCAGCCATATCTAAAGCAGTTTGTAACAGAACTAGCTGGTTTTTTCATATTAAGAGGCATTTCATAGTAGTCTTTCAGGTAATATTGTCAAAATTCTAAACATCTAAACATAGTTTTTTATGACTTCATTATTTTGCCACTCTATGGGTAGTTTGTATCGCCTCCTTTGAATTTCACAACGTTAACGATATAGGAACGTACCAGGAGCCCAAGAAAGCCCTCAAAGACGCATTTGGGGACCTAAAACGGCCAAAACTTTGTTACTGTTAAAATAATCCTTTAATTATCTCCCTCAATCAATTTATGCTTTTACAACAGGTTTTCGGAAAAGACCTGGATGATTCCTTTGATCAAACATACAATGTTCCGGTGCCGGATGATTCCGGCTTCAGCAACCCGGTATACGGCGACATTTATCCTGATAGCCCAACAGGTGATATTGAAGAGATTCAAGGTAACCTGCCCCCGAGCTTCCTTGACAAAATAGGGTTCTCCCCAGATGACATGGATGAAGCCTTGAATGATGCCAATCAAGTAAGCTCCAGCAAAGTTGCCCCAGAGGGCGTTTGCATAGGCATTATGGATGATGATCTTGATTTTGGCTTTGGAGGAAAGGAGAGTCTGAAGCTTGAGGATGTTTTCTGTTGTGAGAAACTCTTTTGTTTACAGTTTTGCACTTTTATTTGATTCTGATTAAATCTGAATTTTATTACGCTTTTTATAACCATATGCAAGTCCATTCCAGCTTGTGTTAAATCTTGATTCCCTAAAAGATAATTCCAAATTCCATTAAATTTGTATAGAAATTGAGCTGTATCTAAAGACAAAATGGAATGAGTTAGCACAGATCAGCTCGTTATGACGGGCTGCCATTTCATAGATATGTGCTAGCCAGTTTCATCGTTGAACCTCTTGAAACCTGCATTATTGCAAAAGATTTGGAATTCCTTTTAGTGATTTTGCTTTTTTGGTTCTACAAGCATTTTCGCTCTTTTCATTTGCAAGTCATGAGCGGTTACGAAGGCAAGAAAATACTTTGTTTTTCCCTGATCGAATAATTGACCATTAAATTTCGACGCGAGCAATCGATGAATAGATATTTTCTGTTGGATATTTCAAATTGATTCCCTCTATTTCTCTGCCGGAAACGTGATGAAAAGTCAATTATGAATAATTAGAAAAGGAATCATATTTCACACTTCAAATCTGGAATGGCCTTGTGTACTCAGATATAGGCATAGTCAACCTTGCAGAAGTCAAGTATAGATGCAATGAATCGTAAACAGTGATCTTCATAAAAATACAGCCATGCCTTTTATAGATGCCAATCTCATTTGGTTTTGTCACAGTTGCAATTAAAGAATTTTCCAAAACTGTAATTCACGAATCCCAGCTCGAAATCCTTCCGTTACTCGAATAAAGAACACTTTCACAGATCAAGCTTTTAGTGAAGAAAACCAAGAAAATGATACACAAAAGAATATTTGAATCGTAACTTCTTTGATAAATTCAAAGAAGCACTTTACAGAGGGGTGATGGTGGAAGCTCGAAATGGGTAAAAGAAGCATATACTTTCTTGCATTTGCAAATGACTTAAGTGAGGTTGACGGCAGTCCACAGGTAATTGTGATTCAGGTTTTCTATATTTTTATATCTACTGATTTTCTACAAGATAATTCCTATTTTTGTAAACATTGGCAAGGCCAAATTGATTTTAGTAGCTAGAGCTAGTCTCTAAAGATAGGTCATGCTTTACCTGTAATCGAGGCTATTTGATATGAAAAGCACGATCAATATTCGCGATTTTTAGACTGTTTCTTGTCTTCCCTGGTCTGATGAATAAACGAGTTGATTTTATGCAACTTATTGCTCTGCATCTCGTATCAAGCATGAAAGAACTTTAATATGGTTTTCAACACTTCTGGCATTCTTTCATCAAAGGACGTGCCCGCATTATATTTTTATGTTCACACGAAAACCCGTATTTAGTTGGGCGTATGGCTAGTTTGATATCCAACAAATTGGTTCGCAAATTGTTGACCTCTTCTTGAATTTTAGAAAGAAATTTAGAATCTGTTGGTGAATTCATCACCCAGGTTCTCTGGACAGATACCATTATAAATGTTTAACGTGTTATGAACCCCCGTCAAACAAGAATTGAGATCAAACGGGAAGCCATGTGCAGATCCCACCATCTTCCTCGATAAGTTTATTTTTTCTTGCGTCCAATCGGTGTAACTAGGTCAAATTTGTATCGGAGAGAACATCCATAGCGGAAATGGGTCTCAAAAAGAGCTCCAAACACCTTGCTCGGGTTTCTTTTGGGGGAACGACGTTTTTCAAGTTTTGCAGTGATAACAATCCTCTCCAGCTTATTTTTGTTTTGCTTGTACTGCTCCTTCCTGTCAAGGTTCTTGTCAATTTTGATTCCGAGATATTTCACTTCCCGGATCCTTTTTATATTTTCATTGTTTACACACTTTTCTAAAGACTATTCGAAATCGTTTATATATACAATGTATAATGAAAAGTAAAGGTCCCAAACACGAGCCCTGAGGAATATCTAATTTCTACTAATCGGTCAATACAGTTAATGCCATCATAGTAGCAGAAGTGTATCCTATTTCTCAAGTAAGATGTGAACCACTTGTGTGTCCTGCATTCTACACCGTACATCCTCAACTTTGAAAGCAAAGTCAACGGTATCAAAGGCTTTCTAGAGATACGCACACACTTAGATTCCCTTTGTCTGCTTCCCTAAACCACGGGTTAATAACGTTTGGTAGACTTGTCATGGTACTGTGCGGTTTTCTGAATGCAAATCGACAAGTATGTTTAGTGCTTTCAAATAGTCCATCTTTTGATAATGTATAATTTTTTTCGAGAATCCAAGATACGAATGATAGCACAGATATCTGTCGGTAATTGTTACATCTGTTTTTTGTATCTCTATGGTTTTTTGCCAGCCTTTAAAATGGGATAGACCCTTGCTGACTTCCAAATCTCTGCTATGGTACATTTTTCTTGCGACGCTTTGTAAATGAGAGACAGCAGCTGTCATACCAAGTTACTATATTTTGACAGGAATTGTATCTGGTTCGGGAGATTTACCACTCTTCAGAACCTCTATATTATAGTCATCTCTGCAAACTTAACTGTCACAGATTGCAGCTTGCATGACAAAGATTATAATAGAGGTAGCTGAGAGGATCATGAAAGGACTTGCTTCATATTTTCTTGGCTGTTCCAACTTGATAACCAAATTGACAGCCAAATGGACTTGCAACAGAACGTTGAAAGAAAGAGAACATCATCCACCAGTTTGTTAGAAAAACTTCTGCATTTATCTCTTCACAGATAGAACAAAATTTCAAGTTTGATGGCTCAAGTTTGATAGCTCAAATCTAATAATTAGCAGAGAATACATGTGTAACATGAATTCCTGTACTGTGAACTAGAGCAGGGTCTGGCAGTGGATAGCATTCTGAGACATCAGCAAATGGATCATATTCTTGAAAAATTACAGAGTGACAAGGAACATGATATTGTCCTTACCTAATGCTCATGATACACAGAGAAGGAGTTTTTATGTATTCCAAGTAGCTGGGGGGAATAACCCTTGAAACTGTTAGAACTGTTTCATTATTGTATGTTTGTTCAAATTTTGCTCAATTTATTTTTTATCATAACATTTTTCATAAGTAAATACTTATTTTGTATTAAATAATTTAAATATACATAAGAAACTGGGCCCGATAACCATATTCTTCTCGGTGTCCTAAGCAACTTATTGATTATATCTACACTATATTTTTGTATGTATACTAAGAATTGTAATTCTTTGTTAGTTGCTGGAACATTGGAAGTGTAAAAATGCCGGTGCATGATACACTGAATGACTCCCTCATCAAACAAACTTCAAAACGATCACTCTTTAGCCCAAATGAAAGATAAAGCATGATAGATTAAATCAAAATGGTTTCAAAGACAAGAAAAATACAAATTGATAGCTACAAGCCAGGCTTTATTCATTGTTTCCTTTTCAATCCACACTTTACAAAAACAATAAAATGAATGTTTAATCTGTCTGATAAATTGGGCCTAAACAGTATTTCTGTCCATTACTTCTTTTTGTCATTTATGATTTGTTGTTTTTCCAAATCCTCTGTTTGCCTTATCTTGGCTTCACTTTGGGTCTTCAGTAACTTGTGTCTTTCAATTGCCTCCATATGCCTCTTGATAGCTGCCTGGTGGAATGTAATCTCCTCATCGTGGTATATGGTTTGTTCCTGGTGTTGCCTTTTCATGCTATTTAGCTGATCTTCTTGCTATGGTTTAGAGAAAGTACTCCAATATATATTTTTTTCATTTTATGTTCTGGTTATTATTACTTATGCGATCAGAAAAAAGGAAAAGACAGAAGAAAAGAGGCTAACAAAAATTCTGGTTCATCTATTCAAAATGTTGTTAGCAATTTGCAGTGCTTAAAATGTGGTTTTTGGACAATTCCTACAGGATATTCCAGTTGGGCTCTCCTTTTATAAAAATATGCAACAATTGTGATGATAGAAACTCAAAGTCTCCCATCAATAGCAATTTTACAAAATACTTTCCGATAATGTATGATGTTTCTGTTAATTAATTCAATTTTTAACTTGCCCAAGTGAAACCCGAGAAAAGAACAAAACACAATAAGACAAAAATTAAAGGTGTAAGAGACAAGCCTTATCATCCATCTTTTCTAGATACATATAGTCAATATTAACCATTTTGTGAGTTCTATAAGACTTAAATAATTCAATTCTTAAATTCAATGTGTTTTTGTTCATTACTCAATTGCAATGTCCTTTAGGGAACTTTCTAAAATGGGTAAGATTCTTTGAAATATGTTAAAATCTTACATTTATTATTTACACTTACCAATCTTCTAAAATATTGGTCTTCTCTGGCAGCCTCCATCTTTCCAAATGCACCACCAGCACTCCTGCAAGACAAAAGAGCAAGATCAAAGCTAGAAAATTTGAGATATTTATCAGTCAATCAAATAATATTTTCTATGAATCATAACTATTCTGGCAATGAAATGGCATAATGAGTAAGTTTCTGTTATGTTTGAAAAAATCTACAAATGAATATTTCATTCACCTTAAAAGATCTGGATCAATAATAATGGCATAAGTACACATAAACATAGATCTGTGCTACATTTCCTTGAGCACATAAGCTTTTAATATGAGCATGCAGTTCATCAAATTGATGCTGCCTGACAAGGAAAGGTGTTCCATTTACTTCAAAAATACTCAGGGGCTAGATAACAGGTTAATTGATGTTTTGCTATTTGAGGTATTGAATCTTGGCAGAAGTCAATTTTCTTCAATCCAATGACAATGGTACTGTCACTAGTTACATTTTTAGAATAAAGAAGGAGACAAAGTCAAAAGTACTGAAATGAAATGTTAACTTTTTAGTTAGTACCTGATATCTCCACCACTGCCACCACCCTGTTGAATAGAAAAATTGTTAAATTCAAATATAAAACTCATTAGAAGCCTACCAGAAGGGTGTATCACTTAATCGTTAGTTATTAATAGTGTGATTGAACATTTTTTCAATGTTGCTTAAAGAGTCAATATACTGACAAGCCTAATTAACTTCACAAGGCAGTGCCATTAGTATGATTAAGAAAATCTTGCTTCTATGCCTGGGAACGAAAGGTCATGGCTAAGTATATAACAAAGCAATTTGACTGTCAAGACCAGCTATATGAAAGTACTTCAATCTAGAGTTTATTACTATCAATTCAGTTGTGCTAAAAAACAAGACAACTGGAAGGTTCTACTAGCAACTCAAAGACAAAGTTCAGAAACATGAGAGCACCACTCAAACACTATATATACTGTTATTATCTGGAGGTGCAGTACCAGAAGATATAAAAAATTTCCAAAAACTACAACCCTTTTAAGTTGCTTTGTAGAAGCAAAGAAACCTGTTAGACAGCATATCTTTCGGAACATAATTGAAACGAAACTAATTCATTTTTGGAAAGAAACTTCTATATTCATTTTTGTTTAAAATTTTTTAATAAATCTCTGCAAAAATTATTTTTCCATAACTTTTAATTTGCATCCATGTCAGCTTCTTAGCTGAATTTCTGACCTGCTTTAGCAACTAAATGTATATATGTAAAGTACTTGGAACACCAAGCAATTTGTGTTGCATTTTATACCTTAATTCTTTTTCCGATAAAAAATTACTACTTCCTCCCCCTCCCCCCTAAAACAATGTTGATAATGTAGAGAAATATCATAAGAAACACAAAGGAAAGTGCTTCGTAAAATCTTAACCCGTTTCATTGTAAAACGACATTGTTCTTTCGGGGAGAAGGAGATGATTGATTTTGACCTTGAATACTGACGTCAGCGTTCCAAGACTTTTGGCAGGCATTGTTTATATGTCAAAGTTGTTCAAGCAGGAGTAGAAAGTCAGGAAAGCAAAGTTTAGTAATGTCTGGGATTGAACCCAGACCCTTGGATCTATAAGCCCTTTTCAAGTATATTTCAGAAATTTAAATATTTGTCAATTTAGCTTAAAAGTTGAAAAGTAGTGTCATTGCACAACTACAGCATTAGCATTGTAATTAGGTAAACCAATCTGCACACCACAAATAAATTTGAAGAAGATCCCCTGCTGGATAAACCCCCTGTTTGCAAGGTCAAAGTATAATCGTTTTGGAAAACCCCTTTCCAAATAAGCACCCCACTCAAACAACAGAGCTTATTTGAACAAATTTTAATCCTGTAGAGACGCTTTTTCAATCAAGCATAAAATATCTGGGTGTGATTGCATTTACATTTTTATCTTTTAGTAATCCATCAAACAAGTATGGTCTGATATCAACGAACTATAAAATGGAGATACAAATTGTCGCAGATTCTTAGTATTTCACCATCAATTTTCATATTTACTCCTGCAATGAATATATTTTGTCAAGCGCCTCTGCCGAATGAAGCCCTTCGGCATCAGGGTTCAAATATTTTATATCGGCCATTTACGAGAGTTTAAAAAGCTCAAAAAGAGCTCGAGGTTGTCAATCCAAACTTGCAAACGAAGTAGAAAGTTAGTCGTTTTTCATAATGCCTAACTTCAAATACTTATCAATGATTTATCTTTTCATGAATAAATCTGTTTTGGGTCACACTGTTCCAGGCAGGCAAAAAGTTACACGTTGCGGCAACAGAAGGGCCTACTTCAGGAATAATACTTTTTCCAATGCCGAAATTCTAGCTCGAATTTTCCAGAAGATGATCAGCTTACCCTTCCAGCACCTTCACCGAGACCGCCAGCCATTGTTCTACTTAGCGGCGCACTAAAAACTCTCCATGTCAGGGCTCTTGCTGTCCTACAGCTCAACGCCATTTTGAAACCTTTGTAACGTCGCCGAGATAAGTGCGCAAGTCCGCAATCCGCATGGCGCTTGCATCTCAGTGGCTTGCATCCTTTTGCTCCTCCTTATTGGCAGACGGCACACAAAGTTTTTTGGGGGTCAGGGGTCGGAGGTCGGTGGTCGGGGGGAGTGGGTTGGCCAAGGAACCATGGTAAATAATGTCCAGAGTGTATCAGGCACCGCGCAGCCATTGGGCTTGCAGGGGCTATAGCCCCTCCACTTTTTGCAATGATAGATTAGAAAGTTTTTTGGAAAGTTTACTCTAACTATGCTCTAACGCAACATTGGATAGTATACTCCTAAGTAGTAGCAGTTCTTCTTGACTGGGAACCCTTTTTGCCCATTTTCTATGTGTTTTTCTTGATAATTTGCTATCCCCAAGCTAATTTTCTCTATTTTTATAATTATTAATATCTTTTCTGAATAAGACTGTTTAGAAAACTTTTAGCAATTTATTTTATGGATTTAAGCGCTTATGTTATTCATGTATGAGTTACTGTTTTGATATCTTGTTTTCGTGGTTCTAGCTGGTATTGACACAAATGCCTCATTTTTGGTAGTGAGGCGCATTAGCTGACTCATATACATTTGTATTTGTAGTTTTATCATCGGGTAACGTAAATTATGTTTTAGCATTTAATTGGTTCTTTTTTGTTTGTTGCACCGAAAACGTAGTTCGTTGACCTTATTTAGAAAGCATATGGTATGATGTAAAGGGAATGTGATGCCAGACGGTAGAGACGAGCTTGAAGAAGAGATGTAACATGATGAATGAAATTAAGAGCAGCTAACGGAAAACTGTGGTTTTTCTTCGTCGACCTCGACGAATGTCTATGAGATAACAGATAAGAAATTTAGAAGGTTTCTTAACAATAAGCAAATATTTTCTAAAAGGGGTTTTTTCCGGCATTCTAGCGGGCGTGGCCTTAAAAAATGTTCGGTTATGCCCTTTTCAGCTCTCCCACATTTTGACTGGTGCGCGGTCCCTGGAGTGTATTATAATATTCCTTTATGACAGAAATGGAAGCAACTGAATGAGCAGCTAAAATTAAACATTTTGTTCGGACGACGATGAGATAAATTTTGACTTTTTGGCGTTTTTTTTCGACGACCATTTTGCTCTTTTAAAGGCCCTCAACTCCAATAGCAAAATCAGAAGATTTCTTTGGGTTGGAGCCATTCTAGCAGAGGGGGCATGACGGGTGTAACCATAGAAATAGTAGAGCTAGAATGCGCGCTCTATTGTTCGCCTATTGTTTTCTGCGTAATACCAATGGGCAGCAAAGATGGTAGCAACATGTTGGCAAAAAGCTTTTGTGGCGTACATTGTACACCAATAAGAAGCTATGGACTTACCGCTTCTGCGTGGTGATACGAGAAGACAAATTTCATGGAACCTTTTCAGCGCCTAAATAGAAGAAGGTAAGGCACTTATTTACTTTTTCCTTACGCCACAGCGAGTCGTTTTACGGTTTTTCTTCGTATTTTGTTTGGACTCCTTTCTCTGCCAAATTTCCTTTCGTAGGCCAGCTTAGTAATTAATTATGTCTAAATCCAATTTCAAGTTCATTATAATTAGACAACCTTTAACCATTACAAATGAGTATGCGTTATTATTTTTGAGCAGTACTTAATAAATTCCTCAGGTTTTTGGCCTAGAAGAAACGCGGAAGTTACTGGTAAACAAATGTGTCAACAACAGCGTGATTCAGTGTCTAGAAAGTCTTGTTGAAACTTGATGCATTCGAGGCTTAAATTTGCTTAAATTACCTTGAAATCAAATCCCAGCCACTAGGTTTGGGCAATTTCCAAGTTTTGAATCAACATGTTCCAATTCAAATGAATATATGTGAACAGCGTTGTTGTTTTCAGCTGAAATGATGTGCAGTAGAACGAGACTCCAAGTGACTAAGAATCCCTCCTCCAAACCTTAAGCAAAAGCAGATATGAATCTAAAATCCAGTCGCTAGAATTATTTTATCCTTGAATATGGTATCTTAGAACTAAATATTTACATTTTTTACAGATTGAAGATAAAGATGGCATTTCCTCCATCTATAATAAAAAGCCCACCAGGTTACTTAACCGCCGCCTGGCACTCGGCGTTACCTCATGGTACAAGTTTTATAATATTTTTTGAAATTATTTCTTATTGTGTAATGTTCTTGAAATCATATTATATTATTCATTGTAAAACAAAATTTGCTTTGTAAGTTTATGCCTTCTTGAAGACTGATTTCCTTTTATTATACGTTCTGTATAGACCCTTCCAAATTGGTGGTAAAACAACACAAGGTAATTCTTAATGATCTGTTTAATCAAAATTGTGATATGGTCATCTCTAAGGTGTTCATCAAGGACATGACAGTGTTGTGAGTGCTCTTGTAGAGATCTGAAGGTATTGTTTTTCATTTTGTGCATGACTGCTGATGTTATTTTAGCATTGATTTCCTTTGAAATACATTGCCACCTGCATAATTCTGTTCTAGCAAGTTTGTCTGTACACTCAACTATCTTGTACACTGACCATGATGGAACCAACAAATTTCCATACCGTTTGCAAGAAAGAAGAGAGAGGTGGCTCTGGTATCCATGGTCACCTGAACTGTCAGAACTTTGATAAAGGGAAACTGCACAGTCTGGACAATCTAATGATTCCAAAATTTTCTTAACAATGTAGCCTGAAATGTAGTGGAGGACATCAGATCTCCAAACATTGTTTGTAAGTAGCATATTTGAGATGTTCGAGTCAATCTTATTATCTGGAATGTTTTTAGAATTTTCAAAATCAATACAGTTTGCTGTTGATGGAGATTCAATCTTATTTTTTAGAAGTAACTGTCTCAAAGCATATTTGAACTGGAGTGCAGTTGGATTATTGTTCCAACCTAGTCTACTTCGAATTTTTGAAAAGTACATCTCCAGTTGGTCTTGAGAGAAGCGATAAGTCAGAACATACTCAAATGGTGCTTCTGATCGTTCTAACAAGCCTCTGCTGATTTTCAAGATTGAAATTGACGAGACAGCAAAACCGAGAATAAAAGCCTTCCTTGGACCATTTACAATAGGCCAGCCTGCTGTATCTTTAAGGGATTTAAGGGTCTCAATTCCATTCAGTAAATAGGCTTCTATATCATAGAAATTGTCTAAGCTTATAGGCTTCTTTGTATGCTTTCCAAATTTACTTTTCGAGTTAAGCATATCAAAGATATTGTTCATCAGAAGAATGAAGTCGCTGGTTGCTTTGCTGTCCTTAAATTCTTGCAACCCCAGATTTCTCAAAAAAGTTATTGCAGATGCCACAGAATGGCTTCTGTGCTGCAACACTGACCTTCATTTTGTGATTCTGCCACTGAATATGCTTTGTCTTAAGTTTATTTGCAAGATTTAGTATGTCATTTTTTTGTGTTCTATAGAGTGCAAGAACACACTCCCAAGATATTCTTTGTCCACCTGGGGTACAAAAGATCTTGATGGTGGAAAAGGCATTTCTTGCAAGCTTCAGCATGTGGCAGATATCAAGAATTACAAAGATCTTTTCATTGGGGTTTGATGGATGTGGAAATGATGTACCAAGGTGTTTTATATCACATCCAAGTTTCTCAGCCATGCTTACATTTTTAAGAGCACCATCAAAGATGACTGCATGAACTTTAGCTCCTCTCTCAGTAAGGAGATTAATTGCTTCACTTATGAGCTGTTTCAATATATTTGCATTTAGGTTGTTCGTTAAAAAGTACCCAATAGGGACATACCATGGCTTTTGTAGCCCTGAAGCCATTAAAACAAGAGCATTTGTTGCCATAGTGTCTGGGGTTTCTGCCTTAAAGTTGCCATAGTCAACATTGCCAACAAATTTTGAATTCTTTTTATCCCATTCCATTTGTTTTCTTATAGCCATTTCATCAAGCATTAGTACACAGTCCTTCTGCCCCTCTTGAACCTTGCCTGCTACATATTCAAAGGTTTTTTTCAAAAAACCTGGTTCACAGTCAATGTTTATAGACCAAGACCTTATTGTTGCTGGGTGTGGCAAATTAAGTGACTTTCTGATGAACTTATAGGCTCTTGGGCTATAGAAGTGCAGAGAAATGGCAAACTCTTTCATTTCTTCAGAATACCTGGAACCAGACCCTTTTCTAAAATTCTGTGCTTCGTTTCTGAAGAGCTCTGTTGTCATATGCCCAAAGTTATCTGCCAACGACTTCTGATTTTCTTCAGAAAGCAATCTATACTTATGAAGCTGTGTCATGAGACCCTCAATAGTTTTTGCTTTCCTAAAATTTCGTGACCTGAGTTTGTTTATTATTTTGTTCTTTTGATTAAGCTTTTTCTTATATTTGTCTTTCATTTTCCTTGGTGAAATAGTTGATGCATATGCATGATCGAGTTTGACCTGCTTTGGATCAAGTGTGGGTGGTGTTTCTGCTTGCTTAGGATTAGACCTTTTAACAGGAGAGGCTCTTTTCTTTGTACATGGCTTTTGCAGATGTGCAGGGAAATTGAAAACAGAGGGGACAGCATCTTTATTCAAATACTTTTTACCTAAAGACTCTGAGTTTGGCATGGAGGGAGGATAGCTATAGTCACTTGGAAGAAAATGCTTTTCACAAATTCGTTGCGATGAAGAAGGATGCCAATGTTTACGACGCATTGCAATTAGCCATTTATGTAACAATGACTGATTCTGAAGTGGAAACCTGTTTAGAATTGGGCTCATAGTTAAATATATAACAGTATTTTTTGTACAAAATATATGTTTTGTGATTCTTCCACATTATTTGCATAATTGAAAACTAAGGACTTGCTTTTGGCTTTTGAAAATACAATTTTGTAATATTTGGCAAAGTTAACATTTTGGTCGTTTTATATACTAATAAATAAAAGAGAATTGAGCTCAAGATATTTGTCTGTCTTTGAATTTTAGAAAAATTATGAGCTGCTAATCTAAAATGAATATTGCTTAAAATAACCTGTATTCTACCCCCCCCCCCCTCTACCGTTATTATAATCCTGTATAAAAACAGGATAGGAATGGAAATTTTAACCTATCTATGCATTTCCTAATAAACTCGTTACAAAAAGGGATATATGGTACCACATAGCTAAGTATGTATTTACTAAAATACATAAGAATACTATATATGCCCCCCTTTTTACCAGTTTGTTGGGAAATTTTGCTAGAATGTTAGAAATTGTTGGAAAATTTATCTTCAAAATCCGAATTATTTCGTGAGATGATTATTATGTCTCTACCATCTGCTTGTAAACATAGTAATAATGCTTGTAAACATAAATATCGTTGATGAAGAGCAGTTTATCAAAATAATTAATAATAGTATAATAGAATTTTTGGAAGTTTTTTTATATTTAAATTCCTATCAAGAATAAAGAGAAACACAGTACCCACAAATGGGCCTACTTACTTGTGGAACGATATGTTTGTTTGATCGGGAAGCAAGTCTTTTTTAGGAATCCATCGATTCTGGCAGCCGAAAGCAGCACACGACACTACCATTTTCTTATCTTTAAACGCTGAATTATCTTTAAATGTTGACAACAGTATATTAGATTGATAAGTGAGCCAAGCGCGTATACGGTGATACGAGGCAATACTGTCCGCTGTGATTTCCCGCGTATTTTTTTGCCAACTTGTTGCTACCATTTTGGATCCCCATAGTTCGCACGCGTCACGTGATAGACCGCGCATTCTAGCGCTACTATTTCTATGGGTGTAACGACCCATTCGAAAAACTCCCTTTCAAAAACGAGGCCAATGTGCATACATTTTGGAAGCAAAGCGGCAAAGGCCTTGGCTGGCGGTGAGGTGAAGGGTTAAACTAAATAAATGAGACCTATGTCAAATGATTAAGCTATGTACGAAACACATGGTATCGAGAAAAAAACTTTTATAAGAAAGATTTTTTAAACGAGATGGAGTTTACCTTCGTTACCAACACAGAGCAATATTGCTGGTCAACGCTTCCAACGGGAGTATTAGGCCATATATTCTCATTTCTGACCCCATCATACCTTTTAATTGCTGCCAAAGTCTCCGTAAACTGGCATTCAAGCGCTGTATGGGCCTTGCGGAAAGTGAAAGTAGACGAAAGCACTGCTTTTGGTGGATGTTGGCTAGAAAGCAACCGAAATAACGAAAATGTTGTGAAGACAGGGCTCTCTCGATTTATCAACGACCTCTGTGAAACTACAGATGGTATTGAGCATCTAGAGCTAAACACTCGCTACATTGATAGTGAGCTGGTCGAACAACTTTTATTGCACCAACGTGGAATAAAAACTCTTTGTGTTAAATACAAACATCTTTTAAGTGGTCATCGATTTGAAGCAAATTCTATAGGCAAAGCAGTGTTAAAGGGGATTTTAAAACACGAGCCAACATTAGAGAAAATAAACATTGGTATTAACTACTACTTCATGTCTTTTCAAATGCTAGTTGATGGTTTGAAAGGCAAGGAAAATATTTTTCCAAACCTAAAGTCTATTGAGTTTCTGTCAACAACCGCTGGTAGTTTTGGGCACATGGCAGCCAAGCAATTTGAAAAACATCAAATGCAATTTGATGCAGTTGAAAAAGAATATGCAACAGTTTTCCTTGAAAAATTGCTAAAATCCTCAAGACTTGAAGAATTAAATTTCCAGCCAAATTTAGAACTTAGAGTGAATCAACATGAATGGGAAGTATTTTGGCACCCAGCTTTCAATAAAATGTTATTTCATTATTTCAAGAAGGGTTCATTTGCAAAGCTAAGAAAGATTAATGTTGACAGCATGAATAGTGAAGGACATTATTGGAAATTATCTGAAAGGGAAGCACAGCTGATAGTTGAAAATTGTCCCAATATTACCCACATAGATTCTAATGATTTATATGATGTTATTTTTGAAGAAAGGATGTGCCAATTTTTGGAGGAGCCAATGATTATGCTTTTAAAGAGTTATGGTCCCCAACTTGTTTATCTCAACCTTCAATTCATGACAACAGATATTGGGAAGTGTTTAATTGAAAACTGCCCAAATGTTAAGACACTTTCTATTCAAGACATCTCATCTATTAGATTGAGTGATAATATATTTCTTTTGATGAGCAATTTACAAACATTGAAAAGCATCAAAATGGGTTTTTTTCTTAGTTCTATTAGGGAAGAAACTGTGCTGAAGTTTTTGCAAAATATTTTAGATCAACTTGAAAATCTATCTATCGAATATATGCTTTACAGTGAATTTTACACAAATATTTTCAAAAGCATTGCATTGTATGGAAGAGGTTTGAGAAAGCTATTCTTGCTGTTTCATTATGAAAACTCAGAAGATGAATTCAAGAAAATAATGGAAGGATTCCTACTTGTAATTTACTGTTGCCAAAATCTCAAATATCTTGCTATACAACTACGGCGGCAAGGAGTATTACTTGGTGAATCTAAATTGCCTCTCTGTCTGGATACAAGAAAGTTCTACTCAAAGGCTGTAAGCAGGGAGCTTGTCTCTGAGCAAAAAAACTTGCGTTATCTTAATATTTTCCATGATACAATAATATTGCAAGAGGATAAACAATTTATCATCAATGGAATGCCTTACTGTGAAATTGAATTTCCACATTAGTTTTCTTTCTTGTGTTAAAGCTTTTTTTAAACACTGTGAGAAGGAAGAAACTTATTAATCATGTGTATTTATTAAATTTAGTATATTTTATAATCCCAGTATATAGCTGATAGTGGTAAAGCTGATATGTCCTCTTTAAGAATGTGTCACTAATGCCAGGTGATCAACTCCTTCATAAATATATTGAAATCGCTGTAATAAATTGTTGCAATAATAATAAAGCCTTGAGAACCCTGATATTGGTAGGTAAGTTTTTTCCATCTTTGATTTGATTTCATATCAACATGAATTTAGTTTGATCAGTTCATGGTTCCACTTCAAGTGTCATTAATTTCAATCTTCATATTTTCCAAAAATGGACTATAGAATTGGAATCTTCATGCTGAAATTAGTCTTTGCTAAAATTTCACGTTGTTTTCAAAATTTAGCTTTTCCTGTAAATTTCACTGGATTTTTTCTGCTGCTATGAAAACATTTTACTGCAGTTGCACATTCTAGTAAATATTTCTACGCGCGGCTTACCGATTTGGCAATGGGTTTTTGTGGATTGCGGCTTGAGCACAAGATGCGTCTTGCGTCTTTTGATGTTGGCAACGGTTTACAGCTGTGATAATGTTGATGCGTTTTTTATAAAAATACGCAATTAATAGATTTTGAATAAGGTTTGATCCAACGCCACGTGAAACAGAATGAGAACCATAAGAACTTGCCATAAAGTTACTTCTAGTAATGCTTTCCTTTACTTATAAACAAGTATTTTGCTTTTTGTGCAACGGCACGTTTTGCAATCGACGCCGCGTCTTTGCTTGTTATTTCAATGCGGATTGCGAATTTTTGCTGATACTCGCACGGCTTTGCGGCTTTAAAACCCCCTATAATAAGCCCCCTCTTGATATTCAATAGGTAATGGGGGCAAATTATAGGTTTGCATTTAAAGGTTGACATAAAAAAGGAAGGGTCTTGCAAGGTTTTAGAATAATCTTAGCATAGCATCGTATAAGATGAAGAAGAGAAAAAACGGTTAATAGAATGCTATTAAACGATCAAATGATAAAATAAAACATTTCAAATTTCGGTACTCCATTTCGGACCAATAACTGTCAACGGAGCCTATATTATCATTTACTGCAGAGAAAAATAAAAATAGCCGATCACACAAAAGAAAGACAAAAGATAAACCGAATTCCAAATTTTGAAGTGTTAGCCAAACAATTTTTGAGGTAAAAGCATTCGGCGGGCCGGATGAAATTTTGTTGCGGGTCAGAGTTGGCCCGCCGGCTGGAGGATAAGAATGGCTGCTCTATGAGTAAAAAACTGGTTTTCCAAAGTTGTTTTTGTCGTATAGATCTTCTGCTATTATATTGAGCTGGTAAATTGTATAATGGTTTTGTTTACAGGGGAAAATTAAAAGAGATGCAATATGACATTGGCCACTGGGGTAAAATACTAGTTTTTCCTTCTCTGCTGGGACGAGAAAAAGCAGACCCACGCCACCGGGGGGAAGCCGGGGGCAATGCACCCCTTAGTTTTTTGCGATGCAAAGTTTTTTGCGATGCAAATAGTTTCATAGCTACAATAAAAGGTGAAAGAATACTTACCCCTTCTTTCGTTAACATTGCTCCCCTCTTTAAATTTCTGGCGTGTGCCCATCAGAACAAATTTCTCCGCAGTTAGCACAAAGAATATTCTGGAAGAAGTCCTGAACTCATTTGGCATAAATCTTACTAGTTCTAAAGCATAATCGAGAGCAACCGACAATTTCGTTGTTCTAACACAGGTGAATGTACAAGGCGTGGATTTTTTTATACCATTTTTAACTGAGAAATGCCCTTTTTTCTGGTTAACACTGCTCAAAACTTGACAGTCAATGTCATCTTCTTTCTCGTAAAAATATTTCTGCAATTAATCATCTGTGATGGCAGGGCTTCCTGGCAGCAAACAAAAATTCAAGATTTCCTGCGAAGCTTCGACAAAGTTTCAAGCCTTCGAAAGTGATATTTAAGTTCCTTAATTTGTTATCGAACAGCAATCATTTTGTCCCTACTGTATTAGATGATCAAGAAGAACGTGATTGAGCATACTCATAGTTTGTTTTCAAGGTTAAAGTTAGTAGATCTGAAGATCCAAAATAAATTTTGATTTAATGTCATATCAGTACTAGCAAACTAGATACTATTGAAATATTGATGTATCCTACATCTTGTTCTGGGTTTCATGTTTGCTGCTCATTTTTATCATCAAAGCTAGTAGTTCATACAACATGTAAGAATACTATTTTATTTTTCAATGGTTAAAATCAGGGATGTTGCTAGAGCCAAAAATACAATCTCAAAACGCTTACATTTGATTAAGCTAGCGATGAAAAAGGATGTGAGTGCCAGTAGAAAAGTATGAGTAATAATGAATACATCTACACAGGTTTAGGGGCATTTCCACCTTCAATACAATTGACGTAACAAGACTGGCTGTCTTTAAGTGTTTTTTATGTATCTAGAATGGCTAATGTAAAAAGAGAAACGAACATTGTTTTAGCTTGCTTGAATTAAATTAGTAGTTGCAAATCATGCCCGAATTGCCGGAAATTTAGTATAACGGACGCTGATGATACCAGATGATTGTATTTTGAAAGCTAATCTTAGTTTTTTTGTTAATAGTGCAGAACAAGAATTATACAGTGCGTATTTATATCACTAGAAAACAGCGTTCCGTAGAAAGAGAATAACATACATTTAATGTTCATATTAAAATCAAGCAATGGCGATTTCACTTTAAAAATTTCCTGGCAAAGAGCAAGAATTTCCTGCGATGAATTCGCGCTACACATTTCCTAGCAGCGCCGCTCCGGTAACATTTTCCAGCCCTGTCTGATGGAATCCCCTCAATGTTGCCTCTTCCTAAGTAATTTGAAGATTTTCAAAAAGCATTGACTGTTAAATCATTCCAACTATGAACTTCATTTTTAATATTGCAAGTGAAATCTATCACAACTTTACATCGTTTAGTTGTTTGTCCGTCATCTACATTTTGTCGCAGTTCACTTTCCAATTTGTTGCAAACCTAATAATTCAAAACCCTGTAATTTTTCATTTTATCTGCTAATCCTGTTTCTAAAACATCGATAATAACATAGGCTCCGACACAGGTTGGAAAGTAGGAGGGGGCAAGGGAATATTTAACACATATAACAAAAGATTTTGTGAAAAGCTCTATTGATTTGCAAAAAATTGGGGGCATTGTCCCTGGCCCCCCTTTGTCGGAGGCCCTGAATAAAAGACAATGAAACAAAGTTTGACCATGTCGTATTCCTGATTCCAGACTCTGTATTCCAGATCCCGTTTTCCGGATTCCGCTATCTGTACTGCGAAGAAATTAATATAATGCTGCGGGGGCGTTTGTAGTTCCAGGAGCTCTTCCACTTCCACTTCCACATTGATCATCACCTTGCGTGTTGCAGAGAAGGCAAAATGGCCTGTCTTGAAGCAGCGTTTATGCTCTTATTAGTCATTCAGTGGGGAAATTTGTTCTATGGTAAGTTCTAGTTAACATTTTCTTATGTTTTGATTATCAGTTTCCCCTTTCAAAGCGTAGAGTCAAATTTCACCAGAAGCAAAAGAGACCGGGCCAGGGTCCTCAAGAAGAAGAAGCAAGAAATAACGCTTTATCTCCAGTCAAGCTCTGAGATTATATCTTATTTGCAACACATTTCATAACAATATATCGAGCAGAAGGTTAATCTTCCTTACATGAGCTTTGTTACTTTTTTTAGGTAACGATCTGCTATGTCAACAAATATTTATATCTTTTTAGAGATAGAGTTCTCAGGTTTCATTAAAATCAAAGAGATTTTAGGTTGAAAATATAAATATTTATTAGATGAAATATTTCTCTAAAGGACGAACTGTTTCCTGAAACTGCTAAAAGCGAGCAATAAAAAGTTACCAAACTCCATTTTCGGAAACATCATTGTTTTGTCGGAAAATTTCCAGACTTGAGCAGTGGGAAATTCTAAAACTTTTAGCAACATAAATTACTTGTACTAAAGTACTTCTGGTAATTTCGAGGGGCAATTCACTTTTGTAAAGAAAATACTATATTTCCACAAATCAAAATGATTTCTCAGGATTTACAGATTTCTACCATAGAGTGATTTGCTGCTCTGATTTTGTCAGATGAAATCCGAATCTTCAAGGGCCAAATTTGGTTTATAGAAATTGGTCAATATTGGTCGTAAATTATATCTTTATTTGATATTGAAGACCGGAACAGTGCCAGTTATGTGCCTATCACCAGATTTTTGAAAATTCTGTCCCAGATTGAAAATTTATGCAGTTATGTTGAATTCGATCAAAACCATCGCTTTCCCCCAGTGGATATTCAATTCAACCAAAACATTTTGTTATCAAAATTTGCTTAAAGAATGCAATTTCCGGCGAATTTGAAGCAGATTTAAAAAATTTGTTCCTTCAGTGGCAACCATGGTGCCCCCTCAGGTAGTAACTTCATTCTACCCTTGTCCTAAGCTATAGATGTCAGGGACGTTTGCTGTAAGTATAAAGAAACAGAAACAAAGACAAAAAGTGCATTTTAAAAATCTTTCCAGTTATTAGCCTTTTTGTTCCGACCCTTACACTTACATGAAATGCTTCTATTTGAGTAAAATTAATCAAATAAATTTTGTCGGAAAATTTTTCTTTCTGTTCACTCTAGAATTAATTTGCCATGACGCCCTTGAACTAGTGTACTTTCATATAAAAATGATTGAATGATCAAACTGGATGAGGATTTCTATATCCAGGAGGTTTCTAACAGCATCCATGAGAACATGAGATAATTTTCAATTCCATCGGCCTCTTGACAGATCCATGAAACTTGGCAACCTTGACAAATGAAACGAAAAGTGTCTCAAATATAAATCATTTGTTAACTCTTTTTAATATGAAAGTACACAGGTTTTGGCAATCTTCAGACATTGATAATAATACCTTGAAGAATTAAATCACAGTGGAAAGAAGAGGCATTTAAAATGTTTCTTCAGGAAAAATGGGTAATATTTTGCCGAATATGGGGAATATGGGAGTATGGGAGTATCTATCAAAATTCCACATTATTGGTTGATCCTATTGCATTTTCTCTGATAAGTTAATAAAATTAAAAAAAAGGTTTGCTACACTTAAATTATATTCCTCTAGCTTATGATGATGTTTTCTTATGCGGCATGTTCCCAATCCCCACTCTGAATGCACAAATCTGTGTACATTATGAAAAATAAACTAACCTTACTTCTTTTTCTTTTCTTTGCTTTTACGGTCTATCATACAAATGCTCCCTCAGTTACAACAATTCTGAATAGGGCACTTCAAAATTGCAATGGAATATGATCTCCTTGAGTAAAAGAAAGGTTGCTTTTAGGATCAGTGCTCTCTCCTGAGAAAACTTACACTGTTTGCTCAGCTGAAAACTGTTAAGAAAAATAGTTTGGTTTTTTCAATGATCTGAACAAAATAACATGCAAGAACCCATGCAACTGACAGATTTCAAGTTTTGTTCTTTCTTCTTTAAAATATAGATTTTGCTATTTTAGACCATGAGTTCAGACTACTACACAAAAATGCAACCAATGTGACAACCATCTGCTAACTGAATGACATATAGGAGCAATTATTGGTAGGGATGTACCGGATATCCGGTAGGCCGGATAATCTGGCGCCGGATCGCTGATTTTTTGAAAATCCGGTTCCGGCCGGATTTGTTTATGAAATCCGGCAGTTGCCGGATTTTCCAGAATTTCAATCATAACTAAGAAAATTTCTAGAGAAACAAGTTATAAAAGTGCAAATACAAAGAACAACAAAAATTAAAAGCAATAGAACAAACTTGAACATAGTTTTAAAAGTTAAAAGAAGCATCCCAATCGGCAGTCAAACACAAAAACAGTCAAACACAAAAACAGTCAAACATCAAAAAGCTACAATCGTCCCAGGTTTGATGCAAGAAAAGCAACTTGTAAACCAGTAGAAAAACTTTCGAATCTTGTTCACGAATTGATGATAATGGATTTTTTGTAATAAAGCCTGGCTTCCATATAGCCGTAAAATGGCCGGTGGCAGTTTTCTGCCATTTTCTATCTGCCATGTCCCTGGTACCGCAGCCATCGATTCAAATGGCAACGTCTGAATCTTGTGCTGCAACAATCCTGCCTGAAGTATCGCGAGATAACGCTAACTGTGCCAGTAGTGTCGAGAAAAGTTGAAACGATTCAACTTTTTCTAAGTCGTTACCGGGAGAGGTGTTTCGATTCAAGTTGAAATGGTCGTGGCATGCCGAGAAAATGGCTCCGGCAAAGGCTGCGGCAACCTTACGGCATCTTACGGCTATATGGAAACCAGGCTTAAGTTAAAGCAGAAGTTTTCAAAGAATATCGCAGAGAAAGGCTGTTTAAAAAGTGCAGCTGCAAGAAACTTTGGAAAACCAAGTCAGACTCTCTTCATAATGTGAATAAAAATGGATTTTCCAGAACTAAACAACATAGACGATAAAACAAGCGCCTTGAAAACAGATTTGAAATGAAAGTGCTTGTCATCATGAAACAGGAAGACTGAATGATATAATTCACAAATTTGGTCCAGGGTTGCCAGATTGGCTTTTTAGGCCAAATTTTTCATTTTTTGTTTTTAGATTTAGATTGCCTTCGATGTAGATTGCCTAGATTTAGAAAGTTTTCGATTTGGCCTTTTTATTTTGGCCTAAATTGCTCACCAGTCTAGCCTTCGTTTGTAAATTCAATCTGGCAATTCTAAATGGGTCTCTTTGATCTTCTCGCTTTACATTTTTTCGCAAAGTGGCTCAAAACTTTTTATTACTGAAAAATCCATAAATGGCCAGATTATCCGGTAAGTTCCGGCTGGATATTCCACGAAGAAATCCGGTAAATGCGGTTCCGGCCGGATTCTGAAAATCCTGATCCGGTACACCCCTAATTATTGGGACAGTATCATATTTATGATATCTACTTTGTTCATACTCTAGTGTCTCTAATAGACGGGTTCCCCGTGTATGAATTTCAGAAGAATTTGCCCTCCCCCCGTCGCTTATTAGCACCTCCTTCTATTGAATTTTACAAATCAAGTCATTTGATTTTCATTATTTGTTGTTTTCCATAGTTTTTTGTAAAATCTCAACCATACAAAGGAAACCGATGATTTTTGACTTGCAAGTTAGAAGCTGTAAATTTGATTTATCTTTGTATGATTACAATTTTCTCTAAAACTATGCAAGAAACTGAAGCCACATTTTGACAGTATATTCTGAAAGGTACTTTGATTTCAAAGAAGGATTGCCAACATAAACACCCCCTTCTATTAGCATCCCCTTCTATTGAAAACTGTTCGACATGAACACACCCTTTTATTAGCACCCCCCTTCTATTGAAAATTGGTCAGAATGAACACCCTCCTTCTATTACCTCCCCCTTCTATTAGAGACACTAGAGTAATCATACAATTTTATTTGTTTTTATCTATTTTTCACTATGAATGTTTGCTTTTACTGTGTTGTATCTGAACAGTACTTTGATGATATGCGTTTATCTTTGTTTTTTTGTTTGCTTCAGTCCAAGGAAGTCAAATTTCAAATGAGATTGCTGTGTTCAACAGTTTGAATGAGTCAGTCAGCATTGCCATAAAAGCACAAGGAGAGGTATGTATACAAACTTAACATCAAAAGGAACTTAAATTATACTTTTGGTGCATAAAACAGGACAGTTCTAAGTTGAAACTCATGGTTGATAGTCTAGGCAACTATTCAGTCAAATGATATAAGATGTGTTTGTCTGTGATGCTTTATTGTGCTTTGGGAATGATGCCAGAATGGTGTGTTCTGTTTACGACCATTCTTCTAGTCATGAAATGAAAAATAGTCTCAATTAACAAAGAGAATATAATAAAAAAATGCTATAAAACAATATTGTTTATAGAAGTTGTTTGTTGCACTTTTGGGTTTTGATATGTTAGAGTGCCTTATCAAATGTTATGGTAGATCCTCTTAAGAAGAAAAATATTGAAAGAATGACTGAAGAATATGATTAGTTTATAGATAAATTTATTGGTTCCTCAAACAAACATTGCTTTCAAAAAACTTTGTGGAATTTCTCTAGATTTATTTCTTCTAAGGAAATATGTTGGTTCATTTGAGGTTTTTTGTCATCCTTATCTGCATTTTTGTTTTTGAATGTACATACCTTCTTCTGTTCTCCTTCTGTCTCATCAAACTGATGTCTTCCATTATTGTAAAAGCTTTTTGCCATTTTTATCTTCTATGGCATATATCCTTTCTGTGCCTTTTTTTCTTAATTCTCATCAATTATATCTATTGATTCAGAGAACATTTTTCAGGAGAAGATTTTCTTTGACAATGTTGAGTCACAAAGGCTGTCAGGTTTTAAATCAGTCACAGGTTAGTAAAAAATATTTTCTATTGCTTAGACTTTTTAAGACAGAGACAAAAGGTTCTTTATCTTAGGCAAATAGTGAAGGCAGTAATTTTTTGCAGGACAAAACTTTGAATGATGTGTTCTTTGCATTAGCTTGTGTTGAATTTACATCATACAGACATTTCTTTTTGGCACCCAGCAAGCTGGATTTCAAACACGATTAATCCACTGAAATGTTCTAAGTAGGATTGTATTAGCAAATTGAGAGGTCCTGGACATTTTTAATTGAGATGTTATGTGAATACTAGCAGGTATTAGTGTACTCAAGGGTACTTGTGTTGCCATTTACAAAGTGATACAACAAACGTAATGTCTTTTCTCTGGTAGGTTTCAAATCCTGGAATGTTACTTTGAAAACAGGAAAAAATAGTGGTAAAGTTTTAAAGGCTGGTAAGTAATAGGTTTTCTGTATGATACTATTGTATGGTATGAGTCTATAGCATTTCTTGCAAACAAAGGCTTTTTTCAAGGCTTTGGCAGTTAGTGGCAATGTTCATACAATAAATTTTCTTTCATTGTGGTGATGGTCTGCATTTAGAAAATTTTACATTTATGCATCTCTTTTTAGTATATAGGGTTTATAAGTTTTAGAAAGGACACTAAGAAGCTATGGTTCTTCCTCTCCTTGTGACCACACCTCTTGATTCGTATTATTGTATCTATGGTTGTTACACATGATATGGTATCATTTGTTATGCTATGGTTGTTATGACATGATACATTGACAAGTCAGGTGATGGCTACTTTTTGACAAATCTATGATTTCTTCTAGGTCATGTTTTCAAGCCTTTGAGAAAAACAATTCTTGCTGTTCATGACGAAGCTGGAAGAAATACAGTTCTTTTTGTTGATGCTGGTGCTATGAATAAGCTGCTTGGAAGCAAAGCGTAAGTTTTGTGTGTTGTTACAGACTTTATTGTAAAATCTTGTGGGTAAAGTACTCTGTGGTGCTTGTGGTTTTCCAAAACTTTTTACCAAAAGAAATTACTCTGCTAAATAAGCTGTTGAAAGTAAAGTGTTCATGCAGCTACAAACGTTGCTGAATTTCAATGTGTGCTTTGTTATGCAGAACTTGAGGGTTCATTGTGTTGTAATTCTGAGTTTCACCCATAAAGCTCTACCTAAACAGCTTCAAGCACTATATGGCAGACAGGTTAACTGTAATTTAAATTGAGAATGGCTGAATAAAGATGCTCAATAATTTCATCTGATTCTGCAATCCTATGCATGATTTATTGTATGTCCTGTAGCCTACCTGTAGATTCTCTCTGGCTTTCTTGTTGACAAGGAATCATAGATTTTTCTGATTTTCTGCTACTTTCTGCCTTTACTTTACGTAATGCTTTTGTTCCTCAAGGTCTGAGCAAAAAGTAGGAATTGATGAAGCATGGGTACATGTGCAATCATTAAACGCTGGAAAACTGTTTGTCAACTGGAAATCAGAGAACTGCTATAAAGTAGACAAGCTTTCTTCTGTTGCTACTTTCTTGTTTGCTTCGATTTTGCATACTTTTTTGGATTCGAAGATTACAGGAATTGTCCATAGGGAAAACAATGATTGCAATAATATCGATTGACATTGCTGTGATTTGGCAAGTTTGGAAGTTGTGCATTTAGGCCCTCCTTGCAACTAAAATTGAAATCCTCGAACTATTTCATTGGGATCATAGAGTTCTCTTTTAGCATACTTGAATATATAGGGACTAAGCATAACGAACCAGGAACACATATAAAAAAATTACAAGGCTGTTAATAAAGAATGCGAAGATGTTTGCTGATACCTAAACGGTATTTATCAATAGATGGCAATACTTTGAAAGCTACTTGACGCTGGAAATTTTTGAAAATAGCTTTTTTATGTATGTGCTTGTTTCGCTTTTGAACTTTAATTGATTTCGCAGTTTTTCAGTGGCCTTGAGATAAGTGCATTGCCTATGGATATTTATAGGAACTTTTGTAACGTCAAGGGCAAATGAGAAACAAGGCTATAGAGGCAGCCATTTGCTTAATCCTAGTGCTAGACTAAAGATGACCATAGCGAAGAGCACGAGAAAATGATGCAAAGGGAGGCATAATTGAATATTGAGCTCTGCTGTGTGGCGATGTGTGCTTTTTACTGATCTGTTGGCGTGACTGATACACATATTACTGTCTATTTTTGAATATTTTAACGTTGTTATGTGTTTTTCCTGTGTTTAGTGCACCGATCAACTATTGACTGTTGTACCTAACGACACAATTAAGGACATAGTCATTGGAACAAAATGGCCCGTTATTCTCGATATAAAAAGCAACAAATCGGGAAATTGCAGGTGATTACAAATTTTAGATTTTTCTGATTTTTTCTAATCATAAAAAATAGCTCGTTTTTTAAAAATCATAAATTGTTTGTTAACTTGGTGTTTTCATCTTTGATTTTCGCCTGTATTGTTGCTGGAGAATACCTCCATTTATCACGACACAATATGTTTGTAAAAATAGTGATAACAATCATGTGGGGGTCTCAGAGTTGGATATTTCGAAAATTCACAATTATTGAAGCAAAAAGACATTTAGAAGGTGTTCCCCTTTTTCTATGCTTTAACTAGAAATGAAAACCTTAAGGCAAAAAGCGAAGCTGTTTAATATTAATAATGATAATAATAATGATAATGAGAGGCTCTAATAGTTGATATTGCTGTACCTGCGGACACGAGGGTTGCAGAAAAAGAGTTAGAGAAGGTAGAGAAATACCAAGATCTGAAAAAGGAAATAAAAAGGTCGTGGGAACTGCGATGTGCAAAAGTTGTTCCAGTAGTGATTAGTGCCCTCGGGAGCGTTACAAAAGATCTTGAATGTTGGATTGAAAATATGGACATTGTACCTGAAGATGGAGTACTGCAGAAGACTGCTTTATTGGGGACAGCAAGAATTCTGAGAAAGGTGCTGGAACATTAAAAGGAGAAGGACACCTGTTAGCCTTTAGTCATTTGCTATGACTCGCCTGACAGGAAGAAAAACGGCAATAAGACCAGCCAGTGCAGAAATGCTTAAAATCTCGTAATAATAATAAAAATAATAATAATAATAATAATAATAATTCGAAAAGTTATACAGGAATAAAAACACCTCATTGAATGAACGAATGCACTTTGAAGAGTTTAATACTTAGGTTGGTGACGAATTATTGAAATTGGTTGTAATATCAGCTGTTATTCGTTTTTTAAACTGTCTTCTGTTTTGCATTGAGTAAAGTTGCTTGATATTTATTATATAAACACCAGACAACTTTATTTTGTATCAATGCGTGTCCTGTAAAAGTAAAACAAATAAAAGTTAAAAATTTCCTATTTACAATTTTTAATGAAACTTGGAAGGTTAAAAAGCTAAATATTTTAAATACTTCCAAAGAATAGACACTTTTTCGTAGTTAAATAAAATTAAGTTTAAATAAGTTAAAATAAAGTTAAAGTATTCATTGAGGCTTTTCTCATATTCAAAAGAACTTTTAATTTTTCTAATTTTAGAGGAAGTTGATTGATTAAATATTCACTTGATACTTTAAATACTTTTTGTAGTCAATACTTAACACTTAATGCACATTTTTATACTTCGAAGAATTTACTACTTAGGTTGGTGACGAATTATTGAATTTGGTTATAATATCAGCTGTTATTCGTTTTCACAATGTTTCCGATAAGATCTTTTTAAACTATTTTAAATTTGGCATTTAGTAAAGTTGTTTGATCTTTGTTATATAAACATCAAGCGACTTTATTTTGTATAGAATATATTTTGTTCATTATATAAACTTGTCTACAATCAGAAGCTTTCTGTAGATTTCAGATGCATTTTGATGAACATGGAGAATACAAGATTGTTATTTCAATTGTTTCTTCGAAGCTGAAATGTCTACCAATCCAGACCGTGACGGATCCTAATTTTACTTATGGGCGTAAGTGAAGTGATAAGACCATATCTATCGATTCATTTTTTTATGTATTGAAAAAAGTGAAGAAGTCGAACATTTTATCTCAGCTTAGCTGAAAAGCTTAGTTACACAAGAAGGTTTTCTCTATTCCACGATGGTTTTTCTCTCTCCAGTATAGTTTGCTTCGGCATTTTTTATGAATTCCAGTCTTGGAAAAACCATGTCTGGCTGTCTGAAGCAGATTCATGGGTCTCCTTTCAGTTTGCTGATCTTTATCGAATTTCACTCAGTATCGCTAGTGAAAATGTTGCGAACTTTTCTTATTCTATATCTATCGACTTGTTTTTTATGTATTGAAGAAAGTAAAGTGAAGTCGAACATTTTATCTTTATATAGAGATAAAGTATTATCTGTCTCCAATTTTCCACTTGTTTCAACATTCGTCGAGGTTGATTGGAGAACATAAAGCCATCAATCTACAATCGACCAATCGGATAGCAAATTGTTGTTTGGAGCTATTAAAATATGCGAGTTGTTGTCTGAACCAATCAGAATTATGCTAGATCTTTTATGTCCTTGACTGCAAACGGCCTGTGACACAAGAAAATGAAAGATTAGTCGATCCACCATCCCCACCCAAAATAGGCCTAGATCGTTTGACCGCTTGCATAGCATAGTTCACTTCACATATTTCCAAAACATTGTTTGTATTGGATTATTATCTAGCCTGCGTGCAAGCTTTACTTCCCGTTGCGAAGGAGAGCCAGGACGAACACAATAGAGTATCGAAGTGATGACGTCATAAAAAATATATTTTTAGAATTTCTGAATTCTGATCCCAGAACCTGAAAGAGCATCGTGAAATACCTCTAAATATGCAAATTCAGTCAAAGGCATTACGATTTGGCTGATATATGGCCTCTTGAGCACAGGCTCTTGCCCCATCAAACCTCTGTAATTTGGTCTTGGTTCATAACTTTATGAACCAGGCCAGAATAACAGTAATCCGTTAGCAAACTTGAAATCTTTCATTGGCCATATCTCGCCCACTTTTGAATATATCTAACTGATTTTGCATTTTAAGGGGTATTTTATGCTGTTCTTTCGGCTTATGTGGTCAAATTTAAGAAATTCTAAAAAAATGTTTTTGATGACGTCACACTTCGGTACTCTATACAGGTTCCGTATTGGCTCTCCTTCGCAACGGAAAGTCTGCGCGCAGGCTAATTATTATCATGATAATGTAGATACATTTGCTCATTGTTTTCAGATTTTATATTTGATGTACTTTTGTGATGTACTTTTTATAATGTGCTTTTTATGGTGAACTTTTTAGCAATCATGGTGATGGTTGGAATTTGTTCAGGTCTACTTGGGCTCTACATTTTGTGGGTTTACATAATCAGGTAATTTCGTCGTTTTCTCTTCCATTTTATCTCTTTTCATTCGTTCTTTTTCTAACGAGTTCCTTCTATTTCTATCATGAGATGACTTTTCAGGACAAGACTGGTGTGTATTCCTGATACGTTACCGTGATTAAAATTTGTTGGCTATAGCTAAAGTTCAGAAAGTCCTTCCAGTTTTTGTTTATTTTTTTAAATCAGTCATGCCTTTGTTCACATGTCTGGTTAAGTTGAAAACAAAACACGTGACTTCAAGTATTTTTGGCCTTTTTTCTTCTGCAAAACGGTTTCGTAACAAGCTTTAAAAGGAGTATTTTGAAAACATTAAATGTTAAGATTTGTTGTACTTTAAGATTCTTTCTTGCCTTTGTATCAAATGTGATCTTCCTTTTGGAACTTTTGACGCTCTACTGTGGCATACGGGCTAATTATAGTAAAAGCGTACCATATCTATACGCGGCCATTTACAGTTTAAATGTGTATGTTAATCAGAAATAAAGAATAAATGTTAAAATCGAATTACCAGAAGTATTTTTATTATAAACTAATAAAATACCATGAACCGTGCGTACCAACAAAGAAAACAAAGAAACTACATATCTCTTCTATGATACAAAAATTTATGTAATCCTTTATTCAAGAAAGTGATTGTTAAAAGCGAGTTAGAAAATGCACGTTCGTAGCCTTTAAGACTTTTTGTCATGCTTCAAAGGGGGGTGTATTCTCAAAGGAGACTTTTCAAGACAGAAACCCTTTCGTGCCCAGCCGTGCCTCTACAATAGAGAGGTGGAGGACGCAGAAGATAAGGACGATGAAAAGCAGTATAATTATGCGAGTGCTCGGTTTCTGTGTGGAAGATATGTAAAGCGGTTTGCAAATGCTCAAGCAATAATCATATAACTATGTCTTAAGACTAAGATATCTAATTGCTCTATGAGACATATAGAGAAACAAACCTCTACGTGTTTACCGACATCGCCCTCAAGTTCTTGGTCACTTTCTCTGTCAACCCTGCTGATCAGAATGCAAAAAGATTTAAAGGCAATTTACATTGTGACAATTTTTGTGATGCGGCGTGCAAAGGCTCATGGTTAACCAAGAGTGTTTAATACTTTTGGCTTGCTGTTAATCATGAGCTTTTTTCATGATCTCGTATCATTATTGCTTTCATTTTAGGCGAAAGCGCAACACCAATGTCCAATTAGACATTGTGGTATGTCTTCATTTATTCTTTATTAAACAATTTACTCTATTTTATCTTTCTAATAACATTTTGCAAATATGGTATCATTCAAAAAAAATTTCCCATAGCCCCTTCACCACATTTTTTGGTTTTGATTGTGATCTCATTTGTGACACTTTCCAAAGTCCAGATTCGGCTCCCTCTCAACTCAGTTTATGGCGTTAATCCATCAAAAGTGACTCCTAGGAGCATCCACCAAACTTCATGACATTTTTGTTATGATTCACGGTTTTTGTCCCCATCACGCTCAGAGGATTGCTGTTAGATGTCTCTGCTACTCTTTGTCACAGGCTTTTCAAGGCTGCAATGTTTTGTTTATTAACTAGTGATGAGTGGTAGATTTCAGCAGAGAAGCAAGTTAGGCATTGAAACAAACCATTCCTTATATCAGAAAATTTAATGCTTTTTGGTCGATGTGAATAATGACTTTGCAAATCAATATTATCAAGACATTGAACACTAGAAATAGTGTGTCATCTTTAGCAGCTCTTGTACAAGACACATCTGTTGATAAAGCATTGATGAATAGCTTTACATACTTTAAAGGCTTCTTGTTTAATTATACTGGTTTTAGGTGAAATGATTTGCATCCGGGTGACTGGTTGCTTGCTTTATGTACTCAATGGCAAACAATTTTGATATGTAACCTAACAGCAAAATAACGCTTTAAAAAGGTAGCCAGAAGTTTCACAAATGGCTCATCTCCTCAGCCAAAAATGTACTTTTCACGTCGACATTTTAAGTTCTACTTAATCGTTCTACATTCTACTTAATTCTACATTCTATTGAAACAAAAATGGGTCTTACAGTGTGACTAGTTATTTCATATATTTAATCTGGCACTAAAACTGCTAGGTGGAGACAAGAGCATTCGCGGTTGCGTGAATTATAGTTATAGATCTGTTTTGACAGAAAAGTGTTACTATACTTCAACCCAAACCTGCGAGGTTTAGTTTCAACATGAGAGAGAAGCACGGAACATCGCCTAAACAAGAATTGTGCTTTTCTCTAAACATTGGTCCTGAGATTCATAAGAACTCTTGCACGCTGCGTCAAGAAAAATAGCATCGGAAAATGAGATATTTTCCGATTTGAAGTCCGATTGTTTAGTTAAAAACTTATACAGCAGAATTGAGTTTGAGCTTGATAAAAGCTTACACGGAAACCCAACAAAACTACTCCACTCTTCGACTTAGCCTATCAAAACTCAAACCTGCATTTGTAGCAGCTTTGATTGTCAGAAAGAAAGCTCTTTAATCAATCTTTTGACACAGTTCTTTAAACTTTATCTTTAATCTTTTTATTTACAGAATCTAAGTCAACCAAGGAATTTCATTACATCAAGCCTAGATCCACCAAATAATACTGCACCGAAAACTGGTCCCGAAACTTCATCATCAACTGAGGTGATTTCCTTGGATTCAATGTTATGTGGACTTTTCTTACTGTAAATATCTAAGTACGGATAACCTTGCTTAAGTCGAAGCCGATAAAAGCTCGTCGTACAAAGTCAGACTCTGTCGTATACGACTAGATCTGATCGCGTATGAGTATAAGTCAAATAATGTCTTCATACAGTCGCATTCGATTTTCAAAAATCGTACGTACTCCATACTTTCGTCTAGATCGAAAGATTAATGAATGCAATTTCACATCCACGCGCTGTATGGTGTCATTTAATACCACTTTTACTTGACTTGATAACTGCCTAGATTTTAAAAAGAACAATGAAATTGATATGTAGACTGCAGAATTCAAAAACAGATGACAGAATCTCGTAAAAATGTTTATGACCCATTCTTTTACAGCAATCCTCAGTTCCCCTACATCAAGCTTTTCATTTTTGATATGTTGCAAATCTCAAATGCAGTTTATTTATGAATGGGATTGCGTACTTAATTGCTAGATAGCAGAGGTACAAGTTGTAAATTTTTCCTTTTTTAAGCCCACTGTGAGGCCAAAGAAGAGACTCAAGTCACTTGACGCTTTCAGAGGGTGAGCGCATTCTAGTGCTGTTTGCATTTTTGTCTACAATGAAACTTGTCAGTAGATGCCTAGTTAGTTTGTTACTGCATTGCTTAGTATGGCAGCTCCTGTGGTATTTGCATTACCAGCCGCATTAGGATTAGGCCATTACCTTAATGCTCAGGAAACAATGCTCATCACATCTATTATGGGTATTGTAGTAGATGTTGATAAATCTTCAGCTGCATTCATCAAGACCTAAACGTAAACAAAATCAAGACCTAAACGTACTCAATGAAAGCATGCCAGTGGCGGATCCAGCCAAAAATCTGACTACCGCCGAAATGAGATAGAGGGTTGACCACACCCTTTAGACCGCACCCATTTCTTGGTCACACCCGGTTTTCTAAAATGATTATTGCTTTCTATAATTTCTTATGTAGACCATTTTCAAGAGACAAGCTGTGCTTTACTGAAATTTCATGTATCCTTACAACAAGCTTGAGAAGAAATAAATAATCTTATTCAATATTCTGAGGATGGATATTCTATAAAAATTACGGCATTCAGACGAGGAACACCATAGAATTAGAAAAAAAGATAAATGTTGAAGTGCCGCCTAAAACTCGCATTTAGTCGGACAATTACTTATGAAAATCAGACCTGTTGGAAATTACAAGTTTAAAAAGCTAGATAAAATTTGAAATTATTGAGAGCAACTTTTGTTAAACAAAGAATCATACTTTTGGCGAATATTGTGGGCCTGACTTTTAATCCTGATGCCTTCTTAAATTTTAGAATATTTCTGAATTTTAGAATAAATCTTAGAATATGAGTCTTAATGTTCTTTTAAAATATATTCCTACGATTAGTTGTGTATTGTACAAAATAATGGGTCACATCGGCTTTGAAGTTACAGTTTGCAGAATATTTAGGCATCCCCCCATCTTTCTGTAAAGTTTGAGCCGCTTTGAGCGGCAGTACTACTCAACCCCCCATCTGAGCGGTAGTCAACTCGGTTGTTCATTGGTTGTCAACAAAATTTGTATGCATCCCCCCAGGTTGGCAGTGATTTCTGACGATTTGATTGGTTTAGGCAGGCTGACTACCGCTCAGTGCAGCTCGAATCCGCTCTACACCGACTCAACCCCCCTAGCTAGCAAGCTATGATTTCATCATCCCCCCATGCTAGCCTTCTATTTGCAAACATGTGGCTCGGCAATTGGCACGCAATTTCCATAGCGATAAGCATTAAAAAATATTTCTGTCTCTGTGGAAATTTCAGGCATGTTCCTAGGAAGAAAGGCTTGGTTTGCAGCGCGATCAAATATTTTCAATAATTAAATATGGTTTAATTAAAGTAGTAGGATAAACATGAAAATGATCCTTGTTTCTATAATTTTTTAAATAATCTGACTACCGCTCGAGCGGTAATGGCGGTAGTCTGGATCCGCCACTGCATGCATCCCTATGATGTCGTCACAAAACCTTCGTAAAAGAACCATGCGGTCATATAATAGTTATGAGTATAAATGTGGTGAATCTATTGCTGTATGTCTAGCCCATATGGCTTACCATATACTTTTCTCCCGCTAGGCTGGCAATAACTGTGATGATTTTTGTCAATTACCAAGGAGGAGATTATTATTTCTTCGAGCATTCGCTTTGGAATGGTAAGACCCATACATGTCATAAATTAATCCCAAAACCCCTTCTTGTCTTGGTATTATTTGTGCTATCATGGAATTATTTCGGGGGAAATATCTGAACGTATGTTACAACTGGTATTTGTTACTTTTCAACAATCAGCAATGTAAGATGAAATCAAGCAGATTTTATTACCCCCATCAATTTAGCTAAACAAATGAAAAGCAAATCCGGTTTTTCCGTTCCATTTTTCGAATATCAACAATGCTCTGAAATATAGTGCTCCAATGGATTTCTAGTGTTTCTATAATCTTAACTGCACAGCATTATTAGTAAATCGTGGTTTGTCATTAGTATTCGATAAGTACCTGTTATTGTATGTTCCTATTTCTTTGACAAATCTTTATATATAGTAGAAACTTGTAAATAAAAACCTACATTATTTCTATTGAGCCTAACTAGGCTTTTACTCAACAAGTATCCTATAGTAAAACAGTTTTTAGGATCTAATACACTCTTTTGTTATAAGAACGATTTTTTAAGAACACGAGCCTCAAAATTGATCAAAAGTTAAGAACAAATTAAGAACAAGCTGACGCTGAGCTACTGTAGAATGCAATTTTGAACAACGTTTTCCTCAAAAACGAGAATTCTTAGCTATATGTGGGTGCTTTTTCGGTAAATATTCAAACTTCTCGGCAATGAAGGTTGTCTGACTCACTTCGTTGGCAAATAAGGCCTGAACACCTCCTTACAGCGAAAAAGCTAGCAATCACATTGCTTACACTCTATTAAATTAAAGAACAAATCAAGAACAATCCAGCCTCAGATTTTCGAAAAAATTAAGAACAGTCAGCCTGAACTTATATTTACTGGTTCTAATGAAAAATGAGTGTATATTTGGACCTTTGTAATTGATTTTTGAAGTTGTTTGGTATGTCGTCATTTTAGATCTTCAATCCTTGTTTTCTTTATTTACCTAATTACGTGTTCATATTGATGATGAAATACCACTTTATGAAAGTAGGTTCTTGTATGCAGGATTTTACAGTAGTTGTGTGTATGTTTTTTAAAACCATTCTTATTTTGCATTTGTAAAGGCTCTTGTGCAACCGTCATGCTTAGCGGCAGTTGTCTTGAGAAATTGGCTGTGTTTTGTATTTTCATGCAGTATGGTGCTAGGCCGGTTTTTTGACTAATTTTTACAAAGCGTGACGGTTGCGCAAGAGCCTTTAAATGCCACAAAAAAGTTTTTGTCACAAATTAAACAACAATTATTTTTGTCTTCTACAGGTTTGACTGTTGCAGATCTTGTGTTTCCATGGTTTATTTTCATAATGGGAACCTCGATAGACCTGTCCCAGCGATCTTTACTTTCAAAAGGCGTTCGCAAGCGGACGATATTTCAGAAGATCCTCATTCGCTCAGTCAAGCTTTTTGCTATAGGCCTCTTTCTCAACAATGGTAATGTATTCAAATATAATTCTTTTAAGGCTAATATAAACATAGAAATGTTGATTATGTTCAAAATATTGTGATAGGCATGATGCTGCAAGAAGCAAGATTTGCGTCCTATTGCAACTAATTTTTAAAACCGTAGTAGAGTAATTTTCACGACTGCTTATGACCCTAAGCACTGATGTTTCTAAAATTTGTCTTTTTTCTATCATGATAGGTAGCAGTAATCAGTGATGATACTAGTCTTTTGTAGTTTGTAGGCCTACGTTAGGTTTGAAGCATGAAAACTGCGATTTGCTTAGTGTACCACTGTATTCTGTTCTGCTTACTTAGGATGTTAGTGACGTCCCTTTATGCTGTTGGAAGTTATTTTAAGCAGTAATACACACGTGCTATGTTTGATGGAAAAGGGCTTAGTTCAATTATGATTTCAATGCACTAGCCTCATACTCATTTACTCAGACGTTGGTGCAGTGGCAAGTCGTTTGATTCCCATTTGCTTGGTTGTTAGACCAAGGCTCCAATTCCAATTATATCTAGGTACACACCAGTTCTCGCAAAATTAGAGACAATCATGAACAATCTTTCTTTCTGTTACATTTCGCAATAAAGTGCATCGATTTTGCAAATCCAGACAACAAGAAATATGAATCTATGCAATTGATTAAGACCGATCTATCAGTTATCAATAGCAAAATATTTACCATAACTTAATTAAAGTCATAAGGGCTATCACTTTTTCATGTAGTAATTTCCTTGCCATTGTTGAAATAACCTGAAGTTTTGTCCCTTATGTACTGTTGATGTTATTACTGGGAAATGTTTTTTCTTTTAAAACTCAGGTAAGAATCTAGACAAATGGAGAATTCCGGGGGTGCTGCAGCGATTTGGGATTTCTTACTTTGCTGTTGCAACAATGAATTTGTTTCTAAGCCCAAGCGACGAGACACAAGATGTAAGTTGCTAAAAACATGTAATTACTAGACAAGACCTATTTAAATCCCAATTTGCCCTATCGCGTCTTAGCCTTTGCCGTATTAGCTTCAATCGATTGGTTTGTACAACAGACATATTTGATTGGTTGATACAGCAGACACACCCCCAAGCTCTGATCAATCATATATCGGAAAACTGTAAACAAACGCCACAACAGGCCACTTTCAATCGTCCGGTGTAAAAGTAATTCATAGGGTAAACCATTTTGTCATTTTTCAAAGTTTATTTCCCTGGAAAATAAATGTCCGCTTAATCGGTTTTAGCCGCATAATCCAACTTGGCTGCCAGGGTTTCATTTTGTCTCGAGGAGAAGGTTTTCTAATTAGCATTAAGCAACTGTCCTGAGACTTTAAAAATTACAAGGGTTGGTAATTTTGATTTTAAATAGGAATAATGAAAAGATTGGAATTTGAATTATCAAAGACTGTGATATCATTCTTAGAGTACCAGAGGGGGTGGTCTTAAGGCCGGTTGTCATTTGAGCAAAATCTTCAGCGAATTCATCAGCGATTGGAATGACTTATGTTTTTTCAGGGCACCGGCGAATTCGCTAGCGAAATTTGAAAGTTGAAAGGAGTTCAACTTCCCAGCGAAACGCAGCACCCCTCTGAAGGGGAACACCCTCGGCGAATTCGAATGCGCTAACGAATTCGATGAAGAATTTGCTCAAGTGAAAACCGGCTTTAATGATGGTTAAACATTTTTAGCCTCATCCTCCCCTAACTAATATTTTTCCTTTTGCTTCGGCCCTATATACAAAATTGAGTGTGGTAATGGATCTAACAAGCTTTCTAATCCTAACAGGATATGAGGCGGTTTGATTGGACAGACACCATTCGAGATATATGGATGTTCTGGAAACAGTGGGTTTTCATGTCCATTTTTCTGATTGTGTACCTGTTTGTAACCTTCCTTGTACATGACAAAGCCAACGGCTGCCCAAGGTAATTTGATTATTTCACAATAATTAATTAGAAGATAGCACGGGTAAGCGGAAACATATCATACTAAAGTACTTTTTCCGACACTCCTCGATCGAACGAACCAATCAAACGCACCATCTTATTTTGTAAACCGGCAGCCTATCGGTATATAAACAGCGCTGAAATATCATTATCTCTAACAGAGGCAACTTTGATTCTAGAGCTTTTGAATCGCGCCACATAAGTTTAAATTTTCAGTATATAAATTTTCAGCTTACTTTCGTCCATTATTCGAGGTTGAAGAATATCGACGAAATGTACTTAGTATGCTATGTTTCGGCTTACTGCGCTATCTTCAAATAGTTGATTAATATATCAACCTTTGTAATATGATGATGCGGTTTCTGATTAAATAGTTTCATGGCCATTGCCATTGCATTTTATTTACTCTTTATCCATGATGAGTATGCACCGCTTGTTAATTTTTTGTCTAAGTTTTTTCTCTGCCCTTCCCCGCTGCTTATTTTGGATCCCCTTTTTTTAATTTCAAATTTTTGGTCCATTAGGATACGATAAAAGAACTTTGACATTTTTTACTGTAGAATTCTTTATGGGATATTAATCAACTGTTGTTTTTTTGTGAATTACCCTTTGTTACGAACGTATATGTGTATGCAAAAAAAGGTAGATTCTTTTGAAAATTTTAGTGAGGTTTATTGTAGCGTTCAGAACCCCTTCCCCCATCCTCGCTGCAAATTATTAGTTTCTAAAGCTCACGTGGATTATTGGAAATATAGAAGAAATCGGATTTCAATGAGGATTAAATCCTCACCAACATGGGCGTAGTGAACGCTAAACGTTTGAGGGAGGGGGGGGGGGGGCACTAGTATGTGTTTTGTCAGAATATTTTGCTTCGTTGAGATGAAATTGGCCGAATGGACCTGAAATTCGATATATTTTGTCTGACTATTAAAGCTGCAGCTTTCATCTATTAATGTTTTTGTGTTACTGCTGAAAAGTGCTTGCTCGAAAATTATATGATTCCTTGACTAGGAACTCTTGCTCCCTCCTAACAGCTTCTAAAAATGTGGCGTAATAATCTTGTGTACGACTATATTCATTTTTAGGGGCTATCTAGGACCAGGTGGGATCGGAGACGATGGAAAATACCCGAATTGTACAGGAGGGGCCTCAGGTTACATCGATCGTCTGGTCTTTGGGGATAATCACATGTACGGAAAACCAACTTGCATGGTAATTTATTTATCTCATACCATAATTTTTTTTTTACTTGTGTTCATTTCTTTTCTTGGAACTTTGTTTCTTAGAACTTGATAAAGTTTTATTATATTTCACGGAATCATAATTGGATGTTTCTGTATTAGAGTCGTTTAGTGTATTATTTCATAGTTTATTTCTGTCTGCTTCATCTTTCTTTGTTTGCTTTGACCAAATCCTGGTTTACCGTGGTCTTCCATTTTGGTAGGTTTTTGTTCCACAGCATCGGTAAATAATATGTTTTGATTAGTTAAAATTAATCTGCAAGAATATTTGGAGTAGAGAAGTCTTTCCTACTTCTTTGATTTAACCTCGGCTCAACAGTTTTTGATTGAATAAACAAAATTTCTTATCGCAGCCCTAGAAAGTTTTAACTTGTTCTATTTTGCTAAGGATTTTATAGATTTGATATTTTGCTAAGGATAATTTCTTGAAAGGATTTGATAGATTTTGCCAATTGCCCGACATTGATACTTTCTGAATTTTTTTATGAAGCTATTTCTTCAAGTTGATATCTCGGGTCATTGTCCTAGATTATTGGCGGAATGCTAGCGAGGCACCATTTTAAGTTGTTTATAAGCATAAACTCAGAGTCGCTGAATTAAATTGCTGCTTGTTCGGGGATAATTTAATTGCGGGAACATGCCAATCATGAAACCAATCGATACTACCAGCTACCTTCTACCTTATGCTCTTAGTTAGTTTGTTGTATGGACCTGAGGTTTTGAATACAATTGATTTCTTTTACAGAAAATTTACAAAACCACCCAATCTTATGACCCCGAAGGAATTCTTGGCTGCCTGACGTCAATATTCCTCACGTTCCTCGGTCTTCAGGTTTGTAAAGTAGTCTCTGTTAATGACGAATAACTCTCTGTTCATACTCTCTGTTAATGACGAATAGGTTACTAAACAACTATGACTGGAGTTTGTATCTGGTAGTGTTAAGGACACTTAAAGGCTATGCGTATCTAGCAGTATCATGCTCCTTCCTCGTAACCACATCTCGTAATTCCTAAGCATGGCACAACCGAGAGCTGACGACTCTACTCTCTCTTAGTGAAAACCTGATCATGGCATGGGCTCAAACTCCTGACCCTTGGCTCTGTAGTCCGAAACAGTAGCATTGAGTTGTAAGCAACTGAAGGAACTAGTGTTTTCTGCCTGTTTTCTGTATTTCTCCATGGAGTTTTATCTTTGAATGCTGTGAAGGTAGCCAAATTTTGAAGCTTCCTTATCAGCCTCTCAATTTTATTCTAATTTAAAAATTTTCCACAGCTAAAGGCATAGAAAGTCTCAATCTGCATGGAAAGAGTTCAAAACTTTTTAGGAGTCTTTTAAGGCTGAAATCTCAAGTATATACAACTTAAAAGGCTAGCTGTAATTCGTATCGTAAACTGATAATTTGTCATATTCCTTCACCCCTGTTTGAGCTTATCACCCTAATGATTGGCTCTACAGATTGGCCTTATAGATTAGCGCTGAACACTGGCTCAATGTATGAGCGTTATGTTATTCCTTCTGTTAAGTAGCTTGGCATTTTGTTGTAGCTGTGCGAAAAAGAGTGAAGCTAGAAAACCGTTGTGTGGTATTATTTGGCCTCTCAATTTATTACAAAATGTCCTTATTGGTTTCTTCATATTATTTGGTCATTCTTGCATTGAATATGTGATTTCTATGTTGTTAATTTTGATTCTGTGTTATTTTTGACACTTTTTGCTACTGTGCGAGTATTTCTAAGATTTCTTGTTAAACTATAGGTCTATCTTGAAATTATCATTTTAGCCAAGTAGCCTGAACTTCTTCTCTGATTATGAAAATGCCAGGTAAACCTTCAAGTATAACACTTGATTTTCCAGTCTGGCAGAATCCTCTTCACGTTTTTCGCGGCAAAGGAACGCATCAGTCGATGGTGTCTCTGGGGAGTGTTTTGGGTATGTTCCGCAATAATTACGTCATAATTTGAAATATGTACTAAGCAGTTACCATTATTCATCACTAGCGACAAGTGTATTTATAAACTATATCGTGGCAGGTTTACACGTTGTTGTATAGAACAGGACGGTTCTTAGTACAACTGTTGCCTGAAGACCGCATTAAGAGTGAGGCGTAGAACCCCTCCTGCTCTTTATGAAGATTCTGAAAGACATAAATTTTTTATATCATATTTTGCTACTTTTCAAGATAATGCAGTTTGATAGCTGCGATGATCCTTGGAGTCCACCAGACTTGTGTTTTATACATTTCAGTCCTCAAACTTTACATTACATTACATTGATAAAAGACATCCATTCTTATAATTTCAAGCGTTTTTCAAACACTATAAATTGCGCAGGCATTAACTGAAGAGAGGTTGAAGTGAATTTATACGAAATCTAGATCTGAAATTCACGAGACTAAGATTCTATATGACTTTCTTAATTGGAAAATTTTGTCTTATGGACTAAAAAATTTATTCTACATTATGTCTGCTTTTAAGAATATCTTATTCTCCATTATGAATTAGACCCTAAAATCCTTGCTTATTTTTTTCTGTAGGGTGTTCTAACCTTTGCTCTAACTGGCGGCACGAAGAACGAAGGAGTCATTCCAATAAACAAGAATCTATGGTAAGATTATGCTAGGCCATCTAATTGTTTGTTGTGCGTACAGGCAGCTCACATCGACTTTTCCTGGAACCCATTGCAAGACATGCTGGTAGATTAATATGAATTTTTCTTTGTTTAACATTATACATGCATTTTATCTTATAAGAAACCGACCTTTCAGATGAAATATATCAAGAAACTATTGTACATATCACCTTGGAGAAACCCCTAGAAAAAAATTCTTTTGAGGATTAGATGGCAATAATTTTTTAAACGATTGAGTGCTTTTTTTAATATAGAGCTTGTGAGAGATTATGTGCTCTATTCTTTGTTATAAACTTTTTACGTTTTGTGTCTTTTTTCTTCTTAAAAATTAGCCTTTTAGCACCGGGTATTCTAGAAACTATTTTAGAAACTGAAAACTAATCCTGAGAATTTTTTTAAAAAAATTCGTGTACAAGTTTTTGCAGCTTTTAATAGAATAAATTGAAGAATGGCAGCTTTTAGTACGATCCAACTTGATAGTTTTTTATAATTCTCAGTGCGTCTTGAATTCGATCTCAACCCACTGGTGGAACGAATGGGGTTTGTAGTTACACTCCATCCCCTTATCCAACGGAGACAGTATGACACCAGTACTGCGCTAACTGTAACGTGGACGAAAGTCCGCTACTTAAGTGTAACCTCTCGAGATGAAGACAACGACTCGAGATATGAATATTAGTTGACTGAATTGGAGGTTAAAGGTTACTGTTTATAAACAAATGTTATCGAGGCTTTGATTATAAATAATCACGTGTGGTTGGTCCTTCTACACTTATTCGACAAGACGCGGGAATTTGCCTCAGATGTCAGTGATAATTGATAAGCACACGGTCGTCTCAGAAAATTGCCGAATTTTTGACCTAGCAAAATACTAAATTTCCTGTAATTTCGCTGCCTGAGCAATAAGCACCCAAATGCTATTAGTGTTCAATAGCTTTTGCTTATTCCGACTCTTTTCCTTATAGGTCACCGTCATTCATTTTTGCTACTGCATCTATGGCATATTTCCTGCTCGCTTTTATGTATTTTCTCATTGATGTAATGCATTGGTGGTCTGGAGTTCCTTTAGTTTTTGCAGGTGAGTTTGCTATGCTTCACAATGCTGCGCCTCACGCCTTACAAATATGGACTTACAAATATTGTTATTACGGGAAAAAGAACTAAGGCCCTGGGCGCACTGAACAAGATTTCAGGAAACTTCTGACAAACATAATCCCTCTTGTTCATAGACAAAAGGGATTAAGCTTGTTAATTAACAAATGCTGATTTTCCAGTGCGCCCACCCAAATTGCCACTGAATCAAATTTACTAATTCCTCAAAGGTTCCGTCGTCACAGCCCACACAAAGTCAAATTCGTTCTTTGCTTTAAACCACTTTACATTAACCAAACAGCAAACAACCATTTTATACACCAACTGCATTGTGCTAGAATTTCCAAGCGGAAATCGGATTATCTTTGTCAAACTTGAAAAAGTATTCGCGATTTTCCATTTTGACAAAGATAACGAGTTTTATGTCACAAACCAGTGCACCCAGGGCCATTGCCACTGAACCAAATTCACGAACCCCTCAATATTTGAAATAGATACAGAGATGACAAGAATTTTAAGAATTGTTGCCAAAAGTAGATTATCAGCGTCATAACGAGATCATAGCATCATAATATAAGCCGATAATCGGATCGATTGCAGTTGCGGGCCAAGGAAAGGAAACAGTTAAGGCATACTGCAACGATGTCGGAAACATATGAAATTTTGAGGAGCACAGGGTGAGAGGGACACCATATTACAAAAGGGGGGAATATTTCAAAGAAGTCACGGGGGCATGTGCCCTTGATGGATCCCTGGCTCCTGCGTCCCTGGCATTCGGTGTGCTTTGTCAACACGTTCGAGAATCTGCCGAAGGTCGTAAAGAAACGGAGAACTGATTCCATATAAGGGTTATTTGAGGCCTAGCTTTAAAAAACAACTGTTTCGCTGGGGCTTAGATTATATAAAGAGTGGTTAGGCTGTGTTTTGAAATTGGTTTTTGCAGTAAGCGATGTGGAAGAGGAAGTAAAGCCAATGTTCTTTGTTTAGGCAAACAAAGTAAGTGACAAAGCTCTATCCTTATGGTAATGTTCTCGATGGCCCTCTGCAACAATGTGCCAGATTTCCCGCGCTAAGTCTGTTTTGCTGCTGATGAGAACTTCGTGAAATTCGTCATTTGAAGCTTGTTAGCAATCTTCTTGAGAAAAAATCCAGAGATTGCAGCGTCCCTCTTTAGATTTTCTGAAGAAGTGCACGGACATTTTTTAGTTATGGCCACTTGATAGGAGCTTTGGTGTTGATAAAGTTGCAAAGAAAGCAAATATTGGGGATATTAAGGCAGCTTATTGGAGAGACCTTAAATATGCAGTGACAACCCATACCTAAATTCAGCTATGATCAAGACCTTTGTTAGGGGCGATGTAAACTTTTGAAAAAAGGAGACCATACTTGATGTACAAGTACTGTTTTATTTCTAATCTTTTTTTCTTCCGTTGATTATCGAGCTTTTATTTTTTTCTTCCTATATTAAAGGCACTTTTGCAACCAGCATGCTTAGCGGTAGCTGTCAACTGTCACGAGAAATTGACATGAGTGTTTCGTGTTTTCATGCAGTATGATATTAGGCTTGCTATTATAGTCGCAAAGCATGCCGGTTGCGCAAGAGTCTTCAAATTTGGCGAAACGGACAGATTTCCGTAGTTACAAAGGATATATAAAATTTTTCCTGAAACAGATGACTTCGAATAGCCCCATTTATTGCCACTATTCTCCATTTTGATAATAAGCCTGCATACTTCGTCATTAAAAGTCTTATTTTCAGGTACGAATGCTATACTGCTGTACTGTGGCCACGAGGTATTTTACAACTTCTTTCCCTTCAATTTCACTGCGGATCCCCCCACCCACACAACCGTCCTTGCTCGGTCTGCTGTGGGAACTACATCCTGGCTTTTCGTCGCCTACTACTGTTACGTGGAGAAGATATTTTTCAAAGTGTAGTTTGTACGGAAAGGATGTTAAAAACAACACGATACACGCATCTGTTTATGCAGAGAAAGTATCGTATGTATGCATAATAGTTAGAAAGAGGTAGCTCGCAGATATATGTTTGTAACCTAATATTGAATCAAATCGAAATGTAATTATCACGAAAGTAGTATTATAAATCAAGTAGTATTAGAAACCAATCAACATTTGATCCATCATGGCTTCTTTTTTAACGAATATCGCCATCAATCGAATTGCTTTTAACTGCATTATTAAATAATTGGCTTGCTAGCAGTACCTCATGTATCGCCCCAGTGCCAGGGGCGGATCCAGAGCAAATTTGAAGCAGGGGCAGTAAGTAGTGGAGGCGCTGAAAATTTTCAGAAATTGATGACGAGTGGTGGCTGTATACAACAATTTAAAACCCTGACTGCTGACAAAAGGCTCTATTCGATTTGTAAGAAAATTTTCACAATAATTGTTGCATACTTTGAGGTAATCCTTGAAGTAAATTGACCTTTAAGTTTCAGAAACCTTTGTCACCTGATTCTCATTCTTCAAAAGGGGCGCACAATTTCCAAAAAAGGGCGCCAGACTTGCTTCAAATCGGCGAGGAAGGGGCAACTGCCCCTAGTTGCCCCCCTAAATCTCCCACTGCCCCAGTCCTGTATTGAAGCATAATGAAAGCCGATGTATATACAGCACGCTGAAGAATTTGTTCTGGGAAACATGTTTCCCAGATAATAGCAAATAATTAATTGTCAAAACTGTTGATCAATGGTCTTAGAAACGTTTTATAGTAGCTATGTAATTGCGGAAATACCAATTTCAAACAACATGAAGAACACTTGAGCCTCAAAGACTTCGATGAATAAACATCGTTTGACAAATTGCTACAATATTTGCGTGCAGTTACTAGGAAAAAAGTTGCTTGTTGATAACACGTTTTCAGAGATACGCGCATCGTTTTAAAAGAGCGCGAGCTAAGTTCCATCATAGGACTTTGAAGCTTTGAAAAGATAGATTAAAGTATATCGTTCCGAACTTTTCTTGAACTAATTCTTGGATCATGGCTTCTCTTCCTTGCCGGAGATGGATCGAAAGTACTCTTTGTATGAAAATATTTTTTCTAAGGCTATGTTCACATTGCTCCGTATTCGTTTTTATCCGTTTTCATATCGATCCGTTTTGCCTGTTCACAATGCTCCGGATACATTTAAAAACGGTATGAAAACGATGAAGCGTTCACATTGCTCCGCTCTGGATAAAAAGGAAAACGCCACGAACTGGTTTACAGCACTCGCGACTGCTAAAAAACTTTTTAAACAACTCACTGCCACTAATGTTCCTCCGAGTAGTGTACTAACTTCGAGTGAATCAGCCATGTTAAGAAAAGTTGTTCAAATTGGCGCGGTCTAAGCATCTTGCTGTATTGTTGTTGTTGTTAGCGTTTTCAAAAGTATCCGTTTTCGGTGTTCACACTGCATTTTTTCGTTTTCAAAAGACTCCGTTTTCGAAAGTCTCCGTTTTCAAAAGTATCCGTTTCTGCAGGGGAGCATCCGTTTTCATTTGAATCCGGAGCAATGTGAACGGTGCCTAAGAATATTCATGCGTGGAATTGTTTAATTTTTAGGAACATTATAAGGATAGTGTTGATTATCAGTAAAAGATTTCTCGTAGTAAAATGAAATTTTATTTCGATGTGTTCCCCTGAAACTTTGTCAGCTTTGAAAAATATTCCATGTGTATGTGAAAATTGAAAATTCTAATTTATCAAAACAAAAATTTCTTGCGAGTGGACGAAATTTTTGGTATTCTTTGCAAAAAAGAGTGTTTACATTTTGATTTCAATTTCAAAACACTTTTTGTATCGAATGTTCAATGGGTTGGTTTTAGTCTAACTTGCTTGCCGTTTCTTATCAAAATTAAGACAGGTCTATTATGGATGGTTGTTTAAACATGCATTCACTTTAACGGCAACAAATAACGGTATTAAAAGCAAATTTGAAGTGAACTTAAACCTAGTGTAAACCCTTTAAAAGATAAACTTTTATTCGCTAATTTGTCCATGTAAATAGAATAAAGATGACGTCACATTGTTATCCTAGCGCTATTGTTTGGGTCACTCGCAGAAGTCGGCACTAATGTAAGCATACCAGGATGGCCGAGTGGTTAAGGCGTTGGACTTAAGTTCCAATGTGCGAATGCACGCGTGGGTTCGAACCCCACTTCTGGTACTACTTTTCCGTTTTGTTTTCTTCAGTCGGAACTTTGCTTTTATATCTGACTTTGTACAATATTTTTTTCGAAGCCTTCGACAAACCGTTTTTCATTTTTCCCAGGCAATTTCATTGCTCATAACATAGGAAATATAATTTTATATTTTCGTGATAGAACAAAAGCTTTTAATTTTGTGAGAGTTACAACTTCAGGGTGGAACTAAAAACCAAACCACGATGTGCTGACAATCTCAGAAAAGTTCAAGTGCCGACATATTTCATAAACTCCTTTTTACAGTTTCTTTAAATCTTTCAATCCTTTCAACTGGTTCGGAAAATTTCCTTTCAAAGATACAAATAATAAGAAATATCTGTACTGAAATGATGAAAAGTCTGCGGAATCATTTTGGATGGCAGACTAAAACTGGCCCCTTTCTCTTTTTAGAACTGTATATGGGATATGCTTGTCTCTGACACAAATCTTCAATTTTGATCCAAATTGAAGATTTATCATGCAAAATTCCGGGGGGGGGGGGCTACTCCCATTATGGCCTGAGTGGGGGTCCAGTCAGGGTCAAAGAGGGCCAAGGCTAAAATGTTAAAAAATAACCCCCAAATGGTAATCTTTTTTGATAATAACCCTAAAATGGTAGCATAAGGGCGGAAATTATATCTTTGGTCGCATCCATTTTTTTGCACGCGCATGGCCCTACTTTGACAAATTTCTTCGCCATTGGCTGTTGTTGATTCGCGAAAGATAAAATCTTGTTCATTGTCTACAATAAATCGCAACTTAAGTATGCCGTTTTGTTATTATCGATTTCTGAAACAAATACTTCACAAATCATTTTATTTCTTCGAATCTAGATTCTGTAACTTTTTTTTAAAATAATTCTCTAAAGTTTATCGAATATTGCCAAAATCAAAATTGTTACTTTATACATGTCTAACGGGGGCAAACAGATAGATAGGTAGCTCTTTCGAGTTTTTTCTGTAAGTCCCACAAACTGTATCAATTTGAAAAATACTATATTTTTCGTTCCTTTATAGTTATCTTCTAGCACATTGTACTATCTCGCGAAATTTGCAAGGTTTTTTAGGAAATATGTTTTATTTAAGAAATTTGTGCTGTGATTGATATCTTTTGAATTTTTAATTTGAATTCTAGAAACTTCCACAAATTTTCTTAAACCTGTAGGCTCGCCCTACTTTCCGACAAGTATCTATTTCCGTTCAGGGAAAAATGGGTTTTTTACCAAATAAAGACTTTTTGTCAGGGTCTATTCTTCATAAAATAGTATAGGCTTAACAGGGTCTATAGGATTAACAAAATCATCGAAATTTTTCAACAATTTTCTCTTTTTAAAACAGACTAGTTGGCTTCTATTTTGTTAGAAAAACAAAAGTAGGATTCAGTTCAAGGAAAAAAGTTTTTTTAAAAGAAAATTTTTGTAGGGACCGATTTTGGTGAAAAAAGCAAAGTTATAAGCTTAGAAAAATCGTCGAAATTTTTCGAAAATTTTTTTTTTAAAAACAAACTAATTGGCTTTTGTTTCAAAAGGAAGAAAATATAATTAGATTAGGTTGCAGAAGAAAGATATTTTTTTGAAAAAAAGAGACTTCTTGTAAGGGGCCGGTTTTGATAAAAAAGTAATGCTATAGGCTGAGAAAAAGCCTCAAAATTTTTCGAAAATCTTTTCTTTTCAAAACAAATTAGTTGGCTTCTAATTGAAAAGGGAAAAACTAAAATTGGTTTCAGTTCTGGGAAAAAAGCTTTTTTAAAAAATATGAAGGCTTTTTGCAATGATCGATTTTGACTAGAAAAGTAAGGTTATTATAGGCTCAACAAAATCGTCGAAATTTTGTAACAAAATTTCTTTTTAAAACAGACTTGCTGATTTCTCTTTGAAAAGGAAAAAATTGAAATTGGATTCAGTTCTGAGAAAAAAGTTTTTTCAAAAAAATTACTGGCCTTTTGTAGGGAGCAACTTTGATGAAAAAAGTAAGGCTATAAGCTTAGAAAAATCGTCGTAATTTTTCGAAAATCTTTTCTTTTAAAAACAGACTTGTTGGCTTGTGTATAAGAGGAAAAAGAAATGAAATTAGATTAAGTTGCAGGAAAAAAGTTATTTTTGGAAAAAGATAATAGAAAAAGCAATGCTATAAGCTGAGAAAAAGCATCAACATTTTTCGAAAATTGTTTCTTTTCAAAACAAATTAGTTGGCTTCTGTTTGAAAAGGAAGGGCTGAAATTAGATTCACTTCAGAGGAAAAAAGTTTTTTTTGAACAAAATAAAGGCTTTTTGTAGGGACCGATTTTGATGAAAAATGTAAGGTTATAGGCTTGACAAAATCGTGGAAAATTTACCAATCTTTTTTCTTTTCAAAACAAATTAGTTGGCTTCTGTTTGAAAAGGAAGAGCTGAAATTGGTTTCAGTTTCGGAAAAAAAGTTTTTTTAGGAAAAAATAAAGGCTTTTTGTAGGGACCAATTTTGATGAAAAATGTAAGGTTATAGGCTTGACAAAATCGTGGAAAATTTACCAATCTTTTTTCTTTTCAAAACAAATTAGTTGGCTTCTGTTCGAAAAGAAAGAGCTGAAATTGGTTTCAGTTTCGGAAAAAAAGTTTTTTTAGAAAAAAATGAAGGCTTTTTGTAGGGACCAATTTTGATAAAAATAGTAAGGTTATAGGCTTGACAAAATCGTCGAAAATTTACAAAAAAATTTTCTTTTCAAAACAAATTAGTTGGCTTCTGTTTGAAAAAGAAGAGCTGAAATTGGATTCAGCTCCGAGAAAAAAGTTTTTTAGAAAAAAATGAAGGCTTTTTGTAGGGACCGATTTTGATGAAAAAAGTAAGGTTATAGGCTTGACAAAATCGTGGAAAATTTACAAATTCTTTTCTTTTCAAAACAAATTAGTTGGGTTCTGTTTGAAACGGAAGAGCTGAAATTGGTTTCAATTTCGGAAAAAAAGCTTTTTGGAAGAAAATTAAGGCTTTTTGTAGGGACCAATTTTGATGAAAATAGTAAGGTTATAGGCTTGACAAAATCGTCGAAAATTTACAAATTGTATTTCTTTTCAAAACAAATTAGTTGGCTTCTGTTTGGAAAGGAAGAGCTGAAATTGGTTTCAGTTCCGGAAAAAAAGTTTTTTTAGGAAAAAAATAAAGGCTTTTTGTAGGGACCGATTTTGGTGAATAAAGTAAGGTTATAGGCTTGACAAAATCGTGGAAAATCTACAATTTATTTTTCTTTTCAAAACAAATTAGTTGGCTTCTGTTCGAAAAGAAAGAGCTGAAATTGGTTTCAATTTCGGAAAAAAAGCTTTTTGGAAGAAAATTAAGGCTTTTTGTAGGGACCAATTTTGATGAAAATAGTAAGGTTATAGGCTTGACAAAATCGTCGAAAATTTACAAATTGTATTTCTTTTCAAAACAAATTAGTTGGCTTCTGTTTGGAAAGGAAGAGCTGAAATTGGTTTCAGTTCCGGAAAAAAAGTTTTTTTAGGAAAAAAATAAAGGCTTTTTGTAGGGACCGATTTTGGTGAATAAAGTAAGGTTATAGGCTTGACAAAATCGTGGAAAATCTACAATTTATTTTTCTTTTCAAAACAAATTAGTTGGCTTCTGTTCGAAAAGAAAGAGCTGAAATTGGTTTCAATTTCGGAAAAAAAGCTTTTTGGAAGAAAATTAAGGCTTTTTGTAGGGACCAATTTTGATGAAAATAGTAAGGTTATAGGCTTGACAAAATCGTCGAAAATTTACAAATTGTATTTCTTTTCAAAACAAATTAGTTGGCTTCTGTTTGGAAAGGAAGAGCTGAAATTGGTTTCAGTTCCGGAAAAAAAGTTTTTTTAGGAAAAAAATAAAGGCTTTTTGTAGGGACCGATTTTGGTGAATAAAGTAAGGTTATAGGCTTGACAAAATCGTGGAAAATCTACAATTTATTTTTCTTTTCAAAACAAATTAGTTGGCTTCTGTTCGAAAAGAAAGAGCTGAAATTGGTTTCAGTTTCGGAAAAAAAGTTTTTTAGAAAAAAATAAAGGCTTTTTGTAGGGACCGATTTTGGTGAAAAAAGTAAGGTTATAGGCTTGACAAAATCGTCGAAAATTTATATAAATTTTTTTTCTTTTCAAAAGAAATTAGTTGGCTTCTGTTTGAAACGGAAGAGCTGAAATTGGTTTCAGTTCCGGAAAAAAAGTTTTTTTAGGAAAAAAATTAAGGCTTTTTGTAGAGAACAATTTTGATGAAAAAAGTAAGGTTATATATAGGCTTGACAAAATCGTCGAAAATTTACAAATTCTTTTCTTTTCAAAACAAATTAGTTGGCTTCTGTTTGAAACGGAAGAGCTGAAATTGGTTTCAGTTTCGGAAAAAAAGGTTTTTTTAGAAAAAAATAAAGGCTTTTTGTAGGGACCGATTTTGATGAAAATAGTAAGGTTATAGGCTTGACAAAATCGTCGAAAATTTACAAAATTTTTTTCTTTTCAAAACAAATTAGTTGGCTTCTGTTTGAAAAGGAAGATCTGAAATTGGATTCAGTTCCGGAAAAAAAGATTTTGGAAAAAAATAAAGGCTTTTTGTAGGGACCAATTTTGATGAAAATAGTAATGTTATAGGCTTGAAAAAATCGTCGAAAATTTACAAAATTTTTTTCTTTTCAAAACAAATTAGTTGGCTTCTGTTTGAAAAGGAAGAACTGAAATTGGATTCAGTTCCGGAAAAAAAGTTTTTAGAGAAAAAGGCTTTTGTAGGGACCGATTTTGACTAAAAAAGTAAGGTTATAGGCTTAACAAAATCGTCAAAATTTTGCAAAAAATTTTCCTTTTAGAAACAGACTTGCTGGTTTCTGTTCGAAAAGGAATATCTGAAATTGGATTCAGTTCCGGAAAAAAATTTTTTTAAAAAAAACAGACTTGTTGGCTTCTGTTTGAAAAGGACAAGGCTAAAATTGGATTCAGTTGCAGGGAAGAAAGACTTTTTTTAGACTTTAAAAATAGAAAGACTTTTTATAAGGGCTTGATTTTGGTATAAAAAGTAATGCGTCAAAATTTTTTGAAAATTTTTTATTTCAAAACAAATTAGTTGGCTTCTGTTTGATAGGAAAAAATGAAAATCGGATTCAGTTCCGGAAAGAAAGGTTTTTTCTAGGAAAATAAAGACTTCTTGTAAACGGCCGATTCTAATAGAAAAAAGTTATGCTATAGGCTGAGAAAAAGCGTCCAAATTGTCCGAAAATTTTTTCTTTTCATAACAGATTAGTTCGCTTCTTTTTGATAAGAAAAAATGAAAATTGGATTCAGTTTCGGGAAAAAAATTCCTTTAGCAAAATAAGCACATTTTGTAAGGGTCGATTCTTCTTAGAAATATAATGCTTTGGGCCAAGAAAAATAATCAAATTTTGCCCAAATGTTTCCTTTTTCAAACTGGCTTGTTGGTTTCTGTTCGATCACAGAAAACACAAACTCAATTCAATTCCGGGAAAAAGTTTTTTTTAATGAACATTTTTTGTTACGATGATTTTGATAGACATGTAAGGCTTTGGGCTCAAAAACAATGCTCACGTTTTTCGAAAATTGTTTGCATTAAAAACCGGCTTATTTTATTTTGGCTGGTCAGAAGAAACAAGAATTTAATTCAATTTTGGAAAAGAAGTCTTTTTTTAAAAGAAATAAAGACTTTTTTTAGGGTCAATTTCTGAGCTTTTTGGCTTCTGTTTGATCAGAGAAACCAAAGTTTCAATTTTGTTTTGAGAATAAGGCCATTCTTTTCGACAAGAAAATGAAAATACTTCGACAATCCTAGAGGCTAAAGAGCCACCAGAATACAGAACCGAAAATTCTGTGAATGAATCAATAGCACAGAAAATGAATAGAAATAACGTCATTCCAAAGTAAAATTTTTGTGCAATAGGGGTACTTATGTAAACTACTGGTTTATGCACCTCTTCCTACCATTAAAGCTGGTACCCCTGTTCATAAATGTTACAACTCAATAAGTAAACAAACAAAATTAAAAACCATATAAAATAGGCTCTTTATGTTTTTAGAAAGTCCACGAGACGGTGATTCAACAAATAGATACATAAACCAGTTTCTTTATACTTTTGAAAAGTCAACGAGATAATGAATCAACAAATAGGTATGCTGTGAATGACGTGTCACTGCCAAGGTCGTTCTTGCAGTCAATATCCATTCCACCAGTTGCGTATGTTGTCTCGGCATTCGGTCCCGACCAGCACTCACCTTGGCGCATGATACCAAACGCTTTGAAGCCGGCTGCTGCTGCTTTTCGAGCACATTTCGAGACAACCAATAAACGTTGTTCTGCAGTCAGTCCATTGGTCCTAGAAGATTAAAAGTTAAGCAGCACTTTGCGAGAGCCCAATTTATAGATGTAATCGGAATCGGTGATTGTTTTAGATTAGATCCCAGGCAAAGATACACAGTTTCCATTGAATTTCCGATCTTTTAAGTGCATTAGATTTGACATCGGTAGGAGGTTTTTTAGAAAATTTTACATAATTAGATTTTATTTTTTATATATACATACATTTTTGCTATAGATTGAAAATTTTCCCATTTTTGCTGATAATCATTAAATTTATTAGTCATCTTTTATTTTGTTTTTATTGTGATTGTAATTGAATAGTTTAGTTGTATGTTAGTTTTTACAATAGTGAACGTACATTTTTTGTGAAGTATTTTGTGCCGTCTTTATTTATTATGGGAGTGAATCCTAGATTTTAAACCCTTGAAACTGAGAGGCATTTCACTCTTGCAAATAGCGTACGAGATTTTCCCTAAAACAAAAGGATTTCCGGGGATTTTTGGATAAAACATTAGGATTTACACAAAAAGTGTACGAGATTTTCTTGGAGTGATTTTCCCCTCACTTGAAACCTTGATGATCTGATAACATTGTTGGTAGCAAGCGGTTGGTAGCGAGTTGTGACCAGCTTTCTTATGATATGTGATTTTACAGAACATCATTATCAATACTATTTCAACCAACACTTTGCAACATCAGCCTGGTGATTTGTGGAATTACGTCATGAAAGAAATGATTCATTTTTCATTACCTGTTTGTTTATATGCACGAAAAAACTTGCATAAAAACAAGAAAAGGTTTTTAAGAGTGGTCGTAACATTTTATCTTTTCATTGTTCTCTATTTTGTTTTTCTAATGTCCTTACGCACATTCTAAATAATTGTTATGCAAAATATAAATTAATTGCAATATATATCAACATAAATTAAAACCCACCAATCAAAGCCTTCGTTGATTTTGTCGATCATGACCGGAAGTGGCTTGGGCTCGTGGTTTGCGTTATAGCAGCCGGCGCTGAATGATGGAGGCACTGGTTGTGGAGCTGTATGCCAAAAAATTTCATTCAATAACGCGTCACAGTCAATCAAGCAATCAATCCATCATTACGACCCATAAGTCAATCAAGTAATCACATAAATCGATCAATCACTTTGATAAACACTCAAACCAATCACTAAAAACAACTAATCAAGTCAATCAATTGTTTTTCAAGTCAATCAATCATTTCATTCAATCATTCCATTTCCATCAAATGCTTAAACCAATCAATCACTTCAATCACTCAAATCAATAAGTATACTCAAGCATTCAACAATCACATCACACAATTCAATTCAGCTAATACTTTACTCGGACGTGGAGTTTTGATTGGTCCTTTGAGCTTTTTCAGGGGGGGGGGGGGGGGGGGGGGGTCAAGGCCCACTGTTTCCTTATCTCCACGTCTCTGCAAATTGCATTTAGATAATCAAGAAAAAATTACTGTAGTCATGCTGAAATCTTACCTGAGTCAGTTCCAATTTTATAAACAAAATTAGCTCCTGATCCACCAGTACCTTGGTAGCAATTTGTTGATGTGCCAGAGAGAAAATATTTTTGAGCAACAGTTTCACCACCAGCCCAACATTCTCCGTAAAACTGGATTGCAAAAAACCTGTATTTGCCGGGGGTATTATTTTCATGTTCAAGGCTCTTTATGGCATCAAAACACTGCTTTACTGTCAAAGACATGTCTTTCCTGTAGAGAAAAATGCATCTAGATTTAAAGACTTATTGCTAACAGTGAGCCATTGCGCTACGCAAGCATCCCATAATGCATTTTTAGACAGACTGAAATAAATTTGGGTTAATCCATAAAAGTTTACTGCCATTGTTTGGAACGTCGCCACGCTCGCAAAGGCCCATTGTTAGCAATGAGTCTTTGATGGCATAGCAAGTTTGAAGGGTGTTCGTGAGTTACATAAGAACGTTCTGTTTGCTTGCACATTATTTTGTGATGAGTGAGAATACGAAGGTCAAAGGGATGGGGGTCCAGAGTAAACATGAAACAAAAAGCAACACAATGAATCACGATCAAAATGTTAGAAATTTTCTTTACAAACTATCGACCGCCAGACCTAAAAATTTTCTTTCACTTTGCACTCCAGGCCGTGGCCACCCTACATACGCCTCAAAACGGGTGAAACATATATTACTTGCGCCTTTTCTCTCTCCATTTTCAGTCAAGCAACATAAAATTATAAACATAAAAAATCTTGCAAAAATCGGTAATTAAACCAGGCAAAAAAATATTATCAATGTTTTACCAGTTGATGCCACCCCTGAAGTCGTTGATGAACAATGGCATCAATCTTTCGTTATTCCCGTCATTGTAGCAGCCAAGAGGAATAAAGCCTTTCACTTCTAGAAAATAGAAAAAAAAGCGCTGAGATGTTTTCTTTCTCGGCATCCATATAGTTTCAGCATTGATGGTGCCCTGGGTGGCAGAGTCTCCATTACTTAGTCTCAGAAATATCAATTTGAGCGAGGATTGGAAAAAATATTTATCCCAACCCCACAACCCCCCCCCCTACGCATCTACTCACTTTTTGCCACCGCAGTGACCTAGAATATATTATCCAGGTTTCTTGAGGCTCTGGTACCCATGATACATAAACATAAACTGATACATAAAATTGATGGTTAAAACATAAACTTCCTCAAATTTCGAGTTCAAATGTTTGAGGACACTGTAAGTTTTAACTTCTCTTGGAATGGCCTAATGTTATCATGAAAAGGAGGCTCACTCTTTGTTATCATGAAAAGGATGAATTCTTGCTAAGAAATTTACTTATTGTTAACTATGATATTATTGAAAACTACAGATGAAACGGACACCGGACACTGGTATGCTGCCCCTTTTGCGGACACTGGTATGCTGCCCCTTATGCGGTTCAATAGTCGCTTTGGGTAATACCAAATAGATCCGGCGTCATGTAAATGGACAGTTAGATGATATATTTTAGGAATGGTTTGGAACATTCCAATATTTCTCCTGTAAGCATCTGAACGCAGCCTTATTTGCAATCATTGACTCATTTCATCAGTGGATGAGTAATCTCACAATTGCCTATCGCGGTTTACATATTTGCAAGCTCTTTGTATATCTGCTTTAAGCATCAACTCACAGCTAAAAAAATAAACAATACAGTGGTTTGTGTATAAATCTTCAAAGCAGGTCGCTAGAATCACATGCTTTGTTCCATTTAAATAAATCGAAATGGAGGCATTTCAAAAGTGCTGAATTTGAGTCTTTCCAGTTGCGCAGTTTGTACCGAAATGGCTTATTCTAAAATACCAAGCCTTCTTTATACAAGAAACATCAAAAACCTTTTAACAAGAAAGATCAGGATCGGATTGGACCAGATTTTAAGAAATATAAGAGTGTAAAGGTTGAGCGAAAGGTCAGAAAAAACGATATAAAAAATCACTCTGGCATTGGCTTATAGTGTTGCAAATATAATTTTGCAAACAAGTCATAAAAGGTGGAGTCGGGGCAAAACAAATCAATTCCAAAAATGATCTGCATAAAATATTGTTGCACGCAGTTATAACAAGCGAATTTAGTCTTTTTATATGTAAGAACTCAAAAGAAAGCTTAATAGATAATGGGATAGTTTCTAGTAGGACTAGTAAGAATGCTCGTCTCGTCGGCTGAACATCTTAAAAATCGTCTTAAATACGTGCTGCAAAGGGCTTGAATATCCGGGCACTAAAAGACCCAAAAAGTGGACCTAGATTAAAGCGCTTTGAAGACCAATATGAAGACCAAAACAAGCAAATACAAATCATGCAAAAAACAGCCAAGCTTTAATGCAACAATGAAGAAGCTTTTATATTTTGTATGTAACTAGAAACTATTTAAGTCACTGCATTAATTTTTTCGTAAGCTAAAGATGAAACGAGCTCGTCTTCAAGCGCTCTCATTAATTAGTATCAACAGACAAAGTATATTCGAACATAAAGTATGTCTTATGAATAATGAACATAGATCAGTCAAATCCACTTGTACATGGCTTGGTCCAATCTTTATTAGACTGGAATTACCACCTTGGATTGTCCTTTTTCAAATTGAGCTCAGTTTTTTGTCTACGCCAACATAGTGATGTTTATATTTAAGCTACGCTGTTCAACCAATGTTTCAACTAACTGGGAAAAAATTTGCTGTAATTTCGAAAGTCTCTAGTTTCTTTGTATCTAGAAAAGTCAAAGATCGATTATTCGTTGTATAATATGAACTTTCCATCTTTCATTATTCAGCTCTTATAGCCGTATGATGTTACATTTCTAGTAAATCTAATGGGAAGTTGTAGATAAAAATTTACATGATCGATCATTGAACGGTTGGACGATTCTGAAAAGCAAGAAAGCACACGAAAACCAATCTTGATTACGACGTTAATGTGGTAGGCTATCAAACGTGCTTACCGCCAGGATGAAAGCAGCAATCATTACCAATAAAACTTCTAATTTGAAAACTTACCCGTTGAAATGGCCAGGCGAAATTTACCGCAAGCTGAGATAAGTAGAAAGAAGAATAATGCGTCGCGAGCCATCTCTTGGTTCCGTTCCTTCAAGTGAATTTGAATGTTTAGGTACACCTAGGATGCTCAAAGACTGATTTGGAAGCAGGCGTTTCCTATTTTTGTGCAAATATGACTCACGTTGCTTGTGTCTTTTTGAAAAACTAACCACGCAATCATCAATAGTTTTCGTGCCGATAGCCACTAGAGACATGGCAACATCGCGCGCCAATTTGATTGGACAGCGGCTGTAAACCGATTTATTTGAAACCGTAAAAGTTTAATCTGTAGCGATTTAAACAATAAACACAGGCTTGACGACCAGGAGCGTATTGATACCTCAAGGGAGGGGGAGGGGTGAGCTGTCAAATAACTTTTGTCCAAATTTTATACTTTTTCAGTAAATTCCCAAAAATCTAATCAATAAGGATTTAAATGAAAAACATAAAATAGCTAATGTAATTTTATCTCAATTAACATATACATACATAATGTAATTATCTATAAACAAGTAAAACAAGTCCGAGAAATTGCCCTAATTTTACCACTGCTTGGAAACATTGAGGGGGTGTGACCCCCACACCAGCTAAAGTCGGTAAACGGAAGAATTCTAAGCATTTTGCTGAAGGCATAGACACCCGCATTATGCAATACAAAAAAGCTTTTTGCAAAATCTTTCTGGCCTTTCATTTTCATACTTGGGTTGGAGCCCCTTGGTAAGCATTCTATAGCTTTTGCAGATTTTGTAAGACCATTTTCCACGGATGAAGAGTCTACAGGGAATAAGAGCATAACAAGGCATGGATTGAAAACAATTTGCATTGTCCTTGAAGTTGAGAAAGTTATTCAAAGGGAAGTTTAAATTCTAAGAAATATCTCACGTTTGTAAAACTTAGCAAAAATGTAGTGGGTTACATGCACCGCCTATCAAGAAGTTTTAACGGTTTAAGCCATATGTGCAAAATACCAACGGAAAGAATTTGTTAAACAAAAGTCCTACCTTTTTAGCCAGAGAGGGTTCGTCTTCTCTCATACAATTTCCATCTATCTGTAGAGTCGCCTGCAGCTAACAGTTTAATAGTATAGAACCAATCAAACACGCCATCTTTCCCTTCAGGTTGGTATGTATAGAATACTGTTCATTGTCAGTTTCATGATCCGAGAAATACTCGATGAAAGTAGTATCGAACCGGTATTAAACTTGAATAATGTCTTTCTATCACAGCTTTTAAATTTCATGGGCCACTCAGTTAATTCCCCCACCTTATCTTACTCTGGATACCACAAGAGCCACGTAAATCCCAGCGCAGAAAGTAAAGATAGGAGCGGCAGACGGATGAGCGTCTCGCTCGAATTTATGTAGCTCTGGTGCCAAGGGTTTCCTTATCTCTTCCAAGGATGCCTTTGATCCTGATGGATACAACAAAACATAGAATGTCAATTTAAGAATGCCAAAGAGTTACTTAAACTTTGAGAGAACAAGCACTACAAAAGAGGTTTCTTGATTGTACAACTGAAGCTACAAAAAACTGTAGCATAAACAGTTTTTTTTAAATCTTTACACAAAAATCAGGCCATTTGGTTCTGACAGAGCCCACTACCCATACAAATATATAATTCAAGAAGTGGTAATGCCACTAACTGCCAATAATCAATAACTGTAAGAAAAAAGAGGCTAGTGACTCTTAATGGTTTGATGTTCGTGGGTTGGTCATGGTCCCCAGGTCCTTTTCTTGGCGCGGTCCTTTTCACAAGGAAAACTTTTTCCTGAAATGATGCATGCCAAGTAAATGTTAATCATGTTTGCTATGTTTTCCTATGTATGTTCACTGAAAAGAGACTGAAAGACTAGAGAGAGACTATCAAAGCCTCTTCGAAAATGCAGATGTTCCTAAAGATTGAAAAAAATGTCTTGCTTGGCTTAGGTTCATAGGCGCTGAAGGACCCTCTTTAAAGTGAAAGAATACGTCTTCTGTTTATTTCGATTTGGATGTAAAAAACAACAAATTATGGAGTAATTAACATATATTTAATAGGGGCTACGAGCATGAAAAAGTCAGGAGATAGTACTGCGAAGAATTTATATCTCTTCTTATGGTTGACAAATCCTGTTAGAGTACGCAAAAACATTTTCCAAGGATCATTGGAGCAATTTAAAAAAGGAAATTTCAAAAAGAACCTAAGCCGTCAAGATCTCAAATTGATGACGAGTCTTAATTGACATGTATTACACAGCTATCCCATAAAACACCCGTCAGTTAAAAAAGACAGATTTGTAATCAACAAAACATGGAAAACAAACAGATTCTCAGTTCAAACATGGGATAAAATGCGCCACTTTTACAGAGACAAGTCTGCGGGTTGACTATAGTCTTTCCCATCCTGCCATGAGTTGGAATAAACAACTATACACTCTTTTTTTAAAACAACAATTTTATAAGAACACGAGCCTCAAAACTGGTCAAAAGTTAAGAACAAATTAAGAACAAGCTGAGGCTGAGCTTCTGCAAAATGCAATTTTGAACAACGTTTTTCTCAAAATCGAGGATTTTTAGCGATGTGTGGGTGCTTTTTAGGTGAATATTCAAATTTGTCAGCAAATTAAGGCTGTCGCACTCACTTTTTTGGCAAATGAGGCCTGAAAATTTAAGAACAAATTAAGAACAACCCAGCCTCAGATTTTTGAAAAAATTAAAAACAGTCAGCCTGAATTTAAATTTACTGGTTCTTATAAAAAAAAAGAGTGTAGTTCGGCTCCCAGCGGGGACTGCCCGAGATTGGACTGACGTCAGCGATTTCATTCTAAATTACTAGCGCATTTGTAGCGATGCAATGAGAAATAACAACTAAAAACTACATGGCCTTTCATGTCAGAATTGAGGCCAGAATTTCCAAACAAAACCTTCAGGTGAAGATTCCGTAGAACCAATACAAGAAAAAGCTATACCAAAGTGATATGCATCTAAAAAGTTCTCCAATATATTCATATTTACAAATGCTAAAAAGCAAAATGGTGTTGTTAATCTCGAGTTGCAATGGCTGGTAATGGTCTGCTTTTGTTTATTGGTCCGACTTTAATCGTTGTTTCCGCTCGCAGATCTTTGGTGTTCCCAGGCACACTGCTTCCAAGTGGCTCAAGGAAACTGGCGTCTTTTGAATAGTACTGATTGAGAGGCTAGAAAAGATTAGAGATCTGTAATAGTAACAAAACAACCTTGTTAGGAATGTAGTAAATAAGTAACCTCGCAACACGACGAGAATGAACAAACACACGTAAATCGGTGTTATGTCGCCCCCGCATCTGAAGTTATCATGAACCAGTGGAATGTTTAAAAAAAGGGAAAGTGATGAATTGATTCTTGCACTAAAAATCAACAAAAAGAGCTGGTTCCTGAAGTTTGATATAACCCTTGATATTTTCAAGCAAAGATTCAACTCGCTGTAGCAGCCTTTTACAAGTAAAACACATTGTCATACATCTCAGTTATTAGCAAAAAGGAGGAATTGTTTAGACTGCAGTTGCGTAGCCTCTTATGAAGACGACAGGCAAGCCATCGAGTAATTGGAACCACACTGGAAACTTTATTTCTTGCAAGGACAAGTTCATTTTGAAAATATGCCACTGCGCCTGAAATCACGCACATTAAGAAATTTGTAGCGTTAATAATGCAGAATGTTATTAACTCGGGACTTTGCAAGCCCAATGTGCAAAAGCGCGTGGAAGGAAAATTTGAGTGCGCGGGCAATATATTGCGACGGCGAGTGAAAGATTTCATTGTGGGATTGAGAAACTGCTAGAGGATTTAATAAGATACCTGTCTGAGGCCTCGCTTTATCACTCCCTTTTCTTTGATGACCACACCAGGTGAGACATCAATGGTGTCCACCTATAATTCAGGAATGAGCTTGCTTTAGTAATAACGAAAATTGAGTTAAAGCAAAAACAGGCAAGGCCCGAGATACCGGGGGGGTGGGGGAAGGATGTGATCGTGCAAGACGATAAACACGATTTGCCAAAATCCAATAAGAACAATAGGGAAATTAAATAAAATCAAGAAGTCAAGAAACTTCATCAGAAATGATCACCACTAACTTTAATTTAAAATGAACAGGAAGTTTCAGCTATTGAAATCATGATTTTTACCCGGTTTTAAATTTATAATTAATATTTTTCAAGTATTGTGCTTACTGAAAGAAGTAAATTTACCAAAGAATAACCGTTTTTTGGCCTATTAGACAAAATCTTAACTTGTACCAATCTGCCTCAGCCTTAACTAACAGTGATTTTATGTGGCCAAAATCTTTGCGAAATTGTAACAAAAATAAAACCGATTTTAACATTAAGAAGAACTTCATGGTGTTGCTTCAAATCATATTGTCTAGATTAAAACACTCTGGAAGTACTTATTTATGATGTCATTACTATATTAGGAGACTTTTCACTTACCAACGGAGGCGGTAGTGGTGAAACTAATTTTGTTTCCATTTCCTTCGCTTTGCTTCTGTTTTCAACAATGACATCAGTAGAATTTTCTTCTCTGCCTTTTGCCCCCTGTCTAAAGAAGTTGTATCTTTGCTTTTTATTGGCAGCCTTAGCTTTGTATTCTTCTTCCAGGGGGTCCACAACTGCGAATCGCGTTTTTACTCTGCAAAAGTATAATTATACTTTATTTGAGAATCATATGTATCTTGATAAAGAGAGTTTTCACTTCTGTCAAAAATATATCTTCTGATGAAACGATACACGAAGAAAATAGATGCCAAGAAATGTTTGTCTTGAAAGCATACCCTACTATTGCAAAAGCAGTGCATGCAAAAAGTAAACAATTGGAAATAAAGAGTTGGAGTCCTTTTCACATCCACTCTTGAGTATCATTCCTATTTGTATCTCTCAATGATCTCTCTCCCAAGGATCAGGGAGCCTTCTAGCGTCACGTGCTTACATCTTCATGTCAATTGCAACATTCCCGAGCCTATTAACCCTGAAGACCAAAGGTAGAAGCAGCCCCGAAATACATTAGGGTATCTACATCAAATAATAAAGTACAGATAGATAAAAGGCATTGTACAACGTATCGCAAAAAGAAGAGTTCCGTGTTCGATCTTGGGACGACTATGTTTTAGGTCGGCAAGATTCGTGGATAAAATATTTAGGCTTCTAAAAATTCAGGCTTATCTTTTTCAAAATTCAGTCAATAAAGCAAGCGCGAAAAACCCCCCACCAAAATAAAATTCCCTACCGATGAGACGGAAGTTTATCGACATTGAGTTTTTTAACATGAATGACATCTCCTTTATGATCATATGTAACGTCCCTCGTTCCAAGGGGTCTACCATGTTGGTTCTAGAAAACGATTAAAATAATTGAATTTATAAATGGCTTTGAAAAAAGCAAACATTTTACAACATACTTAAAGCTTTTTCGTCTGACACTCCTCAGAGCATAAAACGTCAGAATAGGTTCCGAAAAAACACGATGGAAAAATATATACCCAGTTGTGGATCGAAATAGGCCAATCAGAAAAACGCAAGCACAAGACCTGTATAGTTGACCAATCAGTGCCGCGAGCCTAAAGAAAAATTACCAATGGAGTCCAAGAGAGAAAACGAACTCCTTTTGTCTACACAATGGCGGCTTTTTCGTTTTTATGTAGATTGACTCCAAAACTGCTAGATGGAAGGACGACCGGGCTCTGCCAATTATCCGGAACATGTCGTCATTATAGAGTTTTGCACAATCTGGGTTGTCTAAAAGATGTTGACCAATGGCAGAATCACTTGTTTTAACAGTGTTTCTAGACCTACAAGATCGAGGAGGCTGTTCTCTTTGAGGGGCAGTTTTGTTTCGTATGCTGGAAGGAACATGCTGTTTTATCCTATCCCCCAATCTTTGGGTTGTGCGCCCTACGTAGCCAGAATCACACTGGCACGTAAATTCATAAATGACGGAACTTTTTTGTTTGGTAGGGACGCAATCCTTTTGAATGGATGGAAGGGCTCTCCTAGTGCTGTAAACAATCCGAGGATTGACAGCAAAGAAACAAATGGTTATGGCTTGCCTAATCGAAATCTACATAAAACGAAAAAGCCGCCATTGTGTAGACAAAAGGAGTTCGTTTTCTCTCTTGGACTCCATTGGTAATTTTTCTTTAGGCTCGCGGCACTGATTGGTTCAACTATACCGGTCTTGTGCTTGCGTTTTTCTGATTGGCGATCCACAACTGGGTATATATTTTGTCAAACGTGTTTTTTCGGAACCTATTCTGACGTTTTATGCTCTGAGGAGTGTCAGACGAAAAAGCTTTAAGTATGTTGTAAAATGTTTGCTTTTTTCAAAGCCATTTTCAAATTCTGTACCGCAAAAAAATTGTTCACAAATTGAATTTATATTCGAAGATACTCAATTTCTGTATATAACTTGATAGAAAATCAGTCGATATATTGATCATAGCTGTATATGAACAATTACATATCTCAATATGCCCGGAACAGCTTATCCGAAATGAATTCCTGAAATGATCTCATAGTCAAAAATACAAGTTTAACATGGGTTGATGAAGTCAAATTTTGGTACATACCTTACTAACAGATTCAGAGGAAGTAACAGCCATATTTGGATCTCGATTAGCTTGATTCGCCGTTTCATCTTTCCGCTTGTCATCCATGATCGGTGTCATTGTAATTGTACGAAAAGATGGCACTTTGCCTCTGTATGGTTTAAATGGTTTATTTACATCTTGCTGAAATTTAAGCAAGATTCGATTATGATTTTGAGTGAAAAATAAAATACAGGAACATTCCTACAACCCTGCTACCACATGTGGCAAAAACAAGATAAACTGAGACAGAGGGGTGAATTGTATAGATGAACTGTATAGTGTTTCTTGACAGTTTTCCAATATCCTTGGATAGCACCATCTGTGTGCAAACTATCAGTTGTATTCACCACAGAAAGCTGCTGTTTAAACTCATTCCGAGTTATAGGAATTGTCAGAAGAGACATGTAATTGGGGCCATCACAAAATTCTGCCTAAATTGCTTGGCGAATTTCCCCTATTTAAAAGGGCCTAATTCTAAGACTAGGTAATATAAACTAAACAAGCATTTAATGAAAAATTTGAAGATAGCACCGAAACATATCATACTAGTATGGAATGTTTCTGCTCTACCTTGCTATTTTCAATATTTAGGAAAAAAAATTTTTTATCCTCAGATCTTATTTTCTTGGGAATCTTGTATTGAAAAGTGGCTTTTCATTATTCTTTTGCATTGATTGCTGCAGCTTTGATGCCAGGGCAGATTTTACTCAAGAGAGGCTTCTATTCAGTAAATTACAGTAAGCATAGCAGTCCTGAGGAAATTCTATGTAATGAATTTAATTCGAGGAATTATTTCGAGGAACTGAAGTTGACCTATTTGCCACTTGCCCTCAAAAAACTGAAAGCCTGAACTTGAACTTCAAAGCCAAGCATAAAAACGTCATTTTATATCTCTAGAACATACCTGGGGCTTTGTTGGTGGTTTTGGGATGACCTTGATGTGGTCACCTGCTTCTATTTCAGTTTTTGTGTTTTTATCCACATTTGAAGATTCATCTGTTTGCAAACTGTCAGTTGTATTCACCACAGAAAGCTCCATGCTGAAGAAAACAATGATTTTCTCAAAGTTGAAAAAATGGTTTTAAATACTATTTATCAACTTTAATCTTAGAAAGCTTGTATGGATTCTATACTGTATTTTTTGGCATTTTAGTTAAGTTTCTATGTCCATAAAATACATGTGAAAAGACCATCTTGACTTATGCGCCAACCATATGTTTTTGAGATAACTTGCTTTGCATTCACAAGAAATTTATGCAGAAAAAGATTTCTGTTTTGAACAAAAAGGATTTCCATTTGAACAACTTTGATAGGAGACTGTAAACTGTGGTTTCAGAATCAAAATTATTTTTCAGCTGCAGCACTAAATTTTAGTGTGAGCAAAAAGTTAATAAGAGACTGTTGGAAAATATTGACAAAATTAAATTAAAACCCTACCAAATTGTTTTTATCAATTTTCTTAATTAAACATTGAGTGTTGGCAATAAATGAGAGTAAGTTTTGTATGGTTGACTGTAACATTTTCTGGGTTAACTGCTAAACATTGTGTATTTTCAACTAAAAACTAACGGTCCATTTATATGCAGGTTCCACTTATACATTAAGTAAAAATCTATTTGCTGAGGGATCTTTGGAAAGAAGAAAAACAAGATGAAATTCCTGCAGTTTTGTCAGTGCAAACAGGTATATTCTTGAGCAAACTATAGTAAAGTAAAATCATGTTTACAAAGATGCTCAGATATGCAAGAGGAAAGTATGGCAATGCCATGCCTTCTTAACAAAACAACTCTTTTGATTGCCTTCAATATTCAGCACACCCAACCCAACAATATTTAGAACTACCATCATGTTTGGATTGCATAAAAACACTAAAAATGAAAGATATTGCTTAGCAATAATGGTCTTTAAATCATATGTACCAATAATACCAACCTTTGTGGTTCAAAATCTTCTGATGATTCCTCCTTTTTATCAAGATCGCTTGCAATGGTTTCTTCTTCCTCTTGTTTTTCCAATACATTTTCTGCTTGGCTTTGATATGTTACAACAGGAACAATACCTTGAGCCCAACTATCAGTCACTGATGGTTCTGGCTCTGCAAAAATTACACACAAAGTGACAAAATTGTACATTAAGAAATATATCAATCTTTAGTACAAAATATGGAACATTTTGCTTGGAGGCATGAAAATTGTCAAAAAGAGTGACATAAAGAGTTTGATCTTTATTTTATAACTAGGGTAATCATTGGTAGGGTGCATAAGGTAATGCTTCAGATACCTTCATCAGCCAGCCATGTTTTATCTTCTTCTACCCCTGTTTCACCAGGGTCCTTGACCAAAAACTGCCACTGAAAATGGAATAAAGGTTTCATTGATCAAAATACTTCATTGAATGTAGCATGTCCAACAAAAAACAAAAATGCAAAAAATATTGACATATTAAGTTTTGCACATATTAAATATTATATTACTCTGTTATGATAAGACAGCAATACAAAATTTTTCATACTTATTGAAGAAGCAGAAGTAATTTTCAAGAAATCTACTGAGGGGAAAAAAGCTTTTAACATTCTCTGACAATTCAATCTATATAATTTATAAAAGCACTGTCCCTATTTTGTTGAGATAGATAGAGCTTACCTCAATCACTTCTAGCAAGAGATTTTTGGCAACATCAACAGTGTAGGGAATGATCCTCTCTCCAATGATTTTGTAATATATTTGATCCAATGAATCAGAGACAACTTCTTGCAGAATATCAGAAACAAAATCCTCAGTTGTCTCTTCATCAAGGATATTGGTCCTGCAAAATCAATCAATCAAAGATTCTCAACATATTTAATTGTATAGAAATTTGGCCCAGACTGAAACTTTGATGCATGCCAGCAATATATTGCCTTCATAAAAAATTTCTCATTCCCACACTTTTGCAAATTGGCCATGCAAAATTCCTTAACATTTGAAAATAGACACCCGAACACAATTTTGTGTAACATTCACCCATATCCCATAACCATTGGGGGCAATAACATTTGACAATGTCAGTATCAATCAGGTCATGCTCATTGTTTTCAACTTTGGTAAGATCAAATGATGTGGGCTGAAGTAATTCACAGGTCATGTTCCTCTGCCCTGCACAAATGCAACAAATTTCTGCAGTCCCAAGAACACAGTTTTGTATTTTCAAAATGAACTTGTATACATGCAAGAAACAAAGTTCCAAGTCAGGGGTCTGGGAAACTGCATAGGAGTCTCTATATGAAATATATGTTTTTTCTATAGAACACAAACTTGTCAGCAAGCTGCTAGCAAGTAAGGGCCAGGCTGAAAAAATTGCATAGGCTCACAGCTATGCTGGACTTCTTGTTCTTGCACCTCGGACTTCTTGTTACCTCAATTTCAATGAATTCATGTGTATTATATAATAATTATGTATATATAAAGGGCATCCTTGATTGTAGCTCAAATGCTTCTGCTTCCAGGTTGCAGCTGTTGTAGGCTGGTGGCGCATCACCAAAATCATACAAGTTTTCCAACCAGGGGTAAGAGGTTTTATGCCAGCATTTCGTAAAAATCTTTATGCCAAGATTTGAAGAAGCAAATAACTATGATCAGTCCCCGGAAGGTACAGCAGATCCAGACTAAAAACTTTGTTTATTGTGCAGACAAGTTTACTCAATCTTAGTTAATTTTATAGTTAATATAATAATAAGGGACTTTGCATGGCCTATAATCTACCAAAGTGAGTAGATTGCACGGACAATAAATTGTGGGTAAACAAAACAAAGTTTCCAGTCTGGCAGCAGATTAGAAACAAGTCCTTGCTTGGCAACTCCTGCATAACACACACGGTTTCTATCCTCAAGGAAACTCTGATTGTATGTGTATTGTTTCAGACATCTTTGCTTAACATGTTATGGTGTAAGTAATATCCTTGATCCCAATTTATAAGTTATTGAATTTAAAACACACTATTAACAATCTTTAACTTTACATCTTAAACTGGTATTTATTTCGGTAGTTAAAGATAGCAAAACTAGAAGAATGTGTCGTTTTTAGAACAGCATTCATTGAAAACTTACCAATCTGTCTCTGTAAATCTTCCTGGAACAACGTCATTGGAAATTGAAACGGTTGGTGGCTGGAGCTGGGCAGGAGTTTTTCCTCTCTCTCCTCTTGACTTACTCATAACTAACTTTTAAACAAGACTTACTGCGTAGGTTCATTGAAAGATGTTTGATTTAGGCCTAAATCCTGGATGCTTTTTTCGCGGCAGATGGCACTGGTGGCTTGGTCACATAGCACTGGTCCCGAAATATTGCAATGTAGTAGTTGAATTTTGTGCAAAACTTATAATTTTATCGTATATTTCTCAGTCTGTTCCAATTTATACTTTACTTTCGACTTTAACCGACTTTTAACTCGCTGACATCTTGTGCTGGCTGTTGCTTGGAAACAACAAATTCCGCCTGCGGAGTTTTCTTATGCCAGTGCGCAGTGTTTAGAAAGAGTATAGACCTACTCTAGTGTCTCTAATAGACGCCCCCCTTTATTAATTACAGAAGAATTAGCCATCCCCCGTTGCTTATTAGCAACCCTCCTTAAATTAAATGTTACCAATCTTTCATGACCAGAACACGCAGAAAATTGAATAAAAAAGCGATGTGATATTTTAAAAAAGAGTAGGCTCCTGTCTGTGAGAATGAAACGCGTAAATTGAGGGGAATCCTCCTAAGACACTGCATTTTAATTAAAAGATTTATCAACATCAACATCCTATTAGCTCCCCTTTGCTATTGAAATCTGCTGACATTTTATTGAAAATTGGCCGACATGAACACCCCCTTCTATTAGCACCCCTCTTCTATTGAAAACTGGTCGACATGAGCACCCCCCTTCTATTAGCACCCCCATTCTATTGAAAATTGGCCGGAATGAGCTTCTATTAGCACCCCCTCTTCTATTACCTCCCCCTTCTGTTAGAGACACTAGACTAGGCCATGACGGTTGTACCTGCACAAAAACTCGTACACACATCCAATCAAAGTAAAGTAAGTTGGAGAAGACAGGAAATAGACCAAAAGTCTATTTATTGGATAATGTACAAAGACCCAATAATGAGTATTACTCACGATTTCGACTCTGTCCTGATGCTGTCCTTAGGTTTCAAGTGCGATGAAAAAATATTGATAACCTTGCTTGACAAGCGAAAAATATTTAGACCAGAAAACTGGGTCCCATCCCAGCGGGTATCATCATTATTATGCCAACCAAGAATTAGTGGCTGAGTTTTGCAATTAGCACGATTAACCTCCCTTTGGTATTACCTAGTCTTGCATCCAGTACACTACAACATTTTCCCCACTCCTACCGACCTACGTTGTACATAGCCACGCAAACTATACATTCTGGTTACACCTTTATTTGATAAAGAACGATTTTACGCAGATTTTAAAGAAATATACTTTGTTCACTGAACCTGCGAAAATAGAGCATTCTGGGGGTACTGACTCTCTCAGACCATCACTTTTTAAGAAAAATTTTTAGGACATTCTATGTTGTTCCGAAATGCAGTGTTCTTGATCCACTGCTGTTCTTTACTTCAGCGGTTCACTGATCAACTTTACATTAACAGCAATTAAAGATAATCATTGAATAACCTTGTTCAATTAAAGAAGATTTGCATTGGTAAACGATCTAAAATATACAGCTAGCATTAATTGCAAGTGTTAAAATAAAAGAAGAGATTCTTAAGACAAGTTTAATTTTATCAATCTGTTGCAGCGTATTCGATGTTAGATAGACAGCTGTACGTAGAGCAGGACGGTTCAAAATGGTCTAACGCAGTCATAGCACTCAATGCCCATGTCTAGCGCCTAATGCAATCATAAAGCACACCGTACATTCTTAAACGATTGTTTACTGGTACCTCAGAAAAAAAACTATCACAGGATTAATGCCATATCGACAGAGCGGTAAATAATTAGCATATAGAACAGAAGAGTTCCAAGAAGTGACTCCAAGCTTAAAACTAAATCTAACCCTAAGGTAGTTGTTATCATTATAATTAATGCGATCATCAGGTGGGAGGATGGCTCAGTGGTTAGGTCCAAGAACTAAAGATCCACAGTTCAGGGGTTCGAGTCCTTGCCATGACTGATGGGAATCGTTTCCTCTCTGTAATTCTAGACTAGTGATGTCATTCGTAAAGGAAACCTCACCGAGACGATTAACATAAAGTTCCTCGTCTTCAATTTTTTGAGAACGATCAAGTTAGTTATCAGGCATAGTTTACAACAAAATTCAGAATTCCAGTACTATTCTTGCACCTGTGCTATTTTCACGGTCCTACTTGTGCCCTTTTAAAAACAAAACTAAAAACAGACCTCCATTAATACAAACCATTAAAATAAGGCTTGCAAGCAAACGACGCCGATCAAATTACACCTGCAGGCACACCTGAAAAGCGACCTTTTTCAAAGTTTCCAATTGGTTAAGAATTTAGAGAAACAATTCAGCTACAAATCTCACCATGTTAGCATTATTAAATGTTTTTCTTTTTTTGAATAAAACGATTAAGGTACTCGGAAAAAAGATGAATAAGGCAATCACACCAGAGATTTGAAGCCTAGAAGCACATACTGTGGGTAATGAAATGTGACAAGGTGTTGTGAAGATGAAACAATGAGGCGGGGTGAAATGAATCAGACTTAAAAACATGAAGACACTGTAAATTTCGAAAGCCATACAGTTTCTGAGAAAACTTGTGAAAAGGCCTAAAGATGATTTATCACAAAATTTTTACAGTGGGAACAACGAGTAAACTTTGAAGATCAAAAGGCCTTTAGTCGATAAAATCAGGTCCACTCAAAGTAAAGGAAAGCAAGGAAAGCAACGCTTCCCATGCTGTAGTTGCCGGCCTTGAAGGATATTCATTTGTCAAAAACTTCAAACAGATTGCTATAATTGATAAAGATGAATAATGGTTAAAGATTATTATCTCAAATGTATCTGGCAATGAACTTGGTTTCAAATTCAGAGAATTTGTGGACATCTACAAAAGTAGGCTTTACTGCCTTTAAAAGTGATTTATGTAGCAAAGAACGAATAATTCTGCAAAACAGTTTGTGCTCGCAGGCACAAAAAGCTTTTAGGAAGGTCTGATTAGAATATCACTTAATACATACAAGGATATCCGAATCCATATGAGTTCCTTTGAGATTCAGCAATATAAAAGTATCCGTTTCAAAAGTGTGATTTGACATATTAATGCTTACATATTCAGAGGTCAGTTCAGAGTTACTTTCGGGTCATCACATAGCTACAAACATGTACATGGTCAAGGTTAAATCTTGATTTGAAAGATGGTTTTGTGCCAACAACCTTTTCGACTTGCTCGACATTAAAGTTTTGTCCTAAAACAGAAAAATACATCTCCAGTTACTTATTTTCTGTATGAAACAAAAGATAAAAATCCTTAGATGTTTGGTTTCGTATCAATAATTGTGGTAAATAATATAACAGTGGCGTAGCGTGAGCGCAGAACTTAGGGATGCGGTAACATACAATATACGGTAATGTTGAATGAATCAAACCGTAATTTCAGCTTCTTAATTAATGATACAGCATTGCGGTAATTGCGATAATGATAATCGTGATAATAAACTTTGATTATGATAAAAAACTATTTGTTCTTAATTCTAATCAGTCAAGGTGTCTATTCTCTGCCCCAGAGGCTCCGACACAGGTTGGAAAATGGGGGGAAGCAAGGGAAAAATTATCACCCACGCGAAAGTGGCCTTCCACATCACCCAAGCTCCAGTCCAGAAAATTCTCACTTCTCTTAGAAGATTCTCTCGAGCTGTACTGAAGCTGCAGCATCGCATGTTTTTCTTATTTTAGACGGACAACAAGAGTGATGTGGAAGGTCTTTTAGAGAGGGATGTGGAGAAATAGTCAATTGGTATGTCTGCGCTGGAGTACCCTGCATGCTGCTCATGAGCAGAAATAGAAGCCGTTTATTGCAACGTATTTATTCTTAGAATTTGCCTACAAATTTTTTACGCTTGCGCCGCAAGCGTAGCATACATATATACTGCCTCACTGCTATATAAGATAAAAATGTACGAAAAGCCAAACTCCTTTTAAAATCAAGTTAAGTTTGCATAGCAAAACAAGTTAGCGAACAAATAACTGTCTATTATAGATAATGGCTTTGAAAAAAAACATTTGGGTAAACTAGAGCTTTTCGTGGTGGCACGGGGGTCATGACCCCCTCTGCTCTCAAAATTTGATGGATTTTCGGAAAAATCACTGTTTTGTCGGAAAATTCTCAAACTTGAGCTGTAGGTAATTTTCAAACTCTTAGCAACATAAATTTCTTGGACTAAAGTACAAACGGTAAATTCGAGAGGCAATTCACTTTTGCAAAGAAAATACTAGATTTCCACAAAACAACATGATTTTTCAGGATTTACCGATTCCTACCATAGAGTGATTTGCTGTTCGGATTTTGTCAGTCAAAATCCGAAACATCAAGGGCCAAATTTGGTTTTGGAAATTGGTCAAAATTGGTATAAATTATATCTTTATTTGATATTGAAGACCAGGACAGTACCAATTTTGTGCCTATCACCAGATTGTGTCCCAGATTTGAACAAGGTAGAAGTCGATCAAAACCATCGATTTCCCTCAGTGGATATTCAATTTGAGAATAAGATTATCATTAAAATTTGCTTCAAATAATGCGATTTCGCCAGGCAAATTTGGCAAATAATGCGATTTCGACGAATTTGAAGCATTAGATCATAAAAAAATTTTCATTCTACCCTTTTCCTAATCTACGGATGTCAGGGGCGTTCACTGTATGTATGAAGAAACAGAGACAAGATAAAAGTGCATTTTAAATTTCTTTCCAGCTAAGTCAAAAGTTATGAGTTTTTCTGCCACACCAACCTTTACACTTACATGGAATGCTTCTATTTCAAATAAATCAAGAAATTTTGTCGGAAAATTGTTCTTTCTGGCCCCCTCTAGAATTCATTCGTCACGACGCCCCTGGACGATCGTATATATTTCCTAGCGTAGAATTTTCGATCGATGTTCTGACGGTTTAAACTCTGAAGAGTGTCAGACGAAAAGCTTTTGTTTGCTTTTTTCAAAGCTATTTTCAAGCTTTGTACCACCAAAAGATTGATTATGGATATCACTGAGCAAACTAAAATTAGTTATGTGATAGCCTTGGCTCAAAAACTCTCAACATCAAGTTCATGTGCACAAGCGTATGGACCTGGGGGCATCATATTCAGTGTAAAAGCCTCTGCAGCCCTCAACCTAAAGATATGATTTAGATAAATGACATATTTGGTTGCCATCATGCAAGCGATCCATATCTCTGCTAACAAAATTCGGTTCATTACAACCGCTAAAAATAGGTTAAAAAAGGATGCTAACTTTTGAAAACGTTTGGAATAAAAATGTGTATTAGTTAAAGGTAATCAACAGATACTAAAGAGGCTTGAGCCATCTTTCAGACAAGAATTGACGAATCAGTGAGTGTGATTTCACTCAACGCTTATTGATTGGCTAATGTTGATTGAGAGATTGCTTTACCACTTTTGTATCTGTTGATTGCCTGTAAGTGAATCAGTCTTCATTAAACTTTTCCAATCATTCGGTTTCAAAAATGGAAATGGAGCTAGTTTGACTATACCCAACAAAAATTTTACAAATGATTTGCGGCGTCAATGTTATCTATAAATGCTTCTGTGTCTTATAGCACATTCCTCAAAATAATGTTTATTCTAATGCAGCTGTGCCTGGCTTAAGAAATGAACTAGTGATCATACATACCATATATTTCTTTGATATGATGTTCTGGAACATGGTGCGGTGGACCTGAGGAAAATTTAAACATGAAGCTGTTAACTGCTTTCATTGGAGACTGACAACCACTTTTCAATAAAATTGCAAAATGATGTCATAAAATTGAAACACTAGTGACCTATAATTTTGGAAGAGCCCATCAGTAAAAAGCTATTGAAACAACATAGCCAGTAAAAAGCTAATGAAAGAGCATGTTGACTTGCTAATGCATTGGGCTCCTAGAATATTAGCTAACATAAGCAAAAATATGACACATTGTATAGCAATAACAGGGAAATCAAAATAGGACTCAAAGAATAGCTCGTATACCACGGATTTCTCACACTGCTGCGAAATGTAAGCACCTGTTCAAAGCTACTAGTGGATAACCAAAGGACAACTCTTTGTTCATAACATCTACATATATATGCTTTTAAGAAAAAAAATCACAAAAAATGGAAGCAATTGTCTATTAGGTGTATTTGCATAACAAACTACCAATTATTTAGGAATTAAAGCATGACATAAGAAATGTATAATTCTGGCATACCACCATAAAGTGTATAATTACATCTATACAGTGAAGTCAGAATAAAATTCATTTTTTTTGTAGGGGCTGCCTTCTGTATTGCTCCCCGTACAGTAGACTATTGCAAAGAAGATATTATAAAACATGACAATTATTCAGGGATCCAGCCCCCAACCTCCCCGCTTCCAACAGCTATATATGCTTTTAAAAAACAATGTCACAAATAGAGTAGAAAAATCATCAATATTTCCATATAAAACTATTAACTATTTAAAGAGTTAAAGTATGATGGAAGAAATAATTCTGGCATACCACCATAAAGTGATGGATCATATTCTAGACACTCAGCCAATATTTTTCCTCCAGGTGCAACAAGCCTACCCATTAACTCGGCATACCTATAAAATTATTTGAAAAAAACACAATACTAATATAGGTCAGATCAGAAAAGTCATATTTGTATTTAAAGACTGTCATCAATATTAAATTGGCGAAATTGCTAAATACTTAAATGTATCAACACATTCCATTTAATATAGCATATAATATTTCTTCTTTGCATATGACAGCATATTTGGGACAGAGACTTTCTGGTAAGCCTAGCGACGTGAAGGGCATGCAACAACACGCTGTAGCCAAATGAAGTAAGTTTCAACAGAAAATTGTAGATAAGTTTCTATCAAAAAGGTTAGAAAATAGCACTGCAGAGTTTATGGTAGCACAAAATTCATGTAGTCAACATTTGAGCCTTACAGAGGTGACAATAACTTTCCTTTCAAAACATTGCAAGTTCCCTAACAACCCTTCCTTAAGTTGCTTTTTATTAATTCTGAAAGGCTATCTAAAATATGATAATCAAACTGAAAAAGTAATGTTTATAAATACCTTGGTCTATCTTTTGGGTTGATAGCCACTAGAGCACCTCTGTCAAAGACACCATCAAATTCTCCACCAGCAACCGTGCTAAACAGTACATAGTTGATATTAACCATTTGAAGCAAATTTTAACAAATAAAGTCAATAAGACTGGATCTGTAAATAGCTTTAAAATTCACCTATAGAAACTGACTTAAGTAAATACAGACAAAAACTGTTACAAAAATAAACATTTTCATAAAAAGGATTTACAATTTTTGTTGAATTTAATCTACACAAAAACAAAAAACACATAACATTTTATCTCAGTGATGCAACAGCGGTGGGCAACTTATTCTAAAATGAGCCACATGAAAAGCATGAACTGTCTTGGCCAAACTAACAACTTTATCCAGTGCAATTCATTTTCTCCCAATGTTAAAAGGAAACAAATATTCCATATTCTAGCTGCTACTGGCTGTCAAAAGGATAAAGACATTACATAAAAAAATTGTATGAATATATGAAATTGTATTGTAGGTCAATTGGGAAATTCTCCAACAAAAGTTCATGTTTATATTAGTCACACTAAAGCAGGTCTAAAAGGTGCGTCCAAAGGGGTTGTTGTGGCCTACAGGCCGTAAGATGCCTTGGTCTACTTTAACCCCTTTTTACAGGAACCTCCACTTGCATTTTTGTCTTACACCATTTGCAAGACCTTATGAATTTTTTGTCCATCATCTGACAGGTAGGAACAATATCATGCAACAATGGACAATCAATTGTAAAACTGATTTTAAAAAGTAAACATATGAAAATAAATCACAATTTAACTTAAACCAATTTACCCTTCCCCGCTGTAATACAATACTGTACAAAGGAAGAACATTAATAGAGGAAATTAGTTATCTTGTCATATTTTTACAAATTTTTAATTTTCAAAATAGCATTTTCTTTTATTAGAGTGCTCCTCCTTCTCTTGCATTATAATCATAATCATAATTTTAAAAAATTTCCCGAATAGCAGAGGACTGAGAATTGAGCCTGGACGTACACCATTTTTTACCTCAAATCCATTTGTGCCTCTATAAATTTGTAAATGCTGGTACGAGAATGTTCTGTAAAATGCAGTAAATTCTCACCTTCTGAAATCAAACATGTCACAGACAAAGATTCTTATTTTTTCATCAAGAGACTGAAATAAAAAAAACGTTTTTCTGATCAAAATTGCTTGAAATAATAGCTACAAGGCTGAAGAACTATGCATAAATGGAGCTTTTCAAATGTTATGAGCTAGAATGCACTAAAGTAAGCTACCAGTACAATAGAGCCATTTCATCATGACCCAGAAACTTTACCTCAAAACTCTGATATTTTTGAGGTGGAAACAGAAAAGAAACATGAATTCTGTGAATCATATTGTTTTCCTGCTTGATGATAAGCCCTACTGTGTTATTGTAAGAAGGAGAAACCTTGATGGGATTCACAAAAATTGCATCTGTAAGTTTAGCATAAATGTCAACGTACAGAAAAAATTAATGCTCCTCTTGGGGCCATGTTGATTGCATCCATCTTGTACTCAATGTTGTGTTCTTTAAAGAATTCTTTAGCTCCTATGTCTGATCCCTCGACACCAACAACAACATGACCTTGGTCTGCAGTCCTAAAAGAGCAAGGCATGCTTTGTCTTTATCTAAACTGGATAAGGGGCAGTATGTGCACTTTATGCATCAAAGCACTTGATAATTGATATCATTATTTTTATCAAGAGTAATATCCTTTCAACCTTCTTAATACACAAATGAATCTGGAAACATTTTTGTCTCTAGCTCTTTTAGAAAAGATTGCACATTAGTATAATTTATATGGCTCAACCAATAGATTTTTTGTTTATTTGCTCACATTTTGTGTTAAAGCAATGAGCACCTTTGAATTATGCTTTTAAATCTCAAACACCTTGCTGATAATTGAGGAGGATGACACAATAAGAAAGCCAGATATGAAGAAATCGCAGTTAGATCTACCAACTTCAGCCCCATTCACTTTCTTTATCGTTTCAAAACATATCAAAATGCATCTGTCTCTTAAGAACTCCAAGTTTACATTGATACACAAAGAAAGTTTTAGGTACTTTTCAAAAGGCACCATTCAAAAAGACCAAGACAGAAATGGAACAAAATCCAACGAGTAAGTGCAAATAAGCAACATGAATCAGGACTGGACATAAGCCTGGACTTTTACCAGGGGAGCAGTAAACAGCTTTCCTACATAGTAGTTTTCAGGTGAGTTATTTGGGGAGAGCTCGGAATTTGGGGAGAGCTCGGAGTGGTGCAAGAGATGGCTCTCCTCAAATGGCCAGGCCGGCATGAAGACTACAGACCACATTTAAAGCACAAATATAATCCTGTTAAGCCAGTTAAGGCAAAAACACGTTTCATTTGAAAACTGTCATTTTGATGTTCAAAAAATTTGAAGGCTTGTTATTTCCAAGTTCGTTGTCACAGATACATACACATATTTTATTAAGCAAAACTTGTAAATTCAGCTAGTGCTGGAAATTTCAAGATTAAAAGATTTTGAGAGATGACAGTTTCGTACCAGTCCTTAAAAAGCTATATTCATCAGTGGGGGATCTCCTGTATACTTTAATTAACATTATAGCCAGTTATAAGAAACCACAGCTGTTCATAAATTACTTAAAGATATTTAGCGCCAAGTTTGCACTAAAGAACATCACAATCTTCTTTCCATCTATCTCCTCAATTTTTCTTCCAAAAAAAAGTTTCTTTGTCGTATTTTTCGAAAGTTCTTATCACAACAGTAGATCCTTTCTGGTTACTCACCATGTTGTAACGATTCGGGTTTCATGTGTTAGAAGTATAATACCTTAAAGGCAACCCTGTCAAATGACATTTCAATTGACCTTCCAAATTGCATTCTGGTGAAAAGGAAACCTATCAAAGGATTCTCTTTCCTATTGCATTTAAAAATTCTCCTTTTTTGGGTGACTTGTTAAGTAGCTAACCAGTTTACCAGAGTAGCTAACCAGTTTACCTCGACAACCTGAGGCAAGCGTAAAAGTGTGTGCGGACGATTCGCCCACCTCAAATGGCCAGGTCTGAATCATAATTAGGCATGCTTAAAAATAAGTCCATCTCTATTTCAGATCAATTTCAAATTTTCTTAAAAAAAGTAAGCAGTGTGTACTTTTATCTTCCAGTCTTTATAGGGAATACAATACATCTGTTTATTTTCCACATAAAAAACAACACTTTGATAAAAAAGTATTGGGACTCCTTTGATTAAATAATTGTGTCGCGCTTTGCAACTGTTTGGAAGAGAAACTTTTTCGGATATACTCAGTCTTTATCGAAATAGGCCTAAATAACCCTAAATGTGGTTAAAACCTGAAAAAAGGCTTTATCTTTAAAATCATAACCATAAATAGCAAAATATGCAGAAGAGTTGTATGGCAAAATAATGGCATTGTCACATGACAGCAATAATGCCCAAAAAAACTTGAATAATATTTGTTGTGGGAGAGCATTTTTTCATATGCTGAAAAATTTGCAAAGTTTAAGATTTTTGAAACTGTATTTTTTGCTAATATACCTGAATTTAGCTTCTTTTTACATCTCATTATAATATCCCAAAAGGATTCAAACCTAATACTTAGCAGGTTGCAAACTTCTTTGGTCTGCCAACCCTTGGACATTTTTTTACAGTTCTTGCACAGAAAAATTTTACACGCCAAAAGCTGCACTTATTGAGCAGCCAACAATTGATGCAATTTTACAATAACTATATATTCCTTTTACTTTTTCAGAAAACAATTTGTTAGGGTTAAATTGTTTCAGTTAGCCCTTAATTTTGAAGACCTTGATGCTTGTGATTCAGGGCCAAATAATTTTATAGCTCAATGTTTTTAAATTCTTTTGCAAACATAAAAAGCTTCAAACCATCAACAATATTTTGTGAAAATTTTGTGGAAATGGCTGCTGCACTTGTTTAATGATAAAAGGTTTCTAAAAAGTCTTTCAAAAGTTATTGCATGAAATGTCCTAGGTGTGAGGATAGCTCAGTGCTTAGGGTCGCTCGGACCTGAGGGTCCATGGTTTGAGTCCCTGACAAGACCCAACTCTCACCCAGAGTGAGGAGAGTCGCCAGCTCTCTGTTATTTCAGGCCTAGAAATCATGAGGTGTGTTCAGATCGAGAGGAAGGACCAGGACACTTCTACAGGCCTTGCGGTTTGAGGCAAGCGATAGCTCACGCTCGCCTCCATGCTCCCCTTGCAACCTGAGGCGAGCTATGAATTGCTCTCCTAAACAGAACATGAAGGGAGAATCGCTCCCCTAAAATTTCCATTCATTTGCCCTTTTCCTATTCAGAGAACCCTGAAAAGGTAGAAGGGTTAATTGTTTTATTTTTGTAACAGCGATTTCTCCCGTCATTGCATTTTTTGCAAATAACTTTTTGCTTGTTGGGCGGATATTGTTATGATAGGCATGAACCTCGATCTATTTGGAAAAGGATAGTTAAGTGAAGGTACGTTTGTAGCGATTAGAACCATTCAATCTTAATAAAACAGGTATATTTTTGGAAGGAAAGTCGAAGAAATTGGTAGGAACTGTAGATTGGGGGATATAATAAAACACCAGGTCCCCTCCAGCAATAGAAACAAAACTATCCCTCAAAGAAAACAGGGTACTCTTTCTTGCAGGTCAAAAACGACAACCAAAACATGGAATTCCATTATCCAGCGGTATTTACTGAAAAACCCAGATTGGGTGAAAAACTATAACAGCGACATGTTTCGCCTTATTGGCAAAGCATGATCATCGTTCCATCTAGCAGTTTGTGAATCTATTTACTATATAAACATGACAGACCGCTTTTGTGTAGACAGAAGGAGTTTGTTTTCACCTTTGGACTCCGTTGGTAACATTTTCAATAGGAAAGCGGCACCGATTGGACAACCTCAACAGTAACATGCTCGCGTTTTCTGATTGGCCTATTTCGATCCAAAACTGGGTATTTTCCAGAGTTTTCCATCTATGTTCTGACGTTTTATACTCTGAAGAGTGCTAGACGTATAACTTAGGTTTTTTCAAAATTTGTTTTTCCAAGCCATTTTCAAATTCTGTACAACAAAAAGACTGTTTGGCAAGAGTGTTAGTGCAAATAGCCTTTGCTCGTTGTAGTTTAAGCTATTTTCATCTAGCCTCGTTTTTACATTGCATTGTTTTCTTTACGCCTCTTAGTATACGTTTCATTAGCCCATATTTGGTATTTCCATTTTTGCGTGTTCTTGCTTTTCCTCGTTTACTTCCGGTAGCTATAAAGGATTTGCACCCCATGTTTTGGGTGGTTATTTACTCGCCTTGCGTTGCGCTGTGTTGGGGGCAGTTTTTCTATCGTTTACATGCAATTTTTGGCCTGGTAGTTTCTACATGCTGTGTTTGGCCGTCGTGCAAAATTTTTATGGCTACGAGGACTAATAGATTGTAAGTTGTATGTATTATTATGTAGTTATCTTTCACTTTATTTATAAGTAGCTCATACTTAACATTTTGTAGTCTAGTTGGGTTTCTATGTAGTTCTATCTTCTGCTAACATTAATTAACCTTTTATAATAATTCCTTTTTTCATTATATTGTAATATTAAGCTTCTTGTCGTATTCTCAATATATAATCTTCATGTATGTTAATTGCTAACATTTTTCTTTAGCGAACCACGTTTAACACATCACCTCAGAACCTGTGTTGTTTCTTGCTGTGTTATCTGCTGGGGATTTAGGTGTGGTGCGTTCGATATACCAAAGTAGTCAGAATTACAAATTGTGGACTACAAAGAGAAACGTTGTTTTTGTGTTGTGCCAGCTTGACATGAAACTGAAAGAGTCAGTTCTTCTAAATACTTTAAGTAAAAGGGGTGCTTAAGTCACGGTTAAAGCAAATACAAATTGAAAGAAGTAAAACAGCATACTCCTGACTGAGGCTATTGAAGGCAACCAACAGATACTAAAGGGGCTTAAGTCATCTGTCGATTGTCTTTAAAGTACATTCTATGTGTTACTGATTTAGCTCGCCTCAGTAAATGAGGGGAGCGATTCACAGCTCACCTATAAAAATACAAATGGCCTGGCCTGGTGCTAGATAGAAACATTGTGTAGTAGGGCTAAAATACTTTTTCAACCAATGTGTAGTAGGGCTAAAATTTGAAACTAATACCAACATCATTTTGCTAAGCATTTGAGACAGCATCTAAAAATTACTCAAAGACAATGAATAGACACTTGAATAAAAAATGATACATACCATTTCATATCAAATGACTTCCCACAAAGTGGAAACAGAATTCTTAAGCCTTTCTTGTCTCCTTCTACCAAATGAAAAAACTTCTCAAGAGTTCTGAAAAAAGAAGAAATATTCTTATCAACAGACAAAAATACCACAAAACATTTTTCAAATGAAGGTTAGTGCTTTATCAATATTGAATGTGAGTAGGTACAAAAAAAGTTTCCAGTTAATATGAACAAAGGGTTGATGATAATAATAGGTTCAGGTGCTCTTGTTGAATTGTCTCAAACAACTTTTTGGCATAAGCCTTAAGATGTAGAACTTTTGGCACACTTTGATAATTTACTGGCCAATACCGGCGTGAGGTCAACGTGGATTCCACCCTGGCATCAAGTACTTGATAGTATATACTTAGGTATATACCCTGTACCAACATTGCTTCTGTTATTGTACTTACTGATATGTTTTCAATTATATCTTTATTAAAAGCCCAAGCTAGATATGTCCATACTTTTATTAAAGTATTAATATTGTACTCTTCTTCTGTAGTATACGAATAAAATTGAATTGAATACCATGTTATTTGCTTCATTTTTGGCCTATCTTTCGTATAATATAAATTGTTTTGCGTGGTTTTATTCTTACCAGCTTTAAAGCTTGAGATAGGCTTTGCTTTTCTCGATAAAATAATCCTACCATTTCAATAATCCATTTCAATTGCTGTATTGTATAAATAAATTGATAAGAAAATACTATTGCTGCAAGAAGAGGCAAGCACCTCATCAAATTACCGGCCTTTCCTTCATCAAATTTACCGTCCACCTTCAAAGCCAAAAGCGAAAACTATTTTTACTTACGAATTAACAGATCCTTCATGCCATGGTGCTCTCCCATCTTTCCAACTATTTTTCCAACGATCTAATGACAAATCACTGTTCTGTACACTAGCAGAATCCATTGCTAACCCCAAAGCCCCCGACAAAAACTTCTAAAAGCAGCCTCTCATATGCAAGCAAAGAATCATGACTCAGCATATTCTGCAATGTTTGGCATCGAGGCTACAATGACGAAAATTCTGGGGGCGCTGGACGGTCGGCGAAACAAAGAGATGGAAATATCTAATGAGGTGAAAGTCCTACCTCTAACGATACCTTTACTTTTAGGTCAGGGGTCTAGTCAGGGGTCTGGACCTTTTACAGGAAATGGCGTAGCAAATATATAAAAATGGTAAACGTTTGGTAAATGGGCAAACGACCAAAGAATGCAGGGTGAGCTGTTCTTGGAAGGCAACAATTCAACTACTATCGAATTACTCTGTAGCAAGGAAATCACTTCATTGCTCATTCTCCCATAAAGCAGGTGGAGGGATGGCTTCACCAACCTTCAAAGGTGCAATTGTCTTGGCATAGGATTGGTCATGAAATTTTCCCTACAGCAACATTTTCAGTTTTTTAGCTTGATATCAAATTTCTCTTCTATCAATGTTCATCAGATCAATGCTTCAGTGACAATTTCAATCTAAATTTCTTTGATGTTTCTGTAGTGGTCAGCTTTAACAAATATAGCTTTTCAAATATATGTAGCCAAATACAAATCGAATAATGTGCAAGGCAATCAGGCCCGTCGTCTACCATTGTGCTCAAAAGGGATGTGCAATCCCATTTGCCAGCAAAGTTGGTGAAAAATTGTTTATCTGCCCTTGGATTTGATGATTTACCAACGCAGCATCTCTGGACGGCAAAGAACTATTTTTTTAAACAAAGTTTAAAAGTGGCTTTGAAAAAAGCCTACATTTTGCTGCATAATGAAAGTTTTTCGTCTGGAACTCCCCAGAGTATAAAACGTCAGAATAAAGTAATAAATAAGATAAGATTTCAGAGCAATAGCAGCAAATAAGTATGGATTGGTAACCTTCCTATTTATCTTGCATAATCTTTTAGACTTGAAACTCATAAATTATAAGCAAAAGCTTCTGAAAAACAATTTAAATGCAGTTGCTCCCTATAAAGATTTGCAGCTGATGTGATATCTGGCATGATTTTTTGTTGATTCAGCCTTATTGCTTTTTTTCTATCTAAACGTTCTTCATTTTTATTACTATAGCCACAAAAACAATAGAGAATAACGCTCTCGTTACAGACTGCCTCCAAGGAAACTATAGACAAAAGTAAAGTATGCGACTTTTTCTAATTGAAAGAGTATCTTTCCATTTTGTACCTAAAGCACACAAGTAAATACTTATATTTTAAATCTGCTGGTAATCAAAAGCATGAGGACAACATAAAAATGATTTGAATATTGGCTTTTTGGAATTAAGACAATTGGACGTACGATTTACGAAGCAGCAAATGACAAGAAGGATGCTACAGTAGATGGCTATTACTAGAGTCCCAATGTCCTCTGGCAGTGAAGGGCCAGTCTGCTGCTTTTATAAAACTGGGTTAAATTGTTGCATAGTGAAATGAAATTCGCAAGTTGCAAATTCTGTGTAACATTAAATGCACCTTTATGCACCAATAGGCTAACCAGACGAGTGACGCAGTTGCCGACCCAAATCTCACTGATATTATTTTTCTAAATTTTGTGCATACATAAGGTTCCAACGCAATTATAGGGCCTTTTGTTAAAAAGGGTTTGTGTTTTTGCTAAACGATTCAAAAGGCAAGGGAATCGAATTTTCCTTGAGGTTGATTTATTTACTATAAACGCACTGGGTTTGAAAAAGCAAACATTTTGAAACATGCTACAATTTACCTAACAGTTTTTGGAAATTATCTACATAAACACGAAAAACCGCTTTTGCAGACAGAAGGTGTTCGTTTTCACATTAGGACTTCATTGGTAACATTCTCTATAGGCAAGTGGCGCTGACTGGGCAACCTCGACAGTCATGTGCTCGCGTTCCTGATTGGCCTATTCATTTTTGAAGTCATTTTAAAGTCATAAGTCATTTTTAAATTTTGTGCCATCAAAAGATTGTTATTAACGCAAAGCAATGCAAACAGATTGTACGTTTAATAAATATTAACGAATATTGTTAAATCTTTGATGATAGATAACCAACAACGAGCATGTTGTGTCCTAGCAGATTCCTTGAATCCTAGAATCATGAGAAATTCGATCATTTTGACAGTTCCATTAGCATCTTGTGAGCTCCGTACTTTTGCGAATCATTATCCTCTTCATCAACTCTATGTTAAGGTCTCTGTTATGATCCTCGTAATGATGTAGCTTAAAAGGGTGGATGAACCATAACGACTCTCTTTTTAGGTATGTAGTCCAGAAATATCTACTGTCCGTTACTCGCGGATCTTTCTTTCGTACGTCTCCCGGCAAATACATTCCATGCAATGTTGATATCTCTTTCTCTTTGCTCAAATATCTAAGAATCGTTGGAATCGCGATCTCTAGGAACACGTGGTGCTTGTAGAAAATGTTGGAAAGTTCATAAAATGCCATGGAAACTTGACGAGGGATGTAAACAATATCAGACCTGCCATTATGGCAATAGTTTTCGCCCTTTCCGTTTATATCAAACATATCGACAGCATTTTTAAAAAATAGGGAATGCTTTTTCAATAAACTGATTTCTTTTATAGATTTCTGGCAGTTTGAGAAACCATACGGTGATATCCACCAGTACCAATTCGTTGGCATGGCCTCTTTTATGTCAACTTTTCCAAACTGGTTAGATGATACTCCAACGTGGCTAAAGTTGAACCGGGCCTTAACGAGGTTCCAATAATTAACAATGACGTCATCATTGATATAAAGATATCCTGAAAAATGCGGGTTTGCTTCGATAGCATCAGCAAGGCATTTATATCCGTATATACCTTTGTTTATTTGCGAAGCATGCACGTTGAAAGTTGTATTGGCTATCTCACCACAGAAATAGATATTTGGAAATGCTGGCTGGTAAAATTCTCTCAGTAGATCAGCACTGTCATACAAAGGATGGTTGTAGATAATCACTAGAAGGATGTCCGCGAATCGGTCCTTGAAACACTGAGAATTCTTCACTTGTTTTCGAGGGCGCGTCTTATTACGCAAAGAGTCTGTTGGTTCATGTTTAGTTTCCTCCACTGGCTGTGCTTTTGTGTTTTGCAGTTTTGTCGGGTCTGGAATGAAAGTGAACACAAACAATGAAGTGTTAGATAAACGGCAATAGTATGGGGAATTTTGTTTAAAGATGCATCGGAGGAAGCTTTACAAAAATCTAGACTAGACAGTTCAATGATGAGGCGAGGTTAGGTTACATTAAATAGATGGCCTAAATTTGGAAGTAAAAAAAAATAAACTTTCGAGGATTTAGCCACAACAAGTGAAAGCGAGAAGGAGGCTGATTACGTATGTCTACCAACCAATATTCATCTCTAGCACCTTACTACCAAACATGGCGTTCGTTGCGTTGAAACTGCTCGTATTATAATGTGATAAATTATTCTTACCTGTAAACAACAAAAAACCAATCGAAACAGCAAAGCAAAGCCCAACCAAACAAACTCCAACTTTATGGTGCATACTTCCGATTATTTGCCATTTGCAAAGAGGTCATATTCACTTTCCCAACTGTTTTCAATTGTGACATAAGAGTTTTTGTTGATTGAAATAATTCTTGACCACAATTATGATTAACTCGTAAACTTTTCTCTCCAAACATAGGCTGAAATTTCGCTCCAAAAGAAAGGCTGCTGTTTTCAAATGCGATGACCCTTGAGAGATCAAACTTTGACCGACTGGTACCGGACATCGATATTGTTAACGTAACAAACCGGTCAGGATTAAAGGCGTATAGGATTCGGTACACCAAAATTACCGACAACAGGTGGTAATAAATAATGATACGAGGGGGAAAGAGAACCTTTCTTGCCGGTCAAAGGCTGAATATATAGTTATCATAGTAATATTTTGAGATCATGCAAAATTCACTTTCCGTACGTGAAAGTTCACTAACCTTAATTCACTTCCCACATGGAAGGGATATATTAATCTTGTAGTGTCTGTTCTGAACCTGTCATGATAAATGCGAACACTGTTTTACCAGTCTGTTCAGTGCCGTATTGGTAGAGCAGTACACGCTTCTAGTGTAGGAACAGAACCATTCTATGTTCAAAATCCGAATTTAACGCTCAATACGATCATTAGGCAACTGTCCTCAGAAAACGTTCTGACATATAGCTGTCAAATTCTCGATCTGTCATTGATTCATAAGTGCGGACAATAAAAACTACCTTGAGATATCTACTAAATTTGCTTGTTTCCATACGATTTACAGACTCGTTTTACAAAATATTAAGCAGGCTAGCAAACAAATTCAAATCAAAATAACTCAGAATTTTACAAGGCATAAAAGCAAAATCAGAAACGAAGCTATACAGATTCGCACAAACAAATTCACAACAATTTTCTTAACACACAGCACTAACATTAAGACGGATTTCTTTGCAATTATAAAGCCATATTTAATCTGCGCTTAAATCATAGATATAAACAACATTAAGACACTTATTTACACAAATCAAAATAATAAATTAACATACAGCGCTTTAAGCAAGTAGCCTGCGTTCCGATTCAGTTGAAAAACTGAAAAGTGGAGAGAAGTTGACACTTCCATTTTCTCTATCTTCTCCTTTTTTTCTACATTCTTATTTTTCTCCCACTTTCAATTTTTCAACAGAACCTCTACGGAACAAATTAAACCTTTCTTTTTTATTAAACCACTAATTGTTATTAACACATCTTGAAACGCTTTAATTAAAGAGAATAGACAGATACCAAAGTGGCTTAAGCAACTGCCAATCAACTATTGGCCAATCAATAAGCGTGTAAGTTGTATCACGTTAAATGATTGGCTAATTAAATGTTGATGACAGACATAGCTTAAACAACTTTAGTATCTGTAGATTGCCTTTGAATTATAGAGGTTGGATTACTATTATTTGCTATAGAATTTACAATTTGCTTTATGAATTATCGCCACGATTTGGCAGAAAAAACGTTATTTTGTTATTTCCTTCAATATTTCTACTTTAAGCCATACAAATTTGAATTTTCGAATTAGATATAATATTTTGCTGCCAAAAAGGAGCTTTGGGGAAACAGAAGGTATCAGTTATTGAAAGATACGACTATCCAAGATTCGGAACTATGTTGAAAAATGAGAACAAAAGAGATAAAAAACGGGTAATCCGGAAAGATTGTGGTAACTTTGTCTCCATAAAGGCATATAACAATTCGATGAATCTAGATTTTGTCGCGTGACCATTTTCTCTAAAAGTATAAAACTGTTTTGCTATTATTCTATTTTTTTCTAATTAAACACGATTTAACTCAGTCAGAAGTCGTCACATAATATCAGGCTTTAACAAATTAACATTTCTTCATTAGTAAATTGAATGCTTTGTACCATTTGTATTCGGCCTCGGTTTCAAATTTGCAGAAGACGTTGACATCTGTTGATCTTGCACTTTTTAAGCGGCAAAGAGTCGATTTCTTACAAGGTCCTGTGCATTTCTCGGGGTGTGATTTATAAAAGAATCTAAAAAGAAAAAACACTTCTATCAATGAGCTGTTCACGGACCATGTATATTTTAAAAATTTCATGAAAGGATATAAGATTGTGACTTTGAAACAAAAACATAACTGGAAAAAAGGACTTGTTATTATAATAATGCTAATGTCCAGTCCTGTAACATTATAGCGTGATGCATATGATAATAAATCAAGTAATCATAATAGTCATCTTTCATTTTTGTTTTCTGATGATTTCGAAGCTAGGCCGCCTTAGGCATTCTCTTAAAAACACGAAAATATCAACTATCCTCAAACGTTAATAAAGGCATTCAAAGCATTCAACAATGCATATATTGCCGTTTCACAATTTCTTTCACCCCCGATAAACATATCGTATCTTATCCTATGGTATTGCAAGCCCACGGTAAAGGGTGCTGGGGGTTACCAACTATGACATACTACAGCCATGAGTTTGAGTAGCATACCAGACCTCAAATAGAAAAGAGAATACCAAACACTTGAGGCATCAAAAGTCATAGAGTCATGAAAATCTAGAACTGGCTCATTTCTACTTACTTATTAAATGTCTGGAACAAAGCGTCATCGGAATTCATTCTGTTGACAAGATCATTCCAGTCGGATGGCGACAGAGATTTCATCCCAAATGCTTCCTGAAAATAAATGACAGAAGAGAATTTTTAGAGATGTTAGCAAATAAGAAATTTCTCCCTCTCTTAATGGGGCTGGTTGATCCCAGAGAGTCACAGATGACTTCAAGAATTTCAAACGGTAATATTTTATACAGCATATATAATTCTGAATCAGCGAAAGGTTTTGGGATTTTAAGGATGGATGTGTGCGAGATTGTGTAGTCTTTGAAGTCATCATCTATAATCTAATACAGTCTTGGGAAAATACTATAAAAAATGACGAAGATCGTCTTGCAGCGCTATTTTCTCATAAATGCCTAGACATTTATCTTTACAGAAAGTCAACGTAATAAAAAAAGGAATTGCTTTTGCCCAGTGTTTCATGATAGATAGCAACTACGTCTAGACAAGTTTTATCACAATCCCTCTGAAGAGGGCCTCGTTGATAAGAAGACAACCAGTCTACAAGATATTGTTTTTAAAATCTACATAGAACCATTTATACAGACTCAAGATATAAGCATACCGTTGCTCTATACTCAAGTTCCCAACTGAGTTTTTCTTCTTTGTTCGCCTTTGCAAGATCTATGATATATGTAAGGTGATCCAAAACGGCCTAAAAATCAAACATACACTTCGTTGTTTAATAAATAAAAGTCAACAAGAAAAACACTACGATGGAGTCATTGAAACTGTAGACACGGAAATCTATCTATGTTTCTCTGGCTTTCTTCCCGATGTCTGTATTTGTTAAAAAACATTGGCCAGGCCTTTTGCCCGTACCATAAACATTTAAAAACATACGTTTTACAAAGAACCCTCTTACTCCTACAGCCTATGAAAATTAGCGACTGCACGACTAAACACCCCTATGAAGGTGTGATATACGCACTACGCCACATACATTCAATGCTGTTGCTGTCGCTGTTGAGGTAGAGGGAAAATATTTTCTCCATTCTGTCTAAAGCAGACATCGAGAGCCCAATTATATGTTCGTTTAAGGGTTACAAGGCACTGGGCGCGAAAAAGAAATTAAAGGAGCCTTTATAATTTCTTCGAGACAAATTCTAAAACTGCATAAAAGACAAATAACTGCAAGGAAAGGAACTAACACGTGAAAAGTTACAAATAGCCCGCTTAAAGCTACTTTGCTTAATACAGTTGACTGACATTCAAAGGAACCTGGTTTAAAATCAAACATACGGTACACAAAGTTGTCAGGTGGCAACGATTTCCGACTTTGCAAGTTACAATAATCTTAAGCTAAATCAGGACTAAAGCAACTCATAGCTATTCTGAAAAAAAGCAATGATGAATTATTGTCACGTGATTACGATCCATACCTGTGTGCTATTCGCATAATCGCCATCGACTTCATAAATTCGGTATCCAGGGTTCAAGTTGGTATATGGGGTGACGCTTGGGCCAATGTACGCAATACTTGAAAAAATTGGAAAATCAAATTACTTCTCTAACATGTTCTATTTTTTTATTGTGTTAAATCAAGCAAAAGATTGTTTTATAGAAGTACAGATTTGAGCGGATGTAAACGAAAAATGAAAAGTGCTTCCTTTGATTTCATTTTATCTAGGACAGACTACTGCAATTATCATTTGAATATATATCATAAAAAATATCATTAACATTACCTTAGAATAATTTCCATCACTTCTAAGCTAGGAGAGGACAAAATGGACAAGCGAACAAATATCTTTACGTAAAGCCAATCGACAAATCAGCTGAAAGCAAGGTAAAGCATGCAGCTTATGCAGATGATCTTGGTGGTGCAGGGACGTTACTTCACTAAAATCGTGGTGGGAAAATGTTCTGCACTATGGTCCTTTGATTGGTTATCATCCCAATGCATCAAAATCATGGTTGGTAGTGAAAGAAGAGAACTATGAGCAAGTTTGCAAGATCTTTGGCAACACTCAGATCAATATCACAACATCAGGACGAAAATACTTGGGTCCATATAAAGGGACGGCCAATGATAAATCAGAATATGCAAACAAAGTAGTGAATGGCTGGATTGAAGAGTTGAAAGTACTATGTAGTATAGCACGCTCAGAGCCGCATGCAGCATACACTTGTTTTATTAGTGGATTTCGTCATAGAATAACTTATTTAACTAGAGTCATCCCTGATTTTTGCAAAGCACTTAAACTGCTCGATGCTTACATAAATGAACAGTTTTTACCGGTGCTAACTGAAGGCTATCACTGCTCCGAAATTGAGCGAAAACTAATCAGTCTTCCGGTACGTCTTGGAGGACTTGGCATACCGATATTTTCTGAGATAGCTCATCAAGAATATGCTTTTTCAAAGAGAGTGACCAGTCAGTTATCAATGAATATCAAGCACAAGCAACTGAATTAAGGCTTAACAACAATGAAATGAAGAAAACGAAGATTGAAATTGCCCATGAAAGAACAAAATCGCATGAGGAGAAACTTGCACTGCTAAGAGAATCTATGACACTCGATCAACGCAAAGCAAACGAGCTGTCTTGTATGAAAGGTGCGTCTTCATGGCTCACTTCTCTTCCTTTGAAGGCTGAAAATTTTGTTCTCAACAAGCGTGAATTCCACGACGCAATCCGATTAAGATATAGATGGCATCTAAAGTTCATGCCAACTATTTGTGTATGCGGAAAACACTTCTCCGTTGACCATGCGATGTCTTGTCAAAAAGGTGGATACATTCATCATCGACACAATGTAGTACGTGATCTACTCGGCAAGTTAGCAACATAAATTTCAAATGATGTTAGAATTGAGCCACCTCTACAACATCTCAGTGGTGAAAATCTCCCAAGAAATTCCAACATATCAGAAGAGGCAAGGCTTGACATCAGCATACGTGGCTTCTGGCAGAAGGAACAAAGTGCATTTTTTGATGTAAGGGTATTCAACCCATTCGCACCGTCATACAGAAACCAGACACTGAACAACACTTTTGCAGGAAATGAAAGAGAGAAGAAACGCGCGTACAGTCAAAGAGTTTTACAAGTTGAGCATGGTTCTTTTACGCCATTGATTTTCGCTCACAGTGGTGGTTCAAGTAGAGAAACTGAAAAGTTTATATCGGTTTTATCAACGAAGATATCAGAGAAACGTGATCTCTCAAATTCACTGGTTACCAATTGGATTCGTACCAAGCTGTAATTTGCACTACTTCGAAGTGCCATACTGTGCATACGCGGTTCCAGAAATAGGCAAACAAAAGTTCAAGTGGACACAGCCAACATAGAAATTTTACAAACAATATCCCGGATTGATTAGTTAAAATTGTTGGGAAAAATAAAAAGATTCAAGTTTTTCAAGTTTTGTTCTAAACATGTGTGAACCGGCGGCCTTTCGGTATATAAACAGCGCCAAATGTTGAATCATTGATGAGAAAAAAAAAAAATAAGCGTGTGAGTGGAATCACATTCACCGATTGGTTAGTTTTTACTGAAAGATGGCCTTAACACCTTTAGCATCTGTCCATTGTCTTTAACAATGAATATTCAAATTCAGGGGCTTACTTGGCTGGCATTTTCACGTCATCGTTTGCATAGAATATCTCAAATTCATCGTGGTGTGTGTGGCCAAAGAATTGAGCAGTGATCACGTGAGAGTATCGTTTGATGATCTCATAGTAATTCCAACTCCAGTGGCTGAGGCAATCACCGCTGCCGGGTGGAATGTGTCCAATCACATGGACCTAACGAAGACAATGGTGAAATGGAGATAAAGTTTCATTACTAAGAATACTTGAAAGTATGAAGGAGTGCCATTATTCATTCAACTATAATATATTTTAGTAAGAAAAATTATTCGACGAAAACAATACCGAATTCTTAGGTTCGAAGCTTTTTTAAGGTAAACATCGAGTCGAAAATTTAGGCAAAGTTACGAAAGAAAATTCACAATATACTTATATATATTTTGCTGTTATGATCAGGAGAATCGAAAGAATCCTATGTTTTTATGGTTATGCTTCAAAAGTTGAAGCATTTTCTTAACTTTTTATTCTACTTTGGGGACACGTAGGCCTAGATTTTTTGGAGAAAGACTGCCCCAAGCTGAAAAAGTTTCCGTTGCAAAACCGAATCCAACGCAACGCCATAATTCGTTTATCGAATTTGTCCCAATACTTTTTGAACGTAAGTGTATGTAAATATTGCCACTGTAGCGAAAATCAGCATTGTCATTGTGTGTAGAGAAAAATCAGCGTAAAAACATTGTGGACCAGACTCTTGGTGTTACCTGACGACGACCTCACAATTATCCAGGCAGGCTTACCTTTTTGACTTGAAAAACATTACAGTTTTTAACAATGCGTCATATTCTTATTTTCTTATTTTTAACATATTCTTATTTTACTTTTTTATCCGTGGTAATCAAACTAAGAAATAAATACTGCCTCAAAGAGAGTCAAAGCGATTCTTAATGCCGCTGTTGTCCTTCAGAAGAATCATGTGTTATTCTCAAGGCATCTCACCTTCTCGTTATTTTTCTCCGCACCCTCCAGAACGCCGATCATCCACTGAAGCTGTCCGGCAGGGTCCGTGTTGTTGATCATCAACCACCAGTTCATGTTGTTGCAGTAGTTCATGTTCAGCGATATTATACGAAGGCCTTTGCGAACAAGGGCTGTGTAATAACCACCCCTGACAAAAGACAATTATTAACATTAACAACATTAACAAAACTTACAGTAGCTTTTATAAGAAAACCAGAGGGCCCTGTATACATATATTCGGATATTGTTCAAAACGCTATATTTGTTTTTATCCGCTTTAAAAAATTGTTAATGTTGAAATCTAAAGGGGTTGAGATGCTAGTGCTTTCAAAAAGTTAGATTTGTATCGGTTCACACCTAAATGGGAAACAGCGTTAACGAAAACTTCTACTTTTGAAGGTGTTTATACAAGAATGATGTAAGTCCCAAACGAATAAAAACGCTTGCATTTTCATGAACATCCGTGTGGACTAAGAGAGGACTAGGTACCTGAATAAAAACTCACTTCAATATAGTTGGTTGTGTATCTGCAGGCAGCCACCTTCCCCAGAGGGCTGCAAGTTCTTTTCGCAACCAATCATTTGAATGTCCATCGTTGATAAACGGGGGAGGAAAGCTTAAATAATAAAAGGGAATTAATTGCCAGGCTGAAAGGTAACTAGATCACCTCCCTAGAGCTCCACAAAGAGCTTTCAAGAGAAATCAGTGAGTCAAGTATATTAGAGTGACCTCACACTAACCTCGGAGCTCATAAGATAATTAAAGATAACTTAGATAGGTGCTCACACAGGATAATCCAAGCCAAATCAGCTAGGCGATCACATGACAATCTAAATTAAGTTGGCTAGGTAATAACATGACAGCCAAAGTGAAAATAATAAGCTTTGCAATCATTTGCCCAGAATAAGTGGAAAAGGAACATATCCTGTTAGTTTTTATCTTGCTATATTACATTATTAGGACATAAAGACGAAGATACAATAAACAAACAATTTTTTAAGAGAAGAGCATCAATTTCTGGAATGAGGAGAAAATGCATTACAATTCTTAAACACATCGCACTAAAAGTAATAAGAAATGGCTTCTTTATCAATAGATCTCCGTTTTACTTTTAACACCCTCTATAAAGATGAAGGTAATATATCAAGACCAGGGATACCAATAGTATAGATAATCATTAGATCTATTAATGGATAATATCGTTATTTAATTGTATTAATTTTCGCTCATTACTCCAGATAAAATACGCTCAATTACATTGATTATCACTCTATTATGTAGCAAAAGGAGTTCGTTTTCTCTATTGGACTCCAGTGGTAATTTTCCTATAGGTACACGGTACTAATTGGACAATTTTACCGGTCATGTCCTCACGTTTTTCTGATTGGCCTATTTCGATTCAAAACTGGGTATATATTTTCCATCTTGTTCTTTCAGCACCTTATTCTGACGTTTGAGGATTGTCAGATGAAAACGCTAATAGTATGTTGCAAAATGTTTGCTTTTTTAAAAGCCAACATCAATATTAATCATATTCATATGTTCAAAATATTACCATATTTATAATGAATCCTTAAAAGTTCTTGGAGACTGCAAAAGATTCAGAGAAAAATGATCTATTTTACACAAACCTGTTTACAGGAGCTCCTTCATGATTTCCAATGCATGGAAAGACCTTCAGGTTTGGAAAATACTTTGAGAGGGTTTCACCAGCAAATTGTAAAGCAGAAACCTGAGGGAATAAAGAAAATAGTATTTAAGAGCCTTCAAAGGTTAAAAAGTAGAACCATCAAAATGGTAGCAGCCAAATATTGATCCTTATACTCATCATTGTATACTGATAGCTCATTCTGGCATTTAAAGCTTCCTCAAAGTTATTTTCTTCTCGAAACACAAACATGATAATGCTTTATGACAATAACAGAAAGATAAATTAGAAAGGGTGCAATAGATAGCGAAAATGAAATTTACTTTTTTGCCAGTATCAATACAAATGGATTGTGAGAACCACAACTCTGGAATTATTAAAATAGCAACAAGTGACAATTTAAGTAAAGAATGGATATTTGATGGAGACACAAACAAACCCCAGAAGATGTGGACAAATTTAATCAGATATTATCTGCATATTTCTATATAAGATATCTTCAGATTCAGATTCATGATATCTTCAGAAATGAGAAACTTCTCAAAATTTTGTGATAGCATGAATGGAGAAATCTGCATATAACAAACAATGGCGTCAAAAACATGGCTATAGTCTCTAAATTCACCAATCTAAACAGAAAAAGACATAATTCAACAGAACAGGTGGCACTTGTGTGATCAAATTCAGCAACCTAGAATAGACTAAGAGACAGTATAAATGCTTCATACCTGGTCATGACGAGATTGGTTCCAAATATTGTGAGCTGGTACATCTCCAGTCCAAAGAACATAATCAATCTATTGAAAAACATTACAGATTAAATTGTAGCTTTGCATATGAGAAACAGCTAAGTAAAGCACACTAATTGCAACACAGTGTCTAAACACCTTTTTACAGGAAGACATAATGTAGAAGAAGAAGTTGCTAGAGAGCTTATATAACTATGACAAACTTTAACTGTTGGCTATTAGAAAAATCTTATGGCCAAGAAAAAATACTTTAGTGATGAATCCAAAAGATCTTCCAACCAAGAAATTATTTAGAAATAAACAAATTCAGCTTCATGTCTGTTTTTGGAAAATGGACACTATCTTGATAGAGAAATTTTGAACAGGCGATATTGGGAACACAATTCTTTGCAGAAAATTTGTTACGACTGCTGTAAATGAAACGCTTTTTCGAAGTTATACTGTAAAACTTGAAAAGTTCTGAAAGTATATTTTTGTGATGACATCACTTTGGAGCTCTATTGAAACTTAACTTACATCTTTATGGTTATCCTTAATATGCTGCAACATATTGTCCAATAAGATGACTGGTGTATCACAGTTGTAGTACCCATATTTTCCAGCTGGAGTTACACCCTTGGCTGAAAGAGTCAATCACATATTTATTAAACATGACTGTGCTTCTAAGTAACAATGTCTAAATTCATTTGCTGGAGTATTATCTCTATGAAAAAGAATGCAACAGAATTTCCAAATTTCGAAAGGGGTAACTCACTACTTCCAAACATTTCCTTACTTGGCTTATTACCCTGCTTAAAGGCAGTCTGTTCCCTCAATAATTGGCTAATATGAACAATTGGTCTTCCCACCTTAATGGATTACGTTGCTACCTTTGGTTGGCCTAGCTGCAGTAGTGGACAACATTTGCAACTCAGGCTTTTCGTCGGAAAGGCGTGCGATCGCATGCCCTGGCACACGCCTACTGCTTTTGAGGAGTGCAAAATTGCATGCCCTGGCGCACGCCTACTGCTTTCGAGGAGTGCAAAATGTCACAGGCCTTCTTTTATTCTGAGAGGGAAATTCTCTATCAATGATTGGGTTTAAATATAAATTATTCCTTGTTACTATTACTTCAAGCCACTTAAAAAAAGGCTTAACACCTTGTCAGGATTGCAAATTAAATAGAAAATTTTGAAAAAATCATAGGACTAATCTACAGTGCAATCCCGATAATATGAAACCCAGCTATAACTAATTTTTCGGTATAACAAAAATATGTCTGGCCCCTTGGATTCTGCCGAACTTATTACAAATTCCCTCTGTATAACGAATCCCGTATATAACAAATTCTCATTATTACGAACCGAATTGTATCAGGTGTATCAGAGAACACCTGGAACACAGTTTATATATCACTACTCACGTGCTAATCCATTACTTTTCCTGCAGCACAAGGGTTCACCACATTGAGTGTTTGCACCTTCCATGTACATTTGATCAACATGTGTATCAGATAAATGTAGCACTTTTGATACTGATGAGCCAACCTTGAAATGGGATTGAGATCTTAACTGACCAGGGTCTACATGGAAATTTGTTTGCAATATAAATCCCTTAATGACTTACTTTTTAAGTGACTGACAGATAAAACATGTTATGTCTTAAGTACATTGTAACTAGGGGGAGTAAAAATTGATTTAAATCAAATTGAAAACAATGCAACTATTTAAATCCACTCTTTTAACTAAATTTTTATAGGCTACATATTTAGAAGAAGTCTGTAAACATTTCTGAACATTGCTTCACATCAAAATGTTATTGACTGCTGCATCAACTTTGCTCAACATCTTCAATGTATCATCAGCATTAGACAAATCCCAAATCTCAAAAAACCATTGTGGAACTTGGATGGCACTTGAATCGATCGAGAAAACACCAGGTATGTTGTACCTTATAGAAATTGTTTAGAACGGTCAAATAAGAGGTAAACTATAGACAAGTATGTTATAAGCGGGGTATAATCTTAATGTTAAGTGCAGACCTTTGGCCGAGGCCAAGTTCACCAGTACTTTACATCAGAGAGTATATAGCAGAATACATTAAAACAGGATTATATTGTTAAAACAAAGAAAAAAAAGCTACAGGGGCTTGCTTAGAGAAACATTCTATTGTGGATACAATTTTAATTGAATAAAAGGTGCACTTAATACAGGATGCAGTCAATTCATTATGCAAGGAAAAGATAAATAAATAGAAACAGACCTTGAATGGAAGTTTTTATTTGATTGTATTACAGAGAGGAGAGAGCAAAGTCCTAGCAATGGAAGAAAGTGGGGGTTAAGAGGTGATTCCTTTGCTTATTTTTGTTTTGAAAGAAGAAAGTTACAAGAAGCTAGGAAGCAATAGTGGGGTAAAGGGCTCCAAAGTTCACAAGCACTGGGAAGGAAAGTTGTCTATGTTAAAGAGTTTGTAAAGTTGGCAAAGAGACTTGGCAAAGGAGGGCACTGGAAGAGTTTCTGGTTGTTCTGACATGCCCCAGCAAAAAAAATAATAATGGAACAGACCATTAGCAATGTATGAGGCATTGCAAGTGCTGTTGTGGGCAAGATGAGTGAGGGCTTATCATGTGATAAAGAACCATTGTTTGTCATATCATGTCAAGGCTTGTCAATTGAGCAATCTCATCTGCAAATCTTTCAATAATTTAAGAAGCTTAACCAAAAGGGTTACAGAAAACATTTATGGCTGAAACAGCAATCAATTAGTAAAGAAGGACAAAGTGGAGACAAATGAACCGATGCTACCAAATGACATAACTGGTGCTTTTGCAACCATTTGGGGGTTATTGTCAAAACATACCACCATTTGAATGACCCCACTTAACTGAGACAGAGCTAGGTACAGACAAAGAGACCAAACAATCTCAAGAAAGCTGTGTTTCTTTGTAATTTACTGCTGTATGATTCTTTTTTGGATATTTTCCAAACCTTGGAAATCATTTGGCACGAGGTAAGGGCTTTGGAAGGGCGAAGCGGGATAGCTTACACCATGACTTGACATGGTGATTTTAATATTGTTAAAAATAAAACATGCCAAGCTCTGACTTTATTTCTTTCAACGGATGTACCCACTTTAACTTTTAAAAACTACTTGGTAGCATTAAGGCTAAACTTGAACGCAATGACAAGTAAAATTTAGGAATAAACTTACAGAGTCTTTATCAACAACGAAGCTCCGTGCTTTCCGATTTATTCCCCTCTTCGATTTGGGAAATGTCACATTCCAAGGTCCATAGGCACTTCCAGCGTTGGCACAGCTTTGGCCAAGAATCGTCCCACATACATCATCCGGTGTAACAACAGCTTCGTTGAAAACTGTCAAAACTTCATCTTTGAATTCAAGAATAACAGCAGTGCATACCCGAGTATCCTCTATCTTCAAATTGATGCATATCTTTGTAAGCAGTTTAACGATTTCTCCTTCTGTGCTTCCTTGCTCAAGAAATGACTGGAGGATGCCTGTTCCAATTTTGCATATGGTACATGTCAAACCCTGCCCAATACTTTCTGTTTTTTTTAATATGTTCACCAAGGACTCTGTGTTCGCTGTCGTGAGGCCTCTTCGATCATTACGGCCTCCTATTCCTCGAAGCTCCTTTCTGCTTGCAGGAAGGGAGTCTAGACAAGAAATAAAGCAGTAAAAAAGAATCAAAGTGCCGATCAACTTGGCCTGCATAGCTGGAAGAGGTGACTTCCAGAAACGGAACAGAGCCAAGTTTCACACACCTTCTTCCGCGATAGCACGTACGATACTGATTGCGTTGCGTGATGGCTCATCAACAACAACGCAACTTGCGTATCATGTGATAGCCACGATTCAGAAAACAGAGAGACAGAGAGGGCCTTTACTCTTATATTACTTTGAATAATTATCCAGTAGAATCTGTGCGGTTAAATGAAAATAATATTTCAGCATTCCGACATTTGCATCCAGGAAAAAGAGGTTGGAGTAAAAATGAAAACAAAAGCAGAGGATGGAGGAGGAAAGCAGAAGCCCCTGCGCAGCATTAGTCTCCGCCCATGTGAGTAACCATATATGGCCAATGCGTCTCTATCGTACCTCGATCGCTCGATAGTCGAACGATTGGACTACCAAGTACCAACTACCAAAGTTTGACGTCAACGGAAATCTATTTTAAGTCATATTAGCAGTTGGCTAATAAAACAAAAGCGTTTGGAGTGGAATTCCATTGTTTCGTGACTTTTCATTTCTTCTTAATCAATTTTTACTGCCGTAAAAGTTCACCCTCGATTCCATGCTTTGTACTAAACAAAAGAGATAGTTCCATTGCATTAGCTAATCATGTTCACGACACATGCCCTTTAAAAATGTTTACTTTGAGAATCGAGCTACATGAAATACTTCTAGAAATGGAAAATCGGTTTATTTTTCACAAATTTTCTCTTTCTTGTATATAGCCGGTCTACTTCTCCTAAATATAGATGAAACATAAACATTATTGGAAATAAGCAGAATATTGGTGAAAATAGCTGTAAAATTAACAGCAATAATTTCCAGTCCAATTTGAGCTACAAATATTTGCTTGGTTTTCCTATGAAGATGGCTGCCAGATACACTTACGTGACAAAAGTATTAGGACGATCGCCTCGAAGCAAATGTGGTTAATCATTTGCTCAAAGAACAACATAGAGAATCGGTGGAACATAACGAGATTGCTGGTTGAGATTTTTCGACTGAAATTTTACCCAATTGTAAAAATAAACATAGATTTAACAAACTGTAAAAATCAAACTTTTTAGAAAGTACACTTTGCTTTATTTTATATTTTTTTCGGATGACCTCCAGGAATCTAGGCAGCCGCCATTTGCATTAAAACTCACTGAAATAAATTTCCAAGGCTTTGACTTTGACGGAGTTATTGAAAGACCATGATGTAATTGTTTTTGGAAATTTATGTCACAATTGTAACATAACTAGGTTTATTGTCTTGCTTGAAAATAAATGGTCTTTGCAAAGAATAATCACTTGTTTCTGTACTTGCCTGGGGCTTTCCACGTATAATTGGACAAAATATTCAGCATTGATTGACTTCGCACACAACGCCAGCTTGCCGACGCAATTAGGCCCAACCATTTCATTTTTTCATTTCATTATTTTTCATTTTTAATTATTTACACAGGGTAAAGCTATCAACTACATACATAAATTGCTTTTCAAGCTGCCCTGTACAAAGAAAATGATAAACACTAAAATTCAAAAATACAGATATACAAATATAGAGAATATACAGAATAACAAAGTAAAAGCATTTCAAATACTGGAACTAACGCCAGGAATAGAAAGGGTCCCTTTATGTTCTGGAGTTTTTGAGATAAAATTTTACTTGTTTGAAATTGTTTGTTAATTTAGATTTTGCGTCCAGGCCATTCCATAGTTTTGCCCCTCTAAAAGAAAAGCATTTTTGGTCACATGCTGTTCCTAGAAACGGGACACGAAGATCGGTCTCGGTGTTTCGAAGTTCCCGGGTACTGGTTTCTGATAACCTGTCGAGCAGGCACGCAGCGTACGAGAGAGCCTCATTATTTGTACACTTGTAAACCATTTTCAAACTTTTTTCTGCTATCAAGTCATTTACAGTTTGCCAGCTCATTTTCCTTATAATTAGAAGAGCAGAAGCGTTGTATGGGCTATTGGTAACTAATCTGGTCGCCCGATTTCGCAACTTCTCTAGCTTGTCTAGTGCCGCGATTCCGCATACTGGGCAACAATATCGAAAGTACTGTGCAACAATATCGAAAGTACGGCTCTACCAGACTTTTATACATTGTTTGCACTGACTTTATAGGGAGGTATTGTTTGAAATAGCGCAGCATTCCTAACACCTCAGGAGTTTATGTCCATGTCTTTAGGTCATTTCAAACTCTCCCAAATGTTGACACAAGCTATTTCAACCTTTATAAACGAATGTATAATTTACATTCTGACCTTTGGAGTTGTTGATATTAGACTAAATTGCACTATTTTGATCACTACAAGTGCAACTTGAGCTTTTGAAATGTAACCGCCAATGAGATAGTATGAATGAGTTTTCCCTGTGAAAAGATATGATTTTAAGACTAAAGGATACATTCAAGAGTACTATGTAGTTGTAAATTGTCGACAATATTCCCTGTGACTTTCTTAGCTTTACTAAGAGAGCTTTAATAACAAATGATGCTAAGACATTTTAAAGGAATGGAAGACAATTTTGCTGTGTTGAGATTAAACTGTTAACCACTGGTATCGTTTTTGCAGCACTGGAATTATGTCGGCAAATCCCTATCTGCAATTCAATGTTCCTGGAATTAATCGGTGCATCTTATAAGATTTGCTAATTGATGACAAGGAAAAAAGGCTACCCAGTCAGTAGCTTTTGATACCATTAAGAAGAATGCTTGTCTTTGGTCAAAAATCGACAAGCGAGTTTGTATTGAACAATCTTATAAGGCATTTCGTGAGGCATTATTGAGGCTTCCCCAATGTTTCACTGAGACATTGTACACTCATAAAGGATGCGCAGTATTTTCAGAAGCAGGCTGAAGACATAACAGTTGCAGTCAGCAAAGTTCGAGAAAAATGATGCCTTTTATGATGATCAAGAATCACGTAAAAGTTACAGCGATGACGAATCATTAGTCTCCACAAGTAGGAAGAAGAGAACCAAGCTTTTACGAGAAAAAAGCACTGAAAAATCTTGTTTGATTTGCAACGAACGTTCAAGTTACGATGCACTTCTATACAATGATGGGGGACTGGCACGCTGTTCGGAAGAGAAAGCAGCACTCAAGTTGAAAACCTTGGTTGCCAAGAAGTTGTTAGATGTTAAATTTCAAATTTAATTTTCCTTTGTAATAAAGCTTGTATCTCGTGGCATATGATTGGGGGGTACATGATATGGAGGGGGTGCGACGAAATTGAGCCCAGGGTGGGTAAGAAATAAGTTTAGTGAGGTAAGAGGACCCAACATGGCTGGGTCCGATGTGAAATTTTTTTTGAAGTTATACCTTTTAAAAGGGCTAGATGGCAGCGTTCTGATCATAAGCCCTAAAATGCTCTACCTGGTAAGAAAAAAAATTGAAATTTAATTTACGCTCACGTAGAGAAATAGATATTTTATAGGGAATGAAGTTTCAAGGTTGTTTTTATTGCTTAGAAGTTCGTCTTTGGTAAACCTATAGACAAACCTCTGCTGTGAGGTCCGCAGGGCACCACTCAGTTTTGAAGGGCAGAAACCCTTTTCACCTCCCAAACTTATTGGCCAAGTTACGCCCTCGGACCAAACAATCACTGACAAACCCTATTTCGTGTCACTGGTAGTCTTTATCGTGTTACTTTTAGAACAGACAATTTCCAAGCATAAACTAGTTTCTCGCTACAATTATATAAAAAACATTAAAGCAGATCAATTGGGAGAGAATACTTGCCCTGCCAAAATCAGTTTTGTCCTGCGAGAATGCCATATTTTTGTGATTGGGGGATTAACCACCCCCATACCCCCCTCAAGTGACGCCCCTGTTTGCAGCTTCTACTTAATGCTTTGTAAATGATATTTTCATTCCAATAAGCGTATGATAGGCTTGCTTCTAACAGAGAGGAAGTAATAATGCATGATGAGGAATGTTGTCACCAAAAGAAGAAGTCTTTTAACAAAGTTACTACAGTTGGAAACTCATAATATGTTCTTGATTATTGCAAAGAAAAACGGTACTTCTACTCTCCTATCAAAGGGCTTGCATTTTCATCCCCTTAACCGTGTCTATTGTATTGTATTGTATTGTAGATTATTTAACGTTAGTGTTTACAATAGTGAATATACACTAATTAAGACTAACATGAAGCAATTTCAAGGATTGCATAAGAAAATTCATTTACTGCAAAACGAGCATGCGCACTTGTTTTCAAGGAACCAAGTTTTGATCAAATTCTTAAATTGTCTAGTATTTTGTGCTGTCTTTATTGATTCCGGGAGTGAATTCCAGATTTTAGGCCCTTAAAAACTTAATGATCTGATACCATTATTGGTAGTTCTGGCTTTTGGAATGTCAAGTGGTTTTTGAGTCGAAGGTTATGACCTGTTGTTTTGGGTACAAAATAGTCTTTCATGAAAACAGGATTAAGGTTGTTAAGTGTTTTATAAACTTCGAGCGCCAAAATTCTAACTGATTGAACATGTATGGTAGTTTATTTTGAGTTAGCAAGTAAATCTTTGTACGAAGATGAATAGTCCGAATAGGCTAGTCTTAAAGCCCTCTCGTTAATTTTCTCTAGCTTATCCTGACTTCCTTGACCACATAGCATCCATATTAATGAACAATAATTGAAGTGACATAGTATAAATGAATTCATAATTATCTTTTTTCTCTGTCACCCATGAATCTTGCCAATCTTTTCAAAGAATTTAACTGTTTAGCTGCTTTTTTACAGATCTTATCGATATGAGCATCAAGTCAGTATTTGTTGCAGTGACAGATATCGTGTTGTCATCAGCAAAATTTCATAAAAACCCTTCAGTAAGGCTGTAAAAAATATAATTTAGGAAAATATTGAAAAGTAGAGGTCCAAGTATTGATCCCTGTGGCACTCCTTGTCCTAGTTCACCCCAGGAGCTGTAATGACCTTTCACTTTGACTCTTTGCTTTCTATTAGACAGGTAGTTTTGTATAAGTAAAAGAGAATTTCTATCTATACCATAGGCATGTAGTTTTGCTAAAAGTAGGTTTTTTGGTAGACAGTCAAAGGCTTTTGACAAATCCATAAGGACAGCGCCAATATGTTTGTTCCTTTCCAGTTCTGTTTTCCAGTCTTCAGTAAGTCTAAAAAGAGCGTGCTGGGAAGAAAATTTCTCTTCAAGAAATGGAGACAGTTGAAGCTCTATTGCTTTTTCAAATACTTTTGAGAGTGTCGTTAATAGACTTATTGGTCTGTAATTTTCCTTATTGAAAGAATCTTTTTTCTTATAGACTGGTGAGACTATATTCTTTCTTAAGAAGTTTGGAAAAGTTCCTTGAGTAATGCATTTATTCATGATGTTCAGGAGGGGTTGTAGGATGATATCAACTGAAATCTTTAGGAATTTTGCATTTATCATGTCGTGCCCGTGTGCCTTTGTGTGATATAGCTTTACAATTATTTGTCGTAGGCTTTCTTTGGTGATCGGTTTAAAGCTTAAGGTTGAGTTATTTGTTAGGAAGTTGTTGATTGGTTTTATGCTTGAATGCTCTTTAAAGTATCTTTTTATTTCAGTTATTGTTGAATTCTCAGTCAGAACTTTAAGGATTGAATTTGTAGTTTAACCAATGCTAATGAAATGGGTATTCAGAATCTCAGCAACTCACTGTGGATCACTAATAAGACAATCATTCTCAGAAATTATGATTTCTGAATCGCCTTAACCTTTAGTGAAAAAATATGGTTTTAATTTTTTCCAAAATGTTTTTGAATCTAGCATGCCTTCTTGACAGATTTTTGTAAAGTAATTAGATTTAACACGTTGACGAAGATTTGCACAATGATTTCGCTGTTCACTATACTTTTGAAAATTGTCTTTAGTTCTATGTTTATTATTAATATTTTTCAGTTTCGTTCGTAACATTATTGCTTTTCGATGAATTTTGGTAAGAGGCTTATTATTTGCTCGAGCTATTTTGGATTTAAGAGGGGCGTTTTTGTTGACAATGCTACTAAAAATATCTTGAAAGCTTTTGGATGCTTGATTACCATCTTGTTGATATTCACAAAGATTGAAAGGTGCTGCCAGCAAATCTTGGCAGAAACCTTCCTCTGTGAATTTACTTGAATCTCGGTAATGTTGAATTTTAGGGTGGTGTTTAGGCAAATATGATTTTAATGTAGTTAGAATTATTTTTTTTCAAATCGGTTTATCGTTGCATTCAAATTATAAACACTAAAAACGAAATAGCAAAAAAAATTAAGATCATCTAAGTGATCTGATTACAAAGACACATCCTTACATACACTCAATTCCTTAAAGCAAACTGGAAATCGTTCCTCTGGTGCCTAGAATTACCTAGCTTTGAAATTTGTTTGGTATATTTTTCAGTAAAATCGAAATGGCACTGAAGATACAGCGAAAAATCAACTGTGGTTTCATTTGGAGAGCTTTGAAAAGTTATCCTATCAAGTGTCACTTATCTTATCCATTTAATGTCTAGCTTTTCAAAATCGATTCTAGATCTTCTGTAAACTTCGCCTATCCAGGTGCTCCAATTATCATTTTCCCTAAAAACGATCAAGCAATATTCAGGGATTCGCCATTGCAAGCCAAGGTAAATACTGAATGACATAATCACTGTTGCTTTAAAAATAGTTTTAATTTACACAAAATCCCAATAAAATGTCCTTTTTTTGGCAAACTAGATCCGAAGCTAATGTATTCCGAAAAATAGATTTGAAATCCATTGATGCTACTTTTCTTAGCTGTATGAGGGAGACTACAGCAAATTCCTTGACACAAAATAATGTTATTTCAAACTCTGGCTGGAAACCAGTTACTAAATGTTCATTAGAAGTACGATTTAATAAATTGAATTTTTGTCTCATGGAAATTTTGTCTCCTTCCTAGCTCTTGTGGATAGCGCTCTATCAGCTCCGTAGATATGTTAGCAGCCGTAATTATCAGCTGTATCGTCAGCTTTATCCTTTTGTTAGGTAAGGACTAACAGCGACGGGGAAGAAAAAAAACGAGTAAAAGAAACTGAAATGGATACACAGTATCAACACTTAGGAGGTGATGATGTCAGCATAGAAGGAAGTGGCCACCCTTTCTTTCCATGCTGGTGGCCATAGGCCATGGCTCGCATACAGTAATCGCCTCGAGCAAGTTAGTTAATTATAGAAAGTATAAACAAAAAAAACAAATTGGTCTATGAGAATAGCACAGAAAAACGAAAAGTAACATTAGGTTGTTCCATCAGCATTTTAGGAATCCGCAGACTCAAAATAGGGTTCCAAATTGATGAAATCGCAAAATTTATTTTTAGAACTTTTGAAATTGGATTCGATAGCCTGAAAGGGTATCATGAAATATTACTAAATGTACCAAATCAGTCAAATGTATTACGAATTGGCACGGAATTACAAATTTGTTGGCAAGCTTCAGATCTTTTATTGGCAATATTTTAACTGATTTTAAACATATTTGAATTAATTCAAACATTCTAAGAATGGGCTTTTGGTAACGTCACACTGTAAACTCTTTATCATTTGATATTGCAGTACCAAAGGGTTATTTACCTTGCCTTTGCTGCATATGCAAGTACGATGACGTCATTTTGCAAATAGAAAAGCTGACCGTTCACTCCAATGCCGTTGCATAGATAGAAGAAGGGTTCTTCCGTTCCACTTTTCCAAAGTCAAACACAGACATCCGAAGATAAATTTCGATTAATAATGAAATCAACGTCGATCAGAATAATTGTTGAGTTTTTCGGCCTCTCACAATTCACCTCAGCCAAAACTCCTAAAAAGGATAAACTGCATTGCAATGGAATTGCCTAAGCTCAATGATCCTATAAAACAACACCATTTGAAGGTGGAAGTAGGGTGCTATAAATCTTTTTCCTAGAAACAACGTAGAAAGATTTCGTTTACGTTCCAAACACAATTTCGGGTAGTTTGAATGAATTTTATGCCGATATTTTGAAAAAAAGGTTTTGGTCATTTTTGAAAAAATGCATGACCCTGGGCCAGCAAAAAAACTTAAAAAATTCTGAAATATTTGAAAAAATTTTTATTACTTGAAACACCATAAAATACTAAAAAAATACCTTTCTGAAATCATTTCAAGACATTTTGTTGAGACTCTAAGTGATATCTGAAAAATAGTAGGAAAGAATATAGATAGAGCTTTGAAAAGTTGTTTGACACTGAAACTTTTAAAAATTCTAAAAAAACGTGAACTTTGCAAAACTTTTTTTTCATAGAAACAAGGTCAAAAAAGCCTTCATATACGTTCTGAACACCATTTCGAGTAGTTTCAGTGACTTTTTTGCTCGTATTTTGGAAATAATGTCTTAGTAGTTTTTGAAAACTGCATGAACCCGAACTTGAAAAAGTTAAAAATTTTGAAATTTTCACAAAAATTGTTTGTCCCAAACACCCTTTCGTCCGTCCCAAACACCCTTTCGGCTAGTTTCGGTGAATTTTATGCTGATATTTTATAAATAAGAAGTGCCTCATTTTTGAAAAAATCCATGACCCCTGACCTGCAAAACTTCAAAAATTTCGAAATTTTACAAAAAACTCTCTTTTACTCAAAACAGCCTAAGAAGCCTTAAGGTACGTTCCAAACACCATTGCAGGTAGTTTCCGTGAATTTTCATAATGATATTTTGAAAATAAGGAGTTGGTAATTTTTGAAAAAATCCATCACCCCAGACCTGCAAAAAACTTCAAAAATTTTGAGATTTTTTCAAAAAATTTGTTTTACTGGAAGCAACGTAAAAAGCCTTAATTTACGTTCTGAACGCAATTTGTGTAGTTTTGGGGAAAATTATGCAGCTATTTTGAAGATGAGGACTTGATAAAGACGTGATTTTTTAAAAAATCCATGACCTGAAATCGTTCAAAAATTTTGAATTATTCAAAAAAAATTTTTTTTACTTGGAACAACCTGAAATGCTGAAAAAAATTTCTTTCTGAAATCATTTGATGAACTTTCGTTGAACTTCCAATTGATGTCTGAAAAAAGGAAGAAAGAATATATACAGAATGTTTTAAATTAAACTTGAAAGAGAACCTAAAAAAATTTTCATTTTTTTTAAAAAAAGTCTTTTACTCGAAACAACAAAAGAAGCCTTACTTTAAATTTTAAACACCATTTTGGGTAATTTTGCTGATTTTTAGACTCATATTTTGAAAAAAAGACGTTGTCATTTTTAAAAAAGTTTATGACCCTGGACCTCAAAAAAACTTCAAAAGTTGTCAATTTTCAAAAATATTTTTTTCTCAAAACAACTAAGAAAGTTTTAATTTACGGTCCGAGCACCACTACTGGTAGTTACAGTTAATTTAGAAAGGTATTCGTAAAGTAAATAAGGACTTAGTCATTTTTGAAAAGTTTTATGACCCCGGACCTGAAAAAAGTACAAAAACTGGAGAATTTTTCAAAATTTTATTTTTCTCTCAAAACAACCAAGGAAGTCTATATTCAAATTCAGAACCCTGTTTCGGGTAGTTTAGGTGTATTTTAGGCTCATATATCAAAAATGAGGAGTTAGTCGTTTTTGAAAAATTTCATAACCCCGGACCTGCAAAAAATGTCAAAAAACAGGAGATTAAAAAATTTTTTTTCCTCGAAACAACCAAGAAAGTCCAAATTTACGTTGAGAACACCATTTCGGGTAGTTTTGGTGTATTTTTGGCTCATATACTGGAAATGAGGACTTAGTCATTTTTAAAAAATTTCATCACATCGGACCTGCAAAAAAATTCAAGAGATTGAAAAATTTTCCAAAATTTTTATTTTCCTCGAAAAAACCAAGAAAGTCTTAATTTACGTTACGAACACCATTTCGGCCAGTTTTGGTGTAATTCTAGCTTATATACTGGGAATGAAGACTTAGTTCTTTTTGAAAAATTTCATGATCCCGGACCGGTAAAAATGTTTAAAAAATTGAAAATTTTTCAAAATTTTTTTTTCCTCGAAAGAACCAAGAGAGTCTTAATTTACGTTACGAACACCATTTCGGGTAGTTTTGGTGTCTTTTTGGCTCAAATACTGGAAATGAGGACTTAGTTATTTTTGAAAAAATTCATGACCCTGAACCTGCAAAGAAGTTCAGAAAATTGAAAATTTTTCAAAAATTTTTGTTCCTCGAAAGAACCAAGAAAGTCTTAATTTGCGTTACAAACACCATTTCGGGTAGTTTTGGTGTCTTTTTGGCCCAAGTACTGGAAATGAGGACTTATTCATTTTTGAAAATTTCATAACCCCAGGCCTGCAAAAAAATTCAAAACATTGAAATTTTTCAAAAAATTTGTTTCCCTCGAAACAACAAAGAGAGTCTTAATTTACGTTACGAACATCATTCCGGCCAGTTTTTGTGAATTTTGAGCTCAAATACTGGAAAAGAGGACTTAGTCATTTTTGAAAAATTTCATTACCCCGGACATGCAAAAAAGTTCAAAAAATTGAAAAATTTTCAAAAAAAATCTTTCTACTAGTAACAACCAAGAATGACAAGAAAATACCTTTCTGACATGTTTTGATGACATTTGACTGAACCTTCAAGTGATATCTGGAAAGTAGTACCTATAAGATAAAGTGATAGATCAAGATCAAGTATCTATAAGATCATAATATCTATAAGATCAAGTGATATCTATAAGATACATAGAATATTTCAGACTAAGGTTTGAAAAAGCTAAAAAATTTGAAAATTTTTCCAAATTCTTTTTTTCTCGAAACAACCAAGAAAGTCTTAATTTACGTTACGAACACCAGTTCGGGTAGTTTTGGTGTCTTTTTGGCTCAAATACTGGAAATGAGGACTTAGTTATTTTTGAAAAAATTCATGACCCTGGACCTGCAAAAAGGTTCAAAAAATTGAAAATTTTTCAAAAATTTTTGTTCCTCGAAACAACCAAGAAAGTCTTAATTTACGTTACGAACACCATTTCGGCAAGTTTTTGTGTATTTTTGGCTCATATGCTGGAAATGAGGACTTAGTTATTTTTTTTAAAAAAATTCATGACCCGGACCTGCAAAAAAACTCAAAAAATTGAAATTTTTCAAAAAATTTGTTTCCCTCGAAACAACAAAGAAAGGCTTAATTTACGATACCAACAACATTTCGGCCAGTTTTTGTGTATTTTTTGCTTATATACTCGAAATGATTACTTATTCATTTTTGAAAATTTCATAACCCCAGGCCTTCAAAAAAGTTGAAAAAATTGAGAATTTTTCAAAATTTTTATTTTCCTCGAAACAACCAAGAAAGTCTTAATTTATGTTACGAACATCATTTCGGCCAGTTTTTTTGAATTTTGAGCTCAAATACTGGAAATGAAGACTCAGTCATTTTTGAAAAATTTCATTACCCCGGACATCCAAAAAAGTTCAAAAAATTGAAAAATTTTCAAAAAAAATAATTCTACTAGTAACAACCAAGAATGACAAGAAAATACCTTTCTGACATGTTTTGATGACATTTGGCTCAACCTTCAAGTGATATCTGGAAAGTAGTACCTATAAGATAAAGTGATAGATCAAGATCAAGTATCTATAAGATCATAAAATCTATAAGATCAAGTGATATCTATAAGATACATAGAATATTTCAGACTAAGGTTTGAAAAAGCTAAAAAATTTGAAAATTTTTCAAAATTCTTTTTTCCTCGAAACAACAAAAAAAGTCTTAATTTACGTTACGAACATCATTTCGGCCAGTTTTTGTGAATTTTTGGCTTATATACTGGAAATGAGGACTTATTCATTTTTGAAAATTTCATGACCCCGGACCTGCAAAAAAGTTCAAAAAATTGAAAAAAATTTTCAAATTTTTCTTTTTCCTCAAGACAACCAAGAAAGTCTTAATTTATGTTCCCAGCAGCATTTCGGGTAGTTTTGGTGTATTTTTGGCTAAAATACTGGAAATGAGGGCTTAGTCATTTTTGACAAATTTCATGACTTCTGACATGCAAAAAAGTTCAAAAAATTGGAAAAATTTCAAAAAAATTTTTCTCTCGAAACAACCAAGAGAGTCTTAATTTACGTTAGGAACACCATTTCGGCCAGTTTTGGTGTATTTTTGGCTCAAATACTCGAAATGAGGACTTATTCATTTTTGAAAAATTTCATGACCCAGGACCTGCAAAAAAATTCAAAAAATTAATAAATATTTCAAAATTTTTATTTTCCTCGATACAACCAAAAAAGTCTTAATTTACGATACCAACAACATTTCGGACAGTTTTTGTTTGTTTTTTGCTTATATACTCGAAATGAGAACTTAGTCATTTTTGAAAAATTTCATGACCCCGGACCTGCAAAAAAGTTCAAAACATTGAAAAAATTTTCAAAATTTTCTTTTTCCTCAAAACAACCAAGAAAGTCTTAATTTACGTTACGAACACCATTTCGGCCAGCTTTTGTGTATTTTTGGCTCATATACTGGAAATGAGGACTTGGTTATTTTTGAAAAATTTCATGACCTGGACCTGCAAAAAGGTTCAAAAAATTTTCAAAATTTTCAAAACTTTCTTTTTCCTCGAAACAACCAAGAAAGTCTTAATTTACGTTACGAACACCATTTCGGCCAGGTTTTGTGTATTTTGGCTCATATACTGGAAATTAGGACTTAGTTATTTTTGAAAAATTTCATGACCCGGACCTGCAAAAAGGTTCAAAAAATTGAAATTTTTCAAAAAATTTGTTTCCCTCGAAACAACCGAGAAAGTCTTAATTTACGTTACGAACACCATTTCGGGTAGTTTTGGTGAATTTTTGGCTCAAATACTGGAAATGAGGACTTGGTCTCTTTTGAAAAATTTCATGACCTCGGACATGCAAAAAAGTTCAAAAAATTGAAAATTTTTCAACAAAAATCTTTCTACTAGTAACAACCAAGAATGATAAGAAAATACCTTTCTGACATGTTTTGATGACATTTGGCTCAACCTTCAAGTGATATCTGGAAAGTAGTACCTATAAGATAAAGTGATAGATCAAGATCAAGTATCTATAAGATCATAATATCTATAAGATCAAGTGATATCTATAAGATACATAGAATATTTCAGACTAAGGTTTGAAAAAGCTGAAAAATGTGAAAATTTTTCAAAATTCTTTTTTCCTCGAAACAACTAAGAAAGTCTCAATTTACGCTACCAACAACATTTCGGCCAGTTTTTATGTATTTTTTGCTTATATACTCGAAATGAGGACTTATTCATTTTTGAACATTTCATAACCCCAGGCCTGCAAAGAAATTCAAAAAATTGAAAAATATTTCAAAATTTATATTTTGCTCAAAACAACCAAGAAGGTCTCAATTTACGATACCAACAACATTTCGGCCAGTTTTTGTGTATTTTTTGCTTATATACTCGAAATGAGGACTAATTCATTTTTGAAAAATTTCATGACCCTGACCTTCAAAAAAGTTAAAAAAACTGAAAAAATTTTCAAAATTTTCTTTTTCCTGGAAACAACCAAGAAAGTCTTAATTTACGTTACGAACACCATTTCCGCCAGTTTTTGTGTATTTTTGGCTCAAATACTGGAAATGAGGACTTATTCATTTTTGAAAATTTCATTACCCCAGGCCTGCAAAAAAATTCAAAAAATTGAAAAATATTTCAAAATTTTTATTTTCCTCGATACAACCAAGAAAGTCTTAATTTACGATACCAACAACATTTCGGACAGTTTTTGTGTATTTTGTCCTTATATATTCGAAATGAGAACTTAGTCATTTTTGAAAAATTTCATGACCCCGGACCTGCAAAAAAGTTCAAAAAATTGAAAAAAATTTTCAAATTTTTCTTTTTCCTCAAGACAACCAAGAAAGTCTTAATTTATGTTCCCAGCAGCATTTCGGGTAGTTTTGGTGTATTTTTGGCTAAAATACTGGAAATGAGGGCTTAGTCATTTTTGACAAATTTCATGACTTCTGACATGCAAAAAAGTTCAAAAAATTGGAAAAATTTCAAAAAAATTTTTCTCTCGAAACAACCAAGAGAGTCTTAATTTACGTTAGGAACACCATTTCGGCCAGTTTTGGTGTATTTTTGGCTCAAATACTCGAAATGAGGACTTATTCATTTTTGAAAAATTTCATGACCCAGGACCTGCAAAAAAATTCAAAAAATTAATAAATATTTCAAAATTTTTATTTTCCTCGATACAACCAAAAAAGTCTTAATTTACGATACCAACAACATTTCGGACAGTTTTTGTTTGTTTTTTGCTTATATACTCGAAATGAGAACTTAGTCATTTTTGAAAAATTTCATGACCCCGGACCTGCAAAAAAGTTCAAAACATTGAAAAAATTTTCAAAATTTTCTTTTTCCTCAAAACAACCAAGAAAGTCTTAATTTACGTTACGAACACCATTTCGGCCAGCTTTTGTGTATTTTTGGCTCATATACTGGAAATGAGGACTTGGTTATTTTTGAAAAATTTCATGACCTGGACCTGCAAAAAGGTTCAAAAAATTTTCAAAATTTTCAAAACTTTCTTTTTCCTCGAAACAACCAAGAAAGTCTTAATTTACGTTACGAACACCATTTCGGCCAGGTTTTGTGTATTTTGGCTCATATACTGGAAATTAGGACTTAGTTATTTTTGAAAAATTTCATGACCCGGACCTGCAAAAAGGTTCAAAAAATTGAAATTTTTCAAAAAATTTGTTTCCCTCGAAACAACCGAGAAAGTCTTAATTTACGTTACGAACACCATTTCGGGTAGTTTTGGTGAATTTTTGGCTCAAATACTGGAAATGAGGACTTGGTCTCTTTTGAAAAATTTCATGACCTCGGACATGCAAAAAAGTTCAAAAAATTGAAAATTTTTCAACAAAAATCTTTCTACTAGTAACAACCAAGAATGATAAGAAAATACCTTTCTGACATGTTTTGATGACATTTGGCTCAACCTTCAAGTGATATCTGGAAAGTAGTACCTATAAGATAAAGTGATAGATCAAGATCAAGTATCTATAAGATCATAATATCTATGAGATCAAGTGATATCTATAAGATACATAGAATGTTTCAGACTGAAGTTTGAAAAACCTAAAAAATATGAAAATTTTTCAAAATCTTTTTTCCTCGAAACAACCAAGAAAGTCTAAATTTACGTTACGAATATCATTTCGGGTAGTTTTGGTGTCTTTTGGGCCCAAATACTGGAAATGAGGACTTATTCATTTTTGAAAATTTCATAACCCCAGGCCTGCAAAAGAATTCAAAAAATTGAAAAATATTTCAAAATTTTTTTTTTCCTCGAAACAACCAAGAAAGTCTTAATTTACAATACCAACAACATTTCGGCCAGTTTTTGTGTATTTTTTGCTTATATACTCGAAACGAGAACTTAGTCATTTTTGAAAAAATTAATGACCCCGGACCTGCAAAAAAGTTCAAAAAATTGAAAAAATTTTCAAAATTTTTTTTTCCTCGAAAGAACCAAGAAAGTCTTAATTTGCGTTACGAACACCATTTCGGATAGTTTTGGTGTCTTTTCGGCTCAAACACTGGAAATAAGGACTTAGTCATTTTTGAAAAATTTTATGACCCCAGACCGGCAAAAAAGTTCAAAAAATTGAAATTTTTTCAAACTTTTTCTTTTTCTTTGAAAAAACCAAGAAAGTCTTAATTTACTTTACGAACACCATTTCGGGTAGTTTTGGTTTCTTTTTGGCTCAAATACTGGAAATGAGGAGTTAGTTATTTTTGAAAAATTTCATGACCCTGGACCTACAAAGAAGTTCAAAAATTTGAAAATTTTTCAAAATTTTTTTTTCCTTGAAACAACCAAGAGAGTCTCAATTTACATTACGAACACCATTTCGGGTAGTTTTGGTGTCCTTTTGATCCAAATACTGGAAATGAGAACTTAGTCATTTTTGAAAAATTTCATGACCCCGGACATGCAAAAAGGTTAAAAAAAAATTGAAAATTTTTCAACAAAAATCTTTCTACTAGTAACAACCAAGAATGATAAGAAAATACCTTTCTGACATGTTTTGATGACATTTGGCTCAACCTTCAAGTGATATCTGGAAAGTAGTACCTATAAGATAAAGTGATAGATCAAGATCAAGTATCTATAAGATCATAATATCTATGAGATCAAGTGATATCTATAAGATCCATAGAATGTTTCAGATTAAAGTTTGAAAAACCTAAAAAATTTGAAAATTTTTCAAAATCTTTTTTCCTCGAAACAACCAAGAAAGTCTTAATTTACGTTACGAATATCATTTCAGGTGGTTTTGGTGTCTTTTGGGCCCAAATACTGGAAATGAGGACTTATTCATTTTTGAAAATTTCATAACCCCAGGCCTGCAAAAGAATTCAAAAAATTGAAAAATATTTCAAAATTTTTTTTTTCCTCGAAACAACCAAGAAAGTCTTAATTTACAATACCAACAACATTTCGGCCAGTTTTTGTGTATTTTTTGCCTATATACTCGAAACGAGAACTTAGTCATTTTTGAAAAAATTAAGGACCCCGGACCTGCAAAAAAGTTCAAAAAATTGAAAAAATTTTCAAAATTTTCTCTTTCCTTGAAACAACCAAGAAAGTCTTAATTTACGTTACGAACAACATTTCGGCCAGTTTTTGTGTATTTTTTGCTTATATACTCGAAACGAGAACTTAGTCCTTTTTGAAAAAATTAATGACCCCGGACCTGCAAAAAAGTTCAAAAAATTGAAAAAATTTTCAAAATTTTCTCTTTCCTCGAAACAACCAAGAAAGTCTTAATTTACGTTACGAACACCATTTCGGGTAGTTTTGGTGTCTTTTTGGCTCAAATACTGGAAAGAAGGACTTAGTTATTTTCGAAAAATTTCATGACCCTGGACCTGCAAAGAAGTTCAAAAAAATTGAAAATTTTTCAAAATTTTTTTTTCCTCGAAAGAACAAAGAAAGTCTTAATTTGCGTTACGAACACCATTTCGGATAGTTTTGGTGTCTTTTCGGCTCAAACACTGGAAATAAGGACTTAGTCATTTTTGAAAATTTCATGACACCAGACCGGCACAAAAGTTTAAAAAAGTGAAAATTTTTCAAAAAAAATCTTTCTACTAATAACAACCAAGGATGATGAGAAAATACCTTTCTGACATGTTTTGATGAAATTTGGCTCAACGTCCAAGTGATATCTGGAAAGTAGGAAGAAATAAGATACATAGAATGTTTGAGACTAAAGTTTGAAAAATCTAAAAAAGTTGAAAATTTTTCAAAATTTTTTTTTCCTCGAAACAACCTAGAAAGTCTTATTTTACCTTACGAACATTATTTCGGGTAGTTTTGGTGTATTTTTGGCTCAAATACTGGAAATGAGGACTTAATCATTTTTGAAAAATTTCATGACCCCGGACCTGCAAAGAAGTTCAAAAAATTAAAAATTTTTCAAAAAAAATCTTTCTACTAATAACAACCAAGGATGATGAGAAAATACCTTTCTGACATGTTGTGATGAAATTTGGCTCAACCTCCAAGTGATATCTTGAAAATAGGAAGAAATAAGATACATAGAATGTTTGAGACTAAAGTTTGAAAAAACTAAAAAAGTTGAAAATTTTTCAAAATTTTTTTTTCCTCGAAACAACCTAGAAAGTCTTATTTTACCTTACGAACACCATTTCGGGTAGTTTTGGTGTATTTTTGGCTCAAATACTGGAAATGAGGACTTAATCATTTTTGAAAAATTTCATGACCCCGGACCTGCAAAGAAGTTCAAAAAATTGAAAATTTTTTAAAATTTTTTTTTCCGCGAAACAACCAAGAAAGTCTTAATTTACGTTACGAACACTATTTCGGGTAGTTTTGGTGTATTTTTGGCTCAAATACTGGAAATGAGAACCTAGTCATTTTTGAAAAATTTCATAAACCGGGACCTGCAAAAAAGTTCAAAAAATTGAAAAATTTTCAAAAAAAATCTTTCTACTAGTAACAGCCAAGAATGATAA